TAATAAATAGGGTGTAGAAAGAAAATAGCTGCTAGTGCTGTTCTGTAACCAGTGTTGCACAATAGCTTCTACAAGAGTGTATGCGGTGTAATAATATCCGTTGATACTAAAAAGCTGTCTGATTTCCCACCATCACAAAAGCAGCCCTCGAGGCATCTTTTCCCTTAAGCCTGCTGTAAGGAAGTTACGTTTCCACCACTGATGGAAGCAGAAAGGAGTCTTGTCAGTATGAGTCATGTTACCGTGCATTAGCCAAACTGCTAGCATTAAAACAGTGTGTACTATACATGAATGCACTTCAGTGCACTTATAAGACAGTCTGTGAGTTTAAATGGGCAGAGATTTGGACTTAGATATGAGAGTCCAAGGTTCAAATTCTTGTTCAGTCATAAAGCTCCCTGAGTCACCATCTCTCAGACTAATCTTCTTTGTTGCCAACCTCTCATAGGGTTGCTGCAAGGGATAAACAATATAATTTAGTTTCTCTCTCGTTGTTATTAATAAAATACCTCTTTCCTTACAGATTTCAGTCTGTGACAGTAAGAACCTCTCAACTGAAGAGCTGAGCAGATCCACCACTCAGGAGGAATTAAAGAAAGCTAATAGCCTTCCTAGTTTAGTTCATGAAGGCAAAAACGCCAGTAATGACAGACAGCCCAAAGAAGGATTTTTCCAATATCTTGGGAGTTTGTTTGGTATTGCTTCAAAATCATCCTACAAAGAAACTGAACATTCCAACCTTGGAGATGGATGTCACAGAACTGGCAAAGACTTTGCAAGTCCAGCTAGTCACCAGGAAGGTGGACATGCAGACCACCCAAAACCAGAAATATTTGTCATTTCAACACCTGGAGGTGACCAGACAGCAGCAAGCAAAGAGGAACAGGCTAACTTTGTTAAAAGCACCAGTTCTGGCTCACAGGATTTACAGAAAGCACAGGAGCAATCTGCTGAAGCATCCAAGTAAGTTTTTTCATTTGTCTCCGCACAACCTCAAGAGAAAGGTATGCTCAGTATTACAAAATGTTTTAAGATATCCTTGGGACATCCTTTTTCCATTTCTGAAAGATGCTTACAAGTGGCCACAATATTAGAATGCTATGGTAATAATGAGTTTTAATGGGTTAGTAACCATAACTGGAATTTAAGGCACACCCTAGCTTCTCTTTTAAATTTTCCAATGAAAGTCACAAAATGATGTGATCCTGATTTGCATGATTAAATCCTGGCTTCATAAGCCACAAGGCAGAATTAAGAAATCAACTTCAAACCAAAGTTGACTTCTAAATCTTGCCTTGTTTGGAAACCATTGACTATAGTTACAGAGATATTGTGGTGGCAATCCATTTATCAAACTCCTCTAGGACTATCAAACACTGCTATTATTCATCTTTTGGCCAGGCATTTGGAGAGGATTGGCCAGACATGGCCAACAGTAAATGAGTTGGTTGTAAGTTTACTATTGCTATTACATTGTATTCTGATATTGTATACTTTTAAAATAAAAACACAAATAATGGGTAGTTATAGTCTCCTGTGGATGTTCACCTGATGAGAGGAAGGAAGCAGCAGCAGCAAAGGGATTGTGTATTAGGGCCCAAAGGTAATGCATATCATTTGATTGTGTGAATGTATCCAAGGTGTTGCTGGATTCCTAAGCATTCTTACCAGGGAGATAGCTTTACTGAATTCAACTGGACTTGCAGTACAATAATTAACTTGCTTACTTAAAGCTAGGTTTCTATTTTAGATCATGTAGATTATTCCACATAGGAAATATTGTTAAAAAAGTTTGCCTTTATTCTATTTTTTAAAGCAATAATATTGTAGCAACATCCGTGACAAAGAAAAACCTAACCAAAGATCATATAAACATATAAGTATATAATGTGAAATACAAATATCTCCTAAAAACTAAACTTAAGTTTAGCTCAAGAAATTCTCGGGCAGATCAACCCAAAAGCCTGGGGAAGGAAGGTAAAGCTAGCCAATTGTATGCAAGTGCCATATTCAGAGCCCTGCAGAGGAATAGCGGGTGGAGAAACATTTAACCTTTTTTCCTCCTTGGAGTTTCAGGGTTTTTTTTTAATGAACCAGCTCTAGAACTGGTGTGTCATTCCCCCCGCCCCCCATGGCCATTTCAGGGAAGTGTTGGAACAGGAAGGGCTATGGAGGTCCCCGTCTCCTGGGGCAGGCCTCTCTCTCCACTCCCAGATATTCTGTGTTCCCTGGGGCCACAGGACTGTGCAATTTAATTGTAGAATATTTATGTTGTACTTACTTGTCAAATTGCATCCTTTCAAAACTATTTTTTTATTAGGTTTTGCAACTGCCCTTGAAATGAACAAGAAACCAATTCCTAAAGGGTATGAGAGGAACAGTTACTTAAATACCTGGGCGGGATGGAAAAAATATATCTGTGAGGCCAAGGTCAAGGGGATGAAAGAATCACCATTGTCTCCACCTTGTTTTATTTTGTTAATTATTGTAAAGTTCCAAGACTTTCAATGTTTCCTTCTGCTTTTGACTTGGTGACTAGTATTTTCCATACTTTGCTGCTTTCTAGACTTGGAGATTTTCCTGCAATGATTAAAAGAGGGGTTATTTCAGGGGAGAGGAATGAAAAGCCCAGAATGTTATAGGCAACATATTTAACTGCTTCGTTTTCTTGGAGAATATCAAAACATTACATCAAAATTCCTGGGCATATTGGAAGTTGGAACCATCTCACTAGTATTTAGCCAATTTAAATGGTGTATAAGATGCATAGATGGTAAGTAATTTAAATCAGGGATGCAAGGGGCGTTTGGCAAATGATGCAAATAGTATTCCTGAAATGTAGAAGTTCTTGAAAACCATTTTTGTTGTATATAGAAAGCAACATTGAGATTGTGAGTTCTCAATTCTCTAATGGCTTGCCTTAAATGAAAGTGTTTTGCTTCTATAATCCAAACTTTTCCGAAAGAGTTTTGGCTAACTTTAGTGAAATTGGATCAGTGTTTTTTTTTTCCTGTTTAGTCCATCTCTTGAAAACATGATATTTATATCCTGCCGCACCCTGTGCAGCTAACTATAGTTAAAACATTAGGGAAGTACAGTTCTGATCATTTGAATACGAAAACTAGTTTGGCAAGCTCACATGCCACATTAGTGTGTGATTTATGACTGGTTTTCATGCCATGCTGATGACTGCGTAGCCCAAGTTAGTCTTAATTTATTCCGAAAGTTCATGTAGCATTCCTGTCAGTGCTGTGACAGAAGGAAATGCTGTGCAAATGCAAATCAAACCCTTTCGCTGCATTATAGCGAATAGAGAAAGTAGAGAGTGGTTAAGTAAAAAAAAACAGATGGAAATTCTAATAGCCTGAGCATTTCTAGTGTGTGAGAGCAAGGGAGAGAAAGATGGAGCGTTAAGAGGAGTGACACAAGATGGGCTGCAGATGGAGGAGAAGAGAAAGAGAGCTGTCAGTATATGTGCGTGTTCTTTTTTACTGCACAAAACCAAAGTTAAGAGATGTGATTATAGTAGAGCTGTAGGTTATAATTCTTGAGACATAGGAAGATGTTTTATACTGAGTCGGGCCATCGTTTCATCCAGCTCATACTCACTGCACCAACTGGCAGATAACCACGATTTTTCTCAGTCACCAGAGCATGTGCTCTACCACTGAGCACGTGCCCCACCATTTCATTACCATGGTGCGACGGGGGGTGGGGGAGAGACTATAGCTTTTCTTTTATGCTGTTGTCACTCAGATGAAAGGCAAATGTGGCAATGCTTTTGTTTTAGTTAATATTGAGGTATGAGGAGGTTCTTGTTTTGTTTGTTTACGGAGCATTGGTGGTTCAGTGGAAGAATTCTCGCCTGCCACATGGGTGGTCCAGGTTCTTTTTCTGGCCAGTGCAACTTGCGCTTATCTGGAATAGCTCAGGTCTTAATCTCAGGGTTATGGGTGCGAGCCCTATGTTGGGCGTTGCAGGAGTTGGGCTAGATGAGCCTCATGGTCCCTTGGAACTCTACAATCCTGTGATCCTATAAGTTTGTATCCTGTTTTTCAGTCCTCTAAGGATCCTTAATGCAACATGTTTCTGTCCCTGGAAAGGATCATTTAGAAAATGTCAGAAAACCTTTGGTCCTGGAGCTGATGAAAGTGAAGCTATTATGAACATAGGTGTTTGTAACAGGAGATTTCAAATATTTATTTCTACTAGCTTTTCAAATTTATTGGCATATTGCATATAGTAATATGCAATATGCCTCTCTGGGCAGCTCACAGCATATATCGCCAGGGATGGATGGCACAGAGGGGAAAAAAGATAGAAGGATAATCCTACACAAATATTATTGTAGTTTTGGTTTTGTTAGTCTAGATCAATGGTTCCCAATTAGGGGTCCAGGGACCCCTGGGGGTCTGTGGAACACACCCAGGGGGTCCACAGCCCCATCCCTTGCCTCCTCTCAAACTAAATTTTTGTCACTTTTGCTTGGTAATAACACAAATTTTATGGTCTGTGTTTTTTGTATACCTTTTGTATACCTAAAATCGTTTGCTTATTAGGGGCTACCCCACATCTTGTTCAAAAAAATGCTTTGCAGAGGTAACTACCATAGAGTTATCAAAGTTTTCAAAAGCTTGGCTTTTGAAAAATAGGAGGGTCCTCAGTAATTAGCTAATTGGGAAGCACTGGTCTAGATATTCTGTAGTCAGTGGCACATCTCTTTAACAGCTATGCCCTTGAAGTGCCCCCTGCCCCCACAACAGAACTCGAAAATCCAGCTACTGTGTGAACCTTTGCATTCGGAGGTTAATTTTGTAACCCCTGTTGGAAAAGACTCTGTTTTCCAGGCTGTGAGCCAAGGAAGGTGGAATTCATGAGTTCAGCTTGCAGTACATTGCAGGCGACAGATGACAGCATATCCCTTGAGCAAACCCAGCCAGTTGATTCATTGAAGCAGTCACCCCTGACAAATGTTTGACACTTTTTATTAGCTGTTGTTAGTCCAATGACTTATTGTTTGAAAAACTGGACAGTAGCGAAAGTGTTTTGCAGAACACTTCTTAGAACATAATTCTTGGAAGATGAGTATTTATGATGGGTTACTTGCGAAGCAAGTTTAGTACCATTTAATTATCTGAATGTTTAAAGAAGTAAAAATGTTTCCAGCCAAATGCTATTGTTCCCATTTGTTATAAATGGGAAATGTAAATATTTAAACATTGCTCTAAACATGACATGTATCTTGTAATAACTCCTTTCTTAGAGGAACTTCAGGTGTTGCTATATGTTGCAAGGATCCGGAAATATAAATGGCTTGTGTACTGCTTTGCAATGTACCGTATTGGCCCGAATAAATGCCGCACCTGAATATAAGCCACACCTTTAAAATTCAAGGGGAAAAAAGAAAAAAAGCCAATACCTCAATATAAGCTGCTCCCTTAAAATTCCGCAGGCACTCACACCCATTCTGTTTTACCATATGTCTGTTTCAGCAGCGATATCGTAAGAGCCATTTTTTTGTAAGGTCGTGAATTTAAGTCACACTTTAACTTTTCATGGTCGGAATTTGGGAAAAAAGTGAGGCTTATATTCAGGCCAATATGGTATGTATGTAATGATATGAAGTGGAACGTGTAATATCTGTTCCTCTGAAACTCTGTGTTGTGTTGTGTTGTGTTGTGTTGTGTTGTGTTGTGGTATGGGTGTGCTACCAGCAAAAACAACAGTTCTGTGAACATTTCTACCAGAAATATACAGGGGCTCCATTTGAAACATTAGAAAAAGGTGAGAAAATAGCAAGTGTGATCGGCTTGCACTTCCTGTAATAACTTAAGTATAAAGAATAGGAAGTGTGAGCCAATCACACTTCCTGTTCCCTGTGCGTATTATAACAATCAAAGCTGCTCTCTTATAGTACTGATTGATAAGCCAAATGTGAAATTAAAATGTCTTGCACATCCTAATGAAAGGCATGAATCGCTAGAGATAAGCGGACTGGTATAAGATTAAAAGTTCAGGTTTTGTATTTTATGCTTGCTTTCCACAATTAAGTTTAGAGGTCAACTTTAACCAAGAGTCAGAGTCATCAAAATGCCAGCATTATGAAACATCGGCCACTAAATGATCTTGTATAATGTTATTCTTATTCCCTCTGAACCATTTGCTACAAAGGAAATCTTGATAAGGTTTCTTCTGTAAATGTTATCTATCAGTAGCCATTCCATCTGGTTGCTGCAGGGGAAGAGATAGGAGAGCACAGTCTTTTCCATGGCCTGGCTGAAATGCTAATCCAGAAATTTCTATTTCTATGGGCTGCTAATTGAGTTTTAAAAAAACTCATTATGTGATCTTAAACACCATCACTTGGAAGAAAGTCCTATTGGTTTCAGTAAAACTTGCTTTCAGGTATTTTATATTTTGTGCAGACTGCTTAAAATATTTTGATAATTAAGCAGTATATAATTCCTGTTAAATAAAATTAAAATATGAAAAATCCATAAATAGGTTAAGAAAGACCTCTGAACTACTTTCTTACTTAAAGCCCAAGCCTTTAAGAAAAACAAAGAGCAACAGCAATTCATAGATCACTGTGAATGCCTGTAAAACAAGCAATAATTTAATTAGGTTATGCGTTACATCAGCCCTTGATTTCTTCAATAAATTAAGATTATATTTATATTTAGGCAATTTTCTAAATGTCTGAATATAAAATATAACTGGAGAAGGACCGGCCAGTGAAATAGTCAGAGAAGCTGTGGACTTTCTCTCCTAAAATCAAGCTGGATAAGTATTGGTCACAGGGGTTTAGGTATGACAAATCCTGCCTCTCTGTCATAGATTATTTGGCACCTCCTCTTCTTCAGCTGCTCTCTATCAGCAGCCATGCCAGTTGACGTACAGCAGAGGGAGAGATGAAACAGCAGGGCCCACACCGTCAAGTGGAAGAGAATAGCAGCCATTTAGCTCCTGCTCTCCCTGAACTCTAGCTATTCAAGCTGATGTTTATGAGAACTATAAAAAATGCAAAACTGCTGCTTGAGTCTCCTTGTTTTCTTCTAACCTCCCCATCCCTTTTTCCTTTTGGAACATGTCTTAAAAATAAAAACAAGACAGGTTTACAATATGCATACAACAGCTTAGTAAATTTTAGGTGCTATAAAACAAGACTGTGATTAGCTGCAGAAAGTCTCAAAGCCCATCTCTTCCAATGTATAAGGCTCATTAACTGAACTTTTAACCGCCTCTTTTACAACATACAGTTAGTTATCTGTGATCGCATTGTACACATATGCACCTTGATCCAGTTAGGTGACTGAGGAAGTACGTGTGCATACCTGTTCTTTTCCCTGATCCAGCACTGAAAGTTGTACATGCAGAGCCATTCCTAAAAAGCTAAAATCCCCAAGCAGTTGTTATGGCAGAGAAGTGTAGGACAGAATCCACCCAAATCCTTCTTCACCTTCTCCACCAAATAATAATGATTGGCAGGGCATTTCTTTTCTTTTCTTTTCCAAGCCTCTGTGCCTGCTAGGTTGAATCAGAGTCTTAACCTCAAATCTTCAGCATGTTTTTATGTCATGTGGTGTTTACTCACAGAAATGAAGATCTGTATGGCTGCATTTCACAGTAATAGGCTGTGATCCAGGAAAATGTATAATGCATGTGGAAACACGTTTTCACACATGGAAGAGCTATTTTCCTCATGCATGTGGTTTGCCCAATGAAAATCAAACAGTTTCCACATTCACAAGCCACTTGTGTTCTAATTGTCTACTTGTTCTCCTTTGTTCCTCATACCCAGTTGTATACAACTTATGCACCCTTATAGAGATATTTAAGTGGTTTATTTTGTGCACGTAGTTTCCTGGGTCATGTGCTATATTTACAGATAATCTAGTACAGTAGTTTGAAAGTTCGGTTCTGAAGGTTTCTCATTTAACTATGTCTTTATTTTTTACTCTTTTTTTGAAGGCATAGCATCTTATTCTATTTATATCAAACTATATCTTTTGTTGGCTTAGGTAATAAATACATTGTAAGTGAACAGTATATATTCAATAAACTCTATGACTCAGAGCATTTATTACTGGCTTTTTGGCTACACCTATTCTTTAGTACAATTTTAAAGGTCATTCAACAATAACTGGATGTAGGTTGCTATGAAATATTCAACAATGGTGCATGGTTGTTCTGTTGTGAAGCATCTGAGTCAGACAATGTAGGCAGGGCTTTCTTCACGATCAGGATTTTCTTTCCCATGTTGCATTGTTGACTGCATCATTCAGGGCTGCCTTGGCATAGCTTTGGCTATGAATTGTGCTGGATGCTCATTTCCCCCTGTAAACTAATTTGCTCCTTCCCTGCTCGAGCTAAATAGAATTTGTCAATCTGAACTTTAAATTCTATAATTCCCTTTCTTGGTAGCTCAGAACAATTGTACTTTTATTAAAATAGATAATATATTTACAGAGTGTGTTGAGCTGATTAAGTTTATGTGATACTTTGCAGGTTGGTGGTGGCCATGCCAGCATTTCCAGCCCAAAGATTATGGTTCTTTTTTTCTTTTTCATGTGCGCATAGCACATGTGGCTACATTCTTCCTTATCTCCATGTGTAGTCTTCTCTATTCTGGGCACTTTGAACAGCAGCTGCTGCTGGAAATGGAAAGGAGAGAGGCAGTCCTTACTTCTTGTGGATCATTCACCTCCTCTAATCCTTCACCCAATCTTCTTCAGATGGGCTTTTTTCTATAAATTAATGTCTGTAGTCTACAATTACTGTGCTACAGTAGAAGGCTGTAATTTAGTGTATCTGCTGGCAGTATTGGTGATTAAGCAAACGAGTAAATGAGGATGGATGCTTCTCTGTACCTCACTGTAAGAAGTGCTGAGTAATAAACAAGTATAAAGAAACTTAGCACTCCATGGTTTGGCCCTTGTCAATACCAATGGAGAATTATACTTTGCTTTCTAGGAATCTCAGCAATTTAAGTGCATTGATTTACTGTAAACGGAATGAAAAATGAGTCTAGAATAAACTTTCTGGTCATGGCATTGTAGATATATTTCGTGTACCTTAAAATAATAGTAGAATATTGGTTATGAATTGAATCATGAATGCAAAAATCTCTGGGAACAATAATAAAAACAAAAGGCTCAGTATCTTTTTTTAAAAAACCATGCCATTTTATATATAATAATCTCTTTCAAATGTTGGCCTTTTCGTATTGGTGCTGTGGCATTCCACAGGGAAGGCAAAACCTTGGCCATAGAAGACTTAAATGTCTGGAGCAGCTCTGAAGTGGATAGACAGATGGTGCTGTTGGAATATATAATCTGCTTTCCCCCCCTCTGGAGACTAAGAATGGCACCTGAATAATGTACTGATAATCTGTCCCTGCTGCATTTGTATTTCACCGATTAGAATTAACTGGGCTTTTAAACTGTATGCACAAGAAGAATGTCATATTTGCTTCATATCCCCTTGGTCTTATAACACATGTTTAGTCTTATAAAATTCATTTTTTTCCTTGAGAGTGAGAGATTAAAAGGCTTTAATTCATGTATAAAATGACATTAACCCCACAGATAACCTCTAAAGATTACATCCAGATGGCAAGTATACATAGCAGAAAAGCACCAGTTTCTCTGTAGCCTTCATAGAGCTGCTGATTCACATGACACTTCTAACATGCCACATGGGGCTCATGATGAGGTTTGACTTTGTTCTGAAGTGGCCATCTGATTGCTTCAGGCACAGCCAAATTGTAGTTTAATTTGCAGTGCTTCTGCTCTTGGGTTTACAGTGATATGGAGAGCCATGCCACAGTCTGGTCACAATGTGTAGTCCTCAAATGAATCCAACATTCACTCCAATTGCAGTAACTCTCTCTTTTACATGTGGCACCATTTCTCTCAGTTTCACATCTAGTTGGATCTCAGTTCAAAGACACTTGCTCGTCACCCAGTAACTTACTGATGGCTTGCATGTATACAATTAGCACCAATGATTAAATACTATAGACAGGACTTTTGTATCACCTCATACAATAATTTTGAATAGAGTCTGTTTTTCCATGAATAAGTCATTGAATGATACACTGAAGTGACAAGATGCTGTGTAGCATATATGTATGTGTGAATCAGTCCTGAGTTAAATGGTAAAGGAAACAGGCCTTACTTACAGATACACAGCCATCATATACTTTTAATTAAAATTTTCAGTGGATCATAAATGCACACGAACACAACAGACTGTATCTGACATTTGACGAAGTCCAAGTATTCTACTTATCTCCAGGAGGAAAGACTCAGAAGTGTTTCTGAGCTCTAATGGTAGACCATTACTTTAAATCGCTTCATGAATCAGGTGGGGAACCTGAGGCCCTCCAAGTGTTGTTGGACTCCAGCTCCCATCAGCCCCAGCCAGTATGGCCAATAGTCAGGAATGTTGGAGGTTGTAGTCCAACTTCCAGAGAGCCACAGGTGCCCCGGCCCTGACAAGCAATTAGGGTAACATGAACGTTTTCAGAAAGAGACAGGCAAATGGTACTTTTGAGGATTTTGTTGATCCTTTTATAATCTAAAACAATGTAAAGTGGATAAAGTGAACTGCTTTCATCTGCAAACCTCATCCAAGGGTGCAGATCACTGTAGTTAGGACACAATTATTTGACAAAAATAGCTTTACATACATGTTTCTGCCAGGGGTTGGACATGATGACCCACAAAGCCTTCTCCTCACTGGTACTATGAGTCAATAGCTATTTAAAAATCTCCACTAATTACACCTGTAATGGCATATATATATTATACATTTGAGTATTTTGACGGGTGGTGGTGGGAAATAACTATTAATCATGATGGCTATAATTCCTTCAGTATCAGAGGCAATAAGTGGGAGAGAGCTATTGCACTTTTGTCCTGTTTGTGGGTTTCCCATAAGCATCTGGTTGGCCCCTGTGAGAACAGGGCACTGGCCTAGAGTAGACTTTGGTCTGATCCAGCAAGATTCTTCAAAGTAGAAACATTGCTTTAGATTTTTGAAATAAAAGAGACCAGTGCCTATTGTACTAATCTTTCTGTGTCTGTTTAAAATTTCATTTTATAAAACTGAGTATGCCTAGGAGCTTTTGCTAATGTTCCAATAATGATATTTCTTCTGTTCCAGGAAAACAGAATGTGAGCTGGGTGCACCTGCCGTTACTTATGCAACATATCGAGGTTCTGCAAGAATTAAGCAATTGCTTAAGAAACAAGCGGAATTGGAGCAAGAAAAACAAACCTCAACCAGCATTAATAGCACTACAGCCAAAAACAAAGAAAACAGGACTGTAAGCCTTCCAGACTCAGAAACTACTACAACAAAGAAAGAATCTTCGTTGAAAACAAACTCGGGACCTAAGACTAACGATGACACAAAGGATTCACAAGCAAACGTATTTTTGGCAGAAATGGATTTGGGGGGAAATTCTCTGGATGTCTTGGGCAATTGTGAGCACAAAGAACTGAAGAACAAAATTACCTCGTTGACAGAAATGGAAACAATCAAAAATTGCATTGAGGAACTGGTTTCTGTGAAACATACAGCAGTTTCCAGCACACCAGAACTTAATAGGAACCTTCTGTTGGAGCCAACACTGTTGCAAAAGAAAGCCAATTTCAGTTGCCAGAATAGAGATGCTGTTAGTATGAGTTCAGAAAATAGCAGATTGCTTGAAAATAGGGAGGAGGTGTTAGGGGAAATACAAATGGAGATTCAGTCAATCAATGCTACCACTGTTGGCTTTCAAAAAGGAATGCAGTTTTGCGCTTTTTCTAACACAGAAACAAAAGAGACAATGCAAGAGGAGTTTTTTTCACACCCCAAAGTAGACTTAGGTGATAATGAGCAACAGTTGCTAGAAAACAAAGGTCCCTGCAATAGTTGGACTGAGGATCAATTCAAACTAAAAGCAGAGAACCAAACATTGCATTTGAATAGTATTATAGGTAGGGGACAGGCAGTTAGCAGGGTAGAAAGTGAAACTGAAGAATCACACCAAAAAGTGACAGAGCAGAACGAGAAAAACATGCAGATCATTTCACCAGATGGACACTTACCTCTCCATGAACAAAAGGTTGGAGAAGAATTGGAGTTGGTGTTGCAGGATACAAATTGCAAAAAAGGTGATATATCAGCAGGAGTCGGTATGCTTGCTTCAGTCCAATCCAAAGAAATGGTTCAAAATGTAGATATATTTGGCAAAAGCGATCTAAAGTGTGAAGAGGCCACTGAGTCCATGGTACTTACAGATGTACAAAACAATCATAACTTCCCCATGATGTCTGAGAATGGAACTAATAATTTTACCATTGATAATTTGTATGTGCCTGTGACACAATTTGACCATGTTAGAATGACAGGTGCTTCTCCTAACGCAACTGAGGTAAACCATGCCAACACATCTTTGTTAGCTGCTGAATATGAAAATGTGGTGTCTCGAGTGGCATCAGCTGCCTTAGAAACAGGTGATTCCAGCACTGAGGAGGCTGTGGGCACTATGGATGGTGCCCCTCTTATCCTTGAGGCTAAAGATGACAACTGCCATATTTCTGAGAGAGTTGAAGATGAAACTCTGATCGAAACATTGACCGGTTTAGATAGTCCTCTTCCTCTCGCTGAAGACAAAACCAAGCCCATCAAATTAGAGAATTCAGAACTTAAAAGCAACACAGGCACTACTACAATGGCCAAACCTATTCCATCACTTCTTAAAACTGCAGAAGTTGTGATATCTGCACAAAAAAATGATCCATTAGTTGATGAAATAAAAAATCAAACTGAAGCAAAAATGGCTTATGAAACTAAAGAGGACATCACAATAGTTCTATCTCCTGCCTCTTCTTCTAAAGAGACATGCTTCCCCGAGATCTCTCCTCCTGTTGTGAAATCAGAAGAAAACAGTTATTTATCATTTCCTTCTTCTCCGTTAAGCATCTTGGTCGGTAACTCTTTCATCTCTGGAGATAGCAAAATCATTTTGGACGCTGTGTCTAAACCTGTCCTTAATTCTGAAGATCACAGTTTGTTGGGGGCTTCTTTGGCTGATAAACAGGATTGCACTAACCAGTCTCTAAGTGATTCTGCTGGGACTATCAATGGTAAAATATGTTGTTCTGCCTCTACATGTGAAAATAACCAAGTTATCTCAAAGTCAGAGGACTGTGGACCTGGGAGCCTTCTTATTGCTGCTGAATCTGGGTGTGCAGGTCAAGATCCTGGTACTTTTTTGGAATCTGAAAGCATTCCTGAAACTAAGCTTACCTTTGACACTGCTGAAATTGCTGATAGTAGAAGTGAGATTTTACTGCGCTCTGAAGAAATGAAGGATATGTCTGCCTCTTGCTTGGTAGACTCTAGATCTAACCTGGCAAAAGAGGATCTTCCTGTTTCTGCATTTGAAAATTTATATACTTTCAAGCCTGTGTCACCCATTACTTGCTTTAAAGATAGCTCAAAGCTTAGTTCTCCTGCCTGTGAAACATCAGATTTTGTTTTAGACAAGAATCATTCTCTTCCTATTGATTCTGAAGAAAAGAAGGGCAAGGTTTCACCTAAATATAAACCAAATAGTCTACACTCTAAATCAGTGTCAGAAGCAGAGTACCCAGTCCCATTCTTGTCCCCAGTTGCCTGTGATGTGGAAGCTACAGAACCTGTAAAGATTGTACTAGGAATGTCTTTCACTACACAGCAGAGAAAAGAGGAGCAAAGAACTTCAGGCCAGCTAAATCTTCATTACCTTGCTGCTGCTGCTGCTGCTGCTGCTGCTAATTCTAATTCGAACACCTTTGAAATGGGTGATCAAGCAATTACAACTTTGTTTACAGAATCAAGCAGTCAGTTTTCCGAGGAAGCACTGAATGATGTTGAAACAGGAAGGCAAGTACAAATTAAATCCCAAGACTTAACTGTTTTGCTCAAAAAGGCTGATGAAATAGTTGATGCAGTTCTGCGTTTAGCCATAGAAGAAATAAGATCAAAGCAAGCAGCTGGCGTCTGCCAGACTAATGACATTAAGGACAATTTATTAGGGCTCAGCCTTCAAAAAGATCAGAAAAATAGAAAAATGCTGTCAGAATCAAAAGAAATGCAGTCAAGGAATTCATCATTAAAGCATTTTAATGAGGGTTGTATCAGAAAGCTTTCTGAAGTTAAAGCAAAAGACACACTTGGCACAAATATTAAAGATGAAAAAATACCATTTGACATTACAGATAAAATTGACCTACATAGTTCAATAGCACTAAAAGCAAAAGAAATAATTGATGATGTTATTAATGCAGCCATACGAAAAGTGACATATAATCAGCATGAGGACCATCTGAGCAATGGCATTCTTCAAAATTCAGCCCTTAAGTCCAACATTGAAGCATCAAAGAAGCTTACTACTGATACTGAATTAACAGCTAAACTTCCCAAAATAACTGAAGAACCTTTAAGTTTAAGTCCAATATATGGAACTTCAGTATGCAATATAATCAATGAAGGTAAAGTAGCAAACTCCTCAGCATCTTTGTATATTTATATTAAAGATGACCACAAAGAAATAACAGGTGGAGAACAGAAAAATGAAAATGACTGGTCTGATCCTACATCTACACTAGAATGCAGCCCTCCTATAGTCAATGGCAAAAACAGTAAACATGTCAATTGTACTATGGGCATGACAGATGCCAGTGAGGAAACAAAGTGGACAATTGATGATGAATCTGAATATTCCTCATATTCAATAAATGAAGAAACTGTAATGGATAAAGTGCATTTGCCACCATTTGGACCTTTAGATTCACTTGGAAATAATCTAGGGAAGAATCTGCCTGAATATGTTTTTAAAGAGGGTGACTCTGCAGAAGTTGTAAGAGAGGAACCAAGTGAAAAATATTATGAAATAGAAAGTGAAAAGGTCTGTGGTAAAATGACGAAAGCTTACCCAGTGCCACAGAATGCTTATAAATTTGGCACCCAGTTCAATATGTCTGAACGATCTGTAATGAACAGCTCAGCAAAGATGGGCTTGAACTCAGATTTTTTCTTTAAGGAAGAAGCCGTCGTTGAGACAGGTTTAACAGCGCTCAAGGAATATTATCTGGATGTTGATGATGATTGTGGAAATGGAGAGAAATCCCCCAAGTTATTTGCTTCTTCTCCACCAGAAGAGTTGGACAGCAGTTCTTTCACCATATTGTATGAAGGTGCTCTTCAAGATGAAAGCTATTTCTTTTCAACAGAAGAACCAGATCACCCCTTATCATCCCCTCCTGACCATTCCCTGGATAATAATCAACATTATCTTATGTGTGAAACTGTAAAAGGCAAACTTGAGTCTGTCCACCCTTGTGAACAGAGCAACCAATTAAACAATCTTTCTTCAGAAGCATTTGTGACAGTGGAAGCAAAGCGATTCAGTGTTTACCCTTTCTCTTTGTCTCCTATATATGAAGATGACTGTTCTCAAGAGGACTTGCTGTCCGCTGATGTCTCACCAGAAGGTAATCCCATTGAAAGAGCCAACCAATCCTTATCAGTCTTATCACTTCTTCGGTCAGTGTCTGAACGGTTAAGATCTAGCAGCCAGTGTAATGAAGAAGAGGAAGAGAATATTTGTGAAGAAAACAAACTAGAGGATGAAAAAGAAGCCTATCTTTCCAGTCAGGGGCCAAACAGCTTGTGCACAGCAGTCCCAGAAAACAGTCATGAGAGGAGATACTCACGTTTTCTTTCTAAGGAGGCACTTAATGCAGAAGAGACCTTATCTTTAAGTTCAATGCCTTCAGCTCAGCTTTTACAAAAATCTGATCGTGACATAAGTTCTTCTTCAAAGAGTATATACTATGAAAGTCTGCAGAGTTCAAGAACTTATTCTAGCGAGAAGGGAACTCGATTTAGGAGTGTTTTGGTGCCAAAGGACCAGCAGCCTGAAAGAAGTGGCTTGCAAAAACCAGCAGCTTTTCAAGTGGTAAGGTGCTTTTCATTAATTTTATATGTGTAACGAAACTATTAAATGAGCATAGTGGGGTGGGGTTGTAGGTGTACATACACACATACATTTAGAGTATCCTATTACATGTATTTGTATGAGCGTGTTCATGTTTTAATTGTGCCAGATATTTCAGTTTTGGTTTTGTTACTAACACAGTTATTGTTGAGGTTATGTTCACGTAATAATTAAGCCGAGGCAATAGGCATAAACACCAATCTTTGGGATAAACACATTGTGGAGAGAGAGGATTTCTTATATTCATGGGCTATTGTCTGGGGGCAGTTTACAGACATAGTGTGGAAAACTACATTCTTTCAGTTCACCCAGTGTAGAGGGGAATCACAGTACACTAGCCAGGTGAAAAGAAAGATGATGAATTTCACTTAGCAGAAATGCGAAGTAGAACACTCATCTCTTTCTTGCCTGTTCTTCCCCAGCAAGGTGAGGTAGGGTGAGGGAAGGAAACTTCATGCATGAATCTTAAAATAAGGGTAAGAATATATTGGCACATATGTTTATGTTTCCATGTGTGCTGCACCAAAGACTATGAGGACCCCTCATCTTCTATTGAATAATATGAGGAAAGTGTTTTGTATTAACATAAAGAGCCACACAGGTCAGGAATCATAGACTTACTAATGTTTAATCAACATTAGCTCCAGACACTTTTATGACCATTTTTAATGATGTCTCAAAAGTTCATTCTTTCTTAGGGCATCACCCATGTTTGTGCTGAAAGCTTTACGATCAGGTTTTTATTTGATATACCAATCTTGTATTTTCAAACACTTGTAATAAGTTTCCACTCAAGCTTGTCAGTACTGATTTTCACCACTAATGAAAAATATTACTATTTAATTTAACAGAAAATGCACAGACAGTTGCTCCACATCCACCTACTGGATACTTGATGACCCTTGTAACATATGGGTATCCAGTGCAGATGTTTTAGCAGAGTGTTCGCACGACATTGATTATTTGCCCTCTTCAGCAGTGTGTCTGCTGCATTGTGCAGTAGCTGTAGCATCTGGACCAGAGCGCATTGCAGTATCAAGGCTATCAGTGATTACAGTGGCTGGGCTATTCTGTATTCCAGATACAGGCATAGCTGGCATACCGTATAAACCTGGTAAAAGGCACTCTAATCTTCAGAGGACACTTTTGCCTCTAAGGACCAAGATGTACCCTAAGCTATGTACCTGCTCCTTCAGAGGGAGTGCAACCCCATATGGAACAGGCAGTTGGCGTATCTTACAAACACAGGAGCCACCTACCCCCAGAGGCTTTACCTTCCCAGGAGTCAAACTCATCCAGTCTAATCTTGCATTCTTCCGCTGGCTAGCACAGCCACACACCTGATTCAGATGCTGTGGAGAAATAGATCTGTGTGTCATCCATAGATGTAACCCCAGAGAGCAAGTCCAAGGGGGCCAAGGAACATGTTCTTAAATCTACTCTCTGGTGTCGATTGCACAGTTATGAATAGAACCAATGTAACATAGGGCCTCTGATACCTATTCAGGAGGATACAATGGTCAATACAGTGGTACCTCTGGTTACGAACTTAATTTGTTCCGGAGGTCTGTTCTTAAGCTGAAACCATTCTTATCCTGAGGCGTGCTTTTGCTAATGGCGCCTCCCGCTCACATCCTGGGGCAAAGTTCGCAACCAGGAGCAACTACTTCCAGGTTAGCGGAGCTCGTAACCCAAAGCTTGCATAACCAGAAGCGTTCGTAACCAGAGGTACCACTGTAGTATCAAAAGCCACTGAGAGTAAGAGCAACAGGGTCACACTCCCCCTGACCCTCTCTCAATAAACCTAATCCTTGAGTCAGCCAAGGGCAATTAACTTCTAAAACCAGGCCTGAGCCCAATTGACGTGGATCCAGATAATCTGTGTCATCTAGGACCACTTGCAGTTGCTCTGCCACTGTCCTCTGCACTACCTAACCCTGAAAAAGGGGTATTTGTAACTGGTCAGTAGTTATTACACACCATTCAAGTCCCACAGCATTTGGAAGCCATGAGGATAGCTATCCCTACCTTAAAGTCATACTGCTTAAAAATATCTATTGTTGGTTCATTATAGCACTTAAATAATTATTTCCTCGTTTCACTTTCAGTGTCTTGTTGGCAGGGAAGGACTCAAATGCAATCAAAGACCAGGGAAAGTGAGTATGACCTTTTCATCGTATAAGCAAGTATGAGATATTGACTGTTTTGCCATGTACATTTGAGTGAAGCAATGGAAAGTAGATAGATAGATTAGGTAGGTAGACAGATTCTGCATTTTCCTTGGATGTAATTAAGATGATTGGCTGCTAGATTCTACTTTTTCCTTGAATGTAGTTGTTGGCTGGAGCAAACAACTAATAAAAACTTTGATTAGTTAATTTAATATGAAAAGTATAATCCAACTTTCACTGATTTTGCTCCATTTAAACCAGTGATAATATACTAATGTAAATGATTTGTGGATGACCCGTTTGATTTTTTAATTGGGTGAAGACTGCAGTCCTATATACTTTGAAGCAAGTCCCATGAAGTAAACATGACAAAGACCTTAAAGCCTTTATAAAACTAAACACAACAAGCAGAATATTTGTTATATATGGGAAACTGAATTTGCTAGTGTTTCCTTAACACCATCGCATGTCATTTCAGATGGTTATTTGTGATGTTCACGGCAACACAATTGAAATTTACCATGATGTGGTAGATGCTACAGCCTGGGTGTTTTCAAAAGAAGCACTGATCAGAGTTGTCAGAGGATGGTAAGGAACATGCACTTTATGGGTGAAGTGGCTGTTATTTATGTACCTGATTTTAGTGAAGATAAATAAGTGTGCAAAAGTTAACATATATTGTAGTTAATTGTCATCCTATAATGAAATTAATATTTTAATGAACACTTGCTGTTTTTCCATTGTTTGAATAAGTACAGTTTTGTGGATTTGATAGAGAAATAAATAAAAATACAAATTTATCAGTTAAGGCGGGGATAGCCAACCTGTGGCCCTCCATATATTGTTGATTTCCAGCTCCCACACACCAGCCACATGCCCATAGCCAGGGATAATGGGAGTTACAGTCCAGCAATATTTGGAGGGCCGCAAGTTTCCCTAATTTAAGGGAATGTTCAGTTTTGAATGCTCGGTTTTTGAAAAATGTTAATCTGAAATTTAAAAATATGTCTTATCTGAACTGTATAAAATACTGTTACATTTCTATTGCAAAGAAGATAAAGTAAACAAGTGTATGCTAAGTTATAGAACATCATATTTGAGGCATGTGAATATATTTGGGAATTTTGGGAAAAAAATTGTGGGTTCATGTGCAGGAAAATGGTTTAGGGTACAGTGGTCGCTCGGGTTGCGAACGTGATCTGTGTGGGAGGCACGTTCGCAACCCGCAGTGCCGAGACTGCACATGCGCGGGTCGCAATTTGGTGCTCATGCGCAAAGTGCGATTTAGTGCTTCTGCACATGTGCCAAAACCTGGAAGTAACCCGTTCCGGTACTTCCAGGTTCGGCGTGGTACGCAACCCAAAAACGCACAACCTGAAGCGTCTGTAACCCGAGGTATGACTGTATCCAGGTACACCTTTGAAACATAATAAAAGAAATAGTATACTGAATAACAAGTGGTGGAAGCGTCATAAAGAAATGTGTATTTATTTCCATTTTTGATGATTTTGTAAGTTTACTAAGCAATAGAAATGATTACTTGTAAGACACCCATATTGGTTCTTCTATTTTATTTTATTTTTACTTTTACTAAAAAATGTTTGTCTGGCTCCACCCACTGCAGGGATGTGGGCTCTGAAAGCTTTCCACTGAAGTAATGTGGCCCACAGTCTGAAAAAAGTTCCCAACCCATCTTACATGATTATAGCTACAAGACTATATCTTCCTAAGCTTTGGAAAACAGTATCTGTTCTTCATATTGCTGAATATGAAGCTGAATTGTATTGATACACATAATGATGAAATTAACCAAGTACATTAGACTAAAAAATCAACAACACAAACAACATTTTTATTGGCTTATGCCAAAGTAAGGCATATTTTCCAAAGTTATAAATCATATAAATATTCTTTAAAAGGTATAAACTATAAAAGAAGGGCCATAGCTCAGTGATAGAGTACATGCTTTGCATGCAAGAAGTTCCAGATTAAATCCTAGGAATACCCTGTCTGTAACCCTGGGTTGCTGCTGCCAATAAACAATACTCTGTGAATAATAATACTTAGTAAATAATATTGAATTAGAAAGACAAGTGGTCCAATTCAATATTAGGCAACTTCCTGTGTTCTTTCCATTTGAAAAACTGAATTTGTGATACTGAATGTGTTATTTTATACTAACAATGAAATTGAAATTAAAAAGAAAGACATACTTGCATGATTCCTTTACATAGCATCATTGCATTGAGAGTTGTTAGTGGAGTTGTTAAAAAATGGAGCATTAAATGCTTCCCCAAATTATCACTTTGTTAAACAGTAGTTGTTTGGGGACTGGGGAGGATCCACATCTTCCCCTAAAGTAGTGTTTGTTTGGTAAAGAAAGCTCCTGGAAAAAATGTGACTTGGAGTGCTACATGAAACTCATGAGCATTATGGAAACATCTCGGATATTTCCTGTGGCATCAGTAGTGACAAGCAATCCCACTCCAGGGCCGTGCACCATTTGGAAACTTTTAATGTTGAATGTTTCCCCTGCATTTTATCAGACTTTGGAGACTGTGTCTATTTATAGATGTCCACCCCTCATGATGACAAGCACTTTGCTAATGTATATTACTTGCAAACCATGTTAGAAATAGTTTGTACCATCTCCAGAAGGATTTCTAATTGCACAAATTTCAGATGACAATTTATAAAGCTCAGTTTATAAAGTAGCCTCCGAGTCAGTAGTGGTTGGCAGGACTTTGCTCACCTACCTCCCCAACAGAGTGTTGCTGCTGGATCCTGAGAGGGGGAGAGGGGAGTCACAGGGATGCAATGCAAGGTTCCTGCCAGTGCATCTACACCGCACAGAGCTTCCCCTGTCTCACCCTTCCCCCTCTCAGGAACTGGCAGACACACTCAGCGTTGGGAAGGCGGGTGAGCCACCCTGCTCTGCCTGTGCCACCCTGCTGACCACTGTTGCTCTATGTGTGTATGTGTTTCAGCATACAGTCATACCTTGGTTTTTGAACAGCTTAGTTATTGAATGTTTTGGCTCCCGAACGCCACAAACCCAGAAATGACTGCTTGCGAACTATTTTTGGAAATCGAATGTCTGGCAGGGCTTCTGCGGCTTCTGATTGGATGCAGCCAATCAGAAGCCACGCTTTGGTTTCCAAACATTTTGGAAGTCGAACGGACTTCCGGAACGGATTCTGTTCAACTTCCAAAATACAACTGTATATGGTAAAGAAATAATACAATTTGTAATAGAATTAACCATGCTTCTTACTAGTATTGGTGCTATGTTAGCTACCTCTTGGTAGCATGTTTACAATGTTGTGCTTATTTTTTAATATAGCTGGATTATGTATGAGAAACCAGGATTCCTGGGTGAGAAATATGTTCTAGAAGAAGGAGAGGAGATGCTGCATGATCTATTGAATCCTCACAATGAGAAACATCAAAAGAACTTCAGAGTTGGTTCAATCAGACAAGTAGTGAAGGTGAGTACTCACTGTGAGAAACAGATTCTACTGGCAATGACAGTAGAGTCCATTTTACTCCTCTCTGCTCCCGTCCACCACCAACTGTTAATTCCTTTATTTTGGTTTAGGTCACATCCACACCATGCGCTTAAAGTCATGTCTTTCCACCAAAGAATACTGGGGTTTGTTTTAAAGAGGGTGAGAGTTGTTAGGAGACTCCCCACAGTGCAACAGGTCCCAGCACCCTTAACAAAAGTACATTTCCCAGAATTCTTTGGGGGAAGCCATGACTGTTAACATGTTCTAAATGTATGGTGCAGATGGCATACCTTTTAGAGAAGACTCAGAACTTCAGATACCTTTCTCAATCTTTCTTAATGCTGCACCTCAGACTTCCCTTTCCATATTGCCCATGTTAGGCATCTGCAAATGCAGTCGCTTTTTTGAAAGTTGGTATTTTATAGTGTTTATTCTCATCACAGTCATATCCAACAGCTCTTTAAAAAATAACCTGGATATAGCTCAGGGCACTGAAGCAACAATGGTGCCCCACCATTGTCAGTACTCCTCTCTGCTGTGTACCATTCTTAACCTCCTGTTTGAAGCATGAAACATGGAACCATGTTTTATGGGATGTAAATAAATACAGTCAAGGAATGCACAGCTCATACAGTCATGTTTGTTTTTGTTATCTGATGTGTTCTGCAGGATTGCAGTGTTCCTGAGATTGAGCTTTACCCACAAGATAGCACAGATCATGTTCCTGTCTGCATCCAGAGTGCAGTTGCTAATTTAGAAGAACTGGAAGTCAAACCACATACCCTTTTTGTGAAAGCAGGAGTGTGAGTGCAGGTTCCATTATATATCCATCAGTTTGTGAACCTATAAAAACATGTAAAATGTCAGCAATCAACAGTTGCTGGCTGTTTCTAAGGTGAAACGAAGAAACAAAAAAATGGGGTGTTTCAGAAAGCAGCAGTAATTTCCAATTTATAGCAAAGGTTATTATTTTGCTTATACTCTCTAGGGGGAAAAAACCCTCATAAGTTTAGATTACATTTTAATTTAACAGGGGCTTGCACCCAAACAGGCATTGTCCTGTTTTTAAAATAACTGCTTTTCTAAAGACAATTTCTGTTGCCATCAGTGTAAAATAAACAGATTTGGCTAAAATTAATTCTGTTTGCTAAAATTTCCCTGTATTCAGTACAACTATGGCTGCACCAAATCTTCATATAGCATACAATGTGCCACAACAGTCAACTAAGCACTCTGAAATGTTCTTCCCATCATTTTTTTGCATTTGTTTTTTTAAACCTAGTCATTGCCCCTCTTGATAGCTGCTGCTGCATCATTTTTCATTTAAAATGAACATTTTCTGGCAAGGATCACTTTTACAGCACATATCCAATTGGATATTATTTTACAAAGTCAGTTCAGAATGAAGGCAATGGATTTGGGGAAGGAGGAAGTGCTGCAGAAACGTTTGGTCCTGTTTGCGGCCTGCCTCCAAATCACTGAGAGAGGACATATTTGCAAGTCACCTCCACTTTCAGCTCAGCCTTAAATACAACTGTCATGTTGTCTAAAGCCATTGCTTTCATTATTATTTTTATTCTGCTATTTTGTAAATGCTATTGCTTTATTATTGTTACCCTTAAAAGAAGAAGAAATAAAATCTGCCTTGGAATCTTTAGAAGGGGACAACTGGCCTTTGGATCCCGTCAAAATTCCCAGCTCTCTTTTTCAGCTATTTGAATTTCTGTGTTAAAACTTCAAGCCGTAAAGTAGCCTAACTATACACAGAATCATGGTTACCTCGGTTTTCGAACGTAATCTGTTCCGGAAGACCATTCGAGTTCTGAAATATTAGAAAACTGAAAACTCAAAACGGAAGCCTCAAAACAGAAATCTAAATACAGAAGCCGCATTTCCTGTTTGACTTCCAAGGCACATTCGAAAACTGAAGCATTTCTTACCAGGTTTTTGGCGTTCAAGTTCTGAAATGTTTGTCAGTGGAGACGTTCAGAAACCGAGGTACCACTGTATATTTCTAAATGGTCAACTATTTACAGCAGTTATGCTGTTGAGTGGATGGAGAGGAGAGGAGAGGAGACAATTAAAAGGCAATATGGTAGCCTTCTTAAAATATATGAAGGGCTATCACATAAATGATGTAGGAGCTTTGTTTTCTGTTGCTGCAGAAGATCGGACCTGAAGCAATGGGTTCAACTAGTAAGAAAAATCATTCATACTAAGCAATTAGGATGGGAAATCCTGATGGTATGAGCAGTTTGACCATGGAACAGACTGTTCCAGGAAGAGGTTTTTAAGCAGAGGCTGGATGGGAACCTTTATGGGATTCTGTACTAGTGAGCTTCCTGCACTGAAAGGGAGTTAGACTGGATGGCATTTAGAGTCCCTTCCAGCTCTCTCATTATGTAATTATTTTCTGATGCTAGTAGTCAAAATAGGGCATTGGGCATTATCCAGTGTGTTCAGGGGCAATACACCTCCTGAATTAAGTAACAGGATGAGTGTTGTTTTCCTTCGTGCTTTTCTTATGGGCTTCCCAGAGGCATCTGACTAGCCATTGCTGGAGACAGAATGCTGGGCTAGATAATTCTGCTGGATCAGATGAAAGGTTCATTTTTATTAATTAAATTGCACATGAATCAGCACTGTTGATTACTTTAATTGGGTTAATCAGCCACTTTCTCCTCACTCTAATAGATGGCTTGCCTATTCAGACATTAATTACAAAGGAGAGGTGATGGTTTTGGAAGAAAACCACAGCCCATGTGAAATTTCAGCAGCTGATGTAAAATCTCTTCATCCGTTGAAAATGGTGAGGCAGTAGTAGTTTTTCAACCGATTATACACCAATCCATCCACTTCTGCAACAATCGTGCATCTAAATCAGAATCTATTTTCATGTCTGAGCACCCACATTGACTGAGATCACCCAGGGCACAGATCTGATTCAGTACACCATCTTCTGAGTCTTGAAACAAGCAAAGAATTAGCCTTTTGGTTAATAATTTCTCTAGATTAGACTTGACATAAGGCATTCTGTTTGCCTGGTGCTCCTAAAATGATCAGAACTAGATTAGAATAGACTTATAAAGTATTTATTCAGATTAACCATTTTAAAAGAAAATAAGATTCTAGTACCTAGTAGTTACTGCAAAAATCTGCACTATAAAGGATCATAATAGCCTATGTTTGCCTTGATTGGATGTGATGATAGGTGGAGTGGGATATAATCTGTTCTTAACATTACCACGAAGTTTCCAAAAATGAAATTGCTGTTGTGTGAATGAAATTAGATACGTATAAAGTTGGTTTTGGATTCATAGAAATCTAACTCTTTATATGCCCTATGAAAATTTTTGCCACTGTCAGCAGCCATCTCCCCTCAAAACCTGCCAAAGATAGGAGTCCCTTTTGGAGGAAGTAAAGATGTTCAGGCCATGTGAATACTGTCTTTCTTCATATCCGCACGTTGAAGAATTCCTAATTCTTCTGGAACAATCAAGCACTCATAAATGTGTTTCATATTCTGGAATCAATATTTAGTGCCCTTTTAAAAGGCATGTTGATGATATCAACAGTGAGAGGAATAAAAAAATGTTTTATCCACTCTGAGCATGGAGCTCTAATTAATATTTTTTTTATTTGTTTGTTTATATAAAGGGATTATAGACCATCCTTCAGCAAATTTTGAGGGCGGTTTGCAATAGCACTTATTCATATTTGCATAGAACTAATGGAACTGAAAAATGCATTTGGATTTTACATACCTGATTGTTTGTTATTTTGTTTTACACTATAGGGTGGCCTGAAGGTTCAGATGCCTACGAACATTAAGGTAAGTATGGATTCTGGCAACAGTAAACTAATCTGTTTTTAAAGGCCTTCAAGATCATAGAATCCTAGAACTTAAGGGATGTCACTTATGCCTAACTTTGCTATTCCCTTCTTAAAACTATGGGATTGAGTCTAAAGGTGCCCTCCCACAAATGGGAGAGCTTTTTCCATTCACAGATGTGACAGTGAGCTAGCGGAGGCTCCCAGTTGAGAGAGGTTCAGGGAGATGATTTTTGCCATTTTCTTCCTTTCCCTCTGCAGTTCCTGCACCATCTCCCACCCGATTCTAGAGGGGCCCAAAATTTCATAAAGCACAGGAAGCAACCAAGGGAAGGGGGGAAATGGCAAAAAGGGTATTCCTCCAGTATGCACAAAATTCTGTTCTTGGGAACTCTGGATGAAAGCCATAGAGTTGGAACAGATCACTAATCATTCAGTTTGATCCCTGGCCCAGCTATTCATACACAAGTTAAACTCAGATTAATTCATGCCGCTTCAGATCATTGTGTTCCATAACGGAACACATACAGAGCAGATGTACCACAATTAAGGTACCTGGGGTGAAAAAAGCATAAAATGATTGAAACTGGATAAGTAAGGATAATTTCATAGACTATACAGAACATAGACCTGGATATCAGAAATGTATTTTTAAAGGATCGACTATTTCACATTCTGCAGATGATAATATATGAGACCCCATACTTTGGAGGATGGCATAAAGAGCTTTCTGAAAATATTGATTGTTTTCCAAACCTTTTTGAAAATGCTGACGATTTCCAGGGAATTGGATCAATACGTGTAATTGGTGGAATGTAAGTACAATTTTGATCCTTTTTAAAATTTTCTTGCAAAGGTTCTCTGTGGCCTACCTGAGGCTCCAAAGTCCCTCATCTGATCTGTTATTCTGCGAGCATAGGAAATCCGAACTCACCTAATTAACCCTAATTTCCTGCTTGGCAGGGGGTTGGACTCGATGCCCCTTGTGGTCTCTTCCAACTCTATGATTCTATGATTCTAACCCTGTGCCCTGAAACTCATCACAGTAAACATTAACAAATTCACTTTCCATTGAAATTGATGTCACCACCCATTTCTATTTACTTTGTCATGTGTGTCATTTTATTTAGAACATTTGGTGAACTATCTTTTAAAAAATTACAATCCAGAGATGTTTACAACCATGTTTACATTAAAACTGTTTAACTTTATAAATAAGAATATGATTAAAACAGTGGATAATAAACCATTTGGTACCTCAACATAACAAGAGAAAATGCCTGGGTAAATAAAAAATGTAGACAACCTCACTGGAGAGAGTGTTCCAGAGATGGATTACCACAGCCAAAAAAGCTCTTTCCACAATTATCATCTAACTCACTTCAGCTCAGAAAGCAGGGGAACCTCAAGAAGCACCTCTGAGGGGATTTTAGTGGCAGGCCTTTAGGTCCTCAAGGACCAAGTAATATAGTGCTTATAGGTAAGTACCAGCACTTTCAAATTGTGATTGGAAATGGATCAGTAGCCCCTGACCTGTCCACTGGCAAACATTGAATCCCACCCTGGGTATTAGAAGTACAACATATGCCATTCATGAATGAATGGGGACAATAAATCTGGCATGTGCTATTTATATACAAAGTAGTAAGTATGGAATGGTAAAGTAAATATGAAAAAAATGCATCGAAAGGTTGGTATAAATTAATTGAATATTAGAATGTAAAACTTAGTATAAAATATAAGGAAAGTTGTTTTAGAAGTAACATAAGCAGAAATTGATGGATGAAAACTGACATATTTCTTGTTATAATTATGATTTTCCTTTTCTTTTCACCTGGATACCCTCTGATATTCTTTAAACAGGAGCTTTTTGTTACATTATGCATTAATACATAGATCATTTTGCATACCAATGTTATTTCTCAGAATTTATTTTTTTTAAAGAAAAAGCTGAAGCCACTATATCTGTTAGAACATGGTATTTTGTATGTATGGATATCAAAGTTGAATACTTAATGATTGTTGATATATTTGTAGCTCATTTATAACTGCTATACCGGTTTTTTCCTTGTGTGTTTTGCAGATGGGTTGCCTATGAGAAGGAACGTTATAAAGGCCGGCAATACTTGTTAGAGGAAGGAGAATTTGAAGACTGGAGATCCTGGGGTGGAGTGAGCAGTGTCTTGCTGTCTTTCAGATTTTTGCAAGCTGTAAGTACTTCTTCTGGTCCTCAAGACTATTTCCTTCTTCAACTCACCCCCACTCACTCCCTTTCATTGGCATTGTAGGTGAAGGCATACAGATGAATACATACAAATACATTATTTTTATAATTGAATGGGCTTTTGTGCTTGGGAGGGTTGGTTGTGATAATTATAGTTATTTAAGTGATAATTATTTATTCTAGAGCAAATCTTCCACACCCCTTGTAGAAAATCTGTTTCCATTTAACAGTTCTGCAAGTATCTTAACTATAGATTTTTCTGAGACCCAACGGTCACTAAAATGATTTGGGGTGTAATTGTATTATTATATCTACTCCTCCAACATGAGAGAAAGCTCTAATGTAAGAGGGTTGTTTGTGTTGTTTGTGTTCTACATAACTCTTTTGGAAACAGTTTGACATACCAATTATTCTTGCAAAGCATGAAAATAGACAAGTTCCTAGGCTGAACCTGACTCAGATGTTTGAGTTAAGCACCTGTGTGGCAGGGTTGTTGATAACAGTTCTTTTTCTGTAATGTTAAATGTGGCTGCAATCCCATCATCACTCATTTGGACCTAGATCCGTAACATCTAGTGTACAAGTAGCTCTGGAATGGTGCCATAATTTTTCTTTTCTTTTCTAACCACAGTCTTGAAATTGTGACTGCTGAATTCAAGCAAAGGGAGAGGAGCCCCATGAATAATAAAGTTCATTGGTCTCTAGCAGGGGCAAAATTGTTGTAGATATTCAAGCACTCATCTTTCACATACTGTATAACTGATTTCATTTAAGAACAAGGCAAACTTGCAATCGGCTGCAGAACTTTTACATAAAGACTGTGCCAAAGAATGTTAGCGATGTCAAAGAAAAACCAAACACACAAGTTGTATGTTAAGAAACAGCACTGTTAACATTTCATTGCTCAGGAACAATAATTGCATTTACTACTATTTACTCTGATTAAGGAAATACATGCTAGCTTTGGATAGGGCCATTGTGATGATGAACAGAAAGATATGGAGGTGGAACTTGTTCAAGGAAATTCCGCAGGTCAAGAGTTGTGTGGCAACTGTCCAGATAACCTGATGAAAGATTCTTCTTTCTTTCAAAACAAAGTCAGCTCTAAATGTATATGTAATATCTGAAGAATACTGCTGGTTCATTATTAAATAACAGCTTTATGTTGTTTAAAGAAGGGGGAAAGAGGATATTGTATCTAATGCTCCCTAATTTTCGGTTTGGAATTCCAGGACTTCATGGAGTCTGCAATAACGCTTTTTGAAACGGATGAGGAAAATGGCAAGTTGTTGGACATTGCCAATCAAGAAGTTCCTGATTTGGAAATGGCTGGATTTGGCTCACTCACAAGATCAGTTAATGTGAAGAGTGGAGCGTAAGTTCTGTTTCAAATCTTGGTGCAGTAAGAAATAATTACCGTATTTTTCGCTCTATAAGATGCATCCGACCATAAGACGCACCTAGTTTTAGAGGAGGTGAACAAGAAAAAAAATATTCTCTCCCTCTCTGCATAGCGCCCCTTTGCGAAGCAGCAGGAGAAATGGATCCCCTTCTGTTTCTCCTCCCGCTTCGCTGAAGGGGCACTGCGCAGAGTGGGAAAGCTGCGCAGCGCCTCTCCAGTGAAGCGAAGCCAGGAGAGCAAGAGGGATTGGTGCGCACCGATCCCTCTTGCTCTCCTGGCTTCAGCGAAAGCAACGTGAAGCCTCTGGAGCACAGCGTTGCTTTTGCTGAAGCCATGGAGCCTGCATTCGCTCCATAAGACGCACACACATTTCCCCTTACTTTTTAGGAGGGGAAAAGTACGTCTTATAGAGCAAAAAATACGGTAACTTGCTTGCATTCCAAATCTTTCTTTTTTTCTCTTCATTTAGTTATCATGCTCTGCTTAACCTATAAAGTTACCTATAAGTGATATCAATGGCTACTTGCCACAATGTCTATGTTTTGCCTCCACTGTATGCAAGTTACTGGGAGAATGTGGCTATGCTCAGGTCCTGCTTTCACGCTTCCCTTATCTGACTGGCCACTGTGAAAACAGGATGCTGAACTACATGGGCTGCTGGCCTGATCCAACAGCCTCTTCTTCTTGTGATATATGACTGCAAATAGAAAGAACTTTTTGGCTTCACCCATAATTAAAATTGGCTAATAGAAATATGTCTTTTCCTTTGGCTTTATAGGCTAACTGGGAAAAGCTGTCTAGTGTCAGATAACATTGAACCACAACACATAAATTTTAAATGTTTGCTTTAAATTCATATTTGATGAACAAATGAAGAACGGACAATTCTTTTACAGCAGTATATGAATTACTAGTATATCTGAGTAGCTGTCTCATGAATTTGAACCTCAGAAATTCTCGTTTGTCACATCTAGATGGGTTGCCTATCAGCAGAAGCATTTCTGTGGAGAACAATATATACTGGAGAAAGGAAAATATAAAAGCTTTTTTGACTGGGGAGGTTCTAGTGAAACTATTATGTCAATTCGTCCAATTAAGTTGGTGAGTTATCACATTTGGTGGGAAACGGTGTATCATTCGCTAAAAATACTTTATTGTAATAATCCATAAACCAATGAGACAAATATTTTAAAGCTCTCGTATAACAATGTAATAGTGAATTCCATCTACCACACACAGAACTCACACTTCCTGTGGTTTTGAAATTTATTTACAATTTTCCTATCATACTTTGATTTTTGTTGTAGTTGCAGGTCGTTCTGAGGTGGAATCAAATTTAAGTAGTGTCAAGATGTGCTATCATGAGGATATTTTTAAGAGAAGAATAAATAGTTTGTTTGGGCCATAGGTCTTAATAAAATTTATGTTTCCTTCCCCCCAAAAGTGTGCAGTCAATCCATAAGTTGTGTTTCGGGGGGGGGATTCAGTGTGCATACTCTGCAGCAAGGGCATATAAAGCCAACCTTGTGGTAAAATCTTCTGCTACTGACTTATAGAAAATCCGTATTTTATTGGTCACACACAGACACAGAGTTTGAATAAGAAGCTTTCCCAAGTACCTGCAGTTTATCTCCTTACAGAGGAGGAAATCAGAACAGAATATGCCATGTACATATTAAGCGTATCTATGAATCTCATTTCATTTTTGCTAAGTATGCAAGTAGAAAATGAAGTTGAGCCTCCATGATGAATCAACAGTTTCTCAATAATATACTCATATACTCAATGATATACTCATATTTCTATTTTATATATTTATGCTTTTTGTAGGAGCCACTAGGAAATCATGAACCCAAACACTGGGTAAGTTCTTGTGAAATCACAATTATTAGCACCATTAATTTTGTGGGATATTGGGGTTAGATCAAGATTTACCCTTTTGTGAATGGAATGCCCTCTGGGGGAAGCATGTGTGGCTCTGGAGCCCCCCAGCACCACCTCCTGTGTATTCTGGGATAGTTCCCCTCCCACTGAGAGCAGCTTTTCAGTAGTTAAGCTAAATAGACTGTTTCAAAGGACGGAAACTCATATTTAAATATTACACACACACACACACATATATTAGTGAGTTAAAACTAAACATGAATGGTAATACCTAATATAAAACTAATCCTGGGTTTATTTTTGCAAGCAATTTCCTCTTTCTTCTTTTTACTGGAGAGAATTCAACTATTGTCCACTATTTTTTAAATCCCTGGGAAAGCATAACCAGCTGGTTGATTTTCCAGTTTCTCTTGCTCTTTTGACCCTAAGGGTTGGTGCCAAGATTTTTTTATTATATTTTTTGCATCCTTACCAAGTTAAGCAAGTTACATGCTTACATCCAAAACTGCTGTGTTGTCTTGCTCTCTAGAAGAAGAGTTTGGATTTGATATCCCGCCTTTCACTCCCTTTAAGGAGTCTCAAAGCGGCTAACATTCTCCTTTCCCTTCCTCCCCCACAACAAACACTCTGTGAGGTGAGTGAGGCTGAGAGACTTCAGAGAAGTGTGACTGGCCCAAGGTCACCCAGCAGCTGCATGTGGAGGAGCGGAGACGCGAACCCGGTTCCCCAGATTACGAGTCCACCACTCTCAACCACTACACCACACTGGCTCTCTGGCTCTAGCAAGCTTACATAATGTTTTTCAGTTGTACTAATAAGTCCATTCTCAGTTGACTAGCATTTCCTAGTCTACCCTACTGGAGCACATCCTGTGATGGAAGCCTACCACATTTTGTCAACTTCCAGGCCTAACTGGATGGTGTATACTTTTGCTGCCCATTAGGCAGTGTACTAGAAAACTTCACTTTCTACCAAAATCTTGATTTAGGCTGCTTAACCTTAATTGCATTTAATTGGGAAAAATTATATTGCATACTGCGCAGCTGTATTCCATAAATACAAACATTGCTAATAGTTTTCATACAGGCAACTGTTGTATCAACTACATACTTGTTATCAGCAATCTTAGCAGAAATATCAGATCAGTTACAAATCAGTCATAATGCTATAGGGAAAATAACATGTTTTAAGTACAACTTTTTCTTTTTAAAACTTCAGAATGATAAAACACTGCTACTCTGTGACAACTACTTATCGTAATATATACATTTGTTTTCTAGTTTATGCATTTATGTGTTGAAAACAATTTTTTTTAATAGCTTAAAGCTTTCAGCGGCACACATTTCAAGGGATCGTGTATAGATGTTACAAGAGAAGTTGCTGGTTTTGCATCATTTACACCTTGTTCTTTTAAGGTTCTTCGGGGATGGTGAGTTGAGTTGATCTATTCACAATTTTTAAAGCAGCTTGGAAAACAATTTCAATCTATTTTATTTACACCTTAAAAGTGAGAGAAATTTCAAGGCAGTTTACAAAAAAAATATGATGATAATGATTTAATTATAATATTTGTTTATAAGCTGTCTTGAAAATTATCTCTCTTTTAAGCTGTTAACTTTTCAGTAAGGGCATTATATAGTTGCTAAAGCCTACAGTCAGATTTGTGCCATGCTTAGAAATAGGCCCCTAATTTCATGACTGCTAGTATCAAACTTATGTTGTATGCATTTATTTTCTGTTTATATACCACCAAACTTTTGTGTTTAGTTGTAAGTCCCTAGAATGAAATCAGTGTGTGTTGAAAAAATTGTCTTCTGTTGATATTTTATTTGGAGAAAAACATAATAACCTATTACGACAGCTGACCTTTTCTTGGATTTATCCTTCTAGTTGGTTACTGCATTACCAGGGGGAAACTGCTGAGGATCAGTGTGTGCTGGAAGAAGACCTCTACCCTGACCTTACTTCCTGTGGTTGTCCAGCAGCTGCAGTCAAGTCCCTTAAGCCTCTTGAATATGTAAGATCTGTATTTAAAAGGTCTGTTTTATAGCCAGCCATACTCCAGGGAAGCCTATTAAATTCCCTGTAATTCAAATTCAGGGAAAATAGCATCTTGCAGAGAAAGTGAAGAGTTGGGCTGCATATGCGCACAGATATTAGAGAGAAAAAATTAACTTACTGAATAGTACTTTGTTTGGCGCGGTGGCAAGGGGATACTTTTTTAAGGGCAAAGTCTAGTGCACAGGCAGGCATTGTTTGTGGTGAGTCCTACCAGGCCTCCTGCTGACAATGGTCCTGTCCGTGTTTCATGTCTTTGTCAGAAGAAAGTGGTAATATGGGTAACTGACAGAGGTTTCCCCTCTAATTTTATTTACATGCCAACTGCATGTTCAGGTGGCTCAGTTGTCCTGTGTTTGGAGCAGTAGCAGCAGTGCAGGCAGGAAGCAACCATCTAATGAAATATTTGTTTGGATTTAAACAAATGATCTCCAACCTATAATTTGTGCCAGTGTAATTTCTGTGGGTTAAACCACAGAGCCTAGGAGTTGCTGATCAGAAGGTCAGCAGTTAGAATCCCCGCGACAGGGTGAGCTCCTGTTGCTTGGTCCCTGCTCCTGCCAATCTAGCAGTTCAAAAGCACATCAAAGTGAAAGTAGATAAATAGGTACCGCTCCTGCGGGAAGGTAAACGGCGTTTCCGTGCGCTGCTCTGGTTCGCCAGAAGCGGCTTAGTCATGCTGGCCACATGACCTGGAAGCTGTACGCTGGCTCCCTCGGCCAATAAAGCAAGATGAGCGCCGCAACCCCAGAGTCGGCCACAACTGGACCTAATCGTCAGAGGTCCCTTTACCTTTTTAATTTGTTGAAAGGTTGCCAGGTCCGCCCTCCCCCAACTCCGATTTCTGACAGAAAAGAAGTTCTGCAGCTTACCAAGCAATCCGTAATAGCAAGAACAGGATTAGCATATGATACAGCAATAGCTACACTGGTGTGGTGCTGCAAGATTCTTGTGACTGACACCATAATCCTAATTTATGTCTAATCAGTCAATCCTACTGAATTCAGTGGGGCTTACTCTTCGGTCATTGGGGTTAGGAGTGCAGCCTTGTTTAATGGGAAAAGGATGTGTTAATTGGTGACAAATGCAAAGTGGGTAGCAGCAAATATATACCAGGTTTATTATTTCCCTGCCATAATCACAGGCAATGATATATGTTACCTGACTCAAGCAGTTTCTAAACCTTCAGGTTAGGGTATAACTGAAGTTTTTACAGGTTAAATTGCCCATAGTATGTCTTAATTGCCTCAAGTAGACTAACTTTAGTACCATGTGTATTGCTAATCTTAATAGCTCTTTGTTGCACTAAGAACAAACTGGGAAACTGGTCCCCTTTGTGTTCAGCATTGTACTAGATTAGTTTTACTGTCCCTGAGTGTTTAAAAAAATGTTTTGAAATAGCTTTATAGCTTTCACCAATGAATAGGCTAATTCTTCTCATCTTATCGCCTGCCTATTCATGATTGTCCCTTCTCTGAGAGAGAGAGAGAGAGAGAGAGGAGGACGAGGAGGAGGAGGAGGAGAATGATAACATTTAAAGAATCAGTCTCTCATTTGGTCCATTCCTTCTATGCTTCTGGTGTGCAACTATATTGTCTTTTGGCTGTTTTGCAATGCCATTTGGCCCTTATTAAATTCATACTGTTAGAATCCAGCTAATTTGAAATTCGTTGAAATTTGTTAAAATTTTAAGAGAGACTAGCATTGTTAAACCATTGTGTTGTGTCCTCAAGAGGCTCTGTGGCAAGAAATTATGACCTCTGTACAAGGAGGAACTTCCCCTGGTTTCATTTACAAACAACATGCAGTTTAGCAGTATCATGCACTTGCTGTTCTAGAAAGCTGCTTTTAGTAACAATGTTAGATGTTGATCTGAACACTCAAGAATGCAGTAATGGGCAGACATTATTTACTTCTGTGCACAATTGTTCTGAGCCTGTATTTTATACATTGCTTATTTTTGTGTTGTGCTTGTTTTTAATTGCCGAAATGGCTTCTTCTGCACGTGTCTACTGCAAAAGTACTTCATTTTGGCTGAAGTATTTTAGGCAGTTAGGTATCATCAGATGTAACTGGAATGTAGTTTACATTTTTATGGCATTGCTGACTTAGAAGACATTTTAAAAGTACAGTGAGTGGTACCTTGGAAGTTGAACAGAATCCATTCCAGAAGTCCGTTCAACTTCCAAAATGTTCAGAAACCAAGACACGGCTTCCGATTGGCTGCAGGAAGCTCCTGCAGCCAATCGGAAGCCGTTTCGGATGTTCAGGTTCCAAAGAACATTCTAAAACTGGAAGAATCACTTCCGATTTTCGATTGTTCGAGAGCCAGAACGTTTGACTCCCAAGGCATTTGAAAACCAAGGTACGACTGTAATGTTGCTCATCCCATATGAAGAGTCCAGTTGGATCAGTCCGAAGGCTTCTCTAGTACAGCATCCTATTCCCACAGTGGCCAAGAGAAGCCCATAACCAGGACATAAGTCCAACAGCCCTCTCCCTTTCATGAGCCTAGCAACTAGTATTCAGAAGTATACTTAGTCCATCCCTGATGGCTGTTTATTTTATGAAGTGCTGATTAATTGATTATGCTTATCAGTACAACCAGCTTTTATTTGGTTTGTGTTGCCAACAGAATCTAAGGTCACTTTTTTTAGTTGTTTTAGTTGGATTTTTATTTTATTTTAAATCTGGCTAGGATTGAAAGTAAACACAAAATGATATAACAAAAGATATGTGATATTAAGCTTACATATTCATAATTACTAGAAGCTGCCACATTAACAACTGTTGATATAGCTTTGACAATTTCTCAGTCCTTAATATAGTTGCACTAGGAAAAAATAAAAGGATAGTTTGAGGAAGACTGTATGGTCCAACTCCAATTCTTTGTTTCTATGAAAGTCTGTCATGTAGGTCAGAGTTAAATAGAATGTTATCTGTGGAACTTTGTCACCTGAGCAGAAAATAATGGCCAGAGCTGCTGTTGTGCCTTTGGCAGAAGTGTAATGAGCAGGGATTAGCAGGAGAAGCTTTTCATGGGATAGCAATGATTGTTGTTGTTGTTTAGTCATTTAGTCGTGTCCGACTCTTTGTGACCCCATGGACCAGAGCACGCCAGGCACTCCTGTCTTCCACTGCCTTCCGCAGTTTGGTCAAACTCATGTTGGTAGCTTCGAGAACACTGTCCAACCATCTCGTCCTCTGTCGTCCCCTTCTCCTTGTGCCCTCCATCTTTCCCAACATCACAGTCTTTTCCAGGGAGTCTTCTCTTCTCATGAGGCGGCCAAAGTATTGGAGCCTCAGCTTCAGAATCTGTCCTTCGAGTGAGCACTCAGGGCTGGTACCTCCTAATGAGTGCTAATCAATTAGGAGTTGAAAGTGCAGAAACAATAGCCAGTTTAAAAATTGCCAACCCTAATTGTTTGACAATTCCACTCATGATGTTCATTGGGGCTTACTCCTAGGTAGGTGTGCCTAGGACTGTTCCACAATCTCTGTTGTTGCTGACAATGTTGTTGTTGTTCATCCAAGTTTACCAACAATTTTGAAAACTGTTCTGATCCTCTAGGCCAGGCTTCCTCAACCTCAGCCCTCCAGATGTTTTTGGCCTACAACTCCCATGATCCCTAGCTAGCAGGACCAGTGGTCAGGAATGATGGGAATTCTAGTCTCAAAACATCTGGAGGGCCAAAGTTGAGGAGGCCTTCTCTAGGCTGTGCCATTGTTTGGCTATCTTCTACTTTCAGATTTTTCGAATCCTTTTTCTCTGCTAGCCTTAAAATGATCCAGCAATCATGGACACAGTTTGAATAAGTTGAAGATGTTCATGTTTTGAGCTCTAGTGGGGGTTCAGGGCTCTGCCACTATGGAATTCCTGACTATGTTCATGTAAACCATGGGGCGGGTGGAAGCTACCACTGGCAGTAGACAGCATATTCACCCCCCCCCCAAAAAAAAAACACACACACAAGTGTTTCAGAGGCCAGGGAAGGGATAGAACTGGACCAACCAAGGATGTGCTGTGTCCTAAGCTTGTCCAGCTTCTGGCAGGAAGCCAAATCTGGGCTTCTCTGCTGTAATAGTCTGGACCTGGCATAGCAGAAAGGTGGTTTCCCCACCTGCCCCCTCCCCCACCTTAAGCCCTGGCCATCATGAGTTGTGGGGCCCCAAATGCAGTTTTTCTGCCACTCTATTAAGCCTCGCTGCTGGCTTCTAACAGTTTGCAATGTTCCTTAACTTGATTTGTTCAGAAGCTAAATGTGCAGTGATACCTGTCCCTGGAGGGAGTTGTCACCTTGCAAGTAGAGACACTAGCGAAATAGGGAACTACCTTCACAGCGACATTTGCTGTGCAGATGTTACCAGCTTTTCTCTTTTCTGTAGGTTTTTGCCGAGCCTTTGATCAGCCTTTTCGCTTTGGAGAATTGCGAAGGCAGAGAGCTGCCCTTGCAAGAAGCAGTCGGTTCAATTCTGAATAAGGATCTTCATTTTCTTACCCAGTCTGTGTGGGTGAAAAGTGGACTGTAAGTATCACTTTATTCTACAGAGTAGAAGTCCTAACACTGCACAAGCAGGATGACACTGTTGAGCGTCATCTAGTATTTCCATAAGAAGGAACTGCGTGGAATACTGTATTAATCCAAGTGCTTTTTGGGGATACACACACAAGTAGTGAAATGTTTAGTCTTGCAGCACTTTATTTTGTAATGGCAGAAGTAAAGATCAGAGGAACTATTTGCTAACATGTTTCAAGCAGGACAGAACAAGCAAAAAATGCAAGAATAAATGGCTGTCTTAGATAAAAGCATTTAACTTGCAAAACAGGAATCACACAGCCAGCCTTGTTTTAGAATAGGTAGAGGAGGAGAAAAATGAAAACCTGCTATATAATAAATTTCAGGTTTCCAACAACTATGATGCAATGTCTGTTGTAAAATAAACGTCGCTCTTTAAACAACATAAGGCAATATTCTGCCTTGAAAATACCCTTAGAAGTTACAAGTATAGGCTACAATGCCATATTACTCATCCAAGGTATTTTTAAATGATGGAAAGGGGGAGTGTTCCATGAAGAAGAAAGCAAAAGTCTGCTGAGCATATGCTAGGCTGCAACAACTAAGAGAGATTATCACTGGGGGAATATTCTGGGGGAATATTTTTTTAGGATTGAATTAGAACTGAAATTAAAGTTGATTTGAATTTCTTCTGCCCATTCCCTTTTCCTTCCCCTATGATAGGGAGACATGTTAGAAAGATCTCTGGAGAAATGCCAACTTCCTGCCCAGAGCTGTTAAAATAACCAGAATCCTATCTGAATGGGAGGGTGATACTCCTTTGTGAACATCTGATGTGGTAGTTTGGTCTCTGTTTCATTATAGTCAAAGTTGGCAAAGGCTTTTTGCTGTCTTTCCTCACATAGGCTAATCAGATGTTTGGGTCCAATCTTGTACATGTCTATTTGGAAGTAGGTTTCGCTAAGATATGCATAGAATTGAAGCCTTAATGGCTTACAACTCAACATCTAGTATAATGCGATCATGCGAAGCATGAGTATATTTTCAGTTAAAAACACTTTACTGCATATTTTTGTCTAGTTGAAATTTTACCGCATTAACATAGTTAATTCACATTCTGTTTTGAACTAGATGGATAGCATATGAAGGATGCAGTTTCTTAGGGAAGCAACTTCTCCTTGAACCCAGCAAGATTTCGAACTGGACTCAGTTTAGTGGCTGGAAAGTAATTGGCTCCCTTCGTCCTGTAAAGCAGGTACCAGTTACAAAGTCTGTTTCTTCTCGCAGAATACATGCATCTTTTTAAAATGTTGATCCTACATTCGGCAAAGGTAGGGAGTTCTTTTCTGCTGAATGGAACCTAAACCATGTCCAATTCTAGTATTCATTTAGTTGTGGAAGTACATTACCATTTTTATGCATGCGGTATGCAAACAGAGGTTGTATGTTTACATCAGAAGGAAAAATGTATTTGTGCAGATTTATAACAGAGATACATACCTGTCCCTGAAGTGTGTGGTAATTATTCCTTTCTGTTTCAGCCAGCAGCGTACTTCAGAATAAAGAACCAATCCCTAGACAAATACCTGACAGTTGCTGGGAATCTAATGGATGCAAGAGCTGCATCATTATGTCTTTCCCCATTAAATGGCAAGACTACTCAGATCTGGCGCTACTGTTCTGGACTTCTCAAGTCCAAGGTACTTTGCTAGCAGCTGAAACGGCAATGTCATCATCCTCAATTTTGTCTGTTTATAAAGCCCGGCCATTTCTTCTTCTGTGCAAGTAGGGACCAGGGTAATGCAATGGGCAGTGGAAACACTTTAGGTGCTTAGGAAAGCTAGCTAACCCTTCCTGCCTTTTCCCTCTCACAAGTCCATAGCTTGCTTCTTCAACAGCCCAGGTTCCAAATTCAAGTTTCCATTGCATCCACAAATTAATGTTTCTAATTCATATGAATAAGGCTTTGAAACTGCAAACTTTTCAGGGTGAAATGAGGTAATGTATTTTAAAAGCAAACAGCACACTGTGTCAGAAAAATAAGGGTTTTGTTTTTTTTAATAGCAGCCTTCATGGGAGAACAATTATTTTGACTCCTGTATCATTTTCAAGTTCAAATGCATTAGCTCTGCATGTGATACATTTCCTTGCATGAATGTCTCCCTGGGAGAAGAACCTCTCTAAAAGGTTACTTTAGTGTGTGTTTTATCATTGGAGTGTGCTAATTTGTACCAGACTTCTCAGACCACCTTTATCATGCATCTGTAAAAAAACTGAGTAAGGAAAACCATGCCTTCTAGCAAGCACACTACTAAAGATGCAATTGCTACATTTTGCTTTATGGTTAGGCCAAACCTGCCGTAATCCCCTCCTTTTTTAAAAGTTTCCTTCTTGGCAATTGTCCTCAGTTATGTATGTTGAATTTGATAGCACTGAGATCACTGTCTCCGTTTGTTCAACACTTAGAATCTACTCCAGGTCCTGGGCACCATTTCGTTCCAATTGCCTTAATACAACTAGTCACAGATAGACCTGTGTCTGTAGAACAGGGATGGGGAACCAGATGATTTCCAGATGTTGCTGGAGACCCATGTTCCTCTGCCCCAGTCAACATGATGGGCGTTAGGAGTCCAGCAACATCTGGAGGACCACAGGTTCCCAACCCCTGCTATCGAGCATACGCATGCCTAACAATGAACTTTGGCCTGTTGCACCAGTCCTTTTTTTACTCTTCATACCGTGCTTTAAACTGTCTACTAAAAACAGTGATACCCTGTACTCGGTGAATCAGTTGTTTATTTTGGTGGTATGATGGATCCAGCCTTCTTGTTGCTGGAGACTATATTCCTGCTATTGTACTTTTCTGTAGGGCATATATCCGTTAGAAATATGTAAATATTAGAGCCCACCAAGGCAATGAACAAATTCTTTCCCCCAATTTATCTAGGTTAATGATGCTTGCCTTGATGTCATTGGAGGCAGAGATGTTCCTGGAGCTAAAGTCGCATTGTGGGTAGAGCATGGGAAGGCAAGACAGAAGTGGCTGCTCAACAGAGATGGGACCATCAGCTCATACCTCAGTGACCAACTGGTTCTCGATATCAAAGGTAGACTTTAGCTATTGTTTTATATGCCCCTTTAATTTGGTACAAAAATACAAGTCTTCACACAATTGTCTCCTCACTCCCCTTTTAAGGCTCTTAAACTAGATTTAGGTCATGTCAAGCTTACCTGGAATAACTTAGAAAGTGGACATAGTGAGCTCTTCTGCACACTGAGGTCACAAATGCATTTAGTCCATCTAAATAGCAATATCCTTAGATCTTTTCGCAACTGAAGTCAAAAGGCTTCATCGTCAAAACCACATTGGATACTCAAATCATGAAAATCATGCCTCCTAGGAAGTATTTCACCAGAAGTAATTGCTTCATTTAGCTTTAAGCTTAGTAATGCTCGAAGTTCCTTGGTCCGCTTTCTGAATAGGCTGGCCCTTGTCAGTATCAGACTTGATTGTCCAAATAATGTTTATAATTGTCCAACTTAAGAGCAGGGTAGAACTACGCAATGAATGTATTTGTAGGGGATCATGACAAAAATCCAAAGAGGTGAAAGCACTTCAAGTTAAAGGGTATGTGCCAGAGATTTAGTGACACCATGTATAGGTGTTTATCCACTGATGCTAGAAGCCTATAAGCCAGAACAAGCAAGCTGTAGTGCTTGGTTTTAAAGGAAAGCATAGTGGAATGGAGAGAACCAGTGGCACACTATCTCTGGGTACAAACGCTGTAGGAAAGCCAGGGGAGGGTTAACTGGAGGTGGTGTCACTGCGAAAATAAGATGTTGGGCTAGATTAGATGAGCCTTTGGTCTGATCCAGCAGGACTCTTTGTTTTTTGTCTTGCCAGTAACAATGGAATCGAAAAGAATATTACTTTGCTATGCTAGCAGCAGCAGCTGCAGTTTCCATAAGCATGCAGTGAAACCAAATCAAAGATTCATGTGTTTATAAACAATGATAAAACACACATTGAATTTGGATAATCCATTTAGCTACAATGATCATATTTTGCTTAGCTTTTGGGGGGGCGGGGGGAATACTCTGCAGTGCTGCCTTATAGAGCCAAACTTGGCCCTCCAGCTGTTTTGGGACTACAACTCCCATCATCCCTAGCTAACAGGACCAGGGGTCAGGGATGATGGGAATTGTAGTCCCAAAACAGCAGGAGGCGAAGTTTGGCCATCCCTGTTATAAAGTATGCCATTTCTGCCTGACTTTGAGGTCAAATTTTTTATGTCTGTCAGTATTTGCGTTCCAAACTGCCATGCATACATTAGGATCTCTGCTTAAGAATACAATTACCGGCTCTTAATAACAGGGCCAGGGCATCATCAACAGAGTCTGGACAGACCCAGGCGTCACTGCAGCTTTAATACAACCACTTGTTCGCAGAATCATAAAGAAAACCTTTATAGATAGCAGCTCTTTGCACACTGGAAAGTTATCCTACATAAGCTAGAAAAACAGAAAAAATATAAGGCCAAAAAAAAAAAAAAAATTGCCTGAAATATACTGTGCAGGACTAAGTAATTCTGGATCACGTGTATATATTGTCACCATCTTGCTTCCAGTTTAGTTTGAAAGAGGATTTTCTAATGAAAAGAATTTTTAAAACAGTTTTTAGGTGTTAACATTTTACAAGTACAGTGGTACCTCAGGTTACATACGTTTCAGGTTACATACGCTTCAGGTTACAGACTCCGCTAACCCAGAAATAGTGCTTCAGGTTAAGAACAGTTTCAGGTTAAGTACGGACCTCCGGAACGAATTAAGTACTTAACCCGAGGTACCACTGTACTGCACATTTAGTGCAATGGAAAAAAATAGGCTTATAAATAATCAATAATGAATTGACGTAAACTATTGACCTTCTCAAATGTCTCTTATTTTAGGAGGATATTATTATGACAGGAGCCACATTGTTGTAAACCAGCTCGACACCAGCAAATGCACACAGATATGGGACTTCGAAATATTGTGAGTGTGTCTCACTCCACTATAAAGGCATTTTAAACTCTGAACAAATGTGGGATGAAAACACTGTTGAACAAACTACTGAAGTCACACAGCACTGGAGCGTGTTATAGAATGTGCCTGACTCTGCTAGCCAGGGAATCCAAAACTGTCACATGTTTTAAGTGGCAATGGAATGCTGAATCTTATATTGTCTTCTTTACCCTTGTGAACAGATATACAACATAAGAGCAATGGCATATTCAGCAGAGTCCTATTAAGCAATAATGCTACAGTGGTGATTATGCAAACATTCTCTACTTGCTAATTATATGTTTTTTACCCCCTTTTCCTTATCATGTGAGAGCTAAAAAACAACAAAACTTTGAGCTGAAATGCATCTCCTACAGTTTTAAGCTACAAGTAGAAGCTTTTTGATTATTGCACTGTTTCCTCATATCTAGATATATCTCACTTTTGAAAAATTGAGTGTTTTGCCTCAGGTAAGTTTCATCATTGTAACTCAAAATGGCGATAAAACAAATGCTTTGAGAACTGTATATGAAAAGACAGTTTATTTAATGTTAAGCTTAGTGCTAATTCTCCATTCTCAATAGTATTTTATTGTAGAGGAGAATTTATGTAAGAGATCTAGTGACTAGTTTAGACTATTCACTAGCAGCTTGGTAATGCACAGAGCATTGTCACAGAGAAATATTGGCAATGATTCAGATTTTGTATAGAAAACTTTCTGCTGTTGTTCCAGTCTACCCACTGTAGCCACAATTCCAGCCAGTTAAAAATCAATGGGATTAAAAAGTGTTTAACTAGGGAGATTAAAGTATATGATTCGTTTTTGCAGTGATTAACTTTGGCTGGATTGTGCCCTGGTTTTTTTCCCCTTCCACTTATGAGTTATTAAAATCAGAACGCCAAAAGCGTTTGATAAACTTAACATAGCTCTAAGCCTTAGCGTAGTTCATCCACTAGAGAACAAGTCAACACCACACATTCAGCTGTTTTCTGGAAAGTTGCACCAGCACTATTTGTACCACTTTACATATGCAAATTGTTGTTTTTTCTTTAAAAAAAAAACCTTTCCAAAAATACGGAAAACCTAAGTGTAAAAGGATATGAAAATTCCAGTTGAAGATAAATTCAGACTTGGGGCTCTGCTTCTGCCTATCCTGCAAGAACCTTTCCACTTTCATCTTTGCTCTTAGTTTTAAACTCAAACTTAAATTGGAATTGTGCAAAACAATGTCTGAGTTTAAAACTAAATTTGCAGTCTAATACAGTTGTTCACTCCAGTGTATCTGGAGCCCCTAGTAATTAAAATCCTTCTGACTGGCTGCTTTGGCAGGAAATGAGGAGCCACAGGGACTGAATTTAGCAGAATTTTAACCACTTTTAAAGGGCTTGAGGTATGCAACCTCTTATGTTAATAAATGAAAATGGTGGCCACATGTTCAGGGCCTGTTTGCACATGTAGCTTTCCATGCAACTGTGTTATGCACCTGGAAGCTGGATCAGTTCGTTATTTCTTTGTACCTTAATGTATTTTTTGGAAACAATTGAACATCAAGCTTGAATAGCTAAAACCAAACAGTGTAAGACTAGATTTCTCATATTTGCTATAGCTGCACAGTTAAGGAAAAAGTAAAAACTTTGGGGGGAAACCTCTATTTTTATAATGAAGATATGGCATTCTTAATATATTAACATCTACCTAAGGGCTTGAGCCACAACTCTGCTGCATTATGCCATCAACCACATGCATTCTGGAGACACAACTGACCTTGCCACATCTCCTGTCACTGGTTGCAGAAGCAGCAGAGGCACCCTGGGCCGCAAACTGTTGCAGTAGCTCACACCAGTAACAGCAGCCTTGATTGGCTCTTGCACAACCTCTACCAGCAGTTCAGTCTTCATATCCTAAAAAAACCTAGTTTTTCTAGAACCAAGGGAGCTATGCAAGGTGAAATGCTGCATATGTGTGTGTGCACTGCATCCTAATAAGCACTTTAGATTGTAAAATAAATAATACACCTACTTTTTCATTTTTTACGTCACTAGGATCTTTAAATATATTTTCATCTGAAGCACTTATTTAATAGATGGAATTTGTGTATGCTAAAATCAAACAATTCTGAAACTACATTTAATACTTTTTTTAAAAAGTGCTTTCAAGACGATGTAAAATCCAGTCAGCCTCAAATAAGATGCTCTCATTTGGTGTATCAGTGTTATGTAACTATGACTACAATAAAAAACCCACTTAGTGGGAGTAAGCCTGATTCAACAGGAATTTAAGTAAGCGTGAATGGAGTTGCACTCTTAAGCGCAGCAGACTTTTAGGATACAGTTGTATTTTGGAAGCCGAATGCCTTGCCAGTTGAACGTTTTGGCTCCTGAACGCCGCAAACCCAGAAGTGAGTGTTCCGGTTTGTGAACATGCTTTGAAAGCCGAATGTCTAACGTGGCTTACGATTGCCAATCAGAAGCCGTGCCTTGGTTACCGAACGGATTCCGTTTGGCTTCTAAGGTACGTCTGTATTTGCTCTAGTCCCACCACAGGCACAGCTCCCAAAAGTGAAGGACTTACAGACTGGTGCTTTGAACGACCAGTAACTTTATTAGACATGGTGGTACTGGGGACCAAATCAGCTCTATTGCACCTGTGGGACTATTTCTATCCACAAGGCTTGTACCCACAGAGACACAATACTTGAGCTGTAGAGTTTAGAGGGTCATTCTGACTGGAATGTACGTGTGTATATTTAATGTATATAAAGTGTTAAAGGATAGAAGGGGTGGATTGCCTTTATCCTGTTCATGGTATATTTATCGCAAACTGCAATAATATTTTTTTAATGATGCAAGGGAGAATTCCCCCCCTAAAACCAGAATGCCAGTTATCACATTTTGTCCAAAAGTGACCTTATATATAGTGTATATAGTTGACATTTCTCTGTGCTATTGGATTAAAAATACTTCAAAATAGTATCAGCAGTTTTATTTTCGTTACACGAGATTTGTTTTCCAAATATCAATTCAAACCTTCATTATATAAAGGTAGCTTTAAGCTACCTTGTGGTGCCAAGCCATTACAAGGAAACTTGCATGATAAATACAAGATCACAGTATTTAAGAAAAAACACTGTCACCCTAAATTGAAAAGGACAGCAGCAGACAAAAACAATAGAAGAGACAATGCTTTGCATTTGGGGGTGAGGGGGGCAAGAATGTGGTAAAGGCCTCCTGGGTTTTGTTCACAACACCGGTACAGAATTGTAAGGATGAAGGAGCATTAAAAACATATGCCCCACATACTGATCTATGGGAGGTGCTGCCCAGATGTTATTAATTGATCAATGAAGCAAACTGAACCATGTGGTAGTTTTCCATCCAGTTGTTGCCTGGCTAGAAAGGAAGGCAAATGATAAAGTGTGCGAGAACCACAATTGTTTCAGTCTCTCGCCTCCCATGGTGCAAGCTCACACAATAGGCAAATGCGAAAGACACAACCCACAGTGGATGCCTTAGCCTACCAAACAAGGAGGAAGCATCACAGTAAGTAACAACGTTCCATTCTTACTTGTTGTGGTGCAATACTGTTAACACATTTTTATGTGTGTCTGGTTCTTCTCAATTTATACACCTTGAATAGTTACACCCAGGTAACTCTGTATCATTTGGCTTGGGCAGATAGTTATAAAGTGGCTTCTGCTCCTTTGTGCTTTTACTGTTGCTTTTTCATGCAACTAATTACATGATGCATCCTTTATGACAGTGTTTCCCAACACTGGGCCTTGAGCTGTTTTTGGACTACAACTCCCATCATCCCTAGCTAGCAAGACCAGTGGTCAGGGATGATGGGAACTGTAGTCTGAAAACAGCTGGAGACCCAAGGTTGGGAAACACTGCTTTATGAGATGCAGTGCCGTAGGTTGGCTTTTTCTGTACAACAAAGCACACTTTCACCCCAAAAAAGGGCCGACGCTTTTATGTTTGCAGCCTATGGCACTATCCACAATTTGGGGTGTCACTGGCTTTCGTATGGCAAGACCAGGCCTCCTTACTTTAGGTGTACAGTGGTACCTCGGTTTAAGAACAGCCCTGTTTACGAACGATTCGGTTTACAGTCTTAAGAACGGAAGCCGACCAGTGGGAGGCCTCGGTTTAAGAACGGACTTCTGGAATGGATTAAGTTTGTAAACCGAGGTACCACTGTACATATGTCACTGCTGAAACCAGGAAAAGCATGAACCATTCATTCCTACTTTGCACCAGGGATGCTGAACTTGCGGCTCCCCACATCTCCCATTGCCTTGGGAGTCCAACAACACCTTGAGGGCCACAGCTTCCCCATTTACCCTCCTGTGTGTTATTTTTATGTTCAACAAACCTAGTAGTACCCTTACTCACTACGCATACAAAAACTATGTAAAAAGCCTTTGTATGCCTGAGGTAACGTTTTGCTGTTTCTGTGCAATGGCAGATTTAAGCACTTTTAACTTTGGCTGGCTGGTGCCTTGGGTCCCTTCTATTTTAATTTAAGGGCACACTTGATTCTCCCAGCAACATCTAAGAGACCTACGAATACTTAACTTTGACTGGATCATGCCTCTAGACTACTTCAATGAGCGATTCACTCCACAAGGATACCACCAAGTTCTCTTTTTCTGCATCTGAAGTCAGATTCAGTTCTTTAACACGGACAGTGTTACCGCTCCAAATTTGCTTCAACGCATCCATATGAGAGAGCGGAAATCGTAACCCATGAGTCTAGAAAGAGAAAGAGTGTGTGTGTTATTAACGCCATATTGAACTAAACATCTGACACATTTCATGCTCACCAATATGAATAATATATCCTGCGCCAGTAGTTACTGCTGTTATACAGATGAACAGAGTTATTATAAATCTATCAACACGTTTCTATATTACATTGACTAGGCTAGCTAAATGCAACCTCCTCCAGGCACACAGGCAGTATATCCTGAATATCAGTTACCACCTTCATACCACACCTGTGGGTTTTTGGAGATCTGGCTGGTTACAATTGGGACAAAGTAATGGAGTAAATGGGTCCTTGGTCTGACCCAGCAGCGTTCTCATATTGCCAACAAAATGTACACAGCTTTTAAAACAGACAAACCCAAACAGCAGTCTGGCAAAAACTTAACGTACTGCTGACCAGCACCCGGTGTGGAGGGGGCTAGAAGAGACAGATCTGAAAATAAGGAATTTCCACATGGACTTCATCAATAACTGACCTAACAAGCAGAATTAAAAACAAACCTCTGCTATTCCATCCTCATTCATATCCTCATCCCCCATCATATGGACTTCCCTCTTGTTCTTTAAAGAGTAATAGACAAAAACCATTTCTTTGCGAGACTCTTCCTAAAAAACAAGAGAAAAGCAGATAATACATTGTAATTTATCAATCAACATCAAAGCACTTGCAAAACTCCTCCATTTTACAATAACTTTAGAAGCCTCACCTTTCTTATTTTTTAGCAGTAGTAATTAGGAAATTCTTTAGCTAAGGCCAGCACCTGGTTATATTTCAAAGGCTGTCTTTGAAACTCCTACAAAACACTGTAACACTTTCTCTTTACAAAACAGAACTGAATTGCTATAATGTCAGAGCAAATCCCAGTCACATGCTGTGGGATTCAAGCAGCCTAAAAATAACATACACCCAATTCCTCACTGAAAAGCAAGTCTCTACAAGCACTCCTCTGTACTCACCAAAAGGTCTGGTTCCACTGTAATTACTGTGTAGTCTTTAAACCGTAACCTGATTGTACTGTCTATTTTTGGTAGTGCTCCACCTAGACAAGGAAGAAGAGCAATATTAGTTCAACGAAAGGAGCAGCAAGCTAGCCTGTGCTGCTTACATCTCTCTTGACTAAGGGCAGGTGCAGAAGTTAGTGCAGTTGGCTAATTCTTGTAAATATCTCTTTAGTTCAGTCAGCTTGTATGTACAGTATAACAGCTGAAGCAGAGACTCATGGAAGATCACAGGCTATTTTCCTAATTAGAAAAAAATGCCATCTATCACTGACGTAGCTGCTGCAGTATAATCTAGGTCCCTCTTAAGATGCTAATTGAAATATCAAAAAAAGGAAAGAAGGGAAGGGAATCTTCAGAAATGTAACATCTGTACAGGCTCTCTGAACCAATCCACACATTAAACTAATCTATGGCCCGGTTCCATATGTAATATTTGTAAATAACTGGTTTACTGCTACATCTATGGAACAAACTGTCTTCCCAGTCCCCACTTTACGAAAAGCACCCTCTGCAAACTTAAAATGTTACCTGGAGCCAGAGAGTCAAAGCTAGTCCCCAAGAAAGGAGGTAATCTGTTCATAATGAAGTCTTTTTTCATGTCGGATGACCTCAATTCTCTACCATTTTCCAGACGGTCTGCAAGGCATCTCAGGAAGCCACTTAATTGCTTGGATGAATCAGATAAATCCGCCTTCTAAAGAAAAAGACCAAAAAGAATTTATGCTAGTAGTTAGAAACACGATCCTAATTTACTTGAGAATGCAATCCAAAGATCTCTAGGCATTACAGATGTTGGCTCACAACCTTATTTTGGTCATTATAAGCTGTTTTAAACAGTTTTTAATATTGTGCAATATGTGTTTTAATATTAATGTTGTGTTTTTATTGTTGCAAGCCAGCCTGGGACCTTAGGGTGAAGGGCAAGTAACAAATTGTAATCATCACTACCTACTGTGCTGGGACAGAATTGCAAAGGCAAGATTTTTGGAACAAACAAGTGTTCGTTTTAACTCTTCTTCCTGTAGCCAGTTATGGGAAGGCAGCAGTGGCTAAGTTACATAGATTCAAATGCCACATTATAAAATCATAAAATTTGGTATTAATTTGGACTTGGTGTTCTTCTTTGAAAGCTACTGGGTCAAGCTACAGATGGCATCTTGAAGGCTAGCAATTAGCTCTCTTTATTACAAGACCCATAACAAAACTCTGCAGTTTTGCCTACACTTGCTGGGACTATTATAGGTGCCAGGGAGCAGCTTGTGCACTGTTTGGTTTAAAAAGCTTTCTGGCTTAGTTTTGCAAACAAATGTGACCACACAGTAAAGAAGATCTGCTGCTAAGAAACAAGGCTGACCTCTTCCAACATTATGAAACTACTAGTGGAGATTATGGGAGTTACTCTGTGTTTAAAATGGTGGCTATGCACTTTTCCACTGACAGCAAGCACACACTGCTCTTCATTTTCTTTAGCTCTACATCTTTACCATCAGTAACTGCCTTGGAATGCTCTTCCGAAAGTCAACATCCTCTTTCGCTGTATCCAACACTAGTCCAGGAACCACGTCCAGCAAAAAATCTCTCCAAGAGCTGCCATACAAGGGGGAGGGGAGGGGAGGGAAACAAAGGCATTAATGCCAAGCCAGTTAATTCAGAGCAATGTTTCTTGCCGAGGATAAAGAGAAAGCAAAACTGGTTTTGAATGTCAAGGGCTCATCCAGCACATCCTGTTAACCCACATGGACTGAAACTGAGAAAGTTTAGCAAAAATACTATCGTGTGTACTCATATCCTAGGTGATCAGGAAATACAGTCTAATTCTTTCAGGGCATCCTAAGGAAGCATAGGTCATTGACAGGCTGCTAGCTACAAGCGCCTGAAAGATGCTCCACTCGCATTGCCTAGGATAGTGTATCACAGCCTCAGTGTGGTCTCCTGTACAGAAAAAGCAGGTAGGTGAGAAACAGCATGGAAAAGTCTAATGGATTAAATTGTCCACCTCAACAGAGGTAGGTAGGTAAATAAATAAATAAACCATATTTTTCTGTCTATAAGGCGCCCCCATGTATAAGACGCCCCTATTTTGGGGGACTCTGATTTAAGAAAGTAGGGGGAGATGGCCCCCATGTATAAGACATACCCAAATTTTGGACATTATATTTTAAGGGGGAAACCTAGTCTTATACACGAAAAAATATAGCATTTATTATCCCACCCCTTTTCCCCTGGTGGCACTCAAGAGAAAAATAAGAACTGTTAAAAACATAGAAAAATAATCCCTAAAATACAGTTAAATATTGATAGAATTAAAACTATATAACATCTGTTTAAAACATACCAATAATTACAATAAAAATAGCATGGGACCAGCCCTTTCATTAAAAGCAGTCATTTCCCCAAAGCCCAAAGGAGGTATTCACTGGGGGAAGGACAGTCTAGCTTCTCTAGGGAGGGAGTTCCAGTCTGGAAGCAGCCACCAAGTCTGTGACAAGTGTGCCTGTGAGGGTGGCAGGATTGAGAGAAGGGCCTCCCCAGGAAGATTCATATGAGGGAATCTGATACTTCAGATAGCTTGAACCTAAGCCATATTGGGCTTTATAGGCAATAACAAGCACTTTGAATTGTGCGCTGAAACAGACCAGTAGCCTGTGGAGCTGTTGTAACAAGGGAGTCGCCTGCTCCCTATAACCAGTCCTGGTCAGCAATCTGGTTGTAGCTCTTTGAGTCAGTTGACGTTTCTGAGCACTTTTCAAAGGTGGCCCCCACATAGTGTGTTAGAACATGATGTAACTAAGGCTGTGGCCAAATCAGACATCTTTTAAGGAACTGGTACAGCTTTAACTGTGCAAATAAATACACTCCTGGCCACCACAGAGACCTGGGCATCCATATTCAGAGGTGAGTCCAGGAGAAAACCCTAACTGCAAACCTGTATTTTGGGGGCAAATGTTACCCCATCCAGCACAAGCTGAATCTCTGTTCCCTGTTCTGCCTTCTGACTGACCAAGAGCACCTCTGTCTCCTCTGGATTAGGTTTCAATTTGTTCACCCTCATCCAGTCCATTAATGATGACATACACCAGTTCAGAACCTAGAGAGCCTCTTTGGATTTAGGTGGAAAGGAGAAGTGACAAACACCTTAATCCAGGGAATGTGATCTGATCAAGCCAGCATTATAGTTGGGTACTCCTCCCTGGGATGGGCCATTAATTATTATTATTAATTACCCACCCTTCACCCTAAGGTTCCAGGGCAGGTTACAACATCAAAACACATCATAACTCAAGATTAAAAACAGTTTAAAACAAGAAACAACTACAGAAATAAGTAGGGCCTTAAAAATATACATCTCAAGTGTCAAAAGGCAGGGTAAAGAAGTGTGTCTTAAACATTTGCTGGAAGTTATATAATGAAGGTGACAGGCACACCTCTGTAGGGAAGGAGTTCCTCAACTTTGGGGCTGCCAGAGAATGCTCTCTCCTGTCCTCTGTCCTTCTGAAGGAGGAGGAACTAGCCAGAGGGCTGCCTAGGAGTCTGTATCTAGCTACAACGACCACAGAGTTGCAAATGCCACTGGTCAGTGGTGTCCAAACTTTTTTCAAAGAGGGCCAGATTTGATGAAGTGAAGTGCTGTGAGGGCCAACCAAAGCTGTTGAGCTTTTTTTTAGGATTTTACCCCAGGAATTAAACTGCCACAGGGGGACAGGATTAAACCAACCAGCGGGCCGGATTAGCCCCCCAAAACAGACTTTGGACATGCCTGCTTTATGTAAACTGGTTAGCTTGGGTTAATTAATTGGTATAGAATATAAATCTTCTATAGCTAAAACAAAATAAAAATAGCTTGCCAGATTCATTTAGTTTAAAGTCACTGACAAGAAAACTCATACTAGAAGAATAAGGCAGAGTGCTTACTTGTTCTGATAGGTGCTGATGGTCACATGAGTAGAATGCGATATCCCAGGAGGTGTGTCAGCTTGATGTATGGTCCCCCTTGGAAAATATAGCAGGTCTCCGGGCTGGAAGAAAATGTGGGCAGGACAGTTTTAAAAATAAATTATTTTGACAGTTTATTAAGGCTACACTGCTGTGCTTGCAAAATAAAGAAAAATTACTCTCTCAATAACAAAAACACAAACAGCTGAATAGACAATTCTGTCATGTTACAGAATTTTCCCCATTTTCATGTAGAGCTGTGCTGCAGACATCCAAAATCCTATAGCTAAGCTACAAGGACTGTTAGAAACCTACTTTTTTATAAAAAAAAGAAAAAAGGGAGGGAAAGTGAATAGTATTTAAATTGGCTTACAATGATCAATACTAAAAAGGCAGAGCAGCAGGTACTAGGCCAAAGCAGCAGATAAAACACACTGCGGAGCACTAAATAACAAATGCAGAAAGCTCCAGAAATGCAAAAAACAACAAAGTACAATTAATTCAGACTAAGCAATAAAACAATAAGAACTATAAGACAGCAGCAAAGCAAACTGAAACAAAGCAATTGTTTCATTGATAGGTACAGTGGTACCTCAGGTTAAGAACTTAATTCGTTCTGGAGGTCCATTCTTAACCTGAAACTGTTCTTAATGTGAGGTACCACTTTAGCTAATGGGGCCTCCCGCTGCTGCTGTGGCGCAATTTCTGTTCTCATCCTGAAGCGAAGTTCTTAATCCGAGGTTCAATTTCTGGGTTAGCAGAGTCTGTAACCTGAAGCGTCTGTAACCCGAGGTACCACTGTATTAATCCTGGAAGTGTGTAAATTAACACTATATTCACTGCAGTTTACTACAGATGCATGAAGCATTGCCAGCTGATAGAAGCTCACAATACTACCCAAATTTAAATCAACTTCCAAAATGGGACTGCTAAATAACAAGAACAACACCAGGACACATCTGTGCCCTCTCATTCTCCTAACAGTGGAAAGGCTTGTATGACGTGACGCTGGAAAATGTGACTGAAAGGAGAGGCATAGCGGAATAAGCCATGTCAAACAAGACAACCAATCTCTCTCTTTAAGACCTAGAGGGGACAGGCAACCTTATTCGCCAACAGCGAGCTAACTATGTCAAGGTCTTAGACATTTTCTTCATCTATAGCTCAGGCACTCAGGGGTGTTTCTGACACGAATACCTTTAATATGAAGTCGTGTGTTGGAGTCCCTATCTTCTCCTCGGGCTCAGTGTTGTATTCTTGAGCTAAATGTACAGTAGGCTTATAGAGTCGCCAGTGCTTCTTTCCTTCCAACTGTAGGATAAACACCTGCAAAGACCATAAGTCAGTAAGCATCAAAAAGCTTCACCGTTCCTCAGACTTTCAGCTAAGTTCACTATGGAATAAACATTTGTTGCAAGTGAGTTCTTTATTTAGAACACAATACTTGTAAATGTTAAAAGTAGTACTAGGTTTTATTTCAAACAGAATCCACATGTGATGTGCGCATGCATCATCCATGTAATATTGTGGACGCATGTAATGACTTCCACAAAATTAATCACAAGACAGAGAAACCACTAGGAGAACACTTCAGTCTCCCAGCACTTTCTATACAAGATCTCAAAGTAGCTGTCTTATTACAAAAGAATTTCAGAAATAGACTGGAAAGAGAAGTTGCTGAATTGCAACTTATTACCAAACTTAAAACCATGGAGAGACCTGGTTTGAATAGAGACATTGGATTCTTATCTCATTATACATGATAAAGCTATTTTTAGCCATCTCACCCCTTGCTTTTTCCTGTAAGACCAATTGCAGTTGTTAACAGTCGTCAACAGGTTTACCACACCTATCAGCCAATTACCCATTCCCACCACCCTTCTGAGTAATACCCCTCCCCACCCTCTCACTATATACAGTGGTACCTCAGGTTACATACGCTTCAGGTTACAGACTCTGCTAACCCAGAAATAGTGCTTCAAGTTAAGAACTTTGCTTCAGGATGAGAACAGAAATCGTGCTCCGGCGGTGCGGCGGCAGCGGGAGGCCCCATTAGCTAAAATGGTGCTTCAGGTTAAGAACGGACCTCGGAACAAATTAAGTACTTAACCTGAGGTACCACTGTATAAGGGTCTGGTGACTTCTGCTTCAGTGTATCTGAAGAAGTGTGCATGCACACAAAAGCTCATACCAATAACTAATTTAGTTGGTCTCTAAGGTGCTGCTGGAATGACTTTTTTATTTTATTTTTTATAATTTAATTTAATTTAATTTATTTTGTTTCGACTACGGCAGACCAACAGGGTTACCTACCTGTAACTTTATTTTACTATGCGAAACTCTTGCAAACAAGAAACATACTGGCCATTGTGGGCCCTCTTACCTCAACATCATCGTAGTGTGGTGGCAGGCCTTGGGACCCCGGTGGGGTAATGTAAACGTTAGATCCAACCAATGAGCCGAAGTAGCATTCCAGCTTCTCCTGGATTCTCCAGAGCTCATCCTAAAAAGAAAAAAGGGAAGAGACAGAGAAATGGTTAACAATGCCATGGCAACCTCCATTATTCTCCTATCATATTTACCCATTATATTTGCAATCCAATTGTTCCAAAAACATGTATCACTCTAAACAAGATGTCTGCCTGACCTGCTTTATAAAAGGTCAGAAGAAGAGTGCAACTTTCCCACATTGAAAGTGTGCCTGTTGCACACACAGGCATTCATACAGCTGCTGCATTATCTGAAAACATGTCAGCAAGCTAGGTGAGAAGTAGGCAGAAAACAGAAGTTCCAACACACGCTACATTCAGTCTCCTTCCTTAGATCCAGTGTAAGTGGTTTCAAGATGCCTGCCAATACAAACCTCAATGAAGCCACTTATACAGGTAACAATATACAACTAAATCCTGTTTTGCATAATGTTGCTGGGCCATTCCTTCCAGCCAACCAAATCACTGCTCCTTTTTGCTTTCCCTTCAAATCAAGTTATTTTTATTGAAATGAATCGAGTTGTGCAAGCCAAGGTCTGCTTACTCAATGAAGCTTTTCCAACCACAGACATCCCCTGACTCTCCACTCCAGGTAACTGTCAGGAAAGGCCTTGGATGTGTGGCATGGAAGACTATAGTGGGAGCAGTGAATCTGCAAAAATCAAGTAGAAGCAGCTTGCACAAGCTCAGGCACCAACGCATTAACTGCAGTGTTTCCTTATAAATCTATTTGTTTAGTAACTTCATTATACAGATTTTTTTAAAGGGCTCATTGCTTCATTTCAAAAAATAGGCTACTGGGGTATGAAACACTGAGTTTATAGAATATTCTCATGCACTGTCTTAATTCCATAATCCACAAATTGAATTTGAATAGCAAACAAAAAGTAATTGTTTGTACTGTATATGTATCTGGTTCCCGCTCATCATATGTTACACTTCTTCTTTACCCAACAGCAATTATTATCATATAATTTACGTATCAGATAATCCAATGATGATATGAAACCAGTATTTCTAGTGTACAAATGAGAATGGTTCAGGGTGTCTTTTGAGTTAGCATCCTCAGGGGAATCCCTAAGTTTGCTGAAGCAAGAAGAGAGAGAAAATCCCTAGTGGTCTAATAAGCACAGACTAAAGGAGGAGTGCCTGGCGTGCTCTGGTCCATGGGGTCACGAAGAGTCGGACACAACTAAACAACTAAACAACAACAACAACGCTCAGGAGCTACAAAATGCTGGACAGATGTGTGTGTGTCAGAAAACCTGGGGCAGAGGAGGGGACAGAAATGGCACAGAATGCCCTGAAAGACTAGGCCAGTTAGACCACACTGCAAGATTTTATTTTATTTTTGGTCCCATCTGTTACACTTTAATCATGATTCTGTAAGGGAATTCTCCTGAAAACAATCTGTAGTTCGTACTCAAAAGGAATACTAATTTCTAACTGGCATTCACTCACCTCTTCCAAAGGTGACTTTTCCCTCCTAAAGACTCAAAAGGACATCCTAAATCATTCTTTCTTCTACACTAGAAATACTGGTTTTACATCATCATTGTAGTTCTTAAAGAGCCCATGTTTTCTGCAAGATTGGCACTCAGTGGTACCCCCTTTGAGTACAGAAAAATGAACCAAGTAAGTTTAAGCTTAAATTGTATCGTTTCCCCAATTTTCTAAAGTCAAGCCAATGTTAAAAGCAAACGTACCAGAGGATGTTTTAAGTAACAGAACTATCCAAAAGCAATATATTGTTATGCATTTGCTTGGGAATAGGCTGTTTACCAATTAGGACAGATATACAACAAACAATATAAAAACGGAGTAATTTATGGCTTCTCAGTCAGTTTAGCAGTGTCCCTGGACTCTTCAATCCAGGTTGGCAACAGCTGATTGTAAGAGAGGACAGGCTCATAGCAGCAGACTACTCCCTAAATTCCAGAATCCCAGATTAAAACTCCAAAAGCAACCAACAACAACAGACACCTGATAGATCATACCTTAAATCTCTGGGGCTGGTGGAATTGTATTGTAGCCTTTTTCTGGTCAAAGTCTTTCTTCAGCTGTTCATAGCTGACTTTGCCATCTTTGTTAAAAATCTTTTTTTTCCCATTCATACTTCTGCAGACATTAATGTCCCTTCCATAGTACAAGCCCTCTTTGACCATGTTTTTCAGGTCAGTTAAGTGAAAAAGAGATTGGTAGTACAATGCCACAGAAGGCTCCTCTCTCTGAAGAAGCAATGGCTTCTGCTCCCAATACTCTCTGAAAAATTCATCTTGTTTGACAGGAGAGATCAAACTTTCAAATACGCTCTCTGGATGGTCACATTTCATAAGCCAAGGGCAGGTTGCTTCCACTTTTGCTTGTTTACATGGCAAACATTGTTCCTTCTCTGTTGCAGCTCGTCTCCCTCCTTTCTTGGGCATGGTCCTGCATAAAGTAGCAAAAACATTAAGGGTGCCTCTAGAGCATCACTATTTTGCAGAAGAAATTCAACTTTAGCTTGATGCAATTAAAGTGGATTAAGGTACTCTGTTACCCTAGCGCAAGGTATCCTCTTAAAAACAACAACAAAAAACAGACTTGTTGGAGTTAGGAAAGTGAGGGGAAAATGCACTGAAAAGTGTGGGGTGAATGCATGATTAACAGGAAGTGTAAACACCTTGGAAGTGAATCAACTGAATGCGTGTTGTACAACTGTCCCGTGAACAAATGCTCAAATAGACCAGCTATAATCTAACCTCCAAGTAAGCTTTGTGCAAGCAAATCAGGATAAATGATGAATAAGCGGGAGGAGGAGCCCTATGTCTGAGGTAAGACCAAGTTCAATCACACTCCTATGCGTACACAGAACTGCAGCCTGGGTAAACCTGCTGAGGATTGGACCATCAAAAGGGGTGGCCATGTTTGCACCTATTAAATTGCTCAAGGTCTTTAAAACAAAAAGATTGTGAAGAGTGCCAAAAGGACCTTTTCAATCTGAGAGCGGTAAAATGGCAAATACAATTCAATTCAAACAATGCACAGTGATACATGTAGGACAAAAAAAAAAAGTTAACTTCACATATATGTTCATTAGGTCTGAACTGACGATAGCTCAATGAATCTGACACCAAATATGTATATTTAAGGGCAAGTCAGTATCACCTTATTAAAATATGTCAAAATTATCTCATACTACATATATGAGAGTCAGCTAACTGGAAACTCTGTTCATTTCCAGAGGCAAATACAGATTGAGAAGACACTGGGTGATGTACATGTATGCATAGATTAGTCTTAACTGGTTTGCTTCTGCATGAGATATTCCCTTTAGCATTTTTTTCCTAACACAGCTCACAGCTCCTCTTCTAGGTTTTCAAAACACAGGCTTTCTGGAAAAACTTAATCACATCTCAGCAGGGTCACCTCAGCTCATCAACCCTCCATTATCAGATTGCATGCATGTTAGTTTTAAGATAAAGCTTTTAAAATTCTGCTCTGTTTTGAGTCCCAGAGATCCCATGACATTTTCTGTGACAATGGCAATTGCCTGATGTCCTCAATCCACCCTCCCATTCTCTCTGCTGGGTGAACACTGCCTGCTTGTTAGCAGCTGGTTTCAGCTAGGGAGTAGCGTTAACAATGCCACAGAAACACATCATGGAAAGCATGTTGAGATTTTGGAGCTCAAAGATATTATGCACACATCACCATTGCACCATTTAGAAACCTATGTGGTCCCCTGGGCAGGCAAGGTAATTCATTAAACATTAGTTCATTTTCCGTTCCACTACATCTTAAACTAAATATTTTAATGGGTACCACTTTATGTCCCCCTGCGTTTAAACCTACTTAAAAGCTGCAGGAAAATGGGGTTAACAGGAACAGACAGATGCAAATGTAAGATAGGGAGGGAGAAAGGAGACAGCAATAATGTTTCCTTGCAAATCTTTGAGGAGGCCCAATCAAAACATTAACAAGCTAAGGATGCGCATCACTGCTGTGCAGTATTTGGAAATGAGCTATTTCAGAATAAGCAACACTCAGCCCTTTCCAAAAACAGCAGCATGTAATTCTTACCAATTTATACAGCACTTTTCATGTTCAAAGAACTTTATTAGTATATTTATTTGCCACCCTTATTCCATCCCAGAATTCAGTCTGTTTAGTCCAGTCCAAGCACTGATCAAGCCCAGGTCTACTTAGCTCCAACGAAGAGTATGCATTTTGTGTACATCATTTCAGTAAACCTTGCAATTAAGATGTCTTGTTGCACCATATTGCAAATGGGTGAATGTACTTGCAGAAGACCACATAGCAGTCTCACTGCTGAGCTGACATTTGAACAGTGACACGGGATAGGTAACACATGTACCCCTATTTTCCACAGCATAGTCATAAATATCCAAGCAATGGTAGCTATCTCCACAGCGATTCAAATCAATTTGTTCATAACCAAGTAAGCAGAATAGTTTATTTAAGGGGAGTTGGGGAACTTACAGCACGCACCCCACGATTTTGTTGGGTGTGCATTTTCCATAATACTTGACTACTGATGAGGCTGGCTGGAGCTGATGGGCATGAAGAAGGTAGGAACCTAGAGCATGCTGGTTCCAGCCAAAGGCCATGTACAGTAATCCACTACAGTGGTACCTCGGATTATAGACGCTTCAGGTTACATACTCCACTAACCCAGAAATAGTACCTCGGGTTAAGAACTTTGCTTCATGATGAGAACAGAAATCGTGCAGCGGTGGCGCTGCAGCAGGAGGAGGCCCCATTAGCTAAAGTGGTGCTTCAGGTTAAGAGCAGTTTCAGGTTAAGTACGGACCTCCAGAACAAATTAAGCTCTTAACCCGAGGTACCACTGTAGAGTCATACCTCATGTTACATTTGCTTCAGGTTGCGCGTTTTCAGGTTGCGTCCCACGGCGACCCGGAAGTACCGGAAAGGGTTATTTCCGGGTTTCACCGCTTGCTCGTGCGCAGACACACAAAATGACGTTACGCACATGTGCAGAAGCGGCAAATCGCGACCCGTGCACGTGCAGACGCGGGTTGCGTTCTTTTCAGGTTGTGAACGGGCCTCCGGAATGGATCCCGTTCGCAACCAGAGGTACCACTGTATTCTGTTCTCTCAGTGACCGACCAGATGCAGAGTCCGAGGGCTAGAGCGCTCTCCTTGTATTAACTCCAGCAATATCTGGAGGGCCTCCGGTTCCCCATCCCCAAATAAGGAGGGAAAGCGACTGCTCTGTGGAGGAGGCCCACCTCCTTCCACACAGCAGACCCTCTTGTTCTCATGCCCCGCAGAAAACCTCCCCTCGCCTTAAAAAACAAACCCAAAGGTTTTCCCAACTGCATCCTTTTCTCTTAGCGGCACAAGAGCAGCGGCAAATTGGCAGCGTATTCGAGCCCCTCGCGCCAATATCCACGTGCACCGGCAGTATTCCTAACTGGATCCCAGCAGAAAGTCCCGCCGGGCCCTCGCCCTCCAACGAAGGGACGTGCATTTCAATCACCCTCTTTGGAATTCATGCAAAAGCTTAGGCTAGGCTTCCAAAACGGGAATTTTCAATGAAATGAAGCAGCGGCAGCTACCAAAGATAAGCAAAGAGCCGGCCGAGAATCACGCGGCTGCTCTTCTTAATGGTAGCTGGGGGGAGGGGGGTTGTTCTAGATTTGCAGCACGTCGGGATACGGCCATAAAGAGTACCCAGCGCTGACGGTGCATTAGCAGCGGCGACTAGGTGCGAGTTACCACGTTGCTGTGGGATTAGGCTGCTGGATTGGGCGCCCTGCCCAGGAAGAGCATGGCCGGCCTCGCCTCACACTGCAATAGAAGACGGAGAAGAAGGGAGCGGAGCCATTTCTGTGGCGGAGGGTGGGGAGACCCGCAGGTGCTCTTCGGGCAGCCGCCCCTCGCTTTATACCGACCTGCTTGGGTGCGCGGAGAGTGACACGTGCGTTGCAGCGTGAGCAGAAGCTGCCCCTCCGCGCGCTTCCTGTGCGGGAGGAGGGAGAGTCGCCTTCCTTCCCTTCTCCTCCCTCCCACCCGCCTGCCTCTCTCCTATCGCGGGAGACTTGTTGCTTTTTGCCCGCCTCCCAAACAGCAAGGCGGGGCGGTCGCGGAAATAAGCGCTTTTTTGTGGCGGCGGCGGCGTTAGGACTTGTTCCCTTGTGCCGGTTTAGCCGCCGTGTGGACGCGCAGGGAAAGCGCAGCTTTCTCGCTGCAGCCCCTTCAGGCTCAGGGGTGTGAGCGCGCACGCGCTCTCTCTGCACCGGTTGTATTTCTGCCCCAAAGGAACGAGCTATGCGAAGGGGAGACGCTCGTAATGAGATTTTTTAAAGGCTGGGGGCGGGGTAGGAGAGAAGAGCGCCTTAGCTCCCTTTTGTTTTTTTCGTCCCTCACGCACGCCTACGTCTGTTGTACGCACCTGGGATAATACACTCTTATCACTGCGAAGAGGGCGTTGCAGGAGCATCAGGCAAAGGCTAAAACTGCACAGAAAGAAGCCACAGCAATTAAGTTGTGTAATGCGATGATAACTCTGTGCTGTTATTAAAAGTGTCCCTTTCGGCATAACAAGGAGACAGTTTTGAGTTTCGCAAAAGAAAGACGGAGGCGTAGCCAGGACTTTTGGGGGAAGCAGAGATTGGTCAGTAAAGTATTTCTATTGTTTTAATTGGTGCTGTGGGTTAAACCACAGAGCGTAGGACTTGCCGATCAGAAGGTTGGCGATTTGAATCCCCGCAGCGGGGTGAGCTCCCATTGCTCGGTCCCTGCTCCTGCCAACCTAGCAGTTCGAAAGCACACCAGTGCAAGTAGATAAATAGATACCGCTCCAGCAGGAAGGTAAACGGTGTTTCCGTGCGCTGCTCTAATTTGCCAGAAAAAGCTTAGTCATGCTAGCCACATGACCCGGAAGCTGTACGCCGGTTCCCTTGGCCAATAAAGTGAGATGAGCGCCACAACCCCAGAGTCGGTCACGACTGGACCTAATGATTAGGGGTCCCTTTACCTTTACCTTACTTGATCTAGGGGAGCAGCTGCCCCCCCGCCTACGCCCATGGAAAGTAATCCTGCATGCCACCCCCGTTTCTGGGAATGAGGCACAGCTGAGACTGGTGTCTGATAAATGGTTAATGCTCTCACTATAAGGGTAGTTGCTGGAAGTGTAAAAAATAAATACACAACTTGTGAGATTCTAGGCAAGCACCCTTTTCTAAACAGGGAGAGCAGTTCCTCCTACCATCAGGAAAAATGCACACACCAGAGAATGCCTTCTTTTTTAAAACAAAATATTTATTATAAACCACTACTTGCATATATTTTTATATTTTTATTAACAGATATTTCCATACTGCACATTGAATTGCAAAATTATAAAACATTAATCAGAAGTGCAAAACTACAAACCATTTTCCCTAGAGTAGTTCCATTACAATGAATGGGAGTGCTCCTGTGGGTGTGATACAGTGATTGCAACAAAGCGTTCATCCACACTTCATTTTATTGTTAGCCTACAACATTATGCCATGTTTCTAGGCACAGTTCTCAACTTTCCAGGTCTGTGTTTGTGTGTGTATGGTGTGTTTCTTGCGTTTTACTGCTGAATCGGAGCAAATGTCAATTGGGTTTCCATGGAAAGCCTGGACCTGGACCTAGAAAGCACGGAGCAAAGGTATGGATGGATGAGCCCAAAGAATAGGAAAGTTGCAATTGATTTGGTTAAACTTAATAGCAGTTCTATTCTGATATATATTATATGATTAATACCTTATATGGGATCTTTGACTTGGCTCAGAAGCAAGAAAGAGAAAAATTTCCAGCATGGTTTTCAAAGAGATGTCAAGGAGATAAGAGGTTCACAAGAACTTAAATGTAAAGAAACACAGAATCTTCCACTTTACATCTGGGGTTCACGTTTTATAAAATTTCTCCCTACTTAGCGACAGGTGCTTGCAGCCTCCTTATGACCTTTTTAAGGGCCAGTATTTGTTCTTTGAGGAAATTGATCCAGTTTGTAACATAATAGGAGAGTTCCTCAGTTAACTAATCAAACACAACAGGACACATATTCATATATAATTTCCTGGATGTGCCCCCACCCTTTGAAAAAAACACTTGGGATAATTGGAATGGAAAAATAATCAGAGGAAGAAGGGTTAAATAACCCCTATATAACTATGCCTGCCATTTTTCACTTAAACTTGCAGTCTCCCTAGATTGCTTTGGTCCAGAAGATAATACATGCAATGTGTAGTTTTGAGTGCAGTCCTATGTATACCTATATGGAATAATGTCCCAATGAAAGAACTGGAGCTAATTTTTGAGTAAACATGCATTGGATTGGACTGTAAAGCTACTGCTGGCTGCCACCATATTTTTTACAGATATGGCAGTGACTGAAATTACTTGGCCTTAATTAAATTGAGCAGAATAGCATTTATACTAGTTACTATTTCAGAGATTTCTACCATAGTTTCCTGTTGTGAGCCTTCAATTAAAACTGATTATCTGTGGTTATTCCACAACGTGCACCTCCCAATGGCTGGATAGAATACCAGCTGCTATTATAACCCAGGCAGTCTATGGTTAGGTTCTCCAGCACCAGGTCTAATTTTGCTCCTAGTCAACTTCCTAAGTCAGCTCCTAGTCAGCTTCAATCATCCAAGAATGAAGGCTACAGAGCTTTATATTTTTTTTAAGTCAGCAAGAAGCAATGTGAAGAGTGAAATTATTTGGAGAAAGATCCTAGTGCTGAGTGTATAACACTAGTCTGGATCATAGGTGGGAGTGGTGGGCAACGTTGGCAGAGGAGGGAAGATTTAGGTGTTGTATGGTGTAGGTCTAGCCACTCTTGGCAGCTTTAAAATAGTTCTGTAAGCTAGATGGCTGCGTTGTGGGAAGCTGCATAACTACCAATCCTGTGCATCACACAGCAGAAATAGGTATTTTACACTGCTGTCATACAAACTAGCTTAAAACCACCTATCATCATTTAGGAATAATAGCCCAGAGTGCATAACAAACTCAGAGCCATTGGGACTTCCATTTTAGATAATAGATTTTGCAAGCAGGGAGAAAAACCTGTTATTTGGGTACCAGAATCTCTTGTTCAAACTCTAAAGCATCTCTGCTTACACAGATCATGGCATGTGTATTTTACTATGCATTTCTGGTGTGCTCATATGAAAAATATATCAGTTATAATCATTCATATATACAAACCCCAGTAAAAAAAGTTGAATACAATATATACAGTAGGAAATATAACCCTGGAGTATGTGTCAATGGCATGATTGTTCTGCAAAATAATCCTGCCCACATTCCCTTTCAAGGATCTCTTCCTCTTGATGCGAGCTGCATCTAGAGTGGGGGTGCTGGGTGCTTGCCCTCGTGTTGAACTTTCTTCAGAAGGGACTGAAAAGGTGGTCAGGTCAATGTCGGTGGTGTCTGTGTCGTGATAGCAGCCATCAAAGGCCATTGCTTGCACTGCATCAATATTATACAATCCAGCAGCCTAGGAAAAAAGGGACAATTACTGGTTAAATAAAATGACTGAAGAACAAGTGCTTCTTCTTTTTAATCCCGCTTACAGGAAATAGTTTTAACAGCAACAAGGATGTTTCCACAAGTGACACCAATGAGGGCTTTGTTGTCTAACAATATGAATGTTGTTCATGTAGGACAGAAAAGTGGAAGAGTATTTTTTTAAAATCAATTGACATTCTAACATTAAGTTTTGTATTAAAATTACAGATACAGGAACTATGTCTCTTATGACAACAAACTAGGATCCATAGTTACCTTTTTCAATAAACACTACAGAAGATTTGTGAAAACAAAAGCTATTTACCAGTGATATATATCACATTCATATTTGCTGTGAGGCGTGAAGGCCACCTCCCGCAAGGCTCTTTCCACTTGGCCTAGGGGGCGAGGCCCACACTCACCAGCCCTACTGAAGAAGCTGACCAGAGTGACATCGCCCGGCTGTGAGGCGTGAAGGCCGCTCCCTGCAAGGCCCTTTCTACCTGGCCAGACTCACCAGCCCTACTGGAGGAGGCTTCTCATGAGGCCGGAGGAACATTGCCCGGCTAATGTTTTATTGATTTATTGATTTAATATGCTGTAAACCGCTTTGAGATTTTTATTAAAAATATAAAGTAGTATAGAAATTAATAAATAAATTAAATAAATAAACATGATCTATCTTGTCAGCCTAACTTGTAACAGTTAAAAAGAAAAGAACAGGGTGGTATTTAAATGTATTCAGAGTAGACTCCTTGAAATCAGTGACTTAAACTTATTGAGTCTACTCCAAGTCTGACTTAACTGTATACAGTCCATGATATGTAGAAGTCTTCCCCCACCACAAAATAATCTCAGTTTTTCTTTTTGTCCACACAAATTAGTTGGTTCAGCTAGACTTATCTACAGCTTTCATGTTGGACTGCTGTGATGGGACAGGATTCAGAGGCAGTTTTACAGTGGTTCAGTCCCTTCTTGGATGGGATGGGACTTGAGGCACAGTTTTTATGGTGATTCTGAATCTTCTTGGACTGACAGGTTCAGAAAGTGCGTTTGGAGATTGTTATGTGATCCCTTAGCTATTAGCCTTTGGTGTTGAAAGGCAGATTAGGAAATGGGGTTTCGTCTACCTTGGAGTGCGTTACACTCCTCTTTGATACAGTGGTGCCCCGCAAGACGAATGCCTCGCAAGACGGAAAACTCGCTAGACGAAAGAGTTTTCCGTTTTGGAGGTGCCTCGCAAAACGAATCTGCTATGGGCTTGCTTCGCAAGACGAAAATGTCTTGCGAGTTCCTGGGTTTTTTTTCTTCTTTTCCCCCTCTTTTTCTAAGTCGCTAAGCCGCTTATCTGCTTATCCGATAAGCTGATAAGCTGCTAAAAGCCGCTAAAAGCCGCTAATAGCGCTAATCCGCTAATCCGTCAATGGGCTTGCTTCGCAAGACGAAAAAACCGCTAGACGAAGAGACTCCCAGAACAGATTCTTTTCGTCTTGCGAGGCACCACTGTACTTAGATTTGCAGTGTAAATCCTGGCTTTAGCCCTGAACTGGATGCCCTTATTTTTGCCACCAAGTGCACGCATGGTAACAGATGCCTTAGTTACATCTTGTTTGGAATATTGTAACATGCTCTACATGCGGCTGCCTTTGAAGAGTGGAAACTTGAACTGCTTCAGAATGCTGCAACCAGACTTAAAACAGTTTCACTGGCCCAGTCCTTTTTCAAGCATAACTGAAAGTTCTAGCTATGATCTACACTGTCCAACACAACTTGAGACCAGATTACAGTGGTGCCCCGCAAGACGAATGCCTCGCAAGATGAAAAACTCGCTAGACGAAAGGGTTTTGCGTTTTTTGAGCTGCTTCGCAAGACGGATTTCCCTATGGGCTTGCTTCGCAAGACGAAAAACGAAAACGTCTTGCAAGTTTGTTTCCTTTTTCTTAACACTGTTAATACAGTTGCGACTTGACTTCGAGGAGCAACTCATAGAACGCGGTGTGGTAGCCTTTTTTTGAGGTTTTTGAAGACTTTGGTGATTTTTGAAGCTTTTCCAAAACTTCTTTTGCAGCCATTTGGTAAGTTAAACTTTTAAAACTTTTTGGGGGGTTTTTGGATTTTGGGTTGGGGTGTTTGGAATTCAAGGACTTGGTGTTGGGGAGGGGTTTGCAAGAATCTGGAAGCTTGTGTGTGTTTTTTTCTGCATTCTTATGATTTTCTGTGACCATTGGGCCACTCTGCTGTTTTTTTAAAAAAATTCTGGATTTGAATTTCTGTGTGGTGGGTGGCTGGGGGAACAGTTGAGGAGGGGGTTGCAAGAATCTGGAAGCTTGTGTGGTTTTTTTCTGCATTTTTATGATTTTCTGTGACCATTGGGCCACTCTGCTGTTTTTTTAAAAAAAAATTCTGGATTTGAATTTCTGTGTGGTGGGTGGCTGAGGGAACAGTTGAGGAGGGGGTTCTTCAGCAAGAAGCAAAGAGTGGAAGAGGAACCTTCTTCGAGTTGTCCCCCAGAGTCTTAGAAAATGTACTGTACACTTTGTTGATTTTTAAATGTTTTTCTGTCATGTTTAGAAACTTAATTTATTGTTCCTTCAGTTTTTGAAATGCTCTTTACAGTATGTGTGACTTTAAAGAGCACTTAATAAACTCTTGTTGTACCAAATTTGGCTTTGTTTGGACTTTTTTTGACCATAGGAATGCATTCATTGAATTTCAATGCATTCCTATGGGATTTCGTGCTTCGCAAGACGAAAAATTCGCTAGACGAAAAAACTCGCGGAACGAATTAATTTCGTCTTGCGAGGCACCACTGTACCTGAAAGACTGTATTCTCCAATACGAGGCTGTCAAGATTTTAAGTTTCTCGGGATAGGCCCTTCTGTTTATCTGCTTACATCTGAGGGACATTTGGTGGGAAAGAGGTAGTCTTCTTGGTAACTGCTCTTATAGCCTCTGGAATTCCTTGCCAAGGGAGACCTCTAATGATCTTCCGTCAGCAGTCAATTACATTTTTATTTAAATAGGTCCATAAGCTGTACTGATATTTTTAACTTGTGGTTTTTATTGACTGTAATGATGTTCTTCCTGCCTTGGTTTTATATATTTTTCTAGGTATTTTAATTTTATTTTATTTAGAAATATTTATACATTTATAAATATATTTATTATAATATTTTCTTTTACTTTTGTTGTTAGCCGACCTTAGCACCATCTGGCTGAAGGTTAGACTACAGAAGTTAACAAAGAAAAGAGTTTAACGGTAATACTGGAATTTGAGAAGCAGGCAATCCTTGGTTAAGGCTTGGTGAAATAATGGAGTTCTAGAACACAATGCAAGAACAGACACCATTTTAACAGGCTTCCCAAATGCCTAAGGACTGTGAAACACAAATCACAGCACAGACATCACAAACAATAGTGTTTTCTGTGACTAGAACACAAGCAAGTATATACCTTTCCTCTCTTTTTCAGCTGTTTTCTTTCTTCCACTGTTGTGAGATAATTTACAGCTGCATATTCAATGACAGACAGGAAGACAAAGAGAAAGCTGATCCATAAGTATACATCCACGGCTTTGATATAAGACACCTGAGGCATTGAGGCACTTACTCCTGTGATTATGGTTGACATTGTCAGCACAGTAGTTATACCTGCCAGGAGAGACAGAAAAGATGAAGGGACAGCATCAATAAGGTCTTGCATTTTGCAAAAATATGCACAGTAATAACGTGTGTACAAATGGTTGGTGCCCCCTAACTTCCTTCCTCTATCAGCACATGACATATATAAATATCACATGACAAATAATTGAATTGAGTCTCCAGGATTCGTGGTGGTGGTACCAGATTTCAACCCACGTACAAGGCTCAGTGGCAACACAAGGTTAGTGAGGACAATGTCTTTCCCCAGCCTTTAAGTGCTCTTTTACAGAAAACATTAGAGTTGCACCTATTCTTCTCCTTGAAAGATGTTTCCAAGCTCCATTTTTCTCAGAGGAACAACATGCAGAGTCAAGGAAGCCTCATATTTCCAGTGTACAAGGGCCAGGTTTTCAGCCAAGCTGCAAATCCCAGGCAAATATGATGTCAAGACTATTCTGGCTTACATTTTCTTATAAGTCTTCTTGTCACCTTTTAGAACAAAATATCCCTACTCTTTGAAGGAATCTTACTGCTACCTGATAAAACTCAACATGGATTTTCTTTACTATTTAATATACTATTTCTATACTATTTAATATAATTACTGTTAGTTTTCCACATTTATTCTTTCCTGTGTATCTCCTAACTGTATTTGTTATGCTTTTGTTTTATAATAATAAAATATTAATTTTAAAGAAGTTATTTTTCTACTTTAAAAGCATAGTTCTTTAATGGATATTTTAACAAACTCTGTATGTTTGGGGGTTTTTTTAACCTATGGCCCTCAAGGGTATCCCTTAAGTAAGAAGCAAAACACCACAAATTCAGTTTCTTGGAATACTGTTCCGTTAGTTAGAATGAGTAATGAGAAATCAACCATTCCCTTTTAAATCTCTAGCAATTAAATATGGCCTGATTCTAGGTGAAGATATGGTGAAACAGTGGTTCTCAGAACAGGGTATTAATACCCATTAAAGAACATGCTTTTCAACATTAGCCACATTGATCCTTGAAGGGGCGGCAGGGGAGAAAGGGGTTAAGTAGCATGGTTCCTATGCAGTGATGAATAATTTAAGTAGAAAACATATATTATTTGTTAGGTTCATAAAATGTATCCTTTCATATTAGATTTTTCTTTTAAAAAATTAAAAGGACTGCTGAATTTCATATGTTCTAGGGAGATGTCCACCAAATGATGTACCTGTGGGGGTTAACCCTTCCCCTGCATCATTTTTCTCAATGACAATCCCTCTAAGCTTTTTGACCCACAAGGGAAGATGCTATATGAGCAACTTCCCTTCCAGGGCAGATGGTAGCTCCAGGGTGATTACTTTTGTGGAGGAATAGTACAGGAAGAGATGGTTAACCCCCACTTCACAGTCTAGGTTCATGTCCCTCTCCCACCAGCTGCTTTTTAAAATAATTAATGATATGCAAATATGATCACACATTTAATGTATTGACTAGTTTGCCTCATAACGTAAGGTTTTGTAAGCATCTGAAACCATGTTGCCCAGATGAATGAACTGACTCTCAGTTAACCACCCACAGTTTCAGATACAGTGGTACCTTGGGCTAAGAACTTAATTCGTTCTGGAGGTCCATTCTTAACCTGAAGCTATTCTTAACCTGAGGTACCACTTTAGCTAATGGGGCCTCCCGCTGCCACTTCGCCGCCGCACGATTCCTGTTCTCATCCTGAAGCAAAGTTCTTAACCTGAGGTACTATTTCTGGGTTAGCGGAGTCTGTAACCTGAAGCATCTATAACCCGAGGTACCGCTGTAGTAGAAAGTTGTTCGCTTCCAGACATGTAGTCTTTACCGTACTTTTCCGTGTATTAGACAAGGGTTTTTTACTCCAAAATAGTGTTTAAAAACTGGGCTCATCTAATACAAAGGCAGTACATTAGGGGACCAAGTAATTGGTTGCAGCCGCGAGCTGCAGCTTGTAAGTGGCGTTTTGGTGTGTGATTTTTGGCTGCGTCAAGGGCTGCCTTGGATTGGCTGCTCTTGCGTTAATTGGGCGGAGGTTTGGTTGCTGCATCAAGGGCTGCCTTGGATTGGCTGCTGTTGCGGCAATTGGGTGTTCAGTTTCCGGCTTGTGTTTGCAAACGGGCAGACGCTTGTCGGATTCTGTGACGCGAGCAATTCTGAGCTCTTGTCTTTGGGGCTAGTTATTTTCTGCATTTCCCCCCCAAAAACTGCGCAATCCTTCCCAAAAGCAATCCCCCCCAAAAAAGCTTAACAGCTCTGGTAATATAGCCATCTCCCCCCATTTTCTTAAATTATAGTCCCCCAAAATAGGGGTCATCTTATACATGGGGGCATCTTATAGACGGAAAAGTACGGTATACCAGATTTGGCCAATTGAGAGGCTTTCTGTTTCGGCTGCCATCAGGGCTGATGCTGCACGTTGCTCTTCCCTTCTGCCACCAAGGCTTCAGATTTAGAGCTCACACAGACTCAGCTCACCACCGTGAGGTTCCTAGTTGCTGGCACTTGACAGTATGTACTGAGATGCATGTGAGCACAAACATCGGTACATTGTACCACCTCACATACATAGAAAATGCCTGCAACTTGTACGTAGTACAAAGTACATAGTAAAAAACATTTTCTACCACTCTGTCACGTATGACTAAGCTAGTAAGTCTGGGTTTATTGCCCAGGTCAGCCATTTCTTTCACGCAAAGCAAAAGTGAAATCTCCCTCCAGGACAGATGATTTCAAAAGAAATGCTGAGTTGAGTTAATTAACTCTCCAGACAGTTCCCCGCCTACCTTTCCTCTCACACTGCTGCATCTCACAGCTCTTTCTGATTAATGAACAACTTTGGGTATAGCAAAACTAGGCAAAGCACACTTAAATTCCTTCTACCAGAAATGAAATAAGTGTTAGAGAATGTAGGAAGAATAAGATGATGATTATATACTTCTGTGAACTACCTATAAAGCCAACACAAGCCAATTGCTACAACGTGTTTTCCACCATACTCTAAATATATTCATATGAGAGCTTACCAAGTGATACCCTTGCAGGAACAGCTCTTCGGTCGATCCAAAATGAGACCCATGACAGCATCACCATCAGCATAGATGGGAAATAGGATTGTAGTACAAAAAAGAAAATATGTCTCCTCAGGGCAAAGTTTATGAAGAGTCTGTTGTACCAGCCTGTTGAAATATGTAAATATATTCCTTAACATCCACATTCTGTTCTCCCTCCACTGAACTGTGACTTATTAATATGCATACATTTACCACCTCCTTTACCTATTTAAATAGTGTTATAGGTGGGTCCTTTCGAAACCTGTGATCCTGTGTATGTGGGGTAGAATCTATAACCAGTTCCTTTGTTAAAGTAATGGCTTTGGAAGATCAAAAACACCACTAATTGATGGGAATTTAAAAAATGCTATACAAGTACAGGCTAACAACAGAATTGCAGTTAATCCACCAGGAATTTGATTAATCATGTCTTGCATGATTAGTACTACCATTATGAAAATGCTTCAGGGATATTTCATAATAATAAATTCTCAGGTTATATTTGTTCTTGTTTCTTCATTGGCTTCACTTTTTTGCTGTTAAACGAAGCATCCGACTACTGAATCAACAGCACCGCACAGGAGACAGTGCCATCTAGTGAATCATTGCATAATTCTGCAGGAACAGCACACATGCTGTTAAAGGAAGAAAAACATAGCTTCAAAAATAAAAGCCTGCTTTTATAATTAAAATCACATTGCATTATATTGTAGTAGAAATTCTACTCTAATAATCCTACTTGGCAGAGCAATCTGAATCTGTATCTGCAGCCCCACTGCTCATGCTAGCTGGGGTGGAAAGCAGAGGCAGGCAAAAGTTGGCTCCAGGTGCCACCAACCTGCAGCTGGCATAGCAATTATATCTGAATTAAGCTCTGTGCTGTCAAATGATTGCAGTAGAGCTGGCTCAGGATCCAACAGACGATAGGTTGGCTCAGTCCCTCCCTGTCCAACCTTCTATGGGCTACCAGCCACAGGAAGCCTGTTGCAGTATTTCCACTGACTGTGTTTTTGGTGAGTGGAACAGGGAGCTCCATGCCAGCAGAGTGATGCTTGATTCTGGACTGTTCTGGGCTGGGCAGAGAGAGCTCTCAAGTCCCAGCCAAACCTTCGCCCAGTAGATCGGGAGTTTGGATTGTGCTCTAAAGGTATAAGTCTCCCACATATTTCCAACTTAACTTTTCCAAGTGAGATTTTAAAATATGTAATCATATTGGCTAACTTTAATGGCCAATATAGTGCAGTTCTGTACATGTCTGTTCAGAAGTATGCCTCTTGGAGTTCAGTGGGTCTGACTTCCAATAAGTACCGTAGGTATAGGATTGCAGCCTAAATCACTCTTTTCTACTTTTAATCATTCAGATCACAAGCATTGTTACTTCTATTTTGAACTTTTTGAGGGGGGGGAAGTTACACTATCAATATTAAGTCAAAGCTGTTCCTCTATTACTGCAGCCAATACAGCAAAAGTACTGTACAATTAAATTAGTTGTATCTAAAAGTTTGAGGAAATTGTTCTGTGTATAAAATATTTTATATTGATCAACCACAATTTACTGGCAGGTAGTCAAGGATTTTTAAACTAAGTAGAAGTTGGATCGTGGTTCTTCACTTTCTTAATCCCTATGAGTTAATTGGCTGTGTGAACAATGAGCTAGGGTATACACTGATCCTGAACTTGTGTAAAGCTTATAGACTACCAGGTTATAAAGCATGACATTCAGACAGGCTTGTGCTCTAGCATATCTTCATATAGAAATTTAACACTAAAAAGTGTATGTTTTAGAGTCAAGCCAGATGTGACACCATTCCTACAATAAGTAATTGCATGAATTCCTTTTAAAAAATAAATTGCAGATGCAGGGAGTTGACCTGGATCATGAACCTGCTGTGAGGGGTAGAGAGCTTTAGCCCTCCACTCCCTTACTGAGGACCTGGTCTGAATAGGGCCCTCTACACAATGATATTTGCATTGAGAATAAAGCTCTAGCCTTGGCCCTTCTTCAACCCAATAGAAATGTTGTCTTTCTTCATCCTAAGTTTCGGAAAGTTGTTGCTTACAGAAGAGCGCATATGATGAACAGGAACATCCCACCCTCCCTGAATATAGGAAAGTAATATATCCAGAATAATATGTATATTATGATTACACCAGGTTAGCACGGGGAGAATTAAAAACCTACCTATTCACTGCAGCATAAAAACAAAATTAGAATGGCCTGGATGCAAAGAAATATGCAATTGGTTCTGTATGCCCAAAAAAGATTTGGCCTACAATTTTACTCACAGGTCCCTGGGAGCAAGCTCCACTGAATATAGTGGGACTTCTTTTTAAGCAAACATGCATAGGATTGTTTTGCTAGACTTGTGTTTTTCAAACATAAGTGCCCTCTCTTCCAACTCCTACAAATCCCATTTGAAATGGGGTAATTCCACAATCAGTTTGCAATATGCAATGGGGTTCTGCTGTTCATTGACCTGAAGCATGAACATAATAACACTTTCAATTCTAGCCTTTGTATATAAAGTTCTAAAATTTGTGAGGCAATTAATTTCAGACTAACATACTTCTTAATGCTCCTTTCCCCTATGTAATTTATGGTGATACAGAGGCATTAAAATTTCAATTATTTTCAGTTCCTTTTACAGTTCTCTTCTAATTTTCTATACAGACCGTGCACAGTGGGGGTAGATGAAACAATCAAAATTCAGTATGAATCGTGAAATGGCTCTAGGTCTCTTAGATATACCAAAATAAATAAATAAATGCATGTGTCACATAGAAAAATTAATAGGAAAATCAAAATATAGATACATGCACTGCGGATGTGGAAAAGAATCTTTTGAACTGGTTTCCTTCGTAACAACCATTCCACTGACTGCTATTCTTTGCTAAGATCAAAAGGAATTTAGATAGAACAAGAAAATCTATTACTGTCTGTCAGGCGCTATACCTGTACTGCTGTAGAATGCTAGCCCACTAGAAGCACTGAATTCTTCAATGAAGAACTGGGAAAGGGAAATGTGCTCATCTGTGCTAAGAGATTCATTGCCGTGCTTCCAATACAGCATCAAATCTTCTTCATTGTAGGCATCTGTGGGAAAATAAATAAATAAACTTAACAGACTATCACTGGCCTGTGACTCTTTTTCCTCTTGATTTACACCTTAACTCGCATTGTATTACCTAGATAGCATTTGAAAACACCAGACTCTGAACAGGAAGACAGCTTGGCTGCTTGATTCATTCCTTTCATATGAAGCCCATAACAGTGGGCAAGGTAAGCGAGGGGAGGGGATTATAACCAATTTGATTTTCAATAATCTACAGCATGGGGAGGCAAACAAAGGCCCGGGGGCCAGATCCAGCCCAATGTGTGCTTTTATTTAAAATGCATCTCTGGGTTATTTGTGGGGCCTGCCTGGTGTTTTTACATGAGTATAATGTGTGGTTATTTATGGGGCATAGGAATTCGTTCACACACACACCCCCCAAAAAAATATAGTCCGGCCCCCCACAAGGTCTGATGGACAGTGGACCAGCCCCCTGCTGAAAAAGTTTGCTGACCCCTGGTCTACAGTAAGCCCACTGCATCCCAAGGCAATCTGTTTCACCACTGAACAGCTCTTACTATTAGGAAGTTTCCCCTAATGTTTACCTGAAATCTGCATCCCTGCAATTTCCACCCATTGGTTCTAGTTCCTCTCTCTGCAGCAACAGAGAACAAGTCTGCTCCATCTTCTGTATGGCAGATAAACTTGCCTGTTGCTATCAAACTCCTGTTAATCTTATCTTCTCCCAGCTATGCCTATTGAGCTCTTTCAACTGCTCCTCATAAGACATGGTTTCCTGACCCTTTACTATCCTTGTCACCCTCCCTTGAACCTGTCACTGTCACAGGATGGTTCTCTTTAACTTAAGAAACTTGGTGGAGTAATAGGGTAAGGCTTGCTCATGCTTTAACATGGCCTGGTGTGCCGCCTCTGATGACCAGGAAAAAGATGTCCTGAGAGAGAGGGATGCTATGGCATGACAGATTCTGACTTTGTCCTCTAGAAACCTTTGTGTTTCATTAAAATCGCCATTCATCACCTTCCTCTTCTATGCTACCACAGTCCTCAGACAGACCACAGCCATTTACTACATAGCAAATAAGGTATACAAAATTATACCTAAGCGAAACCAAACATATGAAATGACAGAGGTTTCCAATATAGTTCCCTCTTTGCTTATGGAGGGGGAGTGTTCTGTCTCCTTTTATAAATATTCATTGCTTTTTACTAATCTAGTTCCCAAGAAGAATATTTGAAGACCCCCCCAAGTCCTTAAGACGCCATATGCCTTTAAAATACAGTATAGGTAAGGTACTTCTAATAATTCCTATTTAAAAACACACACATGTAGAACATACAATACCATAGCTGAGCCACACTTACAGCTTTCCAGTTCTAGAGAGCAGTTTTGAGTGTCAAGTGGGAACCTACTGAAGTCCATGAAGCACATGGCAGAAACTGTTATTCTGTCAGAAAAGCAATAAAGCAAAACAAAGGGATAGGCTTTACTGTTCATATCAACATTTTCATTATGTATGAGAGCCTTAAGGTCAATGAATGAGGGATTCCAGTTGGGGGTCTTATGTTTTTATTTTTGGCTCAATATTTTGGCCTAATCATTTTAGTATCTAGAGAAGTAATATATATCAAGTGAAAAATTATGAAAACTCATGGAGGAGCACAATTTCCCCAACTGTTGCAAGCCTTTTGGCAGCAATGGCCTATTCCCCTTCAACAAAAGGAGCTGGTGGGGTGGATCTGGCTCTCAACAGTTTAAAAGGGGGGGAAACCATGGGGGAAATTATTATTTTTTAATTCCCTCCTGTTGAAATGACATCAAAGTGAGCACCAGGCAAGCTTTCCTGGTGAGGGTATTCCATAGACAGGGGGGGGGGCGGGCGGGATGACCACTAAAAAGGCTCTTCCTGATTGTCACCACTTTACCTCAGAGGGTAGAGGTAGCTGAAGAGCTCTGTGACTGGATGGACTAAAGTGGGAGAAGACAGGAATAGCAGAAATAGTGCAACAAAACCTGAGCCACCCAGGTTTCTGAACCTGTGGCCATGAAGCTGAAACTCAGCAGACAGCTGATGATCCAACTATGCCATGGGCTCTAAGTGCCATGTGAATAAACCTTCAATGCCTATAATTTCTGCAAGGATCAGAATGAGCTACCGCAGAGGTAGTCAACCCCATGTGCTCCAGATGCTGCTGGACTGCAGCTCCCATCCGTCCCAGCCAGCATGGCAAATAGGGAAGATGGCAGTTATAGTCTAGCAACATCTGGGGGGCAACACACTGTCTATCCCTGAGCTAGTGATTCTTCTCACCTTTATGTTTGTTTCCTGCGACTGGAAGATAAGGAGAGCATTGTGCTTACCGTAAGCTAAAGAGCACATTTCCATCTGGGTAGACACGTAACATAACGTTCTCCATAGTTGTGTCATGGATGAAAGATCTTTTGGAGTGGACAAAAAATATATCAGGTACCCAGATCTTTTTTATTAGTCTTCCATCAAAAGTCATGCTTCTGTTTCTGGTACTAGGAAATGACAGCCTCTCATCTTTCCAGTAATGTCTGAGGTATAAAGTCATGGTGAAGTCCTTTATATAAAGAAAATAAAGAGGAATATATAAACAATAAACCACATTGTATGTAGTCTGCCATAACACTGCTTTCATGGGCTATTTCCCAAGATTCTAAAGGCAGGAACAGGGGAAGGAGGATGGGAAAGCAAGAAAAAGGAGGGGACTCATGTCTATAGTTAATGTAATGTGGGAGGAAGGTCTCTGTGTGTGGGACAGTTTTAGTTCTCTGATGGTGAGGGGGTGGGAAGAGAAGGGAGGAATTGGGGCAGAGGCATGTGGAACGGAGTGGGAGGTAGCATTTGGAGGAATGATGGGGAATATGGGAGGTAGGGAGGAAGGTAGATGTGTATGCATGTGTGCAACAGTTTTAGGGCTCTGGTGACAGTGGGCAAGAAAACTTGAGAGAAGGAGAAGTAATTGGTAAGGGGATAGACTGTGTGCAAAGGAGGGTTGCACAAAAGAGGGGTTAAGGCAGAAAAGGGGGTGCAAAGTGGGGCTGCAGAACAGAAGAGAGAAAGAGCTTCAAAAATAAGGTTGGGAAGGTGAGGAGTTTTAGTAGTTGCATGGGATGGGAAGAGGAAACTCCAGTGGGGTATCACTTGGGGCTGGATTGGCAAGCAAAGTGAGCAAGGGTACATCAATATTTGAAGAGCAGAGTTTGCTTTCTAAAATCTGTGTCTTTTGACATCTGATTTCTAGTCATTTTTGTCAAACTTCTGGATACTAGTACAGCTGTAGAGAAATAATGAAAAGCTTACCATGTCAACTTCTGAAATGCTGTCAATACTCTCCACTTGCACATCAATGCCCACTGGTATTGGTGACCCTTGAACATAACAAAGAGAATAAATGTGATGATCAGAGAGTTTAACAGAACCTTCAAAAAGAAAGAAAAGAGAAGTACCAACCATGAAATGGATGTATGTGAAATTTTTTTTATTAAAAAAACTGCTTTAAATAATTAAAAGTAAGTATGCACCTTGTAAAACCCTCTTACAGCAAGATTGTCATTAAAGACCAAACTAGAAGATATGTGAAACACATATATTTCTTTTGTTAACGAAAACCTGCTCAGAGAGTGGTGGTTCTAAAAGCCATTCAGAAAAGTTTAACCACTTAGTTTAATAAGGTTTTGGCATTGCTTCAGATTTCTCCATTGTTTCAGAGTACATATGGTCTTCTACAATTCACAAATCAAAACTGAATTTTCTCTCTCAAAACCTGAAAACAGGGGAGGGGGTCATAGATTTTTCTCCCGCAGGATCCAGAAAGAAGCACTTAAGAGTGTTGCTGGATCAGACCAAAGACCCGTCCAGTCCAGCCTTCTGTTCCCATTGTAGCAAACCAGATGTCTATGGGAAACCTCAAAGCAGAACATGAGTGCTATAGCCTGCTTCCACTTAGGCTCCCCAGCAATTGGTATTTAAAGTCATGAGGCTTCTGGTCCTGAAAATAGCATCTATGATGTCTAGCAGCCTTATTTGCCATAAATTTGTCCAGTCCTCTTTAACAGCCATTTAAGCTGGTGGCTATCACCATAACTCGTCGCTGTGAATTACAGAAGTTGTGCAATGAGCTGTGACTGTGAAGAAATAGCATCATTTCATGGGTCCATTCAGCTTCATTGCAGGACTCCAGATTCTAATGTTATTATGAGAGGTGAAAAACAAAACAAAAACCCTTCTCTTTCTTCACACCATACATAATTTTATAAATTTCTTCATTTCCCCTCTTACTTGCCTTCTTTTCCTGACTAAAAAGTCCAAATGTTGTTCTTTCCTTCTAGGGGAATTGCTACAAGCCTCTGAGCATTTTGGTTGCATTTTTTAATGAAAACGCTAAACATAAAATTGTTTACTGCATCAGTTTCTGTCCTTGCAGGATATCTTTAAAAATCATCAAATGGCTGTGCTGGGTTCAGGATGCCACAATAGTTGTGCAAGTACACCATCATTTTGCTTCTGCAGCTACTGCCAGCTAATGGGATCAAGATACCATGTTCCCCATGTCAAATTTTAGAATGTAAACTCCTCAGGGCAGGAACCCGCCCTCTTGCACTCCAGAAAGTGCCATGTGTGTTGATGGCGCTCTATAAATAAACAGGCATTTCCTTGAACTTTGGCTTTTCATTTTTAAAAAATTCTAGGAAATCAAGCCTGAATAAATGTGGAAAGACCAGGAAAGCCTTGCAACAGTAATTCATGTGTTGGTTACTTCAAGACTAGATTACTGCAATGCACTCTATGTGGAGCTTCCCTCATGCTTGATCCAGAAGCTGCTGTTAGTACAAAATGCTGCAGCACGATTGCTGGCAGGAGTGAGCCCTTGTCAGCATATAACACCTGTGCTCAGAGATCTACACTGGTTGCTGATTTGCTACTGGGCCAAGTTCAATCTAGTACTATTAGCGTATAAAGCCTGTAACAACTTGGAACCAGTTTACCTACAAGATCACTGTACCCCACATGTGTCCACTTGACTGCCTAGATCAGCAGAACTGGCACCACTACATGTACCACATAATACCCATTCCACATTTGTAAGGACTTGATTGTTTGGTGTGGGAGCACCTGCACTTTGAAACTCCCTGCCTATTGAGATTGAGGAGGCACCTTCACTGTATTCTTTTCAGTGCCTGCTAAAAACATTATTGTTTAGACATGTCTACCCAGATGCTTAGAAAGTTGAGGTAATTTTAATCTGTTTTAGTATTTTAACTATTGTATGTTTTAAAGTATGTTTGTGAAGTTTCATTGATTTTATTGTTTTATCTTTTTGTAAACTGCATTGAGGTTTTGTGTATAAAGTTTTGCAGAAAATATATACAGAAAAAACACATGGGGGAGGAGAATTCAGCACAGTCTTACAATCAATCAATCAAATCTATCTATCTATCTATCTATCTATCTATCTATCTATCTATCTTTGACTGACTGACTGATTGATTGATTGATTGATTGTATATGCCATCCTTCATCCAAGGATCAGTGGACACAGATGCTGGATGTGGGGAATGAAATGTAATATACCCTGGATAAAGACTTGGCTGAACTGGCTAAAAGTTTGAACAGCAGCACTCTACCCTGCAACATGTTACCCGCATTGTTACAACAGCCCTGTAAAGTAGGCCTTATTATCAGTAAAATATCACAAAATAGTATGCAACCTTTTGAGTTCTCCAGAACTCTTCAATTCATGCTAGATGGTAAACCAGCAAATGGGGTGAGAGGAAATGGGGGCAGATGTTAGTTGAAGTCTTGGAGTAACACAGAATTGGAGAGGAGGTAGCAGACATTCAAATGTGGCCCTTTTGAGTGCTATGTAGGTATTAGCTTGCACCAACACCTGCAGAGAACAATAAAGGTAACAGTGGCTGAATTCTCCATGGCTGTTACCCAGGTCTATCTCCATCCTTAGGTAAAACACACAGGTTCCATGGTAGGTGTAAGACAGGAATCAAAAGAAACTAGGCAGTCCTTACTTTAGCAAAGTATTCTTTTGGAAGATTTGCTAGTGCTAGAAATTAAATACCAAGTAGTGTTTATCACAAGTTGTTTTCAATTTTTGAACCTTGGGGAAGAAGAAATAGAGTTAAACATACCATTCTCTTTTTAAATGACCTCTTTGGCCCAGGCTCAAGCAGTTTGCTGCATGAGAAAAAACAATTAACAAGTATGAAAAGGCAAATTTACTTACCTCCAAAGCCAGGTCTCATTGCAAAATCATGGTCCTCTATACGGAGAAGCTGCTCAGATTTCATGGGCCGCACTTTGGTGCTGTCAATTTTCCTCATCTTAATTTCTCGTTTGCTGCAATAACAATAGATAATTAAATGTATACCCCACTACATGTTGCCAGAGGTTTCTGAGGGTGATCTATATAGGAGTTGCTGTTTTAATCAACAATTAAAACTGAGTATCACTAAAAGCAGAACAATTCAATCAGAGTGTACCATACTATAACCACAGAGCAATAGAATGATATAAACAGGTCAGTTTAAAATAACAATCTGCCTTGCCTTCCAAATGGCTGCTAGAACAATGAATTTCAAGAAGGTATGGGCAGAGCCAGTGAGGTGCTAATTTAGGGTTGTCATATCTTGAAGAGAAAAAAAGAGGACTGTGCTGCTGCCAGGCCGAGCCAGGAAAAGAGGTGTGTGAGGCTGCTGTCACTGCATCTTTTCCTTGGTTTGGGCTGGCAGTGGCCACGGCGTGCAGAGCAGCCCAAGCCACCTGAGCTCAAAACCCACCCACTCCAAACCTGGAATTTTCCTTTAAAATGTAAAAACCCACCCAGATGGGCATGTTGGCCCCCAAAAGGAGGATATAGCCAGGTTTTCCCAGACATAGGACAACCCTAGGTGGGGAAAACCCATGTGATCCATCGACCACATGCGGCTGTTGTTATTACAATGCTCAAATCCGAGGGGGGAAGGGCGGCAACCCTTATCTACTGATTTTAGAATACTGATAGGGCAAGATTTGGTTACAATTAGGGGGAGTCAAGCAACAGGTGCCTTAAGTTTTATTAATAACTTCACATATGCATACTTTTCTCAATAATTCACTGTCAAGTGTTTCAGATAGCAGGACAGGGAAGTGGCTCCTGTAGAAATTGTGTGTGAGAGAGGGGGGGGGAGGGAGAGGGAGGAAGGTCGAACAGGCAAACTACAGTGTGGTTCTTCCTTCTATGATGAGACTGTACCGTGTTGAAGAGGGACTGATTTCAGTAATTCAACTCCCTGCACTGCCCCCCCCAAACAAAAAATGTGGACAAAATTCCTATTCATTGGATGCAGTATTCATGAATTTCATTCACTTCAAGGGATCATTCTGAACATTACTTCAACAGCATGGGAGACAATCCAGGGCAGTGTGGCTACTTCATACACTACTCTGGTAATGCCAGAAGCTCCGGACCATATGGGACATGCCCACAAATTTGGCTGCTGCCAGTGCTGCCCCATCCTGCAGGTAACTCAGGCAAAGCTGCCTTGGGGAAAGTTGCATCTTCTCTGCTTGCACACAGCCCAAGGCAGGAGGTTTTGAATGTGGTGTTATATTACAGCTGTATATACAGGTTGATTGTGCATTAGGTTTATTTATTTATCTATTATTCTCTGTTTGTTTGCCTTTAAGCATGACTGGCTATTATTGCCCTTCCTCTGTTTTTTTTATATAAGCTCCTTTCTGAAAGCACCTTTTGTCCACCAGGACCAGTATTACCTATTCTGTCAGTGGTTGCTCAAGGTCTCAGGTACATCAGAAGTACTCCTTTAATGGAATGCCAGAGCCAAGCCAGAGTTTCTTGCTGCCCTGGGCAAAATAAAATATACCCCCCTTGTTTCTTCCTGTATGCTAAGCAGTATAACGGCAGCACATTAAGGAAAGCAGCCTTGTTTTCTTACATTCATTTTTAACATCTGTGAATTCATCACCAATGGTGATCAGAAACCCCCTTAGTCAAACCCCATGGAATGCAGCCAATGTCATCTAGAGAATGGACAAAAAGTATTGGCAGTAGCCCTTTCCCCAGGACAAACAGCATTACTGAAACAGGCAGCCTGAAATGCTGGCACACAAGTTGCCTAGTTCACCTCTATGGTTGGGCCAATCATGGCAACGGACAGGTTTCATACAAAACAATATCAATGGGACATAAGCGTGTCTGGAAAAGCCCTTGGAAGAGCCTCTAAATTACTACCTCCACTTTCCTGTCACTTGTGTATTTCCTAGCTTGTCCATATTTTCTGTTAATTTAACTGGAAATCAGTCACAGAGTCATCACTAGAGGATTGTGCCCTTAGTGCATATCAATTTGATCACTTGGATTCTATATCCCAAATCTCCGGTGCTAGCTATGTCACATGAGAGCCTTTTAGAGTCACATGCTCAAACCCCCCCCCCAAAGGTCATTCCTGGTCGCACGTAACTGAATGTTAATATAATGAGTACTTAGAAATTGATTTCTTTATTATGGCTCCAACTTACTCTGCAAATCCTGAGTTAAGCGGAGCATTTGGCTTACGTAATCAGGACTGCTGTGGCTCTTTCAGAGGAAAATTGTGAATGATCTGAGAGCTTGAGTTCACCACCGGAAGTTCGAGGAAATATTGAGTAACCCATATATACACACAGATGCGTCATAAGCAGCAGACAATGGGCTTCACGGATGCCACCATGTTGCCCTGCAGCCTTGCTTTGAATTAACATTTTGGTTTTAAACTCACAGCTGTGTCTGAAATGAATATGATGGGCAGAGCAATCCTATAGGGGCAGGGAGGTGGGGGGGGGGACTCCATGGTGAAGGAACTACCACTTCTTAATCCCTAGCAAGTTAAAGATAGGGGCACCTTCTAATCTATCCTTAGTTATTAAAAAAACCCTCTCATTGGTCCCATTGGTTTCTAAGGCTACAGTTTCCCCCCCTTTTGATGCATGTGTCAAGAGAACAGGAGGGTGTTGGATCCTGCTGATCTAAGGCCTCCTATCCACCCCAACATGCCCTTTCTATTCTCATACCACAAATTGGAACACAGACAGTGAAAGAGAAATCTTGGCTGCGCTTTCTGCTGCTGCACTAAGGAAACCTCCAGAAACAACAGACTTCATCCGTCTGTGACCTCCGTGAACCAAGAGGGAGGTCTGCAACATCCAGCAGCCCCTCAGTTGCTCACTCAGGGAAGTTAGGATTGCTCCCTAAATAGGATCATGGGAAAATGCTGACTTCACTTATAACTGTATGAGTTAGCAGGAACACAGGAAGATGTCTTGCATCAGAAGAGGCTACTTGTTGAGTTAGTCCAGTATTATATACTTGGACTGATAACAGCACTTAAGGGTCTCAGGAGGAGATTGCTCTTGTCTCCGGCTACCTAATAATTTTAACTGGGGGTGGCAGGGATTGAACTTTAGATCTTCTGCATGCAAAGCAGATATTCCTGTAACCCCTGAGTTACAGTCTTCCACACAAAGCACTATAGCTAGCACTCTTCAAAAGGATGCCCTTGTCTCCCCACCTAGATGCTTTCCCTCCATAAATATCAGATTATCACACCTGTTCTAGGGTGGTCAAAAATGTCAAAAAGTTTGCCTTATTTCAAAATATTCCAGCCCTATGAAATAAGCATTGCCAACTCCACAATAGTCCATTGAACAAACACTAACTCCACTGCATTTCCAGAGCTTCCAATGACTTTCATCTTGGCCAGTGGATAACTCTACTCCATAATGCATGCCTTTAGTTTGTTATTCGTAAAAGGTGTGGTGTCCCACATTATACCCTGTTTCAAGATGTTTTGTGCCAGATGTTTTCTGTATCTCATTTTAGATGACCAGGTATGCTGATGACAAAATGATGACAAAGGGTAGACACAGTTATAAGATCCTACACCAAATAATTAGGGTGGGAAATATATCCCTAAATAAGACTACATAGGGTTTGTCCAGCTGTGCACCCCCTCATCTGATGCTATTTGCATTTTTTTTAATGTACACACTAAATGCAAAGGTGCATTTGTCATCAGGTCTAGCTTGGTCCAAAGTTAAACCTGGCACTGGCCTGCCTTTTAACTGTAGTATCTTCTCCACTGGTAAAAAATCCAAGATAACAGATTCATTTCACAAAATACATTAAATAGCAGTAACCTTTGGGTCTAGAACTATGCTCTTCACCTCAGGGATCATTACAAGCCCCTGAATTTTCATAAATACATCCATTATTATGTAATCTCTACTTGCATTTACTTAAAGGTTTTCTTCCATTTCAGACAAACTATACATGTCTAGTGCCACATGCATAAAGCCTCCCTCTGACTAACAAACAATGAGGTGATTGTCTCCTCCCTCATTTCCCTCTCCCCAGGTGATCGGTATTTATCTGTTCTCCCACCTGAAGCAGGCTTTAGAAGCGGATGCTTGAGGAAGAGAAAAGGAAGCAAGCTATATATAACAACCTACTTCTGAAAATTGTCGACTCTCCCTAGATTGTGGTTTATGAGCACAATCTGTTGGAAACATCATTGAAAAGCTCTATATTTTGTTCTTCCTCCACAAAGCACACAGCTCCCAACCTGAATTATATTTCTTGTGACTAGGATTTGCTCTCATTTTCCTGGATACTGTGTTCTAAAACTGCAATGTAGAGCTAAAGTCTAAGTTCAGGAATTCAACTAGAAACTGAATAAAATATATTAACTAGCTTAAAGGCTGGGATTTAGAGACGCTGTTAAAATAATTCCACGTATTATAACACAGTTAACTATATTCCAAATGAAAGGCTCCTGTAACATGATTAAAATCAGATTTGAGACTGATTTTAAAAAATCCTAATTATATACTTCCTTTGCTTTTAGAAACAAATAGCTACTACCACTGACATTTAGGGAAACAAATGTAATATAAAAATTATATATAACACTGGCTTAGAGCTAAATATGTCATACAGAAAAGAAATAAGCTTTTATAAACAATCACCTTAGCTTTTTAGCATTTTACATCTCTATTTTCCATTGCTGTATTTTTGCACCCAATAATTATTGTATAGTAAACATATAAATCACTATATGCTATATATAGGACCATGCACAATATACATATATGTAATGTAGAAAAGGAAATTTTACTAGCTTTGTTTATATGAATGCATTGTTCTGTTTCTGTTCCTCGATGGACACAAGAACAGTCCTTCGGATCAAACCAAGAGCAAGTCATCTTTGGGATGGCGGCAGACATACAGAGTGCACATAAACAGAACAGCAGCCATGATGCCCAGTGACCATTTTGCTCACCTGTTATGTCTTTTCATGAATGACCTTTGAGGATGGTGGTGGTGGTAATGGTGATGATGATCACTGTGACTGATTAAAAGAGAAGTAGGCCATATACAGGTGAGGAGCAACAGTTTTATTGCAAGGATCATGTCTTCAAGTCACAGGAGTAAAACCGATTCAATCAGCCCACATTAGTAAGGTTTCATTCTCCAGTTATTAAGAAACAACATACGATGAAGAGGATGCAAATAATACGAGGCACTGCAATATAGGAGAGGCAAAAACATCCCAGTTTTCATTCTTCTTCGAAGTATCCACTTATTCTTGAAATTTTATAAATCCTTAAAATCCGCGTCATACCACATCTGATGGTATTGCTATCCAGATGCTGCCGTTTTCCCTTTAGGACTCTATTAAGCAAAACAATATATTTAACTTATTCCCATTTCCATCCATTCTTTCGTTGTCTCTGGGTGTGTTCTTAGTCCAGTGTTTTAACACCCACTCACTGTACTCTTCAGTGGAGCTCTTGCACAGACAAAAGAGTGATGTCAAACATTTAATCCCTTTAATCCCACACAGCACCACAAGGAAAAAAGAGCTTTCATTACCCTATGAAAATCTGTGATTAATGAGAAAAGATCAGAAAATTAAGCTTACTTACCGCATATGCAGAAAATCATTTCCAGCCCATCAATAAAAATGCTTAAATTGTGTAAGTAGCATAGATGGCAAAAATGATCTCTGGCTGCATTATAGGGTAACAAGCATTTGTCTCGACTGGAAAACTAGATGATGATGAAGTGTTTGGCAATTCATTGGAATCTTGGAGATATTAAGGTTTCTCCTTCTGAAAGTAAGTAAAGCAGAGCTGTTGGTTAGATCTAAGAATACACACATGTAAACACACACACTAGTGCAATGTGTGTGGAAATGGTAATTATAGTTCACATCTGAGGACAAATTACAGCTTTCCTGATTAAGTGGTAATAAATTTATGAGAGATTTTGAGGAGGAAGCTGCTGCTTTCAGCTATGATATACTTTAACCAAAGCATTTTTACAAGTTTTCATTTATTCAGTAAATCCCAACGTTTGCAGCGAGTCGCATCCTCTGACTCGTACAAATCAGAACTTAGAAGGAGCCAAAGCTCAGTTATAGAGAACACACTGAACGTACAAGGTCCTCAGTGCAGTACTTGCTATCTCCAGCATAGGCTGGTAGCAGGGCTGAGAAATACCCTCTTAATGAGATTTTGGAGGGCCACTACAGGTCAGAAGAAACAGTACAGGGTCAGAAGGGCCAATGACCTGACTCGACAGTTTCATGTTTTCAGCTGCATCTGTTGATGCAGTTCAGCTGTACTACTTCCTTGTTTACCAAGAGTATTATTTGGTTTTGAAGACAGAGCTTGAAATTTTATTTAAGAACCCTGCTGGATTAGACCAAAGGCATCTAGTCCAGCACCCTGTTGTAATGGAGTCTATGAGCCATGTGGTTAGATGTTACACTTCCTAAACAGAAATGACCATCAAAAGCTTATAGAACCTTCCAGTCTACAATACACTGTGCCTGTCTCAATTGCTTCGAGGTATCCAAATTGGTTTGCTTTCTTTAGTGCATCCAGTGCTAGAATGTTAATGTATCCCTCAGCTAGGATGAAAACATGTGCTCTGTTTGAAGGGCTATTTAAAGATATAGAACCATAAGAAGGGAAAAAAAGGACTTTGAAGTTGTCCATCAGCTGTTAGCACTTGGACAGGAGACTGAGCAAGCATACAGGTCATGCGATTACAGTCTTCCTCACTTTGGTGGCATGTATTATACTTCTACAGTGGTTAATTCTCAGTTTGGATCTATACACAGAAATTAGCACATCCAACCCTCAGGCTGATTCTGTATAGTGTTCTCTTTATCTAATCTGGGGAGAAAATGGTACCAGAGCAGGACATAATATCAATATAAATCGCCATTAAGAAAGCAGGTTAATCTTTCTGCTGTAATAATTCCTAAGAGAAGGTTTTTTTGTGTTGACATATAAATGCATATAAATGCAACTTAATGGACAATGATTATAATGAGTCAGCCATTGATCTTTCCCCCACTACCCAAATACAAAAAAAATTTAAAAAAATGAACATCTGGCTTTGTGCTACCATTAAAATGTTTTCTTAACTTTATCCCTTCACTTTTACCCCATGCAAAGCTCATAATGCTTAGCTTTTAAGGATATAACATATTCTGTGGCAGTCCTACAAATGGAAATTATCAACCAAAACATCCGCACGCCTGCGTGGGTGTGGGGGCTGAAACAAAGAATGAAATTAATTCCACAAATGCTTAGATTAATTTGTTGTTTTCTCTATACCTAGGATGTGTGGCAGGTGAACAATTTAAAAGCAAACATATATGTAAATAACTATTCAAATGAGACAAGTACTGAATTGTAGAGATGTGTTATAAGAACAATCTTAATGTCTTACTAGCTCAACTCTCAACAGCAAAAGCTGGTCCAGATAAAAACAGTTAGTGAGCATTGGATTCTGCTTTGAAAATTATTTGCAGGAACTAGATTTTTTGACCTGGATAGTCAGTTTGGCATTGAACATCTGTAACTATTTCCCAAATCTGGTTGGAAGCAGGAATTTGTGTTCTGGATTCCATTTCACACAATATGAGGGTTACCCAGAATCTCATGATAGATAACTGGAGAGTAATGGGCAGAATCCAATTTTCTTGGACTGGTGATAGGCCTGTGCTTGCACAGAAGCATCTAGAAGAGAGCTTTCCAAACTGTGTGTCGCAACACGTTAGTGTGTCAGCTGCAGTGTGTAGGTGTGTCGTGCAAACGCTCCCCATGCTTCTCCCAGGGCTGGAAAGGGTTAGTAAAACTGAATTACTGTGTCACGAAATGGCGCCTATCTAAAAAGTGTGTTGCCAACATGAAAAGTTTGGAAAGCTCTACTCTAGAAACTAATGTGAACTAACTGTGATAGTGCAGGAGCTGAATCTTATGCCTACAAAGAATGCAAGTCAAATATAGCTATACCAATAATTCAGGAATAGATCATCATACTCATATTCAACTAGCATTAGTTAGTTTATCTTAGACAAAGGCCAATAAGGAGAGAACATTGATAGATATGTATAAAATCATGCCTGGTGTGGAAACACATGAGGTTTCTCTCCCTCTTTCTTGAAGATAATTGAATTAATCGTTCCAGCATTATCTAATGAAGCTGAATGGTAGAGGATTCAGAACAGACTTCTTCACACAATACATGGTTATCGAATTTACTGCTACAATATGTGATGATGTCTATCTACCAGCCTTAGAAGAATATCTGACAAATTCATGGATGACTTTTAGTTCGTTGTTAGCCGCCCTGAGCCTGGCTTTGGCTGGGGAGGGCGGGATATAAATAAAATTTTTTATTATTGTTATTATTATAGTCATAATGGTTACATGCTACATCCAAGATCAAAGGCCTCTGAATATCAGTAGCTGGGAACAACAGCCCTTGTATGTTGTTTGTGGGCTTCTCAGAGCCATTGACCAATGGCTTCAAGTTATAAGAAAGGAGATTTCAACTAAACATCTGACAGTAAGAGCTGTTCAACAGTGGAACTGTCTCCCTTGGGACAGTGGAATGGTCTCCCTCCTTCCTTGGAGGTTTTTAAGCAGAGGTTGGACGGCCATCTGTCATGCATGCTTTAGCTGAGTTTCATGCGTTGCAGGGGGGTTGACTATATTTTTCTAGAAAGTTATGGGGCAAAATGTGTAGGTATTTTTTAAGTGATTTATGTAAAATGAAAGTGAGTGTGGTGTGGCTACCTTGCATATTTTTCCTGGTACTGAGGAACATGCTCTTTTGCTATTAGGCAGCAATAGCATCACAAATCTGCTCGTAAAATCTGGTGCTTCCAGAACTCTCTGAAATATGAAATGTGTGCACTTGTCCAAAAGGTTTACGCAACCCCTGGTCTATAATACATATCAGTCAGAAAATTTCATTTAATTGTTTATATAATGCCATTTATGTACACAGCATGTTGCAAATAACAGTTTGACAGGTCCCTACAGACAAGCAGCATATCATTTTTTTAAAAGAAAGAAAGAAAGAAAGAAAGAAAGAAAGAAAGAAAGAAAGAAAGAAGACCACTGTTTGGACAGATACATGAATTTTGGTACTTTGGATATCCTACCAATAATGAATTCATTTCCCAAGTTTGAATCCTCATTTTAAAAACAGCTCCCTCCATGCACACAAAAATGAGTTATCAGCAGATTTGGAAGAAACCCCAAGTTGGCAGAAGTTAAAAAAAATCCTTACCAAAAAACCCCTCTTAATTTAGGGAGGGAGGACACCCCAAAACAGCCCAGTTAAAAATGAGCAAGCTTAGGGGTCAAGGGCAGGGAGTGGAGTTTCCTAGAAGAGGGTTTAGTCAGTTGGCTAGAACATTAACAGGAACACTCCCACTGCAACATTTGTTGAAAGCCTCACTAGCACCTTTGCAGTACAAAATTAATAAAGTCACAAGTTTTTGAAGATGAGCAGAGGCAATTTTAATTCAGTTGGTGATGTTTCTAAAACTGTAAGACTGGGTTTTGACTTGCTCCGAGTTTCTCATTTTCTTTGAAGTCATAGCAGCTGTGCATTTTCATATAATCAGATATTAGTGCTGAAGTAGGGGGAAATCACATGGGTTGAGCAAGTATTTTGTGAAGCTATTTTGCTTCTAAATCCAAGATGCTTCATCATTCTGCTTTAGCAAGTCCAATCACTGAATTAATTTCATCCCTAAATCCTCTCATTTACTTTCTGCACAAGGCAGCATATCAAGTAAACTGTTTTAAAACAAAGGTAATATTAGGGGGAGATGTAAATCTGATGGTGGCGTGTGAAACTCTACAGCAGCTTATACACCTTCCTGATCTGAATCCGTAAGGCATTTTTTATTACTGTTAAATAAAAATGAATGGCTTAAGATGGACGGTGCTTGTGAACAGAACATGCCAGATGCAGCTGAAGCTGACAACATAATCTTAGTGTGTTACTAGGGAAACATAAAAATGTATTCCAAATGCCCTCCTCACCCTGCCTAGCTAGACAGTGAATTGAACTTCAGATACTTGTGAGCACACACAAAGACCCTGCTCTCTTTTATTCTGAATTCATTAATCTGCAATAACTACTATCCACCTATTTACAGTCACGTGGACAGCAGCATCAACAGAAATACACACTGAGAGATATTTTAAGAGGTGTTCAACTTTGGCATACTGGATTCCTTTCTGAGCCTCTTATATGCCTGCTTCATCATGGTTTGGTCTGGTCTGAGGAAGTATTGAAGGTTTAAAAAACAGCTTGAGAATTAAACACTATTTCTTTTATATGAAAACTTGCAATGAAGTAGCGAAAGAAAAGAATTTTAGACTAAGGGGACATATTGTTTTCTTTTATTTTCTTGTTATTTAAGTAGTCTAAAATCTCTCAGAGAGGGCAGACAGTGTTCAAAAAATTGAAGGTAGGCTGCAGAACTAAGAGAAATTACAACAACCAAAGAATGTTTAAATCTTACCTAAAGGTAAAGGTACCCTGACCATTAGGTCCAGTCGTGGACGACTCTGGGGCTGCAGCGCTCATTTCGCTCCATAGGCTAAGGGAGCCAGTGTTTGTCCGCAGACAGCTGGTCATGTGGCCAGCATGACTAAGCCGCTTCTGGCAAATCAGAGCAGCGCACGGAAACGCCGTTTACCATCCCACTGGAGCGGTACCTATTTATCTACTTGCACTTGACGTGCTTTCGAACTGCTAGGTGGGCAGGAGCTGGGACCGAACAACAGGAGCTCACCCCATCGCGGGGATTCGAACCTCCAACTTTCTGATCGGCAAGCCCTACACAGAACCAAATTTGTTTTGATTGAAAATTGCTTTGTAACCAAAATGGTAACCTAAGTAATGTAGCCGGCTCCTTGTATCTATCTAGATTTTAGCTGAATAGATGTAATTTTGACTGGACCCACAGACATTACAATATGATAACATTGTGTGCCTGATAGATGCTAGCATGGAAAAGCTTAATGAAAGAAGCTTTCCCAAAGGACTGCCAAAAACAACAGCTGATTCCTGATACTAAAGGCGGGGACACACACAAGGAAACATACTACAACAGATTACAAATTACATATACTGTTGTTCAGTAATCCTCTTCTGTGTAGAGTAGGAATGTCTTATTCAATGCATGCAACAAGAAGACCCTACCAGCAGAATACTGATATGCAAAAAACAAGAGCTGATCCACAGCACTGTCTTCCATATCTGGAAACGTGATTTGTATTTCCAGGGAGTAATAAAGGGATCCCATGCAGATTAGCAGAGCAAACCTGCAGATTTGTCTCTGAAAGCATTAGGAATTCTTAGTGGTCATGGAATAAGAGGATAGGTGTTCCTAAATATTAGTAATGGATTAAAAAAGAAGACAGAAATAAACAGAAAAAATAATAATTACAGTGGGCAGTAATTGTGGAGTTCCTCAAGGATCCAAATTCAGATAAACGGTGTGTTCTGGAATCAGGGTAAACAGTACCGTAGTAATGTTTTTATGAGGCCTATATTATCCAGGGTAGCAATATCCAGAAGACTGTGAAGAGTTAAAAAATCTCTCTCAAAACTGATTGACCAAGCATGAGACCTCACGAGAATCAGTGGCTGGTAGAAAGGTGCTTATTCCTCCATGTACCAAAGATGTCTTTGCTGTAAATGTCCACCCCCAGCTAGCTGCCAGTTTTGGATCCCAGCCATGGAAAAAGCTATTTAAAAACAAGCTCCAGAAAGCAATTTCAGGAGAGAATCATCAGGCAGGGGAAAGTTTACATTCTCCTAATCCACCTACCAATTCCCATTTGCACAGAGAGGGCTACCTGGACTAAGAATTAATTAACCAAAAATTATTATCATAAAGAGACATTAAAGAGCAATAAGAGACAAAAAAAAGTATCCACGGCTGTTATCCTTGCTGTAGAGAAAAGCAGGCTAAGGACATATAGGGAGCGGAAAGTGCCAGACCTCTGAATTTGGCTTTTAAGGCCGTTTGGGGCAAACCTCACTCATATCATATGATGTCAGATGGTGGGCAATGCCATAGGTTCTCTCACCCCTGCTGCAAAAGATGAAGTTGTATGCTCAAGATGAAGGGGTCAGAGCGGCCCTTCCTTACCATTTTGTACTTACTGAAATTGCTTAGCCTTAAGAGCGCTTCTTTGTCCTTTTCACACATGAGGGAAGAGGTTGCTGCTTCCTCAGGAGAATATAGGGTTTTCATAGAGTTCCAGCATCTCAAAGAGAAAACCTGCCTTTTATTCTGGATAGAAACTATTTAGGCCCACAGCCTCTCCACACAGCTAAATACTTTAAGCACCACCGCAAGTTCTTCCCACACTCCCGTAGGAGGCAGTGGGGCTGCTCCTCCAAGCATTAATCCACAAGTCACCAAAAGGACTGTTTCCACATTCTTTCACCGTACTAGGCCTCACCACTGCTAATAGGCCTTTTTTTGAAGGGGAAAAAAAACACTCAAAGGGGGGAAAGAAGCCAGTCTGAGAATGAGAAATATTCAGGGGAGTAATCCTTCTCCCATAAGCCAGTTCTGTCTCCTGTGTGGTGCCCATCTTTAAGTGGGGTGAGGTAGGACTTACCGTATTGCTTGATGAGCGTTTTAGGAATATTGTATTGTGTGTCATTTTAAGTTTGGCTTATCTGTTTGCATTTTGTTGTTTAATTATAGCACTTATCACTGAGCATTTGAACAGAATACAGCTTGCATGTTTTTCTATCTCCAAAGGTAAATGAACAAGAGAGAGGAACCGAACTACTGTAGCCCACCCCCACCCCCCACATATTATATCATAGCTGTCAACCGTCCCTTATTTGGCGGGAAACTCCCTTATCCCAGCGCCGTTTCCTGCCGCTGTCCCTTATTGATGATGTCCCTTAAATTTCCCGGGTTTCACGCTTGCCTGGCTCAGAAGGGAAGCAGCGGCTCGGGGTCCTCCGCCACGAGAGAGAGCGCACGCATGAGCTGCCGCGTCTCCGTCCCTCCCTTTTCCCCCTCAGGGACGCGTCGTGAGGAGACGGGTGGCGGCAGGCAGCCCCTCTCTTGCAAGACTTCCGCCGTGCTGCCTGGGGAAGCCAGGCGGCGGCGGCGGCTGAGGGGGAAGAGGAGGGGATGGGGAGGGACGCAGAAGGACGGCACTTCAGCGGCTGCCGCTGCGCCGCAACCACCTCATGCCGGGCTCGCGGGCGGTGTGAGCGAGAGTCTCCCTCCCTCCCTCTCGGGCGGGGAAGGGCCGATGGAACTCCTCGCGGCAGGACGACGGCAGCCCCGATGTGCTGCTTAGCATACCCTCCAACCAGTGCAGCATCTTAATGTAGTGATTTCCCCCTCTGCATCCCTTTCATAACTCTATTTTTATAAATCATTTGTCCATCCATAGTTCAAATTTTTACTACAAGTTTTCTGTCAATCCTATCAATGTATGTAACTCTTTACAATAGCTTTTCAACTAAATTATAAACTTTCCCCATTCTTTATTAAAGAGGTCCTCTTCCTGGTTTCTAATTCTGCCTGTAAGCTTTGCCACCTCGATGTCGTTCATCAGTTTTGTCTGCCACTCTTCTTTGGTCAAAGTTGTAGACCCTTAGTATCATCTAGTCCAACCCCCTGCAAAACACAGTCAGTCGCAGCAAAAGCAGCATGGCTCCATGAGTGCCGGATTTCTGTATAAGCTAAACAAAATCCCTTATTTTGGCTGCTGTTCCCTTATTTTCGAGGGTGCTGGTCCCTTATTTTCTGTAAGTTGACAGCTATGCACATATTCCTGGCTGTTTTTCAAACAGTGGCTGCTTCCTCCAAGTTACAAGCACTCAATTGGCCTCAACCAGAAGTCAGGCATTTAGTGTTGCTGGTCTTACGTACTTCCAGCAGATTCCTGCAGTGAAACATGCTTCCAGTGGAGATTCAGCAGGCATCCTTGTTTATGACTGTCAGGTGTCTCTTGAAGACTTTTTTATGGTGATAGGCATATATAGCTGTTCAAAAATCTTCTCGATTAGCTAGGCATTTGAATGATTTTGTGCTGTTTTTACGTTTTATTGTTTAGATATAGTTGTACACCATCCTGGTGTTTTATAGGAATTATACTTTTATAAATAAAGCAGCCATCCCATGGACACTCTCAGAAGTACAGATGTGGTATACTGTGGTCCATTGTTTCTGTGTACCCGCTTACAACATGGGCAGTCCCCAGTACATGGTTTATCTTCATACCATTGCCAAACAGTCCTAGCAGCAACTTGTAGTAGTCCAGAAACAAACCTTGATGCAGCGACTAAGAGTTTCAAGTGGCCCCCCACTAAGCAACTATATTGTATGAGTGGCCCTGTGATGAAGGGGTGGTTTTGAGTTTAATGAAATTCTTACTCTGACCCCTCTTCATACAACTGTATGCATGCCTCACAATCACAATTCGTGACTGTATCAAAGGTGGGGATGGCAGCATGCTTTTCTTTGGGTAAGGACCAGTGGTGCAGTCCTGCTCTTCCTTAACCATAGGTTGTTTTATTTTGGACATTCCTACAAGTGCGCTATGAATAACAGAATCCAAATTTTAGAGTACATCCAGGTGTAAGATACAGTACCATCAATATAGCCCATTTTTTCCAACAGACTTTGATCCAGAAGGCTACATTGCTGGATCTGTGCACACAGTCAAGTATTTCAACAGCAGTCTTCTGTGCTATATGACAAGCTGCTTTTTATCAGAGTTTCCAAAGCAATTCAGAAACTATATAGTCACACACTCCTAAAATGAAACATTTAACTTTAGCACATAAAATAAAAGTTCTGACTTAAATGTATTTTAAGAAGGCGGAATAAGTTTCTAGTCAACTTACAAGTTATGTAAGTCTCCAAACCCCAATAGGATTTCTGTGAGGAAGGGTGGAAACTGAAATTTCTGTAGTCAGTAGAGAATGTGATGTGTTGATTTCCTCACATAGTGGTCAGAAAACGACAAACACAAATGTAAAACAACCACATCTTTTAATAGAAAGCAACAAACATGCAAATAGCAGGTATAGAAATTTATTTGAACCAATGTTTTCACTATAAGGTAAGTTATTTTAAAACACTGATCCAAGCTCCCATGTTTGCAAGTTAAGGGAAAATATTGCACTTCGCATTTTCTAGCACCCCTCATACACTGCAAAACATTTTAAAAATATTTTGCTTATTTTACTTGCACACTTTTGCAAGTCATGCACACATTCATTCAAAATCAAAACGTTAGGTTACTCAAAAGCAAAACCTTAAAATTGCACTAAAGCTTTGTAAGGAAAAATATAATTCATGACTTATACAAATTTCATGACGTCTAGGTGCTTTCAGAGAAGAGCCAATTACTCTTCATCTTCGTTTTCATTCTCTTGGCCAGATCCTTCAGACCTGTCTCCTTCCAGCCGGTCTGTAAAATATGGGAGTAATTGTTAAATGACAGAAGCAATTTGAAAGCCATTTTTCCAATTCAGAAAACAAAATGACATTTTGTTCAACCACTGTCCAGGGTCTAGTGATGAATGAAGTAGAAATGCTTAAGGTATACTGAACATATATACTCCCTTTTACAAATATGATGGAAACACAGTAGGAAAAAAAATATGAATAGCTGCTAAAAATTCTGATTCAGATAATTTTCCACTTGTGACCAAGTGAAGATGCCCAGGAATCAGGATGGCGCCTGATGTCTCCACCACCTGGGGATGCCTGGGGATCCTTGGATCTTGCCTGTTTTCACACACTGACAACACATCCTTTAGAAGTCTATCCATGATGTTTTATCTGCACAATCAGAACGAATTTCAGGAACCAAAAAGTCGTATTGAAAAATACAACTTTTGAGCCGTCTGGCTCCAAAATGGCAACTAGTTGAAATGAAACACCTCACATAAGAAATCTAGTCAAAAGTGATTTCTGGTCTGTGACCGTAATAAATCAATTCATTCAGTAAAAAGTGTCTGTAGAATCTTCCTACCTGCTCTTATATGGTTCAAAGATGCCAACATCCTTAGCATAAAAGAAGCTGGAACAGTGATTGTGTTTCTGGTTTCTTCCAGCATTAATTCATTTCGAGTTATAACCTAGGGTAGGGGTAGAGAGGAAGTTAAATAGTTACTGAGCAAGAATTTAACAGAGCAGATTTAGAAAATAATGCTTCTTGTATATATTTATGTGCCACTATTATATGAGCATCTGACATAAACACTGTATCAGTATTTACCAAAGACCTCTCTTTACCCAATACATGTTTCACTGGTGCACACAACTCTTTACCAATTTGAGGCTATTCATGATCAGTTCACTTCTGTAACAGAATTTACTACATTTCGATCCATGTTGCATGTACCATAGAATCTAGTTCCATGTTCCAATAACAATGACACATCTCCCACTGTGAACTGGTCTTTCTATGGCAATACATCTATGAAATTATTGTTTTCTTCTAAGTTACAAATTGGTATTAGTGGTGCACAGAAAGTATTAACAAGCAACATCAATATTGTCAGGAAAGAAAATTATAAAATAGGAGTGTTGCTGCAGAATATCATCTTACCTCGTCAGCAAGTTTCCGATTAAAAATTTTGGATTCTTCTAGTGGGGACCAGATTTTTATATCATAATCAATACCTGATGAGGCTAGAACTAAAACAATTTAATAATATATTAAGTAGTCATTATTTTACATTTGCAAATACAAATAATATTTGGTGGTTAGCACACTTTGTTGCAACCCCCCACCCCGCCCCAATTTCTTAGAAGGGTTTCACTTTTAAATTCACTCTTATGTTCCACTTAGAACTTCTATTCCCTAGGGAGCATTCACATGTGCATAATTTGCAACATGTAGGCAATGATCTGAAACAGACTATGAGGATAACGTTAAGACAAGATCTCTCATTAGTATCCACTTCACAAATTAGCTAAGGTCCTTCAGACTGCAAACTATTAAAAATAATCTATCATTTTGGTAGAATATGGATGAAGCCAAGTGTTTTCAAGGGCTTCCCTACAAGCTATGCATATGCCTGTAAATTATAGAGAGAAAAGCAATCTTACTTGGGTCAAATGGATGTGGCTGCAGACAGTTCACCACGTGGTTATCTGCTTCCAGCAGCATCAAGTGCTCAGCAGTATGCCGATCCCAGATGAAGATATGGCCACAATCTGAACCACTCATAACAAAGTTAGAACCCCAAAAATTGGCTTCTTTTATCTATATAGAAAATAAATTGGGGGGAACAAAACATTTCATTATGGTTAGTATGTACAGCTGGGAGACATTCTAATTCACTTTCAAAGTTGTATACAGGCTGTATTCATACACAACACTAAACTATGGTTCCGTGTCATATGAACATGCCTCAGACTTCACAACTCCTTTCCATCTCCTGACATGGCTATGTGCAATTGCTTCCATCTTTAACAAACAGCAATTTAGCATGAAGTTTGAATGCAGGCAAGCTGAAATAAGCCAACTTCAAACTGTGGTTTGATTTATCCATAACCTTAGCAAGGGCAGAACTGTGCCCACTACTTTTAAATAATTTTTTTTTTTTAAATAGTTTGTTTCAAATGATACTATCCATTTAAAAAGTGCCTCAAGGCCCTACATAGTACCTATAGCTAATATACATACTATATACAATATATATACCTATACAATGTTTAAAGCATCTACTTAGCAGAAACCCTAAGCAGCACTAAATAGAAAGGACTGTTGGTTTAGCTGGAAACATATTTCTATGTGATGTTATAGTGGATTCAATTAATATTGCCTCCCCAAAAACTCAAAGGCAGGAATACAGTTGCCTCAAAGGAAGTCTTTTGTCTCTGTTACCCTGAAGTGACCAATTACATTCTTGCCAAGCTAAAGAGTATAGAGACATAGAAACAAAGTACAGTGGTACCTCGGGTTACAAACACTTTGGGTTACAAACTCCACTAACCCAGAAGTAGTACCTCAGGTTGAGAACTTTGCCCCAGGATGAGAATGGAAATCGCACGCCGGTGGTGCGATGGCAGCGGGAGGACCCATTAGCAAAAGCACGCCTCAAGTTAAGAACGGTTTCGGGTTAAGAACGGACCTCCGGAACATATTAAGTTCGTAACCCAAGGTACCATACCACTATACAAAACACCAACAGAACAACAACTTCTCCAACCAAATTCTCTAAACGTGGCAGGGCAGCAACCTGACATAAATGCATGAGATTGCTGCCGCTGACCTCAGGACTAGAACCTGGATCTGTTCTAGGCAGCAGGGGCAGACTCAAAATCCCTACCGTTTTCAGAAGACCTTGGGGAACAAAAATATTGGCAGTGGTGGTAATTGGGTAAAAATAGCCTTCAAAGGCATGGCCTTTTTCTCTGAACTGCACCAACACACCTTTTAAAGCTTTATGACTAAATAGCTTTCCACCTAACAAAAGTTTCAGAAGAAAGGTTAATAAGGGCTGCTGAATCAGCTTCCCCGTTATTATTTTGCTAGATCATTAAAGAATCACTGCTGATTTTTATCCACAGCTGCACAGGGGCTGACTGCTGAGGAGCAGTACTGAAGACTGATCGCATTGATTGTGGTGGGGAGGGCTCAAGCCCTACAAACTCATTCCCAGACCTTGAATCACAGTTGATAATGTTGATTCTTCAGGTAGTGGAGGAAATGCCATGCTCCTTCTGGAGTAGTCACCTTTGGTCCCCACCCTGCACTCAGCTCTCACCTGTGGCTCCAAGAAGCTGTCAGCATGCAACAGCAGTCACACCTTGGGAACGGCTTCGAGTGGTCACCTGAGGGTACCCTAGAAGAGGGTAGCCAATAGGTCTTGCACCCTCAGTGAGTTAGGGACCTCCCCTGCATGCAAAGACAGGCTCCAACTTATTGAGCAGATGAGAGCAATAGTGGGTCTAATGGTAAAGAAGGCAGTTTCTGCATGTGCTGTAGAGGGAAGTGAGGGGAAGATGGGGCCTGTCAATCAAGGAGAAGGAAAACTCTGATCCTAAACCTCTGCTGCCTTGTGAGATATCTTTGGGAGAAGAAAAGGCTAAGGAGAAAACCCTCCATAAATCCGGAGTGGTGTCCCTAAGACGGTTGGATGGTACCTTGCATGCCTCCTTCCAGCAACTCCTGAAGCCAAGTTTGTGCCAAATGTATTGCTTTGCTTTCCTTTGGACACCAGTGAGGCCAAGTGGGGGGTCCTGTTGTCTGGGCAGCCCAGGACACTGCCCAGCCTAACGCAACAGTTTGACATCACCGTTGGAGGCACACTCCATTGTTTCTCAAGAGAGACAGATGCTAACAACAAGGTGCCTTCCTCCTCTGACAGATCCTTCCTAGCTCTCCTAATCCATGAAAGAAGTTGGAGGGTTACTGGGCGCCCTCTGGTGGCTCACACTGCCAGTAATGTCACATTTATTACTTGGCCCTCCTCAAGAATGATCATCATTACTGAGAAAATTACCGTATTTTTTGCTCTATAAGACTCACTTTTTCCCTCCTAAAAAGTAAGGGGAAATGTGTGTGCGTCTTGTGGAGCGAATGCAGGCTGCGCAGCTATCACAGAAGCCAGAACAGCAAGAGGGATTGCTGCTTTCACTGCACAGCAATCCCTCTTGCTGTTCTGGCTTCTGAGAGTCAGAATATTTTTTTCTTGTTTTCCTCCTCCAAAAACTAGGTGTGTCTTGTGGTCTGGTGCGTCTTATAGAGCGAAAAATACGGTACATGTCGGGGGAAATCACTGAACAAATAAATTGCAGTAAAAATCATCACAAAATCAATTGCAAGGAAACACCCGTGAGAAACACAGGGAAATGAAGCTTCACACACTCAAACAGTCCAGGGCCCCAAGGGAACCGACAAGAGTCCTAGATACCATAAACACACAGCAATACAACACAGATTCAAAATACAAGCCTGAGATATGGAGAAGCAAAAAGGAGAGAGAAAATATGTCTTAAGCAACTGCCCCCAGCAAGGGCAAAAGTGTAACTTGCTACTTCAGGAGAACAGAGGCAAAATAGTTTGTCTGAGGTTTCTTCGAGGCGATTTTGTTCCTGCCTTCGAGTGGATGAAGAAGCCAAACCCATGCAAGTCCATTATAACACCAGGGGAGAGTGTTAATTTTCTTTTAATTTCAAAATTATTTCATAATGTTGACCAGGCATACAGTGCTCCGGACTAAGACTTTGCAAAGGTTCTTGAGTAATCATAACTGTATTATGATGTGCATATATCTTAATTTTTCTTATAAGCTCTCTTCTAATATAGGTTAGTATAACACATATTTAGAGCAAACCAAATTATAAATTTAGCAATAAACTATGTACCATTGTCCGGGAGTTTCGATGACCTTTGTAAACCATTTTTATTAAAGGGCGTCTAATATTCAGTGTTTCCAATTCCTCCATCTCTTTTCTCTCTTTCCTTCTTCTGAAGAGCTCCTGAATGCGAGCTACAGCAGATCGTCTATAGATTATGAACAGAAAGGCCATCATTGTCAGAAAGCTACATAATAACCTGGTTTGCAGTCCTGTTCAGAATTTGGTTTTTAGATCCCAATAACCTCAATGGAATTTAAACAGGCTAACTGTGCCTAGAGCGTTAGACCACTAGCCCATATAAAACAACCTTTGCCTTTTGATACATTATTAAACATTTGCTTTTACTCTCAAACAACAAAAAGAGGGAGGGCAGCACAGCCTGAGCATGCAAATACAGCCTGTGCAAGTTTTCTTTTGAGTATTATACTCAGTGCCAATAATGAAATTGAGGATTTTATAAGCACCACCAGCAGGTCGCCCATTGACAGCATTTGAAGCAGAAGCTGTCAATTAGCCAACGGATGCATTCAAGCAATATAATCATTTTAACATAAGAACACAAGAATAGCCTGCTGGATCAGGCCAATGGCCCATCTAGTTAAGCATTCTGTACTCACATTGGCCAACCAGATGCCTATGGGAAACCAGCAAGCAGAACATGAGCACAAGAACACTGTTCCCCTCCCATGGTTTACAGTAACTAGATATTATGTTAATCAACAAATCAAGTAAGCCGTGACACATGAAAAATACAATACGTGTTTAACAAAAGAGAAATACCTGGGCTTTAGTTCTACTGTATATTTTTACACTGCATTCATCTTTAATGAACACACTAAAGAGGTTAATAGACTTGTTAAACCTTTCACACAGCAATTACCTTTATTTGGGGGGGCACAACATACAACTAAAATTACTCTCCACTGTCACCCTCTCTATATGAAGTCCAATAGATTTAAAACTTGTATAGTAACCAGTACAAAAGGTGGTTAGATACCGTACCAATGAAGGAAGTAATCATAATTCTACATGGGATGGTAATTCTGAATTACCTCAATATTCTACCACCTACTGCTGTTCCTCTTATATATCTAGTGAAAGGAATAACAGCTGAAGTCATTCAAATAAAAATAATGTATATAATATTGTTAAGAAACCGTACAGTGCTCCAGGTCCAATTTAACCATCCCCATTCATTCATGAAGCACGCTAAGTGACCTCAGGCAGTTACACAAACTCAGCCCAGCCTCACAAGGTTGTTGTGAAGATAAAATGGTGAAGACACCATAAGCACTGTGTCAGGCTCCTCAGAGAAAAAGCAAACAATTTTATATCAATTTTCTACTAGTCACTAAAAACAAATACAACCAGAATGTTTTTCAAGTCTCTGGAAGACAATCAAGCTCTATTAAGTACAAGGAAAGAGAATTCTATGTGCATGAAAAAGTGACTAAGTGAACCTCTTTATATATGCCTGTTATGCAGACATGGCATATAAATAAAACACATGGGACCATGCACTCCTGCAGCACAATCTTATATATGTGTACTGAGAAGTAAGTCCTGCTGAGTCCACTGAAATTTAACCCCATGTATATGTGTATAGGATAGTTGCCTTCAGTATGAGAGTCCAGGTCATTGAAGTAGCACATGATGTGCTACAATACATAGACAATTATGCAAATCCAACTGAAAATATAAAACGACAATGCACTGAGGTAGAATTTTAATATCCAAGTAGAGCAAGCAGAATCCCGTGGTGAAATGAGGGCTAATCCTTCATGCCTATCATGAATGCATGTTGACAGCATAACTTTTAAGAGGTCTGAATGATTCTGCTGCATGATTTCCCATTTTTTACTTCAAGAGAACTGTCTTTAGGAGGGGAGAGCGCACCACAATACTAACCTATGGCCTACTCCTCCACGAAACCGGGCTCCTGGTATCAGAACAGGGTCATCATCACTATCATCAGTTTCTTGGAAAGCAGAACTTCTCATAGATGATTCTTCATGAGAAGCAAGCCCTGAGGAATCTGGTTGGGATTGAGGTTCATGATTTGTATTATTTGAGTTGGCAGTGGACTCTGTACTTTGTTGACTCACGCTTCCTTGCTCTTCTGTGTCTTTTCTTGATAAACCTTCGCCTGGTGTCTGGCAGGTTATGTCAAGATGAGGATCATTTTCTAGTTCCATACTACTTTCCAGTTGGTCAGACACATCATTATCTGATAGAGCAAACAATGACATTTAATCAGTTACCACACTAAAAACATTTTCAATTATCTTTGACAACATTATTAAAACCTAAAGTAGAAAAAAATAAATAGCTATAACCTGTCCTGCAGATATAAGCATTTCAGGCATGTGGGGAGAAGAGAGCTTGAGTTTGCTTTAACAATTTACAGCTCCTTCAGTACTTTGGGTAAAGTATGCATATGTTACCATTTTACATACCTGAATGTGGTGTTCCAACATTTTCACTTGTAGGTGTCAATTCTTCAACATTTGTACTTTCCCCACGTGAGTCTTCAGGAATTCCTGGAATTCAGTATTTAAATTATATATAGTGCAAATGGGCTACTAGCAATTTCTGAAATTAGCTATTATATACTGTTGTCACTATCATAAGCCTTCTATAGCTTGCATGGTAAGTAATAAAAACTGACAAAAATGATGCCCTGAAAAAATATTTAAAATATACAGTAAGTCAGGCACTGCTGCAATGTGTGCTACTGAAAAAATAAACTGGTTTCCTGATTCCATCTATATCTCTAGCTGTAGATTCTCCATACTTATGTTAATCAAAATAGATTAGAATGTTTTGTGAATGAGTATTATTTATGTTCAACAGGAACAATAAAAGTGACTAAAGAATCACTTACTAATATCTAACATTCACAAGCTTATTACAGATGACTCCATAATCTTTTGCAGCAACCCATTTTACAAGGCTTGTTTATTTTTTAGTTTCTTTTATCTTACTAATATTGAATACTTATCATGAACATTAAGAATTTAACAATTCATATAAAATATATATTCATATAAATAGTTTAATATTAGGTTAACTTTATATTTTAAACGATAACTGTATTGTTTTATGCAGGGCTCTGGATTTACAACAGAATACTAAAGTCAATGTACAAAGAACTGTGAAACTTCTTTCATGAGCCTAATGGTGTGTTTGTGTTGTTTTTCTCAAACGGCAACCCCTACATGCCACACCGCACACTACTTCTGAAACTGAGCATAGTTTAAGTATCATATTGTGATATGTGGGCTAGCAGAAGCACCCTACAGAGCTCTGTGAATCACAGCATGGATGTTACACTTACTTCCTGTGCTCCAAACTCCCCAAAAATCAGATTGAAAACCTTGTTCATAGTATATGTACAAATGTTTAATTTACTTAGATTTTTCATAGCTTTCCTCACCCATAGCCAAAGGAGATCCCAAAGTGATTTACAAAAAGATAAAAATACAAGCAATAACAATATATCCATAAAAATAGTACAAATAAACCAGGAGTGTAATGATTTGAAATAAAGTAAGCACAGGCATACAATGATATAAAGGTGGCTATTTGATCTTTCTCTTTTTCCAGATTTTTCTAAGGAGGTGATTAAGGCATGCTCTAAATCTGCTAAAGTGAAAGCCCTTGCTAGGGCAAAAAGCTTGAAAAACTATATTCAATTCCTGGCAAAGTTCTGCATTGAATATTCAGGTCAAACCCATAAATTTGACCAGTCAGATTTTATAAAACAAATGAAGACTGAGACTAAACAATTCTTTGACTTAAAGGCCAAGACTTTGACCGCTAGGATGTATGAATGGGAAGCATACAAAGCTTGTATTAGAGGCTGAATTTATAGCATGTGAATCACATAAAAAAACCTTAGAAATAGTTAAGGAAAAAAATTGAAAGAGGAATTAAAAGATTTGTGGCCATTAATAGTTAATAACTCAACTGATAATCTGCGTAGTAAAATAAGAAAGAAGAAATTTGAGCTATGTAATACATTATCAAAACAAGTAGATATAATGCTTATGTATATGGGACAAAAAGTATTGGGAAACAGGTGAAAGGGGGGTAGAATTCTAGCAAATTGACTCAAGCAAAAGAAAGAAAGGTTAATAGTCTCACAAATTAGAGGTGAATTAGATGACGTGTATATAGCTCCAACAGAAAGAGGTATATTGGAAGAGGTGATGGAGAAGTTTTTTTAAAAAAAAATAAAACTACCTGGTTCAGAATCTATGCAAAAACAATTATTAATGTCCCCAATATCAGAAACTGAGATTATGTTTGAGAATAATCTCAAACATGGAAAACAGTAAAGCACCAGGCCTAGACAGATTCCTGGTAGAATGGTACAAAACATACATTGATGTCTAGGCACCTAGGTTATTTCAATTATATGATGAGATATTCAGAGAAGGAATTAGCTCAACTTTATTGAGCTAATCAGGCATACATTACTGTTATTCCAAAGCACCAACCAATGCCCAATTTCTCTGATTAATATTGATACAAACATTTTAATGGCAATATTGGCAAGTAGGCTGCAAACAGTAATACCAACTATTATTAAAAATGACCAAATAGGCTCTATAAAGAGAAGACAAGCCACAGATAATATCAAGCTGGTTGTGGATTTGATAAACTTAAACAGGAACAAGAATGATATAGCTATATCATCTCTTGACAAATTGATAGAAGATATGTACAAACTTGCAGCACATGAACAAATCACATATAATCGTAGACTTGCCATGGACAAATTTAACAATATTTGGAATTCATTTCTATAAACACTGCATTAGGTTAAATGTAGGTTAACTACAATAACAATCTTGTAATGTTTATAAGTTCTTTTTTACTTTTTTGTATATAGGTGTTATTTGCAATTTCTCCCCCCTGTTTTTCAAGTGTTATTTTATCCTGTGCCCTTACAATTATATACACATTACTTTTCATCTTTCAAAAAAGTGTATGTATATGTGTGTATATATGGTGGCTGTATCATTGCTATAAAGGCAACAAATTCACATCTTACTTGATTCTGAACTCTCTAATATTGGTGTCTCTGAACTCTGAGTTCTCAGGGATTCTTCCTGACCTTCAGGTTTGCTGTAATTTCCACTCCCTCTGGAACTTGAAGCTGTACTGCTCCTAGCAACAAGAACATTCAACAGACGCATGTATTTATTTTAGATATTTATAGCCTGCCCTTCAAATATATTCCCAGAATAAAAACCATTTACTAGTATTATTGAAGTATGAGCTAGTTAAATAATATTATAAAATAGGGAAAAATATATTGCTATGGAGATATGGGAAATACTCTGTAATAAGCACCATAAAATTTTACTAAAGACAGCAATCAGAAAGAACTGTTATATGGTAATGACAAGATGGTATATTAACCCTGTTATAATAATAGTAATAGTAAGAAGAACTACCCAAAAAAATACTGACAGCGTGAAAAGGAAGCAAACTTCTTTTGCTGGGAATGTTGCAGAGAAAAATTTACTGGAGAATTATTAAGAAGATTACAGAAAGCATACTACGATATGCAATCCCTCTAGATCCTCTTTATTACCTTTAAAATTATATGGATGTGTTTATTTCTAAAGGACGTTAAAAACTAGCATCTTGAATGGCTATGGCTGTTAGAGCATAATATGGAAAATACTGGAGGTTGTATACAATATGCTTCATGAAGGAATGACAAAAAATGTGGACATGGAAAAACTAACACCTATCAGAATGAAACGAAAAGCAAAGATAAGAAAACATTAATTGAAATAGTTTGTGATTTACATTGAGTATTGCAGAAGCAGTACAATATATCTAAATATACAATATTGATTTTCATCAATTTGGTTTGATGTTTTATATACCATTAATTATAATATAGGAAATCTAAATATGTATGTAATCTATGTTGCTTTAAGATGTCTTCCCCATACATACATACATATATACACACACAAACACACACACTCTTTCAATTCTCATTTGGAAAAAGCTGCTTGTAATTTTCATTGTAGTTCAGAAATAACAAGAGTTCGTGTATACATACTAGTACTGAAGCAATTATAAATATTTATAACCAAAACAGTGTTTGTTTTTGCTCTGTAACAAAATATTGTATTGATTATTATTGCTGTGTGGGTCATGACCATTATACTATCTGGTGCATAATGCTTTCTTCTTCATATACTAGGCTACTAGTTTTATTACTGCAATTATCGTACCCCACTTTGATATTCAATTCATATAGTAAGACTGAAAAGTGTTTTATTTGTAATCCCATGGGCAGAAATGATCTCCAGTACGATTTACTATCCCATAAATGTAATGAAATAATGCTTGAAAGACTTTTCAAAATGATTTTAATACTGAAAGCACCATGTAAAGCTTGGGTGTATGAAACAAATGTATTTTTCATACAATTCCTAAAACTTGCATCTAGCCTAACACAATATTCCTCTGGTCTAACTCAGCACTTTTTCTTAATGAATTCTGGCAGTGTAGCATATGAAAGCTATTAAATGAAAAAGTTCAAGTGTGAGATCTAATGTTAGCCATACTCAGAGTAAACCAAAATACAACTTAAATCCATTGGGCAGTGTCCAGTGTTGTGCAAGCAAACTCCCCCATCTTCTCTAGAAGGTACCCCACCATTCCAGAACAGATTTGTGCAGTGAAGACAAGGAAGGCAAAGTCCCACCACAAGTGGAAGTCTGTTCTGCTTGCACATGGACAGTATTGAATACAGCCCATAAATTTCAATGGCCCATTGATCATCCCAAAATGCTACAACTGAAGTCATAGCTAAAATTGGGAAAAGTAGTGCAATCTTACCATTCATCAGTGAAGTCTAATTTTATTGTGCTTGTAGTTGTTCCTTCTGTACTATAATGTAAACTTAAAACAGGTTCACTTGTTCCAGGATGTGGACTTGCCTTTTCATCATCTGAAAACAAAGTGTTAGTAAGTGTGAACATAGCACATATGTAAATATATCATAATTCTGAGGGCAATTCTGTTTATTTTAGTAATAGCTTCATTAAAAGTAGAGCTTCGGAGCTTGTTCAAAGTTAAACGCTTACGTATTAGGTATGATCACCTTGTAACTCTTAGGGAAAGGTCCAAACACAACAGCAATAAGGGGAAGTGGAAAACAAAGATTTAGAAATGCATGTAACATTTTTGATGAAGCAAAGATATGCCATCTACGCAGAGCCTTATCTATCGTAAATGACTAATGTCTAGTTATTACAAATCAGTAATGTTTCCAGTAAATGTGTTTAACCATTTTTAACCAGAATCCTGAACAAGAACTGCAAATAAGCTGAATATCCAAAGAAGGAAAGACTTTTTTTTAAGTTGCTCCATGGGATGGTACAAGGTACAATGGATAATTAAAAATTCTTCTTTGAAAGTTGGGTTTGGTACATTTCTGGAAATAGTTTCTATTAAAGTATAGAAAATATGAATGTTTTCTGGAAGACAGCTGCAGCAAACAAAACAATTTTTTTAAAGGAACAACATGTCTTAGGACCAGGTATGTGAAGGACATGTGACGACTACCTTTTCATTAAAACTGTCATTGGAGGCCTGCTCTACATGCTAATCATGTGGCAATTGTGGAAATTACCTTTTCATACGTAGTGCCCCTATTGTGAAACACTCTCCCCAGGAGGCTCATCTGGTTCTTTTACTTTCATGTCTTTCTGACATTTTTATTTTTTCAAATCTTTTAAAATAGCTTCCTATGATGTTGCTGTTTTCACTGTTACTGCTGATTCATTGGATTTTAGAAATGTTAAATTAGTTTTAATATATTTGTACTTGCCACCTAGGATATATTAATTAGTTTGAACTGAAGATGCAGGATATAAATTAAATAAAACAAAGAGATCTTGTGCTACCTATTACCGTATTTTTCGCCCCATAGGACGCACTTTTTCCCCTCCAAAAATGAAGGGGAAATGCGTGTGCGTCCTATGGGGCAAATGCAGGCTTTCACTGAAGCCTGGAGAGCGAGAGGGGTTGGTGCGCACCGACCCCTCTCACTCTCCAGGCTTCAGGAAGCTATCCGCAAGCCGTGGGAGCCTGCGCCGGGCTCCCGCGGCTTGCGGAGAGTTGCCTGCATGCCAAAGGTGGGGCGCACTGAGTTCAGCGCGCCCAGATTTCGCGCAGCAGAGAGTTGCTTGCATTCCACGCCCCATTGTTTACCGCTCAGGCAGTCAGGCAGGGAGAAACGGGGCGGGCGGGCGTGTGCAGTTCAAACCGCCCCCCCGCCCGGTGCCCGCTCTCCTTCCCGCCTCCATGTTGTTGCCTGAGGGGAAGACGCCGACGCCGCCACAAGGAGGACGGGAGAAGGAGGAGGCTGAGGCGGCTGCGGGCCTGAGGGGAAGGCAGCAGGGGCGGGCGAAGCCTGTGGGGCGCTGAGGGGAGGGAAGGCGGAGAAGGGGAAGGAGGCGGCGCCTGGGACTGGCGCTGACAGGCGAGGAGGGAAGGCGAGCGGGAAGGCAGCTGCTTCTGTTGCTGCTGCTGCTGTGGCGCAGCGCGGAGACCGGCCTCCTCCGCAGGCGCTGCCTCCCCTTCTCCCTCCCCCATTTTCTTCTTCTTCTCCCCCCCTTTTCCTCCTCCTCCCCCCTCCCTCGGACTCCCCCCCCCCAGAGCTGCATCGGGGAAGGAGGGATGAGATTATCCCCGAGGGGAGGGGGAAGGGGGGAGGACAGGGCGGAAGGGGGCTTGATTAGGGGAGGGGTCTCTTTCGGGGTTGGGAGCACCTCTTGCTCCTCCTCCTCCTGGAAAGGGGCATTTTTTTAATCTTCTGGCGGGAGGGGGGAGGTAGGTAAGTTTAGGGATCTAAATAGAGGGGGGTGGAGGAAGGAAGGTGCTGCCTCCAGATGAGGAGGGGGGTCTGAACCCTCTTTTTTTGGGCAAGGGGGTTTGGGGGGGGAATGAGAGATCAGAGGCATGGTTTGGGGGGTTACATGTAGGGTGTTTTGAATTGGGTTTTGGGGGGAGGGGTAATACAAAGCCTTGGCTTTGGGGTGAGTACGAGTGGGGTGGGTTTTTTAGGGATCAGCTCAGGGCAGCCATTTAGGAGGCACAGGACAAATTGGGGGTTCTTGAGGGGGTGCGAAGGTGAGCCGCCGCCAAGACCCCTATCTGTATTTTCTCTACTGCTGTCCTGAGGTTGCTGTTCAGGCGGATAGCAGCTTGCTGCCTGGAGCGCGGGGCGCGCTGAAGCAGAGCGCCCTGCGCTTCGGGCAGATATCCTTTTCTCCTCTAAAAACTACGGTAGGTGCGTTTTTAAAAGCTCGGGCTTCCCCCGCGGCTGGGGGGGGAATAAATTTTTTTTCTTTATTTCCCCCCAAAAAACTAGGTGCGTCCTATGGGACGGTGCGTCCTATAGGGCGAAAAATACGGTATATGTGTTTTTATTATATATAATGTTTTTGCCTGGTGCCTAAAGATAAGTAGCAAAAACATTCCTCTTCTCCCAGACCCTAATTACAAATCTATGGGGTTATTGTTTTTGTTTGTTACCGTTACATATTTTTGTGTTTTTATATTGTAAACCACCCTGTGATCCTCAAATGAGAGGTATAGAAATCCAATAAATACTAATTATAATTATTACTATAAAACTTTTTAAGCAAACCAGAGAGGCAAGGAAGGAAGGGATTTCCAAATAGGAAGGGAAATCAAGATGGAAATGGAGATGGGATAGGACTCTGGAACATGACGTTTTCTCTCCTGTGAACTCTGGCTGGAAAAAACCCCTTCAATAATACACTTCTAGTTTGGCCCTGAGTGCTTTGGTAACCTTGCCTTCTATTGCTCTTTAATTAGAAATTGTTGCTGCTGTGCATGTCAGGCTCCACCCTGTATTTCTGCACCTTGCTGCCTGCCTGAACAACCTGCCTGTGCCTTTGTCTCTCTATGAAGTCTTAAAACATTAGATTTCAGCACAATGTTCCCACTCTTTTATTTGCTTAATTTTGCTGGTTCTTATAACTAGAAAACACAACAAAGGTTTTCCTATAACTGCGTCATTCAGCCTTGTGTAATTTTGAATAACCAAACAAGCATTTTTTTTAACAAGAGTTTTGTAGCACTACCGAAGGCATCACTATTCAGTAGTAAATTCAATGGAACTGAATCTCATGTAACTGTGTAAACTTAAACCATTCTTAACAACCTTTACATGAATAATAGCAGAAGCATAGACTCTGTTTTCATTTTCTTATTAGTAGATTGTTAGTGACTGTGTGTTGTTACTTTTCAGTTTTCCCTGAGGAAAAACAGATTTTTAAAGCTCAAGAGCAATTGGGGACAAATTTAAAACATATTTTCAATAAGTAGTTTTCTTCTCTGGTGCAAGATAAGCAAAAATGATGAAAAGGCCAAAAAATGGGGGGGGGGGGTTTGCACAGGAGCAAACTATGTAGGGTGGAAGATGGTTGACTACAGATGCCTGAACTTATATAGTACATAATATTACAAACAAGACACCAGAAGCAATCACAACCAACTCCTGATACATATATAACATAGCTGAAAGTTTTAGTGATCACACACACACACACACACACACACAGTAACTATCACTGGACAACACAACCCAATCTATAATTTTAGGACGTGCAGCTCTGCAAAGAAAGGAAGCCTCTTCTGTCTTAGTAGAGCTCCTGACATGATGCCAATAGAAGACTTCAGGTTGCCACACAGAACCCAGTCTTGTTGGTATCATTGCTCCAAGGCAATTCTCTAAGCTGGGCTTTATCTTCTGCACCAATACAGTCGTACCTTGGTTTTCGAACAGCTTAGTTCTCGAACGTTTTGGCTCCCGAACGTCACAAACCTGGAAGTGACTGTTCCAGTTTGCGAACTAATTTTGGAAGCCGAACGTCCTACGGGGCTTCCAATTGGCTGCAGGAGCTTCCTGCAGCCAATCAGAAGCCGCACTTTGGTTTCCGAACATTTTGGAAGTCGAACGGACTTCCGGAATGGATTCCGTTCGACTTCCAAGGTATGACTGTACATTGTTTGTAATGTAATTGCAAGTAGTTCTGCAATGGTAGCTCTAGTCCACTGGCTGTGATTTGCACCAGAAGCTTTGTCTCTCTTTTTGCAAAACCATGTCCTATAAGACCAAAAGTACTGAGCACAGGCGCCAACTCCCTGGGGCTCTGGGTGCCCAAGCACCCACAAAATTCCCCATGAAGGGGCCGGGCACCCACAAATTTCTATGCCAGGGCCATGCATGCTGCATGGCATCCACAGCCCCGGGCACCAATGGTCATGGGACCAAGTTGGCACTCCTGGTACAGAGTACATGTAAATGATGGTGAGTATATACCGTTCACAGAATTGCAATGTAGTGCAACATAAGTTGCATTGCTACCTTATCAATCTGCAAGTCAGCAAAACCTGCATAGTTGCAACCTGCACTAATCAGCTCCCAAATCTATAGAGAGAAAACTGATGAGTGTACTTCCATTTCCAAAATCATAGGATCCAAGTATGAATTACTCTAATCGAACATATCCAAAATGTATCTATATTTCTTCTACAATAGGACATTGCACAAGTAATCCAGTCTCAGGTAAACCAGTGATTTGAGAGAGAAAATGTAATTTACAATCAGTTTTAGTCAAATATATTAAATTCACCTCAACTACAAACCTGTATAAGTGAGGGAGTGGTAAAGTTAAGATCACACATACAAAGAACTGAGAACAAATTATTCAAAATAATTCCAATGTAAGGCAATAAAGCAGCAATCCTGTATGAACTTTCAGGGAAGCCAATCCCCCAGAATTCAATGTGTCTTACTTCTGAGTACATATACTTAAAAACTACTAACTACTTGCATATATTCACCTAAGGCTCAGTGAGGTGTGCAGCAAGCTTTAAGATCACAAATGTTTCACCATCAAGCCTAAATGTGTTAAAATCTTTGAGCTACATAAAAATCTACACATGTTGCATACAAATCTACATAATCTGCCCATAGCCATTTTGTAGCACACAGTTGCATGAAGTGGGTCTACTTATATTACTATTTCAAGCATTTAGCCTTTTAAACTTCAGCTTCTACATATGGTATAAGACAGGAAGAGCCAAAACTTGCTTCTACACATATAAAATCTACATGCAGAGGCAGAGTATGAACCAGATCTCTCTGTTTTTGATGTGAACGTTTATAAAGATCAAGTGGAGTTTTACTTCTCAAGTTCATTACAAACAATTATGCCACATGATCCCTTAATGTGTCTATTTAAAATGTTTACCAGCAGCTACTAAAAAAAGTACAAATTATGAGGAACAGAGCTGATAAACTTCCCTTTGCCATGCATTTTAACACAATAGAAACAGTTTACCAATTAGCAAGTATTGTGGCAATGCAGTTTGACTGGGGGAATGATAACTTTGATCAGGAATATGGTTGACGCCCCTCAAAATGGAAGTCACCCTGTTCTACAATAATGTCATCTATCCTAAACTGAGGTATGTGTCACAGCCAAGGGTAATAGGAAGCCAAGATGCATCATTCCCACAAATAAATATGGCAAAATTATTTTCAGCTAAGGTCATTTTAGCACCCAAAGCAAAATTCAAAAAGGCCCAAACAAGAGTCTATAGAAATCAAAATAACTTCATCTGAAAAGGGGCCTCTTTCTCCTAGCTGATGTGAAAGAGCTGCTTAAAATGCCACTTCATTTCAGGTTTGTGAGGAGGGCAAAGCATGGGATTTGAAACCAAAGTTAAACATTGGTGAGTGCTAGGGTTAGTTTTCTTTCGGTGCATCAGGCTGGAATGGGAAGCCCTTAACTCTACAACTTTGCATAGTGAAGCAGTCGATCTTATGGATCAGATATTATTCAAACAGGAACTATACTTAACAAAATTGTTACAGAAGTAAGAAGATATTCAGCCAAGTATTAGTTACTTTGGAGCACTGTGATGAATGAACACCACCAAATGCAAAGAACACGCAAGAAGCAACTGCATTCACTCTCTTGTTCTTGAGGGGAAGCATCTCAGCAAACAATAGCAGCACAAACTATGTAACTACACCAGCTGCTTAATAAACCTTGACAAATGACAACCTGTAGGCTGAGGGTCCTGTGGGGATCCCTTAGGGGAAGACTGATCAGAGCTGGAGGACTGTTGTGCTGAACCCTCAGCTAGCTCTCGCTGTCTCTGCTGTTCAGCCTTCTTAAGCCTCAGCCGCTGCAGGCCCCTACGGAGTATAGCTAACTCAGGCGCCATTAATTCTGACAGACAGGAAAAAAAGGGTGTAAAAAGAAACAGGCATAGAACATAGGATAAAAAGAACATAAAGACTAAAGAGCGAGGTAATAGATATTGAGTAGAGAAATAAAAGCAGCAAACGTTTTGTTTAAAAGCAAACTACTAATATTCAGAAGGAAAATAAAATGTGTTTTATTGGTTATTTCCTTTCTAAATTATAGGAATTATGAAGCTCATTATTCATGCTTCATTGTCTCCAACTATTACCCAATTATTTAGCCATTTAAGTAAAGAATAATGTACCAAAAAAGCATGATGATATGAAACACATACATATGGAGCTTTCCTAGACTATCCTTTGTACAATAAATGACACTTTCTCTTAAAAGTTTTCTTTTGCATTACACATCATGGTATTAGGAAGAAGAGAGAACTGAAGCATGACTAGCACAGTTCTTAAAAAGTGACTCTTCCTACCAGATTCTGTTTTTAAATCCTAATACAAAATTTTCATAAGTAATGCAGCCACACATTCCCTATTTATGAGTATTTTTTTTGTAGCAAATAGAGAAGGTATGTGATAAAACACAGTTGAGACTGGGAAGTAACCTTAAGACCAATACAGTACTGAAATAAGAAACTTATCTCATACTTTTTTCCCCAATACAGAGAGAGAAGCTTGATGTAGAAAGATTTGTGTATATTGTAATAAGGGAAAGAGTGACATCATTTTTTTCATAATGCAGATACTCAGAATGGACAACTTCTGCATAGATCAGCAGTCCAATCTCCCCTTGTGTTATTCTACACATGTTACAATACATTTTTAAAAATTACATGAAGACTATCTCAGTATAGGGGGGAAATAATGTACAAAGTGTTTCAAAGGCAGACAAATATTGGAGAAATTATTGGAAAGCACTTCTGCTCACATAAGCTGGGGCACTCGATTCTGGCAGATTCTCCTCCCTTCAACTAATGCATTCCTCTGAGACATACACCATTCTGTTCAGGAGGATCCCTCAGCACTTAGAAGGGTCCTCCTCACCAAGGGAGCAGTCAGCAAAAATCGGGTGCCCTAACTTATGTAAGCAGAAGTGTTTTCCAATAAGGCAAAGGCACTATTTGATGCAGCCCAATGTTTCAAAATGATTCTTTGAGAAGTGAGAAACTTGTGGTTACCAAAGTCTACTAAAAAGAAGCAGCAGCATTTTTGCTGAAATGGATAACTCTACTGAAATGGTCAACAGATTAAAAATGGATAAGAACAGGAACTACAAGCACAGGTGGAGAAAAAATAGTGAGTTCCCCTTTAAAATTACTGATTTTAATAATATTTTTATAGGTAGGGAAGATCAGCTGGTGTTTGACTTAATGTAGGCATATAGATATCTTTGCATATTTACTATTAATTAGATCAGTCTGTTTCATAACCAAGCTTACAAAACTCTAATGGTCTCTGAGTAACAGCTCATTTAAGCTGTAATGGTAGGAAATTAATTTTAAACTGGTTTTAATACTTAACTTGTTTAGACTATTTAGCCTAAAGAAAAGTTTGGCTGTAACAGCCACAACACAGTAAAATACAATATTATTATTATTGTGATCTAATTGTTTGGATGATTTGATTTTTCATGAGAGAATAAAGCGTCTCAAGAAACATGCATGCACACACCCATAATGCATAGCATGGGAAAAGGAAAGTCATGAAAGTTCCCCAATGACAGTAATGCCATCTGCAAATGGAATAAGCTAAGTAGAAATTGTATTCTCTCTGTTGAGTTACATTACCTGGTTCACATAGCAACTCTGCCAGAGACAGCAGCTTAGCTCACAAGCAACAATAAAACATAGTTCAGCACTACATGAATGAGCCTAAGGAAAACATTTTTGTGCTCCCCTCATACCCCTTCTTGTCTGACAGGAGGACATTGTCAGAGTTTAGTTTTACTTTTAAGGAATCTCTGCTCTGCAATGCATTTGAACCAGAGGTCCTGCTTTAAACCAAACTCTGGTCAGTTTCACAGTGTGGTAAGAATTTATTTCTACACCACTTGTTCATTACCCAGGTAAGGGAACAGCTTTTAAACAAAACATGGAACCAAGTGAATTACAGCAAGCTCCAGCAGATCCAGTTAGGGACCTGGACTTTATTAGATATTATTGCAATAGGACAGAGCTCAACTTAACATGGTTGTTCTAGCCACTTAAGAAGAAGGTCTGCCACAAGGAGAATCGGAACAAGGGTTTTATAGGCACAGCACACAAAGAGTCATGAACATCAAAACATTCCAAAACAACCTTCTACATACAACAAGAAAGGTTACAGGTCATGAGAGGTAAAACACGCATTGGCTTCATACCGTTAACTTCACCCCCATAATTACCTTGGGGTGTCCCTAACTGCTCTGGCCATTTGGGACTCAAATGTCCTACATTATCACTGTTTCCTTAGCAATCAGGCCTAGACAGGGTTGTTGACATTCCTGTCCCTATCTCTTCCTCGGAACTTTTCAAGGAGATGCCAGATTTCACCCTGGTGCTAACTCAAAACAAATATAACAAAACATCCTTCGTGATCATTTGTGCCATTTTCAGGGTCAGATAGGAAAGGAATGCAGCAAAGGAGTCAAAGTGCAGGCACACAAAATCAAGCCGAATACATTCTAGCCAAAGGTTCAATAAAATTAATATTGGAACATTTTAAAAATCAAAATCTACACCCTTGGTCTCTTAATTCTTACATCAACAGTAGTAAGCCAACTTCAAACTATGGGTTATGAAATTGGTTTACTAAACAAGCGAGAGTTGATGTCTCTGGTTTGAACATAATGCTATGCAGAGATTTCATAAAACTGAACTCTTGCAATGATTCATTCTTGTCCATGCAGGATGAAGTAAGTGGAGAGTGTTCAATCCTTTGCTTGTATTTGTTCAGACTCATCCATGCAGCATTATACTATGGTTCAATGTTACATGCAAACACAATGTATAGCACAAAGGTACTAACTCTTCTGGAACACAAAAGTTGTAACCAGATTCACTTAGGTGAATAATAGCTACTTTCTCAACAGACAGTAATTTAACTTTGTAAAAGTCTCAACATTTACGAATCTGATAACTATCTGGAGTAACTCCATATTATAGCTGAACAAGCAATATTTTAAAGTCATAAAGGACTACAGTGGTACCTCGCAAGACGAATGCCTCGCAAGACGAAAAACTTGCAAGACGAAAGAGTTTTTCGTTTTTTGAGTTGCTTCGCAAGACAAATTTCCCTATGGGCTTGCTTCACAAGACGAAAACGTCTTGCAAGTTTGTTTCCTTTTGGATTTTCAATGCATTCCTATGGGATTTCGTGCTTCGCAAGACGAAAAATTCGCAAGACGAAAAAACTCGCAGAACGAATTAATTTCGTCTTGCGAGGCACCACTGTACTATGCATGAGCATGCAAAGCAGTTTGAGAGAAAAGTAAAAATAAGAGAAAACAATTCTATAATCCATTTGCTATAGCAATTATTTTTTACATATTTATTTATAAACATTTTTCCTCTGAAAGATCTGAAGACCTAGGGTCAGGATTCAAAGAACTACAAAACTAGCATTATTATTATTATTATTATTATGTAATCAAATGTGCATTCTACCCTTCATCTGAAAATCATGGGGCAGTTCATAACATAAAAATATAAAATGAGAACACAAAATACATAATAAAACAAAAACAAACCAATATTTCCCCATATCACAAACACGTTTAAAAGGTCATAGAATATTAATCAGCCAAAGATCTGGTTATAGAAAACATTTTCACCTGGCGCCTGAAGATATTAATGAAGGCACCAGGCAAGACTCCCTGAGAAGAGAATTCCACTAATGGGGAGCAGAAAAGGTCCATTCTCATGTTGCCACCCTCCAGACCTCTCATGGAGGAGGCACACAGTTGAGCAGCAGCCAGCAACTAGATAGACTTGAAAATGCCAGTGCGACTAAGGATGCAATATATTTGAGGAATGTGGGAATAATGGAGCATGACTCTTAACCGGCCTCCTAACGTTCATTAGCCTTTGCCCAGCTTATTAAATGAAAACTTTTACTTGATCTCTCAGTTTCATTCATGAAAATTGCAGGGCTTCAGGCAGTGGAAGGGTTTCAATATATTAATTTTATGGCATCTTCATACATGACATTTTTTTTCTGCACAGAAATACCCCATGTACAATAGTTTTCAAACACAATTGTACAGCTTCCCTTATACTGTGCTGCACTGTATATAGGATAGAAAAGCCTACATCATCTTTCTGTCCTGAAAGCGGCTTCCAACAAATTGACACAATTTACAGTTAAACCAATCTAAAACATATAATTAAACAATGGAATGACATTGTAAAACAGAATGTAAAGTGTGAAGCAGCCTAACAAAATGAGCATAATTCCAATACTATTCCTCTTGGTACGTCCTCTGAAGCAAAACTTGCAGTTCTGAAGTCCATTTCCCTATAGTACTTACTTTAGAAGCCTCATTTCTTTCCTATTCTCTATAACTGTACTTGGTAAAGTTGCAGATTTTTGTCTGAAAAAAGTGTATTCTGACAACAGGACAGAGAGAGTGAGAAAGGAAGCCATGGCATATGTTGGAAGGATAAGTTCCCAACAATTCAAATAGCAAAGCTACCAAATTCTGTACACATGCCACTCCATTTCTGAAGGGAAATAGGTCTACTGTGAGCTCTTGCGTTTTGATAAATGAGAAACTGTATCTCCTACTGCTAAAGGATATGGCCATCGGAGCACAGATAAGTTGGCACACATCTATAGGTAGAAAAGCCCAAATCAAGTATGTATAAGAGATGCAGGGGGCCTGGAAAGTGCTTTCTATTTATATCATGGCAGCAAATGTATCAAACTGCATGAACACAGATGCAGAAGTAGTACAAAATGAAGTGCTATAATAACCAAAATCTCTATGATTATGTGTTGTTTAATTTTTGCCTATGATGTTTTTACCGCAATTAAAGAGATAACAATTGTTGGAAAGGTTACTTAACATAACTGTGCAAACTGCAGTGATCATGAACCCAAAGAACAGCACAATTAGCTGCATGTGTCAAAGGAGTCTTTATACAGTGGTACCTCTGGTTACAAACTTAATTCATTCCAGAGGTCTATTCTTAAGCCGAAACCATTCTTAACATGAGGTGCACTTTCGCTAATGGGGCCTCCCACTGCTGCTGCGCTACCAGGAGCACCTACTTCCAGGTTTGCAGAGCTCGTTACCCGAAGCGTTCGTAAGGAAGATGGTACGTAACCCGAGGTTCCACTGTACTCATGTTTCTTCAACAGTAAACCCAACGCCACAAAGCAAGCAACTTTTGAAAAAGAGGAATCTTTCAAAAGCAGTTTGTGATATGGCAAATCCAAGCCCTTGAGCACATTTTTGGAGCCCACCCAAAGTTTCTAGTCTTGCTAGTTTAAGTTATAAAATGGAGTTACTTCAGCTTTAATACATTACCTGTGCAAAAAAAATCTTATTTCTAGTCAAAGCAACTATAGTCAGAATAATTTAATAGTTAAGTCCCAGATGGCTGGGGAAACTGTCAACCAAATAGGATGCAATTCAGGAAAGGTTCCTGTAATATTCAAAAATGTTAAAAATGCTGAGGGAGAGCCCTGATGATAGATGACAGAGAACTAGATATTTTGTTTCATGCCATTTGGGAGGCAGATCACAACAGATAACTGACTGTGTTGTAGCAAGTTACAGCCAAACTCCAACATCACAGAGCTTTGAGTGAAAGGCTATTTAAAATAATAGTAGTCTTTATACAACTAAATGATTAGTCACTCCACCTGAGTGTCTTCTTTCTGGAAGTACATATTCCTCGACTACCACATACACAACTTAGTTGATTATTGGTATAATAAATCCACATTCCATAATTCCACACATTCAACAACCTATATAGATGAGATACATAAAGTGTTCAAAGAGGGAAACTTTAATTCCAACATACCAGACTGATGGAGTGTAGGCGGTGCAGGGGTCTCCAAAGATGGCCTTTGTTCGTTATCAGGAGAGGATAGCAAGGAAGTAGATGGGGGGCTTTCAGTCGAGGAAGATGTTGAGGGAGCTTGAGCTGACACTGTAGATGATGATGATTGCAGCTGTTCAGGACCATCTACTTCCATTGTGGCCTCTGTTTCAGCACTTGCTAAGACACTGCCAGCAGCAGAGACATCTGATCTACTGGTGCCACCTTTAAAAAAACCAGCAACTTTATTTTTAAAAAGAGGACTCTCATACCATGTCACATTTGAAACAAAGAATATCTTCAGCACAGTACACTTTCAACTCTACATTAAACCAACTGGAAACACTGAGCATACTGCTACTGAACTTACATATATGTAAATGGACAATTGCCAAGAAAATCCAACACAAACCACATTTGACTTCAAAAGACGAATTTCCCAAAAATTAGGGGATTGTAAAAAATAAAGTTGAAAGGGAACATCAGGAGGGTCAAATCACTCAAAGCAGAGAGCAGGAATAATAGGATAGTCTCCCAATGGATGATGTAGAAAGTAGAGTCCTCCCACTTCAGACCTGTATCTTTTAACTTATTTATAAATTACTTTGAATAAGGGGTGAGCAGTGAGATAACAAAGTTTGCTGATGGTACCCAATACTTCAGTGTTTAAAACCAAAAATATTATGATAAACTCCAAAGGATCTCTCCAAATTGAGTGAATGGGCAGTAAAATGGCAAATGGAATTCAATATAAACAAATGTAAAGTGATACACACTGCATCAATAAATAAATCTTAATTTCATATACACTCATGGAGTGACTGACCACGAACAAGACCTTGGGGTTGTAGTGGATAGCTTAATTATGATGCTGACCCAGTGTGAAGCTGCTGCTGTAAAAGACAAATTCCATGCTAGGGATCATTAGGAAAGGAACTGAAAATAAAACTGCTAATATCAGAATACCATTGTACTAATATATGGTATAGGGTTGCCCACCCGCCCACTCCTACACAATGGGCACCAAGCACACCGGCAGACGGTAGGTGCTATTGAAGTGTGCGTGCCACGAGGATGAAATATATACATACAGACACTATATATGACACATGCACGCACACATACATTATATGAGACTGTCTACTCTGCAAAAGAGCAGTCAATTTGTTGTAAAAAAGAAAAAAAGCCAGACATTTTGCCAAATTTCAAAAATCTTCCCTGACAGACATTTTAAACCTGAAAAAGAGGACATGTTTGGGAAAATCCAGATATATTACAATCCTATATATGACTGCGCTTGGAATACTGTGCTCACTTCTTGTCACTTCATTTCATGAAGGATGCTGTACAGCTGGAAAAAAATATCAAGGGGGTGGAGCAAGTCTCCTGTGAAGAAGGTTGAAATTTTGGAGCTTTTTGGTTTAGAGAAAAGTTTTTCCCCCTCCATCATAGCCCTAGAATTAAGATATATCTGATGACGCTGGAAGACTGAGGAGAAAGGAAATCCAAAGACAATAAGGCTATCAATGGCTACTAGGCTAGGCTACAATAACTAGGTTCTACCTCCAAAGTCAGAGGCAGTGTGTCTGAATACCAGTTGCTGGGAAGCACAAGTGGTGAGAGCGCTGCTTTTGGTCTTTTCATAAGCATCTAGTTGGCCACCTTGAGAACAGGATACTGGACTAAATGGGCCACTGGCCTGATTCAGATGGCTTTTCTCATGTTCCTATGCCAAGTGTGCCATTTTTAAAAAATGTTGATTACTACCTTTTATTTCAAAAATCCCCTTGTCATTTCATGCTGAAGGCAGTTAAGAACATTCACCTCTAGACCGAGATCGTCCTCTTCCTCTGTTGCTCTGTGCAACTTCACTTGCTTCTTCAAACCATCTTGACAACATGTCAGACATTCTTTGCATTAATGAAACATTAGGGCTCTGTTCACCTATATATAAAGAGAGGTGTCAATCCTTTTACTGTGAAGTAGCACAGTACATTTTTTCCTTCTGCTACTTGAAATCTTGCATATTTACATCTCTGAAAGGTGAAAATATTTCTCAATATGTTTTTTCAACATATTGGTTTTCTCATTCTTCATTGTTCAGAAACTGTTTTAAACAAAATTTTAAAAATGCTGTCTGTGCGGCTTTGCTGGTTTCATTTTTTCAGCTGTTTGATCATACCTAATTACACTATTACAAAGAAAAAAGGGATGAGAAAAAAACCCCTTCTCTGCTATAATTGCTTCAGCCAAGAGTTGTAGTGTTTGACTCACTGTCTGCAGGGAAAAGTGATCCCAGCTGAGTAATTTCATGACCTGTACACAAGCTTTTAACTGGCAATTCCTCTATCCTCCTGTTGGTGGCAAGAGAATACCAAATTCATTTCAGTAGTGAGGAACTAGGACAGGGAAAATCCTACATGTTAAGATCTGGCAGCTTGAGATTTCAATCCATCTACAATTTCCCTCTCCAGATTCAACCAAGCATGAGTAGTCTGTTTGATAAGAGCTGCTATATTCATGTTGTACATGTTATTAAGGGCCAGTGACCTTGCTGACTTGAACTAAGGCTGATAAAAGCAGTAAGAAAAGGCTTGGTTACTGGAAAAACCAGAAAGTTGGAATTTGCTTCAAGTAAAACAAGGTGCCACTATCTGACTAACCAGTGTTCACTTTTAGCTAGGAATACCATTTTTAAAACATAAATCCCAGAAATGAATAACAGGATAATCTGTTATTCACTGATTCAGATTTTGAACTGAAATCAAGCTACAAAAGACAAGATATTACCATCTCTTTCTCTCTCACTTTCAGGCCTTGCTCTTGGTCCAGTATCTGACCAGTCTCCTCTTAGTCGGAGTCGTTTGACAGGAGGCTGCCGTAACTAGAGAAATAATGACAAGAGGGGCATTTAAGATGTAAACATTTTATTTCTGTAATAAGCTGAAAAGGTAAAAATATTAAACCAAAGCTGAAATTCTCGTTTTTTGAGTGAAGGAATCTAAAAATTTGGGCTAAATGCTTTCTCAGCTTAGTTGATCTGGGTTAATTAATCTGCTTTAATTACTAATACAGCTTAGGAAACAAACTATGCCAGTGCAGTCATAATGGATCTGAACTGATCTGTATCCAAGGGGTACTTTAGGGGTACTCAATTAGACTTTTACCCACTTGGGTGGGAGAGGGAAAGATCTTCTACATGCTGTATCCAACTGTAAAACAGCTGAGATTTTATATTATAAACAGTTTTATTTATCTTGTGATAATGTCTTTGGCTGAAAAGCTAGGATAAAATATTTTAAATGAAATAAAATATACAGTAATACATATTTAATATGCCTAATATTTAAGGTATACATCTGCCAGTGAAAAATGTTTGTACATATATTTAATTTGTATCCATGGATCACAAATCAGATTTTGCCACTGCAAAACCCTTCAATCTGCTATGTCATATGAGGTGAAGTAATCTATGTAAACACAGTTACAATAGTTATTGTTATTTGTATACCATTCAGTTCTATTTTTGAGAGTCTGTTGCATTTTGTTTTTATCTTTTTAGAAGATTTTAGTGGATGTTGTATTTTATTTTTATTTTATGTAAACCACTTCAATATTTTTTATTATGGACTTTCAAAAGTTCATAAATGAGAAAATAGATAGATAGGTATAGAAAATGCCTACAAAGAAACTTGATTGAAACTTGAGAATGGAGTTTAATTCCACGTAAGTGGGTAAAGGATTGAATGCCTTAATTATTTCACTAAAACTTAGCCTGTATTTGTCAGCAATCTTTTTATACTCTCAGCCCTGTCAAGAATGAAGGATAAACTTGTTGTTTTCTGCAACTCTAGTACAGTAGATGCTCGGGTTGCGAACGTGATCCGTGCGGGATGTACGTTCGCAACCCGCAGCGTTTGCAACCTGCGTCTGTGCACGCGTGGGTTGCGATTCAGCGCTTCTGCACAAGCGCAACCGCCGAAACCCAGAAGTAACCCGTTCCAGTACTTCTGGGTTTCGGTGGTCCGCAACCCAAAAAGACGTAACCTGAAGCGGCTGTAACCGAGGTATGACTGTAAGTCTCTTTAGCTACAGATGATAATCAAAAGAAGATGACTAAGGTAGTATGGCAACAGTGAACACATATTTTAATGTTCCAAAATATTCATATATTTTTAATACAATTGTATATATCTGGGGAAGCTATAAAACTGAATTGTAGAAGTGGAACTGTGTCCTCAACATGCAAATCTTATGCTCAAGGTACATATCACATTATAGCATATTTTGCATCTTTCCTTATCCTCAGAGGTAGAGCAGAAGTTTGAACATGAAACACATGTGTACCAGATCTCAATAATAAATCAAAAGCAATGGAAGGACCAACATAATTTAGTTCTTTCTTTTTTTAAGGGCTGAGAGACAAAAACAGTATTTGCCTGCCACCAAAAGAACACCACAACCAACAATGCTCATGTCACAGCTCACAGCCACGGACTCTAGCAGCAGGGACACTCAGAGGAGAGTATCAGAAGTGACTGCAGCACATGAGCAGACCAGACATTTTATACACCTGGATAGAACCCACTGGGTACTAGTCTAAATTTAAATAGTAGTTGAAACAAGAGATCAGTTAACATAGCTTTCACCAGCTACACCTGCAACACTGCAGGAATTTTCAGTCCAGATTCAGCCATGTGGAACATTTGGATATTCAGGTGGTCAGGTAAGCACATGATAGTTACACTGAAGCGGAGCTAAGAAATGGGTGATTTTCACTTGAACATACATAATAAAGATATTGGCAGTGTTCATGTATCATGCTAACAACCAACATGGTGCGCTCCTGATATTGCTAGCTACCATCATCCTTGACCACTAGCTGTGCTGGCTGAGACTGATGGGAGTTGAAGAGCACATTGGGTACCCATCTGCTAAGTCATAGTTTAGCATGATGTGAATGAGCTGCAGTGAGCCTCTAGCTCCCTTCCTCCCCATTCCTCTGGCATTGCTGTGAGGGGTTCAGAAGCTTTTGCTCCTGTTCTTCCTTAACCACAACCTGACATGCCACTGGAACTTGAAATCATTGGTTAAAAGTTGGCTTGTTTCAAAGAAACATTAACCATATTTCAGAAGTTCAGTCCACATGACAAGCTGTAGTGAAGCAAAAATGGAAGTGAAAGCTTCCAAACTCCTCCTCAGAGCTACACCACAGTAAGCGGGAAAAGGGGGCACATTCAAGCTCAAGGCTCACCAAGTCACATTCTTGCCATACTATGTGTGCAGAGGGCAACCAAGATGATCAAGGGTCTGGAAGCCAAGCCTTACGAGGAATGGTTGAGGGAACTGGGTATGCTTAACCTGGAATAAAGAAGACTGAGAAGATATATGATAGCCATCTTCAAATGGAGCAAGCTTGTTTTCTCCTGCTCTGAAGACTAGGACCTGAACTAATGGCTTCAAGTTACAAGAAAGGAGATTCCGACTAAACATCAGAAAAACTTTCTGACAGTTATTGAAGAAATGCAAGCCCAAGGGCATGTGAAACTAGTGTGGTTCTTTTGAATTCTAGTCATCACATTTTGTAGAATTTATTGAAATGACTGAATCAATATTATTGGCAGTGGGGAGGACACATTTAATAAACTATTTTTTATATATATCAACATTTCTATATTTAAAAAAAACTTCAGAGTTTACATATAGCTTGCTAACAACACAGACTTCCTTTTTTCATATGTGGGACAGGACAGTTTTTGGGGCAGGGGTAATATTATTGATTGATTCTCACATATAGTGCCAGATGAACTCTTCATGTTGCTATTTCTGTCTTCAAGGAAACATTCTGTTATCAACACATGGCTGCTTCTATATCTAGAGTAGAATTACATATTGGTAAACTGGTCCAGAAAGTTTTTGCAGCCATAGCTTGGAACAGACTGGCAGGTTTACATCTGAAGATATTCAGAATACCAAAACACCATGGCAAATGAGAAACCTCCCAGTTTTATTTGTAATTTGATCACGATTTAACACTATACAATTGAAATATTTTCTTTGTCCAATACAAGCAGTCATCTAAAATTAGTGAATTTTATGGTGTTTTAATGGAAGGAAGGTCAGTCATATTACAGGTTGACAGGGGCCAAATTTGTGCACAACAAGCAACGTGTGCACAAGCAACTACTGTCATTTACATGAAAACCTATCCACTCTAACTAAAATGTGTATTTTAAATGTAACTACAGTATATGTAACTAACGGTGTATTTAATACAGTTATTTAAATATTTTTCGAGTCAGGATAATTGTATAGGTTCTCACTAAATCAATCTTATAGAAGATATTTCTAATTATTTGCTCAGCTTAGTAGGATCTGAATTTCAATCTACAAGCAAAATCTGTATCTAATAACCTAACATTAAAATTATACTGATGTCTTGTTTCAAAATGGCACTAAGGCACAGCACCTTTTTAAATAATAAACATTTTCCAATACAGCTAATTAAATGATTTGCACATAATTCTAAGCCAAATCATGGCTTAGTGGGAGTTTTGCTCCTCCAGTCCTGCTGCTGCAGTGCTGTGAGCTAAGCCATAGTTTGGCTTAGCATGTTGTTCAAACTGATTGGTGGTTTATCTGGAGTGAGACAAACCACAAGCCCAAGTTTGGACAACATAGTAATCCAAACCACAGATTAGCTCAAAACATTGCAAAAGCTGGGAAACTGCTATTTTTTGTTCTGTGAACCACCCTGAGACCTCTGGGTATAGGGCGGTATATAAATTCAATAAATAATAATAAACTGGAGAAGCAAATGGCAACGATCTCCTTTCCTGGGGTCTGTCTTTATGCTAAACTATGGCTTGGCTTAGCATTACATATTATTATATATTAACTCTCTTTTGTCTTCAAAATCATTTTAACACGAGTAACCATGGAACACTTACTTCTTCTCTTCTTTCATCTGAAGACGGAACTTTAAGTTCTCTAGCTGTGTCATCCTTGGGATCAAACAAGTATATATAATCTGAAGAATAGCTCACAAGAATTTCTTGGCCATCTTCACTGTAGCATAGAGATGTTACCCTACAGGATTTGTTGTTCAGATGGGGAGGAACAAAACGTGCCACTAATCCTGTGGTACCCCGGCCTGCATAATTACCTACATTAAAAAATAATTGAATTAATTTTCCATTACACATATTCTAATCAATATAAACACACACACACACACTTTCCAGTGCTGAGCTGAAAGAGAGTTTGGTCTTTTTACAAATAAGCCTTCTGCTAGTTTGTAACTGTGAGTAGATCGCAGTCTCTTGGAAGTTGGCCACCCCTGGTCTAAACCATCACATTTTGTGGTAGTGAAAGCTAACCATGAATTGTCTAAAGAAGTACAGGCATCAACCAACTTACATGGGGAGTTACCACCCAAGACCCCGTGTGCATAACTGAAATTGCATAGAGACAACAAGAGCACCCTCTAAACACCCTCTCTACCACTCTCTCTTCAATCCATACCAAAAATACCATATCCAAAAACATCCACAACTACAATTGAAGCTCTGGGGCTAGCAGGAAGCTGGAGGATGCATGGGAAAGCAGCTACTGCTGCTGCACTACCCCCATCAGCTGTTAGGCGGGGAGGATGAGCAGTGTAAACAAAGCTCTGCTGCACCTCAGGTCTCTTCGGGGCTTCCTCCGTCCTCACTGATATCCTCTTCAGGCTCTGGGGAGGCTCTCTTTGCAAGGACTGTTCAACTTTATCCTGCCACTTCCAGGTTTGAATTGAATTTTTTATTTCCTAGCACCACTCATATACATGGTGGTGCGCAAGTAAATTACATGCAACGGATGCCTGTACTGTGTATATTAGTCCTAAAATGTGTCTATTTTTTTACACACTGCATTCTTTTACAAACCTCAGTCATGCCCCGGTTACTTGCCATTTTGCTACAATTTAAAGCCACATACACTGCACCTCCTCTTTGCCGATTTTTGGAGGGCACAATGAAATGAAAGCATTCACCAATTCAGAGTAAAAGCTGTCTACTGTCATTCCAAACTGGCCACGTATCCAATGTGATTGGTTACACGATATTGTTGTACATTACCAAGTTGGCTACATAATTTCCAACTGGGATCACGTACAGTATTTGGAAACAGAAACTGTACTAATATTAGTTAGAATATTTTATCTAAACAGAAATTTAGATTCAAAGTATTAATATCACAATGAGACTATAAAATAATTCCACAGTACTTACATTAACCTCACTCTCCCTATGGAAACTTTCTATCCTATCCATCTATCCATCTGCTTTTTCCTCACCTCATAATTTCTAACAAAGAGTAGAGCAATAATAAATCACATTCTGCAACCTTTTCTAGGCATTTTTAGCTACATTAAGTGCACAACTCAAGTTCTTAACTTTTACTGAAATCAAGCCTAAATGCATGTAATTGAACTGTTTTCATATTCTCCCATTTATCCTTGCCTCAATATTACTCCCTAGTCAAATTTTAGGTTGTCAGTTCTATGAAGGGCCAGGGCTTGCCCTTTTGTAGATATTCTCTGAAAAGCACCATGAACACTGAGACCACCATCAATTCTTAATACTCAAAACCACTAAATGGAAAGAACAGCAGAATTTCTTCATTTATTTACCATGGCTGCAAATCAAAGGAGTTCACTCAAATTTATTCAGTGAGAGAATCCATCCCACCCCCCTTAAGTTGGACTTTCCAGCAGCTCTTGTAGCAAACCTGAAAACTGTTCTTAGAAGGTCAATTTTAAAGAGCAGGTCAGAGAGAAGAATTGCTCTATGGGACTTAAAATAATGCCAATGTGCATACATGCCTCTGAATCATAGTCAAAATATCACTTTAGGATATCAATACTTTTCAGTCCACATTACAGAAGACTTTCTAAAGTGTGATACAAGCTTTCATGAGCATAAATTTAAAAATTATGAGAAGTTCTGCGTTTATGCAGAAAATATATTTTTCATTAAATCATCTCATTAAGAGGTTCACATCCTATAATCTTCAACTATGGTACTCAAAAGTCAGCTGTTTTACAATATCATGCAAGTATTGTCCTACCTGTTGCTCTTGTGCCAAGCATTCGTCGATCGTAAATTCTTACTGAACTATCGGAGCAACCAACTGCAAGATAATATGGTATTGGAGGGCAAATAGCTACAGAGGTGGCTGCCCTCCTACAGTTTATTAAAATATCCTAGAACAAAAGGAAAATATTGCACTTGTTTAAAATGTACAAGAACAAGTGGCATTAAATCACACCAACTAATACAATCCTAGAAAAAAATCAATATGGTTGTGTTTTAGAAAAAGCCAACTCTGGTCCTTGTTAATATATATTTTAAGCATGTTATTGGACAACAGACGGGTATGGCCACAACAAAAAGACTAAGCAAACAAAAGCATTGTTTAGTAACATCAACTTGCAGCTGTAAACACAAAGCTTTCATCTGTCTAAGATTTTCTCATAAAAAGAGGCCAGAAAGTGAATCACAAGGGGCAGGGATTGCCTAAGCTACTTTAAAAGGATTGGGCTAGAATAGATTTATGTACAGATAATTGGATGTAAAGAGCAACGCAATGAGATTAAGTACTGCAAATAGTTTCAACATAAAAAGGAACAATACTGAGTATAGCCTATAAAAATGAGGTAAAATAGTTAAGTAAAATGCATACTTGGAAGCAACTCTTTTGGTATGCATCTGTATAAATTAGAAAAATAAATCCTATTACTATTACAGTCATAAAGAATTTGGTAAATTATTTTCATAGCTGGATTGATTCTTATGTTATCTAATTATCAATGAGTTTAAGGATGCTCCATAACAAAGTGCTGTAACATATCAAATAGTTCATAAAAAGCCTGAATTCAAACCAAATCAAGTTTTTCATATCTGTTCAATATTATAGTATTATGATATGGCAGATAAGTAATACATATTTCAAAAATAACAAATTATATTTTTTCTTCATATAGTTCATGGTCACCTCACTAGATTTCACAGCATCAGGACCAAAGCAGGCTAGGATCATGAGATCTCAGGTTCTGAAAACAATATAGCTCTTTATTCACACCCTCTTATAAAAGTGTCTCTTACATCTTTACAATCTTCTTTTGTGCAACTTGTCTTGATTCTAGTATCAAACCATCTCACAGTGCCATCTTCTCCACAAGATAGAAAAGTATAGGGATCATTGGGGACTGTCATGATCTGAAACGTAACAAATTGTATACTTTAAAATGGCAACAGCCTTAAACAATTGAAAATAAAAGCCAGGATCCAAAGTACCATAGAACAACTTGTGTATGCAAGGAGGCTTGAGATTATTTTCTTGAAAAATATCCTCCCACCTGCACACCTCATGGAAAGCTGATTTTGAAATAGAGGAGCGTTTCAAATCAGTTGTAACAAAAGCAATGTGATAATGTGAGACTGCCTTATAGTATACAAATAGTTTTTTGGAGGTGGGAGGGTGTTCTTTAGAAGACTGAAAGGCAAGGTACAAAAAATCATGCCCAGGCAATCTTCTTAAATAATAGGAGGTGAATGTAAACAAGAAAATTTGGACCATATTATCTAATTGGGCCAAACTTTAGGTTATGAAACTGCAGCGTGAAAAAGAATAGATAAGCAATAGTCAGCACTCATGACATTATAGTTGTAAGATACAACAGAAATATTAATTTTCAGTACCTCATAAGTAGTTCCATAATGGCATGTGAATTGGCACTGTCTGTTGGTTTCAGCATCTTGCTCAACATTGGTAAAAAAAATGACTCCATCTCCTGAACAGGACACGATCTGTTTATCACTGGTGCATGGCAAAAATTTTGCACTAAAAATATTTGCCCTGTGTCCTGAGCGAATGGTTGTTAAAACCTAGAAAACAAGGATTACTGTATTAGCTTAACATTTTAATTACGGTAATATTGATCACATCTATCTTTCTCACCTTATTCCAAAAAGCAGGCTACCATACTATTTTATCTTCATAATCCACTCTCTTGTTCTACACCAGGGATAAGTAATCTCTGGCCTAAAAGTGTTTTCCCCAAATGACACCCATCTGCCCCACACCTGTCACGGCAAGGTGGTGAGGGGCGGTGAGACAATATAAAGAGCAATAAGGCAGAAATCATGGTATCGAGATAATACTGAAAACTTTGTGTGCAGAACTGGTGGACTTATGTTTTGTGGCAACTCTCCTACACAGGACAGATTTTGTTTTGAAAGAATAACCAAGCAATATATGCAATGTCACAAAAAACAGAGCTTTCAATTACAAAAAAAAAAAATTAATAACATTTTGACTATTCAGAAAAATGGATAAAGGGACAGCAGATCATCTTACCTTTCTACTATATGGATTAGTAATTACAAGATTAGTATCATCAGATCCAGATAAAATATATTCTCCTGTATCATTCCAGCATATTGTATTCACCTGTAAGCAAGTATTTAACACAATAATTAATATCTAAAGAAGGGGTGAACAATGTTAAGATGCAAACTATCTAACTTTACCAGAAAACAACACAGCTCAGCTAATTATGCATATACTTTGTATAAGGACTTTCACACCTGTATATTCAGCTGCATGAGCAGTACTTCTCTCACACTTGCAGTCTCTTTGGTTCATACCACCGCAGAACATCACATATGACAGAGTTGGGGGAACTTTTTCAACCGAAGAGCCACATTCCTTTCTGGGCAACCTTTCAGGGGCCACATAAAAGCGGCAGGCAAGGCCAGGGACAAAAATGGGGCAAGAATTGTATCCAATTCTTCCATGGAACAGACTTCCACTCAAATAATGTTGGAATCCACCCTGTGTGCATGGAGTTGCAGCCTAAATTAACTCGTTTTCACTGGGGCATTTATCAATTATCCCCGGAATAAAAAACTGAGTATCTAAACTCTCCTATAATGAAGTCTATGGAGAAAGACCATACGGGAGAATTTAATTTTAGCGATAAAAGAAAATATCAAAATTATTTTTTTATATTTTGATTACTCTTTAAAACATATGTATGAAAATTAAAATAATTATCATGTTCCCAACAAACCTTTATTCCACAAGATCAAATTCCTTGTGATATAAGAAGAGTCCCAGGATGTAGATTTTTTTTATTTTAAAAATGTTCCAATATTAATTGTATTGAACCTTTGGCTAGAATGTATTATGCTTGATTTTGTGTGCCTGTATTTTATTACTACTATGCTGCATTCCTTTCCTATCTGACCCCGAAAGTGGCACAAATAGCCCTCCAGGACGTTATTCTATCTTAAGTTTGCTGTAGAGTGTAAAATCAGCTATCCTTGAAGCTTCCTGGGAGATAGGAGAACACAGCCAAAGGTCTGGTTGCCAGGGGAACAGTGACATAAATGCAACATTTGAGGTCAAAATGACCTGGGCACTTGGGGTACCCCAAGGTAATTGCAGAGGAGCCTTACATTTTAAACATCCCATTACCTGTAACCTTTCATGATGTATGTAGAAGGATGTTTAAGAATGTTATGTTTTGATGTTTATAACTCTTTGTGTGCTGTGCCTATAAATCCCTTGTTCTGATGCTCCTTGTGGCAGACCTTCTTCTTAAGTGGCTAGAACAATCATGTTAAGTTGAGCTCTGCCCTACTGTAATAGCTATAATAAATAATTCCCTTGGTTCCTTTACTTATTTAAAAGATGGTCCCTCACCTGAGTAAGAATAAGGCGGTGTAGAAGTAAATTCTTACCACACTTACAAGAGCAATCTTGTACGTCCTAACATGTTTTTAAAAATGTGTTATAACAACAAATTTTCAGTAGGGAAAAAAATAAAATAAAATAAAGTAGATATACTTGGAAGAATACTAAACGCTCATGTTCATCTTGTCATGGAAATGCCAGTTACCATTACTTCTTGTTCAAGCACGCATTCTTTTTAAACAACAACAACAAAATCACTTACACAGCCATCATGCACATTCAGCGTTGCTTCAAGTTTTAATCTTTGGATAAATTCTCTCCTTCCTGGAGGGGAAAATGCAAAATTAGCAAAAAGGTTTAGATACTTACAAAGGTATTTTTTTATATTTTTTATAAAATATGCTTTATAAATATATGTGTGTTTTATAAATATATATGTATTGGTGCCTTCTTTCTTTCTATGGAAGGTATTGCATTGCCTCTACAGCTAAGATTCTTAAAGCACAATGTGAACCTTCCTAAAGGTAATGGGATTTTCTGGGTGATGGGTGAGCTCCTTCTCAGTTCCATCCAGCCATGCGTGCATTGACCCATCTTAAAATGGGTCCAGGTGGAAGAACCATAATGCATCATCACCCAATCAGTACAATGTCAGAGGCAATACGTACCCGCCCCCAAACTTGAGCAGATTTCCCCACAGGCCTCAGCACTTAAAATGTCCTGGTTTTCCCTGGTGTCCCTTCCTTGAGGAATAGCACATCCCACATGCCCCTGATCCCTCCTGTTGTTTCATCTGCAAGGACAAGAGTGAACACTGCCAAATGAGTAAGTTGTCTTTGCTTTAACAAAAACATTGTGTGACCGAGATTCAGTATGATATGGTAAGATACTCGTCCCATACTTTATTGTAAAATAGTAGCTACTTTGTATCCAGCTGTTGGCAAATAAGAGTTCTAGATAGTTATTTTCCTCTCATAGATCAGTTCCTTCATATGCCTTCATATGCCTGCTCAGCTGTTATGTGATTTTTTGGGAGAAAACAATCATATGCCCTAATCTAGAATCAAGAGCACTTAAATATATGAATTATTACCGGTACATTGTGCAAAAAAAACCATGAGGGAAAGAAGCATGCACAATCATGTAAATGAATACATTGGAATTAAAAGGTTTAAGATGTCTTTCCACTCATACAAATCAGTATGAGTTTCAATCATATAAAAGCAAACTAGTATTGCTTGGACAAGCTTTCTCTACAAATAGACCCATGTAAACATAAATCAAGTCTACCAGTCTTAGAAGCATTACAGGTTGCACTTAAGGTTGTATCCAACATGCAGAACAGATTCCACAGAATCATAAAATTGTAGAGCTGGAAGGGCCCGAGTCCATTCCATTTGTACAGTAAGACTTCACATTCCACTCCTCTCCCTTACAACCCCCACATCCTCAAAGTCTGCTTTGGAAGTTGTGGGACCCTCTGGAACAGATTTTGGGGCACATAGAGGTTGCAGAATGAAATAGTGAAAGGTGGAGATTTGTGTGAATAAAAGTTTTGAATTCCACTCTAAAGATTCTCTAGTGAGAATGTATTAAAACCTTCATTTTATGAAATTAATACTTCACATCAGATGAGCACCGTAAGCAGAGGAATTGCCCATATCCAACTCACCCTCACCTGTTTTTCCCTTGATGCAATCAATGTTATATTCTATTTTCCACTGGATTGGCCCAAAGCATTTTAGGTTTGCCAAGCAGAAGCTTTTGATCTCTCAAGATCAACTATATTAAGGTAAGGAAATCTACTTGCTCTTTTGAAAGTCATATGACTGACACATATATGCTTGTACAGGTACTATAGTACAGTGGTACCTCAGGTTAAGTACTTAATTAGTTCCGGAGGTCCGTACTTAACCTGAAACTGTTCTTAACCTGAAGCACCACTTTAGCTAATGGGGCCTCCTGCTACCGCCGCGCCGCTGGAGCCCGATTTCTGTTCTTATCCTGAAGCAAAGTTCTTAACCTGAAGCACTATTTCTGGCTTAGTGGAGTGTGTAACCTGAAGCATATGTAACCCAAGGTATCACTGTATAGCTAACCTATACAACATTATTCCAGAAAATTATCACACTCGGCATGATAGTTGTGTTGTAAAGTTATGTTTATAAGTCTTCACTAGAAACTCATCATCATGCAATGAAAATCTATTAAAGCTGGCCCATACCATCTTTCTTATGCTGCTATTGCCCTTCCAGTCAAATGTGTTTGTTGTTGCCAAGATATAGCTTTTAGCTTTTTCAGTTTCTTCAACACTGATTTTAACAAGACTTTTCAGGCAATTGTCATGATTTTGTTTTCAATATCTTCCTTTACAGTCTGACTTTATGTCATCTTTTTCACCAGCTGCTGCATTTGCCTTTCCACTTACACAGAATCATTAGCAAATATTATACGGTCATCAGCAAAAATAAATAAAAATAAATAAGCATGTTAGTTGTTCTCTGAAGAAAATTGTACACTCCCAGTTTGTTTTACTTAACAGTGATTCCAGAGCTGTGACAGCTTCAGATATATTGTGGATCACTGAGTGATTCCTGCAGCACAGTTGGCTATTCTTTACAGATCAATATACATGTTGTTAATTTCAGTGTTGCTCAGAGCACCGAGGACATCTGTCCCCAACAGGATTAAAAAAAAACACCCTGAGAAAATTCAGATTTTAGTATTCTATGTGATGTTGGGAAGTGATAATTCTGAAACTTTTAAGTATTCTGAGTACCATAACCATTATACTTTAATTAAAGTATCACCTTTAAAAAATACTCTTCAATAAGTAAATTTAAGTATAAATTTCCTATTTTAATTTCAATAGTTGGGATGTATTTTCCTTTCACCCAGGAACAGGGAAAAAACTATTGTACAAGTAGAAAGAATTCTGTTTGTAGCAATCCTGATAGCTGTATTACACTTTCAGACATACTACAGATCTTAAATGAGTGCATGGCTAAATATAACCTTTCCTGTTTAGTCACTGATAATGTTACAATCACTTGAGCTTTTAACTGAGGTAAACAGTGCTACAGCAACAGACTAAGTCAAACATTTAAAATACTAAGTTCACAAAAGCAACTTTATTTTGATGACAAAGGGAATTTAATATGCTATACGCTTTTACAGGTTTAAGTGACCATAAAAGGTATATTTTGCACGTTTCATATTGTGTAGAAAACATTAGCAGAAGCAGAAGCTCACGTTCTCTGCAGCAAACCAAGGACTTAGGCCTAGTTCTCACTGTGTCCAGACTACACTGCAAATAGGTGGGGGCTCATAATCATAATAATAAAATTATACCCTGCCCATCTGGCTGGATTTCCCCAGCCTCTCGGGAAGGCTCCCAACAGAATTAAAAGCACAACAGAACATCAAACATTTAAAACTTCCCTAAATAAGGCTGCCTTCAGATGTCTTCTAAAAGTGAGACAGATGTTTATTTCCTTGACATCTGATGGGAGGGTGTTCCACAGGGCAGACGCCACTGCTGAGAAGGCCCTCTGCCTGGTTCCCTGTAACCTCACTTCTTGCAGGGAGGGAACCGCTAGAAGGCCCTCAGCACTGAACCTCAGACTGAATGATGGGGGTGGAGAAACTCCTTCTGGTATATTTACCTCTCTACACTACCAACACACTTACCTTGGTTGCACTATAGCCCTGTCAAGAATGTTGAGGAATGAATGCCAAACACATTATTTTTATCATGTATGTATGGCATGGCTAAAATAGCAGATTTAGTATAACACTGGCCTTTAGGCAGCAAAGCAACACACCATTTTTTATATATCAGGTACATGTCTAGATAAGTGACCCATATGATATGGTATTTCCCTCCTCACCATCAATCAATCATGAATACAAGCAGGAATGCCATCTACATTGAATTTAAAAGTTATTTTAAAATTACCGTGTGTTAATATAACTAAATATTTGCTAAAATTACTACACTGAACTTTTTCCAAACAAAAAATATTACTTGGTCATTGTCAAGATTGCTAGGTAAACTACTATACTGTACTTAAATTGTAGCAAATGACCTAAATGATACTTCATTCACTTTACAAACCTCTAAAATTAACATATCTGCAGATGTGAGACCAGCAAGGCTATATTCTAAAAGTATCTCTAGTCTTGTTCCCAAGCATGCTGAAGTTGTGTCATCCTACATGAAATGCAATGCTAAGCAAACAACTCTCACAAGACCTATAAACTTTTTCAAACTGCATTAGAGCCCCTTTCAAACTAATGCCACTGTATTAATACTGAACTTGATAGCAAAACTAAAAGCTGCAGTGCTATGAACTAAAGATTATGCTATAAGAAGGTAGGCAATCTAAGATCGTTCTTAAACAATTATACTTCTAACTACTGTTGCTTATGGTAAATATTTTGCAATATGCCACATATTCTCTAAAATTTAGTTTACTCTTCTTCAGTCTATCTTACAGTCTCTTTATTCTCCCTGCTCCCACTAGTGTTACGTTTTTTTAAAAAAGATGTATTTCCTAATAAAGCTGTATTTTGAAATAAAATATTTTAAATATTAAACAACTCTTGACTTTATTTTTTTAAGCTTTTAGTTGTGATCCGAAATTTAATTGCATTGGGTTGTAGACAATGTTATGCCAGCAGAAACCCACCAGCAGAATCCCCCAAGCCTCTGGAGCTTATGGGAGGGCGCAGGACGGAAGAGAAGAAATGGAAGTCCCAATGTACACATGCAAGTCCCTTGCACCAGCAGAGCTACAGCATTAGATATAGCCCAAGTAATTAACACACAGGCAATTGCAATGTATAGATATTGCTGTATAGATATAGATGTATAGATATATATATTGCTATAGATTTGCTGTTTAATGCAAAAGTATCTCTTTGAAGAAACTTGGTGCAACCACCTTCATGACAGTGTGAGCATATCAGCCCATCAGGATTGCTAACAGGACAACATTGGCCAAATAATGAGAATGCTATTTTACATTTTTGGAACAGACTGTCAGAAGCAGACTTCATACAACAGGTGGTGACGGTTTCTTTTTTTAAAAAAATATGCACTGCTTTTCACCACGTCTCAGAGGCTTACAAATAAAAAAAATGTACAACGCACAAAACTTGAAACATAAATAAAAACATCAGTGTAGAGCATTAGAACCATGTTCATGATGCAAAGGCCTGAAATGAAACTGTTTTAAGCTGTTGTCTGAAACTTAATAGGGACAGTGTCTGTCTGATTTCTAGTGGTAGGAAATTCCAGAGTTGAGTCCACTACACTGATGTTGCTTTAGGACTGTTGCTGCCTTTTTCTACACCTGCTTAATTTGTCTGTATGTCTGTAAACGGGTATGACAAAACTTTCTTCTGGTAATTTTATATGCTGCCCTTCAATATAAATACACTCCTACAACAAAGCCAGTACAAAATATTTAAATATTTAAAACAGCAAAAAGGTTGTAAACAACTCAATGGTAAAACACTAAAAGCAGCAACAATAAAAATCATAGTCAAAGAGTTGAAACCAAAAGAAAAGTACCGTATTTTTCGTCCCACAGGGCGCACCGGCCCATAGGACGCACCTAGTTTTTTTTTTGGGGGGGGGAAATAAAGTAAAAAAAAAAATTCCTTTATTTGCCCCCCAAAAGCAGGTCAGGGAATCCAAACCAGGTCGGGGAACAGCGGGATGGTGGCGCTCCGCCTCCCCACTGTCCCCCGAGCTTGTGGGGTTGCCCGATGTCTGCCCAAAGCATGGGACGCTCTGCCCTGCGCTCCGGGCAGCAGGATGCTATCCGCAGCCTAGGGAGCCCTGCGGGAACTCCCGCAGGCTCCCCAGGCTTGCAGATAGCTTCCTGAAGCCTGGAGAGCACACCAACCCCTCTCGCTCTCCAAGCTTCAGCGAAAGCCTGCATTCACCCCATAGGACGCACACAGATTTCCCCTTCATTTTTGGAGGGGGGAAAGTGTGTCCTATAGGGCGAAAAATACGGTAACTGAAGGCCCAGAAAACGTATTATTGTGGCAGCAAAAAAGGTATCAAAGAAGGCACCAGGCAAATCTTGCTGAGGAGAGAATTCCAAAGGCAGGACATCACAAGTGAAAAGCCTACTCTCCCCACTTGTCACCCTCTCACTCAGAAGATGGGAACACAGCGAGGTGCAAATCCCACAATGATCTAGATGCACTGGCCTACTAGATGTGTAGCAGGCATACCTCCAAATGCCCTTGTCCAAAGCTGTGTAACCAGTAATCAGTAAAGATATCTAAGAAATTATGAGGTATGGTCCAACTATCAAAAATCTGCAGCTGTATTTTGTACTAGCTCATTACTTAACAGTATTCAAAGGCAGTCCTAAACAAAACACATTGCTGCAGTGTAATCTGGATTATACCAAAATACTGATAACTTTCTACTTCACTTCTATCCACAATAGGCATCAGCTGGTAGAAAGCACTTTGAACCACATGGGCATCAGTGACAAAGTTGGATCCTAGAGTATTCCCAAGGTGCTTTAATATGTCACTGCTCTTTCCTCCCACACAGATTGAGTTTAGAAAGCTGCTTCATACTTTCTCATTGCTCAGTGAAAGTGTGGCAATTAAATAAAGCTAGGAATACCCACACTACTACAAATGCAGGTTTGTTAGAAAATAGGAAATAGGAATAAAATAGGAATAGGAATAAAATAGGTAATTTCAGGCTTGAATATTGGTTGCTGATTTAACTCAGGCTACAGGTGGCTATTTTAATTCAAAATCAGTTACTGTGAACACAATATAAATATGCTTTTAAATTCCAAATATATAGCATCACATAGCCAAACATTACCTACAATTATTATTTTATATCCCAAACACATAACCTACAATTAGAAACAATTTCTTTGACAAACATATTTTTCAAAACTGTGTTTATTTCAGTTCCTTTATCCAATAGCAAATTTTGTTTCCTTCATCTACATGGTTGGGGACACCATAGGTGAATGAGTCCACTCGCCACTTTAAGAACAAAAGAGAGGACAAGAAGGCTTATAGATTTAGCTACTTTCTTTACAGATTCTCAAACACTTTAGGTGATTACTTCAGTAAAGAGTGGCCTATGAAACTTATATAATTCTACATGTCTCTAGGATTTGATGTTCTCTGGGGGAAAGGTCAATTCCTTCAAAATGTTAACAAGCCAATATAAAGTACATTTTAACAGATTTCTCAGCCACAATGACTGAGGAATTTCAAAACTGTTACTGAATTAACTTGTAAATATGTGTTTCTCTTTAGGTATGTTTCAAGATATACAAGTATAGCATTTTAACATATTTTGACTCTAAATCTGCAACAAGATAACATAAAATGACTGTATAAGCAACCATTTGATGCAAATCGATAGAGAATGGGGCTCAGCTGTACTATTTATTACTGTAATGAAAAACATGAAGGTGTAAATAAAATATAACAAAGAATACGTTGAAACTTTATGCCATACACATCTAAAAGTTATATTGGATCAAAATACACAAAGGAGTTCTCTCATCTTAAGCACTCATTTCTAAATTAAACTAAACTTTCAAACAGTAAAACAAGGTAACATGCCATGACCCTCTCCAAAAGATCACTTAAAAAAAAACATGGTCATCACTCTGCTCCTGTGCCCTTGATGTAATACAGAAAAGAAAGCAAGAGCAGTGATGTAAGAAATATTTTTCAAGTGAGCTGTTTTTGGTGGTCTACACAGTAAAATCTATGAAGACCCCTTTCTTCCAATTAAATAATAATTGAAATACATAGTCAATATTTCTGCAGTAATAAAATGCTTCTTTGAGCATTAGCCTCCCCAATTCATTCCTACACTTAACACATGGTTATTAGTAACTTACACTTAGTTATAGCACTTAAGTTATCATCATAAGATAACTCTAGCCAATTAGATCTGTGATTCTATACCTAATGACAATGATGTCAATCAGACCATAGATAAAGAACAGAGTGGGGAAAGCTACTTGATAACGCCTTTAAATAGTCTTAAATTTCACTTTGAAGCCAATTCCCAGAGGAAGGGAGGTAATAAAACATGTGGGGGAAAGATTGTGGCACAAGTCCAAATCTAGTTGTGCTCTGGTGCGTATCACTGATGAATGCCTCACTTCCATCCATATCAAACACAAGTTCAGTAGGAAGCAGATCAATGAAAGTCATGAGAACAAATATCCCTTGTAGATTGGTGCATTTGCTTTTAAACTATCAAATATATGTCATCATATAAATTTTCATCTACTTTTATTCAGCAATATGTTAAAGAACAGATTGAAGACCTCCAGTATTGGGTAAAAAAGTAAGCTGTCCTTGAGTCCAAAGAATATTTATGTTTGTATATAAAAAATCAAATTAAAATCGGAAAAATCCAATTTTTGTAGCAATATTGTAATGCTTTCAGAAAATGCAGTGAAATTAGTAAGTTTCTAATAGAAAAAGTGCAACATTTAACTAGCTATCACTGCCCAAGACAAACTTTACCCAGAATCCATAAATGACATTTATGTATGCAGATTTGTTAACACAAGCAAAAACAGCCAAACTTTTCTATGAATCAATATACTAAAAGCAATCACGTGCTACATTCTTCTTTGCAGGGAGTTGTGGGGGGGGATCTATGGGAGATACAGTTTTATGACACTTAAAAATGCCTTCAATAGTTAAATACATCCACAACCTATTTAGCTCATGCCAATAGCAAGCAGAGACACTAAGCCGTTCTGATTTCTCTTTGCGACTTTTTGCACGGGCTGGGGGTGCAAGTGTGTGAGAATATTTATATATCATAGAATAAGTACTATCGAGTTCCAACTCAGCATCCAAAGATGAGGGGGAAGTTGCAGAAAGAGGGAGTGAAACGCCACTCCCCAAATTATTTCCGAAAAATCTCCGAGCGTAGTGCAAACGGGGGGGGGGGGGATTATACGTGAAGAGAGACAAGCACACTAGAAATACTTCTGAACGTTTCGTGCCGTCGCAGTTCGGTTTTGCTTTTCCAAAAAGGACCCGACGCTCATTCCCACCCCCACCCTCTCACGAAACCGTCGTGGAAACTTGCTGTATATACAAGAGAAGGGAGAAGAAGGACGGAATGGGGTCAGCTATTGAGCCGACCACCATAGCTGAAGGGCCGCCTCTTCTCTCCACCCCGCCCCGAGCGATGACCCGAGGGGGCTGGGGGTCAGCGAAGCAGCCCCACCACAGCGCGGAACAACCCCGCCCGCCCTTCCCCTCAGCCGGAGCGCCGAGAAAGAGGCGGGGGGGGGCAAGGGCGACCACGACCACCTCAGTTTTCCCCCAGCGCCTCAGACCCCGCCCTCTCGCCCTTCTCCTTCCTCACCTAGGTATCGCCTCCGCAACAGGCCGGGCTCCTCCAGCCCCAAACTCCGCTGCCTCACATCCCACAGGAGGTGGGTACAGCAGCCCCGGGACATGGCACCGCGCGCTGACCAGGGGGATCCGACTCGCCGCCGCCAGCGACATCAGTCGCTGCCACTTGCTGAGGCCGCCCCCTCCCCCGCCTTCACCATGGAGACCCGCGTGCGCGCTTTACGCGCGCGTAACCACCACCACCACCACCACCACCCCGCCGCTCAACAACAATATCACCCCTGTCGGGCGCCAGCAACGGCAGCCTAAGCCCCTCCCCTCGCTGCTCCTCTGCTCCTCCCACATCCAGGGATCCGCTCGCAAAGGATATCGCGAGAATTCACCCGGCCCCTCGTCCTACCGCCGCTCACGGTCACAAAAATGGCCATTGAGATGTCCGTGTCGCCGTTTAGCGGTCATCCCTCAGTACGGGTCTGGACACCGGGAGAAAGCCGCCTTATCGGCTTTTCTTACGCTTTCCGTACACGGGCTGCTCAAAGGTGTCTAAGCAGGGGAGTTAAAAGGGCAACAACCACCACCCTTAACGAGCCTTTTCAAAACAAAACCCATCCTGGGTGAGGGCAAAGGAACATTGAAGGCGGACATGTTTGTTTTGGGAGCCAGGTCCCCGAAAGCTTTGCTTGAATCGTCATCAATCATCGTCCGCCGCTCATACCGTCATAAAAAGAGGACGCCAATTGACCGCAAGAATGTCATCAACGTCGGGTGGCAAAGCCGGTAATGTCGTAGCTAGCCAATAACGCGAAAGCCAGCTGTTTAAGCCCCGCCTCTTGCTCCGTCCGTGAACAAATCAGAATCAGGAACAGCGGCTCGCCCCACCACCTGCTTCTGTTCGTGAGGAGGGGTTGTGGGTTTTTGTGTTTTCCCCCCTCCTCTGCTCAGACGGAGGAGAAGGAGGACGACGACAGGTCGAGCGGGGGCTTCGTTGCATCAGTCGCTGTCACCCGCACACAGAATGGCGGCCGCCGCCGCGGGGTTTCGTGCCTCTTACCACCGGTTTCTGGACCGAATCGAGGTCATGTTGCCGCCCCGGCTGCGTCCCTTGTACAACCACCCGGCAGGTATTTGAGGGGAGGAGGAGATGGGGGAGGTCGTTTCCTTGCTCGCCAGCTGGGGATAACTCGTGAAATGGTGTATGTGAAAGTGTGTGCGTGTGTCTGAGAGAGAGAGAGAACCCTTATTTGTAAAAACAAATAATATATGCGTGGAAACAAAACAGAGCCCCCTCCCACCCTCCAGTGCCTCAGTTCCCTGCTTATAAACCTGGAGAGGCCACCCTGGTAGTGGAAAATGTGCGCTTGTGTTGTATCTGGTCACTCAGACCAGGGACTGGAGTTCATCTCCCCATGGCCGTTGGCCTTGGACTAGTTGCCATCTCTCATACTGGCCTACCTCACAGGATTATGGAGAGTAGGGAAAGACCAGGGTGGGGGCAGAATTCTTTGGCAAAAGAGTGGGGTAGAAATAAAATTTAAAAGCCCCAGGTCAGAGTTGGTTAGTACTTGGAGACATGGCAAAGTAGATGGTTTAGTCTCTGTCCTTGAGAACTCCTGCAAGGTGGTAGCATTTCTTCCATGGTGATGGGCAGGCAAGCTTTGTGGAGGTCTGAGTTGCAGTTTTTTGGCCTTCTTTGTGCAGCCTGAGACCAGCCCTTCTATGCTTCTGCTTCCTGCAGGTTAATTGCTATTGTCGTTAACAAAGGCTGCATAGAAGTCAAAGTTCTGTTTGTCCTCTTTGACATAGATGCTTCTGGGAAAACAAACTTTCCTTTCACTGGGAATGGTGAGAGAGATTTATTATGGTGACCAGATGCAAAGAGAAATTGTCATGTAGGGGTAAGAGAAGCTGCACCTGCTGAAAGTCCTCTTTCTGTGCTGCTATTTAAAATTCAAGATGCCTGTCCTTCATTGAAGCAGGTCAACTTAGAGGATAAAGTTGGGGCTTTCCTACATGGCATGGGTCAATCTTGCAACTGTCTGCTCCTTTAAAAGATTGTTTTCTTGTGAAGGGATGCTGCTTAGTCAGATTGCACCAGCTCCTCAAAAACTTGCATGTTCAGAAAGGATTCCCTGCAGTTCTGTTGCCTAGGGCCCACTAAAATCCAGAGGTGGCCTTAATGATTGCCTAACCGCAGAAATTATACAGTAGGTCCTAGAAAGGTAGCCGACTACTTTACTCCCACGCACGTTGAAAGAAAAGCAGTGAGTTATAGGAAGTAATCCCTCCCCACACACACACCATCCCTCATTTATCATATTGTCAGGAGATTCTCTTCTGTTCATTCAAGGGACTTTTGAAATATAGGTTTTCAGTGGAAACTGCCATTAGGTTTTTCTTTCTCAAAACTTCCTAAAACATTGTGATTCTTGGTGGCTGTCAGCAACCATACAACAACATAACTGGATAACAAAATAGTCTAAAAATTAGGAAACTGGTAGACTTGATTACAAATTCCTACTCTGTTGTTGACTTTTCCTCTAGACTGAATTTAACCATAATCACCCTTTGATTTACTTACTGGGGAAAGTACTGGTATTCTCTTATCATTACTTATAATCCATTTTTAAACATGCAGCTCTTTATCTTTCCTTTTTTATCTGCAACTGGCTTCTTTGGCTTTACTATCTCTCCAGTGTGAATCCTTTAGAGGTCATTTGGTGATGGGCTTTATAAAAAGACAAAAATCAATTAACAAGATTATTTCTTCCTTTGCCACTCTTTAGTGCAAGCCAGTTTGTGGTGTTTGGACAGAGGAATCATTTGTCATAAGATTTTCTGGTAGTTGCAAAAGCTAATCTTATCTATACTTCAGTAACTGCATTACTTAATTGTGGATGTAAATTCTCTGTGCAGAACATAACGTGTTCCTGCATTATGCTACTTTATAGTCTCAGCTTTTATTGGGAGACTTGGATTCAGCAAAGTACTATGCCTCTTACACAAATGAAAAATACCATGAAAGGTGATCCAACTGATACCAAAGGCCTGACGGCAGAAACATTTATTTCTTGTGAAAGAAGCTTGCAGAAGAAATAAACCACTGTCTGTCAGGGAAGTGTGAATACAAATACTGAATTATAGTAGTGCAGAACTTGTCATATTGTACTTTAAAATTGAAGTTGGGACTCTACTTCACATTTATGCAAATTTAAAATTAGTTTTGCATGTCATGACTTTAGTATAGTTCCTGACTTTAGATTGAGGACTATCTGATTCAGCCTTTGCTCTGGATTCTGTAGGTAGCAAATTACAGTGCTGCTCTAACTTACTCAATAGTGCTGAGGATTACTGACATAATGTTTGTGAAACATATCTTATGAGTAGCTCATATACTTGCTGTATTATTAAGGCTCTGAAGTCAAGCAATGAAAGGAATACAATAAATTAATGTCAGGTGTTGCAGATTCCTTTCCTCACAATGTCATCTTCACTTTCTGGAAAAGGGAATTCATGGAATAATAGTTTACTGTCCACATGTAGCAAAAAGTTTATTCCAAAAAGCATTTCTTCAAGAGCTTCTGACAAATGTTGGCTCATTTTTAAAGGAAAGGTTTTGACTAAAGATGTGGCTTAGTTTCATACCTGTTGAACTAAGTGTCCAAGTTTGAACTGCTGTTGGCATTCAGGCATATTTTCCAAATCTGCGTCATGTCCATGGTGCAGGTCAGTTTGATGGCCTAAGTTGATAAGTGACATTTTACCTAGAATACAAGCTGCAGTAGCTGAGGAAAATCCTGTCACATCTGGTTTGTGAAACACCCTAATTATCTATACTTGTTTCAGTACTATTTCTGTCTTTCACAATAGTTTGTCAGTCTTGCCAAAGGACATGAAATGTTCTGAAAAGTAACCATCTCTGCTTTTCGTGACTGTTGCTATGCAATAGAAAGTTGGTGTTGGCAGCAGAACCACATGACTTGGAGCTTTCCATTTGTTCTTTGTGTAGCTCCTCTGAATAGAAAGCTCTTTAGAATTCCTCAAATGCATCAAGAATAACTGGGCTGCTGTCTTGCAAGAAATGTACAGATTGCAACAAATTTAAGTATATTTAGGAATAATGATTTCTGAAAAAAACAACCTGAATAATCCCATCACTGAAAGTAGCATCTTCATTTACCTACATAACATCTTGACTTAATGTTTCTCTCAGTTGCATAGCTTAACTCTAGAACAACTTCTATAGAAGTTCTTCTTCAAATCGGTACCAAAGTTTTGCAATGGTTTTGTAGTGAAATGCCCACATCTTGCTTCACCTTCACAAGTGAGTAACTGTTGACTTGCAAGTTCTGCTTCCCAGAAGGCAATCCTAGTGAGCTCTTTGGGGCATCTTCTAAGTGTGTTTTAAACTTAATAGACACTAAAGACAGAGTATTACCAAATGTGAACTTGCCAGACAGTTGTCTTGTTGTTTAGTGGTTGTGCACCAGTCTCATACATTCATTGAAAAACAAAGGTGAAGAACAGTAACTCTAGTATGGACCCACAATGAGTAAGACAGTAACCTAATTTTGGAGGTGCTGCAAAATGTGAGGGTTTTGCTACAAAAAGGGTTGGAGTGAATCAAACAATGTTGGGTTTCTGGGTGATACCTATGATCCCCAATTCATGTAGCAATTACTCGGTAATGCAGCATTCGCACTGCAAAATGACTGCAAAAAATTGGCACAAGATTGGAGGGAATCCCAATTTTGGGGTTCACACTTAATGAAGCTGCTATAGAGCTCAACACCTGTGAAAAGGTCACATTGTATGGCAAAGTACTCTTTAAGACCTTGGTTTAATCTCTGAAGAAGAATGGCTCCAGAGAATCGTGAAATTGGCCATCACTTCCATAGGAGCAACATTGTTTTCGGCATTTCTTTTAATTACACCTCGAAGTGTTTGTAACAAATCCTTCAGGTGCTACAAAAAAAGGTACAAAAGTAGTTTGAACAGGTCAGACAACAGAAGGTAGGAAGCAGAATATGCATTCAGCTTGGTGTCAGATTCCTCATGAGGTGCTTTGAATAGAGTTGTATAAGTATTATGATTACACATAAGGAAAAATGGATCAACAGACAATTGCAAAACTTGTGTTGCAGGAGAAAAGCAATTTTGTGGATCTGTTGTAGTTTTTGCACTGGTAACAAGTACTGTACTAGAGACAGAAACATTTGTTCCTGCCCCACACATGATGGGGCCCCCAGCTAATCATGGCAGAAAGTAGTGCCTGGTACCTCTGGACAAATGCAGCAGTGCTGGGGCAGGGGATAATATTTCTTTACGTGTGTGGGTGTCATCTGCATTTTCTTCCACCACTTTGGTAAAACTGTCCTTTGTGTCATAACTCCCATTTCCTGTTTTCAGATATTTGATTGCACCTCAGCAGAAGAGCTCTTATCACTTCTCCCCTGTGCTGTAGTGTAAAACATAACTATTCTGTTGGTGCATGTGCACCAAGGCTACTTGCTGTTTTAATAATTCACATAATTCAGTGGTTTTGTGCAAATTGTCACACAGCAGAATCATGTAGCTAATGAAATATTTCTCTTTCAGGTCCTAAAACAGTGTTTTTCTGGGCCCCTATTATGAAATGGGTAAGTTGAGAAGAGGTTTGTACTATTGACAATTTTTTGTTGTGACTGGCCACTGCTAGTAATTATCACTATTGTACTGCATTTCATTTGCTTCTGACCTCACTGTTTTACACTTCTCCCCCACCCAATACATGTAGCTCAAAATAACACTTCATACATCTGAAAAGAGTGCACTGTAGTCTACAAAAGCCTATGTCATAATAAATTGGTCAGTATTTAAGGTGCCACAAGACTCCCCACCCTCAAAAAAATGTATTCCACTCTGTTTCCTCCCTGGAGCCCTTTGTGGGAGACGGGCAGGCTATACACAAATAAATTAAATTGTGGTGCATGTATTTTAACGGAACCTGACTAAAAATAATTATGTTGTTTGTGTATATAGACAGACAACTCTTTCTTCTTGCCTGAATTCTGCTGGTCCATGAGAAGCATTTGGATATGTTGGAAGAAAGATGTAGAAATAAGTCCCACCTTAATTGTGTTGAAATGCTATCTGACAGTTTAGCAGAAATTTCTACTAAACTAGGTACTAACACTGCATGTCTTCTCTCTGAACTATCATAGTGCTATTTTGTTGCACCTGCACCTACAACCATGGCATTGGCGACTTTATATAGTCACTAGTTGGAAGCCACTAGTATCAGTAGGACATACATTTAATATAAATACAGCAAGACTGCTTATTGGAATTGGGAAACACAACTTTCCAGTTCTTAAATACTGCATTTGGTTTTGATGCACAAAGCCCTTAAAATACCTAGGCCTTGATATTTCAAGGGCCATTTGCTTCCACGTGAACGTTCCTGTGTAGTATGATCTTTCTTCTGCTCAGTGTCCTAACATTTTGAGGCATGGTGAGTGAGCATGAAGTGCAGGGTCTTTTCAGCTGTAGCACCTTTATTCTGCAACAGTCTCTCCTTATTAATTCCCAAGTATTCACTGATGCTTTAAGTGACAAGAAATCTGTATTGTCTTGTCTAGCAAGTCCCAAAGCTTTTAGAAAATATTTCCTGCCCAATATGCTCAAACAACTCTTAGCTGGGTGTCAAGTTCCTCTGGGACCAGCCTTGTATAATTGCCATCTTTTTCCTGTGGAGACGAATCTCTTTGCACTTTTTCAGTTAAAACAGGCCAAGCTTCTTTGCTTCATCTGTACAAGTATGGAATGTCTGGGACAATGGGCAATGCTTCTTCATCAATCAATTATAGTGTGTTTGAAGCCTAATAATACCAGATACACTCAGCAGTGGCAATCATATATTTTGACCTGTGTAGCACAGGAAAAAGGCAAAACCCTTATCCCTGAAGTAGCACATTGGAGGCTTTCTGAAAGCAGCAAGAACTCTTGCTCTTTCAGTTGCAGTAGTACAAGCCACTATTTGTACCTCACCTACTTAATCCACTCAACAGGATTAAGAATCACAAGATTCAGCTGGCTGTCCAAACCAGCTAAAATTTATTATTTGTCTCCACCAACTTTTCCTCCCATGTAACATGTCCCCTAAACATGGGAGTTACTCTAGCTCTTAAATTGTGAAGTGCATGAACTATAGTAACGGTTGTTGTTGGAATCCATCTGTCTCAAGAGACACTGGAGTGCCTCCGGGGCTGAAGTCAAACCGCTGTGTTAGCAGCACCCAGCTGACCTCCCTAGAGCATAAGCCTGGGCAGTGTGTATGGGGGTCCTGGGCTGCCCAGACAAGAAGACCTCCCTCTTGGCCTTGCTGATGTGGTCCAAAGGAAAGCAGAGCAATATGTCTGGCACCAGCTTGGCTGCAAGAATTGCCGGAAGGAGGTATACAAGATGTCATCCAACCGTCTTAGGGACACCACTCTGAATTTGTGTAGGGTTTACTGCTTAACCTTTTCTTCTCGCAAAGATATCCCACAAAGCAGCAGAGGTATAGGATCTGAGTTTTCCTTCTCCTAGATGGGCTGCATTCCCAAACTGACAAGCCCCATCTGCCCTCTCACTTCCTGCTCCAGTACATGCAAAATCTACCTTCTTGACCGTTGGACCCACTATTGGTCTCATTCGCTCAGTCTACCAGAGCCTGGCTTTGCATGCAGGGGAAGTTCCTAACACACTGAGGGTTTGAGACTCATTGGTTACCTTCACCTGGTTTAGCCAGCCATTTGAAGCCATTCCTAGGGTGTGGCTACTGTTGCATGCTGATAGCTTCTAGGAGCCACAAGTGAGAGTCGAGTGCAGGGTGGGGACCAAAGATGAACAAACTACGCCAGAATGAGCACAATGTCTTCCTCACCAGAGGTGCTACTGCTCCCCAACACCCCATAACTCCTGTTGACTAGGTTCTAATTAATGAAGACACACTGCTATAATACTGCACTAAAGCTGGCTGCTACTTCCTTTTATAGGGCTTGGTATGTGCTGGAATGGCTGATATGACCAGACCAGCAGATAAACTCAGCACATCACAATCTGCTGTGCTAATGGCCACAGGTATGTTTATTCTCACTTTGCTGTTAAAAATTTTTTAATTAAATGTTAAAAAAATCATCAGCTGATAATAGAAGTTGTGGAGGAAAGAACCAGTTATTGCTTCCATGTAACACATTATGGATTGGGATGCCAGTTCCTAGTGCTGCCATCTTCCATTCTATAAGTATTGGGGGGGGGGGATAATTGGCTCATAAATAACTGAGAACACCCAACTTGAATGGCATAAGCATGAAGCTTTCTATCATGTTTAGATGCAACTTTTCTCCGAATCTGAACATCTGATACTACAATCATTGTTGACCTTTGGTACTAATAAATCTACTTGGTATTAAACCTTTGCTTTCTTTATGATCCAACAGGTCTTATCTGGTCAAGATATTCTCTAGTTATTATTCCTAAAAACTGGGGTCTCTTTACAGTTAACTTCTTTGTTGGCTGTGCTGGAGGCTCTCAGCTATACCGTATATGGAGGTACGTATGGCAAGTAGGTCAGAAGACTAAGTTGTAGCCTATTCTAGGATCTGTTCTTCAGACTAGCTGAGCTGCTTTCTTCACTTTAGGGCTTCTCAACCTTTTTCCTGGCATGACTCATTTGCTTTAACAGTACATGAAACATCCAATGTTCTGTCATGGGGAGTGATGACAGAGAAACTTCATTTGCTGCCATGCTACTCAAGGCATGGCAACCAAGAGGGTTGTTCCCACACCTTTCCCTGTGAGACTTCTCAGTCCCCAATCTAAACCATTGTATTTATCAATATTCAAGCTTGATTTGGCTTGTGCAATGGAAATCCCCCCGCCTATCCCAGCCAGGCTCTTAAATCCTTCTGCACTATTCTTCTTCCACCTGCTTCCTGCTCCATTTCAGCATCTGCAGTAACTATCCTATATGAATTTGGGAGCTGGCAACCATCTCCTCCCTTTACGAATTGTGGCATATCCCACACCGTCAGATCCTTAGCCTTGACTGCCTCGGTAAGATATAACATGATAGCCCTCTGACTCCCCTCCCAAGCCTCTACAGTTTGAGAAACTGTTTTGAAGCCATACACATGTTGCCCTGGCCCTCCTGCCAAAACATAGTTGTAGAGTGGATGTAGAAGCTTCTTAAGCATTATCCCTCACTGATCCAAACCACCAGTGGTTATACTTAATATCCTGGCAAAATAGATCAAAATTGGGTATAGCAGTCCATTTGCATCAGGTGTTGTGCTAGTCTATATTCTGTCTTGAGTATTGGAACTGCAACAGTTGTAAAGGCAGAAGCCATCCTATAGCAAAATGTTAGGTATAAAGAATAAGCATCAGTTGTAGCTAGTTTAAATATGGCCTAATCTAAAGCTTCCTAGTAGCATTTTAGAATAAACCCACCTAAGTTTATTTTCCATTCTTAAGGGTTCAGCATTCTAGAAAGACTAGTTTGTGTACACAGCAAAAATGTTTATCGAGGATGGGCAGCAATGCTTACTTGGCCTCCTGGCACCAGCATCACTGAAGATTACTGGGAGGGGAAGAGGAAGGGTGTAGCGGTGGGGAGGTTGGAACGGTGTGAATGCCAAATGCCTTCCTTATCCTCTCTCCCTTTCCCACAAACCACAGTGTTGCCAGTGCAGGGTGGCCAGGTAAGTGCCCCTGACTGCTCCTGACATACAGTGCAGATCAGCTGTAATATTTCCAAAGATTACCTATATGCCTTCTCCCAACTTTTAACATAGAATAATTAAGCTACTTTTCAAATAGTGCTTAAAGGGGATTTACATCTTAAAAGGTGGCTTACAAATATTTGTGAAGTTGTATAAGAGGCAGGGTTTCAAAAGCAGATATCCTACCTTGCAACAGTAAGTGCTCCCTCACTTTGTGTCTGGTTGTAAACAGAGCAAATGCTTTCTTGAAATATTCCCCCCCCCCCAAAAAAAAAGTCAACAATGATCAGAAAACATGTAAGGGGAGGAGGGAAAAGCTGCTTCTGTCACTGCCCCCTCCTCTGCCACAATCAATAGTAGTATATGATATCTTAACCTTGGCAAAGCACATGCACCCAGATCGTGTCTGGGAAAGCTAAAATATGTAACCTAAACCTTGAATTGTAACCATAATTGGCTATTCTTTTTCTGACAGGTATAACCAAGACCTAAAAGCCAAAGAACTGGAGAAGTAGAAATTCAAGCTCAGCTCCTCAGATCTCATCTGCAAAGCAACTTCCCAAGGGACCTAGATTTAATCTTGTTCATTTTGCCCTGTGTGAATTTTTACTAAAGTTGGTAGAGCATGTTTTTTTCTATAAGTTTAGAAAGCAGTCTCTTTACATGGAAATAAAACCTTCTACTAAACAATAAAACCTTAAGCTGCGTAACTTTAGTAGGTTTTTCATGATCTTAAGGGCTGTGAGCAGTGGTTGTGGTTGCAGAATACCCCTTCCTCCAAAACTGCTCTTGAGGATAAGGGAACCAGCCCTTTCGGTAGCATTTGATGCAGTGTATGGAGTTGCAGCTCTTGGAGGTAGGTTTGGTGATAATTGGGCACACACATCTTTTTGGCAAGATGTGCATGAAGGTGCTACTGGACACACAAAAACTAGCCTTTAACTCCAATTTTTAAAAGGTACTTTAAAAAATAATAATACACAGACCATGCTATATTACTGTAAGTTTAGATGTGAAAACACTTGGAAATCTTGTAACAGATGTTTTGACCAAATCCATAATGTTCATTTTGTAAGTTAGCAAGCAAATTGTGAATTTGGATGGGGTCAGTTTGCCCATCACTAGTAATGGCTAGGTTAATGGAAGAGCATGAGAGTAGTCGGGGGCTACTCCTGAAGCATATTCTCCTATACTGAGCACTATGCACTGTGCTATATTGAGCACTTGCAGTCAAAGCTGAATCTTGGCTTTGTAGCAGAAGTATGTGAAAGGGAAAGGCAATTCAATATCTCATGCTTGACAAATTATGAAACACACAACAGACCACTAATGGAAAAAGTGTATTAAAATATTCACAAGAGTACAATAGAAAACATGTAAATATCCAATGTGATGTGTGTCCAACTTAGAAGCAAGTCAAAACAAGTATGTTACCACTAGTTCCTGCTTTAACTTTACAGAGACCTTGTAGAACAATCCCTTGCCCAAAATTATACACCTATTTTATAGGTGTTTACCCCTTTTGCCCCACCCCGCCAATCTAGCAGCATCATAGTGTGGTGCCCTCTTAGTGGTGCTTTCCAGAAGGTAGCCAACTGCCTGTGCAGCAGCTGCATTTGAGAACATAGGGAAGGAAGGAAAGGAGACTGTACAACAACTTAATACAAAATGCAATTCCAGTTTTTTAAAAGTGCAGAAACAAGGTAGAAAAGGGCTCAGTAGCTGCATTCTGTGGAGTTGTATAGAGCCAAAGGAGATCTTGAGAAGAAGGTCCAAGGGTTGGGGAACTAAGTTTCACAAGTGGGAGTCCTTTGTTAGATCTTGATTGCCTTTCACAGAAAAGGGCATCTAAACTGAGCACCATAGGAAAATTGCCCTTTCACTGAGGCGTCTCCCTAGATTTTAACTAGGAAACAGTTTTAATAAGGGGGGATGAAACTTCTACCCATCACACACAAATAGAAAAATGTGGTTTTAAAAGGCTTGGTCGATACAAGAATAAGGTAAAACTCTGAATGAGACTTGACAGACTTCAAGGCTCATCTGTTGATGACTGAACACCTGCTCACTTCACCAGAACAACTGACTGTACACAAAAAGGAAAGCCTTTGGAGTTTTGTGAATACAGAGCAAGTTACAAGACAGATGATCACCTCAACTACTTCAAATAATTAAGACAAAACTTTTTATAGTTTCCCTATTCACACTGAAATGTTGATACTGCAGACCCACAAAGCACTCTAGCAAGAGACAAAGCTTCATGAACAAATAAGATAGAACTCCTACAGTCTGAACGATCTTCCCCAAACCCTACTGGGATAAAAGCACTCTACCTATTCAAACATGGTTATCTGCCATGAAGAACTTCTATTGAACAATATTCTACTGAGATGAAACATGAGGGGTACAGTTGTTAAGGAGTCAAAACCTAGTAGCAACACTAGCCTCTACTTGCCTTGTCTCTCTCTAAAAAAAGGGCACTGCACCTCCACTAAAATTGATGGCAAACTGGTTTTTAACAGGGTTAGACCACACTTTTAAGTTAGAAAATATACTATTTACAAATAAGATTATAACATGGATCATACCTTCAGGCATGTTAAAGGATGTAAATCCCCAAGATGCCACAATCTCTCATGAATAGAGGTTTTCAGCTTGAACGGCTACTAGGAAAAGTCACACTTGTTCCAATTTTACTGTTCAAGCCACATAACTTCTGTCGGGGGAAATGTAGCACCTTTAGGGTTCTTGTGCTTGCCAAGTTGTCTGCTATTAAACTCAGAAGAGGAGCAACAAATGAGAGGACAACAAACCCAAATTCTCTCCTGCACTATAAACCATATTCAGGATCCTTTCAAAATGCTGAAAAACAGGTGCATGTCACACAAAAAAGGGTCATCATGCTGCCAGCTCCAATTGCTGATGAAGCAAAGTGTCAAGAGTATCTGGCAAAGATGAAAGAAGAAAGAAAAAATAGTGACTTGCTTTTCTAGTAATAAGGTGCTAGAATTAAAAGATTACGTTAAGTTCTATAATATTCTGAAAACATTGAATAATAAATTGTTTTCTCCTACACAGCTCATTTGGCTGCAAGCATTCACAAGTCCTGTAGTTTGCATCAGATCAAAGTATGCAGAGTAGTGATTAGTTGATCGTTATAATTGAAGCAAGTCTTTCCATTAAGTTATTTTTTCTGGCATTCCTCATTTATTACTTATACCCTACCCATCTGGCCGGGCCTCCCCAGCCACTCTAGGCGTCTTCCAACAGAATATTAAAAACACGATAAAACATCAAACATTAACAACTTCCCTAAACAGGGCTGCCTTCAGATGTTTTCTAAAAGTCAGGTAGTTGTTTATTTCTTTGACATCTGATGGGAGGGCATTCCACAGGGCGGGTGCCACTGCCGAGAAGGCCTTCTGCATGGTTCCCTGTAACCTCACTTCTCACAGTGAGGGAATTGCCAGAAGGCCCTTAACGCTGGACCTCAGTGTCCGGGCTGAATGATGGGGGTGGAGATGCTCCTTCAAAAATACTGGGCTGAGGCCGTTTAGGGCTTTAAAGGTCAGCACCAACACTTTGAATTGTACTCAGAAACGTACTGGGTGTCACTGAAGGTCTTTCAGGACTGGTGTTATATGCTCTTGGCAACCACTCCTAGTCACCAGTCTAGCTGCCACATTCTGGATTAGCTGTAGTTTCTGGGTCACCTTCAAAGGTAGCCCCCACATAGAGCACACTGCAGTAGTCTAAGCGAGAGAACTAGAGCATGCACCACTCTGACGGGACAGTCTGCGGGCAGGTAGGGTCTCAGCCTGCGTACCAGATGGAGCTAGTAGACAGCTGCCCTGGACACAGATTTGACCTGCGCCTCCATGGACAGCTGTGAGTCCAAAATGACTCCCAGGCTGCACACCTTGTCCTTCAGGGGCACAGTTACCCCATTCAGCACCAGGGAGTCCTCCACACTTGCCCGTCCCGTCCCCCAAAACAGTACTTCTGTCTTGTCAGGATTCAACCTCAATCTGTTAGCTGCCATCCATCCTCTAACCACCTCAGGACACTCACACAGGACCTTCACCGCCTTCACTGGTTCTGATTTAAAAGAGACGTAGAGCTGGGTATCACCCGCATACTGATCAACTTTCAGCCCAACCCCCCTGATGATTTCTCCCAGCCCTTCATATGGATGTTAAAAAGGATGGGGGAGAGGACGGAACCCTGAGGCACCCCACAAGTGAGAGCCCAGGGGTCTGAACGCTCATCCCTCAACATCACTTTCTGGACATGGTCCAGGAGGAAGGAGCAGAACCACTGTATAACAGTGCCCCCAGCTCCTCTAGATGGTCCAGAAGCATGTTATGGTTGATGGTATCAAAGGCCGCTGAGAGATCCAGCAGAACTAGGAAACAGCTTTCACCCTTGTCCCTAGCATGCCGGAGATCATCAACCTGCGTGAGCAAGGCAGTTTCAGTCCCATGATGAGGCCTGAATCCTGACTGGAAGGGATCCAAATGGTCCGCATCCTCCAGGCATGCCTGGAGTTGTTCAGCAGCCACCCACTCAGTCACCTTGCCCGAGAATGGAAGATTTGAAGCTGGGCAATAGTTGGCCATATTGGCCAGGTCTAAAGAGCTTTTTTTTAAAGAAACGGTTTCATGACTACCTCTTTCAACTGGTCTGGGAAGCCTCCCTCACAGAGAAAAGCATTCACGATCCCAGCGAGTCCTTGTCCAGCCCTTCCCGGCTCGCTTTTATCAGCCAGGATGGGCAAGAATCAAGGAGACAATTGGTTGGTTTCACTCGTCCAAGCAGCCTGTCCACATCCTCAGAGGTAACAGATTGGAATTGATCCCATGCAACTTGACTGGACAGGACTCTAGCTCTCTCCCGCCCTGACCCTGCTCCCATGGTGGTCTACCTCTTTCCGAATCTGAGCGACTTTATCTGCAAAAAACTTTGCAAAATCATTGCAGGAGATCTTGGGGTCCTTACTGGGCCCTAATGGCAAAGGTCGTTCCGTTTAATTGCGAACCACCTAAGAGAGTCTCCTGCTGCTGTTTTCTGCAGATGCAATAGAGGTGGTGAAGAAGGTCCTCTTCGCTGTCACTATCGCCACTGGATAGGCTCGACGCTGAGCTCTAACATGTATCCGGTCTGATTCAGAATGAGTTTTTTGCCACTGGCACTCCAGCCATCTCAGCTATTGTTTCATCGCCCTCAGCCCTGGAGAAAACCACGGGGATGTCCGGGCTCCATGCAATCAGAGACGGCGCTTCGGAGTCAGTCAGTCAATAGCCCTGGTTAACTGCATTCCAGCAGGCCACCAGGGAATCACCTGAAAGGCCATCAACGTGGGATAAACATCACCTACAACTCTCTGGAAACCATTTGGATCCATTAAGTGGCAGGGACGGACCATCCAAATCAGTCCCACCTCCCTGCAGAAGAGAAGGGTCACAGAGAAGTCCAGTTGCACCAGGAAGTGATCCGACCATGGCACTTCTTTGGTTTCACTTTTACTTAGTGTCAGATCACCCACATCCATAGAAGTGAACACCAAGTCTAAGGCATGTCCACGACTATGAATTGGGCCAAACCTATTCAGGGACAGCCCCATGGAGGCCATGCTTTCCACGAAGTCCCGAGCGGCCCCTTATAAGGTTGTGTCGGCATGGATGTTAAAATCCCCTAGGACAACCAGAATAAGACACCAGGAGAACATTCGCCACGACCTGAAGCAGCTCGGGCAGGGAAACCTTGGTACAGTGGGGAGGTCAGTACACCATAAGGAATACTGTACTGCCCCTAGTGCCCAGCTTCCAGAACCTGCACTCAGAAAACTGGGTCTTCCCAATAGGACGCCTGGTGCAAGCTAATGACTTCCTAAAAATCACTGCAACGCCCTCCTCCCCACCCATATGACCTGGGTTGCTGTGCATAAGAGAAATCTGGTGGCCAAGAAACTGCAAGAACAGGCCCATCTGCTTCATCCAACCAAGTCTCTGTTACATACACCAAGCAGAAACAGTTACAAAGTGGTTATGAGCCATGACAAACACTTGTGTTGCAGTAGGCAAGAAATCCACCCTTCTGCTTTTATTGCTCCTCCTAGCGACAAACTACGCACACTCCCATTGGGCTGTATACACTACAAGAGGTAGCTGCAAAGCAGAGTGGCCCAAATTCTACCTTGTGTGGTCTACATTTGTTTTTAGCTAGAATCCTTATGATCCACTGATGTGTTTTACATTAATAAAGCAAGAATGCATATTCAGGGTGTCTTAACCATTAAGGCATAGCTTATCTGCATTATGTGGTCCTCCTGTTTAACAGCATAAGATGTTCTCCATCATACCACAATCCACCTAGTCCAACATTCTTTGTGCACACAAAACATCCCAGTAACCCACCAGGTGCCTAGGTGGTCAACCAGGAGTTTGCAGACCACCAAGGGACTGCAATCTGTCAATCTACCTTCTGCCAGCCCCTGTTCTGAAGAGGGCAAGGAGACCAGTGCAGTACTGGAGAAAATTGAAAAGCACCTAAGTTTTTTCAGTCCCACCCTCACTCCCCAACTGAATAAAGATTGAAAAGTCAAAAGGAATTCAACAGGCTCCTTTCAACAGTGACACTAAATGAACATTAAAAGAGGAGCCTCATAAAACAAATCAACCTGTAAAATGGCACGTGGGTGTATTCAGATTAGCATTAAGTGTCACCTTTCATTAACTTTTGTCCCTCCCTGTTCAAGACAAATCTTCACAAGTTGCTCATTCATCTACACTCCTGCAACGTTTTTGTTTTGTAGGGGGCAGGGTGCAATTCTAGGATGAGTATGTGCAGTAGTGCATAAGACAACGAACCTACTGGATCAGGCCAGTGGCCCATGTAGCCCAACAACCTGATCTCACAGTGGCCAATGAGATGCCTGCAGGAAACCTGCCAGCTCTTGCCAGCCCCAGTAAATGATGCACTGCACGCAAAAACCAGTAGGTGGAGGTGAGACTAACAATGGCATGGCCAATTTCATTTATGGTAAAAGAAAGTAAGACAAGCAGTACCCAAGGCATCTATGATGAATGGGTGCATGTGTACAATGGCATAATTTTACTGTTTAGAAAGGAGAAAAACTCCAATAAAGCTTCAGTGAACACCAGCACTTCAGCCCTGTTCAGGTTTTCTTAGACTCAAGTGCCACCAAGTTCAAGGGAACTTACTTTCCTAGTAAGTGGATTTAGGACTGCAGCCTAAGTCTACTGAGATCACAGGAGACAGCAGTAAAGATGGCCTTAGCACAGAAGAGTCGGTAATCGAAGCCTTCTAATTTTTCTATTTTGGAAAAAAAAAATCCATTAAGGAACAAGGGATTAATGCTCATACAGGCATACCTCATTTTAGCAGCGATCCTGCTGTGGAAATGCACTCACCACATTTGGGCAAAAGTACAATGTCCCCTCCTCTTGGCCCAAGCTTTAGGGAAAGCCTGCTTGTTTGGCTCTGCAGAGTGCTAACTGGCCAGCCTTTGGGTCAATCATAAAGTTTCATCTGCTACCATTCACACTTTCTTATACTTTTAAGAAAACTCCACTGCACAGATAAACATGCAAGGGCCTTGGGAAGAGGAGGAGGAGGAGGAGGAAGAGAACTGGACAGGCTGTCTGAAACAATGAAGAGGAGGAGGAGGAGGAAGAGAATCGGTCAGCCTGTCTGAAACAATGGTTTGAGGCAGGAAGGGAGGAGAGAACAGCAGATGATTTGGAGGTTGTGAGCGGCAACAGAGCAGAGCTAACCCCACAGTAGAGAAATCCACAGTCCTTTCTGTTTGAAAGTAAATCTGCAGTCTGAGAATGAGTAACCATAGAATCTTGGCCCTCACCTCTTGAAACAGGAAGTGTACTACTGGCCTATTCTATCATATTTGGCTTCCATGAAGCACTCCCCTCCATGGAATTAGATAAAACAGTAAGAGGTAACTTGTAAATTTTAACTTTCTTTCTGCAACAGCTACATCCCAATAAGCCTTACTAAAAGCAGCCCAAGGTAAGGGTATTCTAGAAAGCCATATTAAGATCAGACTAAGTTCATTCAGCACCATTTCACTACCCTATTTTCTTCAAAGACAAAACTGAATACCACTTTTATTGCAGAAAAATCACCAGCGGGAAATAAAAATTAGAGGGACTTCTTGTTAATGCTTCATGATTGAAATGACCAAATGAAAATGTCTGAAAGCTATTGGGGTGGGGAGAGCACTGCACCAAAAAGAGACAAAGGTTAGTTAATGCCCTGAAGATAGAACTTTGGCTTCAGCCAATACGAGGACCAGGCTGGAAACTGCAGGCAGGGGAGGGCTTTCCGACCCTACTGTAGAAAGAGGTAAGTGGGAATTGGGAATGAAAGACAGGAGTGAATTTATATGAAACTGTGTGGAAAGCACCAGAATAGGAAAAGAGAATCCTCATGCAGAAACACTTATCCTCAAGTCTATTTCATCAAAAGAAATCAATCTTGTAAAAAACAAAGTATCAAATCCATTAGCCTATCCAGGAATTTTCCAGTTTTTCCATAGAACAGAGAAATCACTTAAAGGTGTAATATGAATATTTGCTTTCTTCCTCTTATCCTAGATAAAAAAAAAAATATTAGCAATTTATAAGCAGAATTCATATCATATTTCAACATGCAACATTGGTCTCAGTTCTGTACGATTTAAATAGACTATTTACACACAATACATATATAATCTCTTTCTCTCTGTATGCACATGCATTGGTCCTAGCCTAGGCATCAAAGGCCACATGTGAGTTCTCTGGGTCAATCTTCTTCAAGCGATTCCAGTTTGAATTTTTGTTTAGCTTTGGGTTGGTTGGGATTTCCTCAGTTCTTCCGAATGTCAGCATAGACGACAGATTCCGACTTGTTGATCTTGTCACTGTAACGCCCTCCGGAGTGATCTAACTGCGCATAAATTACTGGGCCCTAAAAAAAAGAAATACAGAGTAAGCAAACTGGTGAAAGAGCATGATTCCTTCAGTACATTGCTGGCAGGCAGTGTAAAGACAAAATTAATCTTTAGATTAGGAAGTTAATGAGCATTAAGCAGACAAAACTCTATTAAATGTACACAAGACACACATTTCCCCCCTCTTTTATCTGTTTGGGTCTACCTACAAACTATGCAAGTCAAGCTGACTTTTTAAAGAAATTAATCTACTGCGATAAAGTCCTGCAAAAGAATCCGCAAATATTTTCTTATAGAAATCTGACACTTCATTCTTCAGGTAGATGGAATTGCTTGTAGCCTTCAGAACAATTCACCGAGCAACGGAGCAGAGAATGGATTGATATTTTGAAAGAGTACATCAAGAATTCACAGTCTGGCTAAAATCAGCTCATTCAATAGGCTCCATTTGTGCCGAATCAGACAGGGACGTGTCACGCTAGCAGTATTTTTCTTGGGAGCTGCTGCAATACACTAAATTAAGACAACAGGTTGGAATTTTAAATTTCATCTACCACCTTGAGCAAATACAAGGCTGAAAATTGTGTTCCTCAAACTGCACTTCATCCAGATTGTCTTCACACTGACAATGGATCAGCTTTGGGGGCATACACACTCAAAGCACCTTTCCTCTTCTTTTAGCAGAAGCTGGCAAACAAACCAGGAAGACTTTCATTAACTACAGTTAATAGTAATATCCTGTTTTAGATGAAAAAAGAAACAGCTTCAGAACAAGAAGGATACCAGCCAACTTCAAATTGTGGCTTGTTTTGAATCTGTTAACCAGAGATTTCTGGTTCAGACAAAATGGGAAACTTAATGGAAGACTTCCTGGCTGCCAACTTGCATAAGGATAAGTGAAGAATCTGTGTCTATACACCCATCTTGGGTTATCATCATGATCATCCAAAAATTGTCTTTCAGAAATACTATCGGCTTTTTGTGATTCAGTATTTTTCTGCATCTGTCTGCCTTGTCCACAAAGACACTACAATACAAGAAGTTCGTCAGCAAAAACCAAAAGCAAAGACTGTCCAGCAACTCTTACCCCTCTAGATGGCAGCAATGCTCGTGGAGTATTTAAAAACAAACAAACGAGAAGCCAACAGGGAGTTGGAAGAATAATCCGTATTTTTTTATGTTCAATAAGGCTGTGTAGCCCACAAGGAACAAAGCTTTAAAGGAGGCATGATCTTGGCAACACTCAAATCTAAAATTACATTCACCAATGTTTAATTGGGCTACCATTCTCTCCCACAATCAGCCACAACAACTCTCTTTGGAAATGTGCATTTTAAAAATGTCAATACAGTTTAATTATAAGGAAGACTAGAGGATCAATAGTGCAGTAAGAAAGCACTTTAGGAGCCAGTTCAGGGGAAGAAAGCAGTTGGGGATGGCTAGCTGGAAAGACACATATTCTTCAGCTGCAGACAGTGAAGTTATGGCCAAAAGTATAAATGTTTTTTTGAACATACAAAACTGTAGGATGTATAGCAAGCTTCTTCCATAAGCCACACAGTTCACCAGAGGTTTTCAACACCATTACTGGATCTAAGGCAGCTTCTTGTGGAAGCCACATGAATGAGTCATGCTATGCACATTTTTATTCCTGTTTGCTTTACAAATGATTTTGTTGTTCTTTCATATAAGACCACAATTCTCTCACATCAACAGATGCTACTCCAAAGGCTAATGCCCCGAGTTCTTGGAACTCAGCCAAGACAAAGGACAAGCGTCTTTTCTTCTATATCAAAGTACTGGCCTTTTAAAAAAGCTTTTCCTTTGAATAATACCAAGTTCCTTGTTTAGAGACCGTCTGCTAGTTCCTACAAAACTACAGAGGATTCAGATAATGGGGGAAGAGAGGATTCAGATAATGACATATTTGCCTGGAAAATATCAAGAGATCACTGTCCATATGCAGGAATTCAGAACAAATATGTGAGCCCAACTATAATAATAATTCAATTAAGTACATATAGTAGCTAGTTGATGGAAAACATCATCTGGAAGTATTCCTCTGAAGAGTTGCTCGCTGGGAATGACACCTTTTCTTTTTCTAAGTTGTTCCAATAGCTTTCCAATGTCTGTCTACTCCTATGCATCAGACACAGGACAATATGCAGATTTTACCAGGAATATATGTGTCCCATACAACAAAAGCACTGAATGGTGTGTAGGCTATCCAAGTATCGGAAGAAAGGAACCAGATGTGTGGCTTAGAAGTTAGAAGTAGAAAGTTTTACATCTGAAATTGCATCTGCCTATCAGAGGAGAAGCACAGGTTAATAAAGTCCCGTACAAAAGCACTCTTTGGAATAGGACACAAGAGGGATAGTCTTCTTTCTAATTTATCAGTTATACATATGGGATAACTTAGATAACCAGCCAGTTATACATTAGATCTAGAAATAAGAAAACATTGACAATTATCACATTCAAAATGAGCAAACACTGTACAGCCAAACAACAGAGAGGAATGAGAACCACTAGGACATTTGGTACCAGACAGACATGCACAGTTGTGAGAAATAGATGACATCTCAAATGAATTTACTGGTACGGACAAGAGTGAAAGCAAACCCAATGAGCAATCAGCCAGCCTCAAGATGCAGTGAGCCAAACAAGACAACTCTGGTGCATGCTGTTTGAAACACAACCTCAGGCAACAAGCTTCCTGCTTTCACAACCATTACATTAACTTCAGGATTTAAAATATATAGGATGGAAATAGCAAACTGGTAGACTAGACAGATAGACTGGAGTAAACCATTGTAATGAAATGAATTTCTCCCTCCTTTCCTCCACTACTTACTTACTTACTAAAATAAATAAATAAATAAATAAATAAGAAAGAAAGAAAGAAAGAAAGAAAGAAAGAAAGAAAGACAGAACCTCTCATCTTCTCAACAATGTAAATATCCCATTCCTATAGAGAAGCTGCAAACCAAGAGTACTTCCTGGAAACAGGACACTCCTCTTACAGCAGCCTTCTAATTTTGTTCCAATATATTAAAAATATTCCACAATACCACCACTGTGCTTTCAGTAAGAAAAAAAGCAGATGTCTGCATATAAAAGTCAACTCACTCTGGTATACTTAAAAACAAAAGCACTTCCATCTATCTCCATGTTCCCCAGACATTATCTACTAGTCCCACACACATTAATAAATAAGGCATGTGAACCTCTGTATATTCCTGTTTAGGCTAGAATAAAAATAAGTGTTTCCACTTGCCAGATTTTGTTTATTGTGGCTCCTGTTATATCCACATTACAGTAACATCAGAAATAGCTTGTAAGATGCATGGCTCTGTGCAAGTTTCATGTGCACACAACCTCCCCAGATAAGACTATTGAAATGCATGTTTTCATTGACTTTGTAAGAGTCTACACAATAATGTTTTGTTTTGTTTTAAAGTTTGTAAGAAGCAGGCCTACAGCGTTCAAAATCCTATGCTTCCCCTATTGTAGATAGCTGGCAAAAACAGTCTCTGAACCAGAACTAACTTCACCCAACAGCCAAGACTTGCTTGTCCTAGAAGCAACAAGGAAAAACCAGTGGCTTCTATCAATATTGTTGCCCCTTTCAAAGAGCACCTAATACCACCAGCTTCAACCAAGTGAAGAGGACCGCCAGAAATGAACTATGCCTTAAGAACGTCTCTTTATTTATTACAGGGGTGGAAAACCTGCAGCCTTCTAGATGTTAGACTCCAACTGCCATCACTCCCAGCATACACAGCTAATAGTCAAGAATGATGGGAGTTGGAGTCCAACAACATCTGGTGGGTTGCAGGTTTCTTACCCTGCTTTATTAAACTGAAATGTTAATTTGTATAGTAATGTTTCAAACTAGCAGAAGGAAAGGTCTATATTGTCATCTAGCCATTTCATTTTCAAATAGTTTTATAAATATTTTATAAAAACCTACCTTTTCAATATATATTTTTTAACAAAATCCTTTCCTGCTGAAGCATCTCAGCATCACCACAGCTCTATTCTGATACCCGTAGCTTTCAACATATTTTGACAGACTAAGATGTTCAAGTTGATACAATTTGGAGAGCTAGTCGTTTCCATTATCTAGTTTCCATTTTTCCACCCAACACTTCACATCAAATAACTGAATACAAAAGAAAGGAAATCTGGCTATTTCCTTCCTCATCTTTGTCAACATTAACTAATATATCCCTGCTCTCAAAATGTCTGTTTTTCACCTATGTTTCCATGGAAGCTGCTATAGGTTTTTTTTAATGGTTTGGTTGATTTCATCTGTTTTATTGATACATTTATTATGTACAGAGCTTTCTCATAAAGCAGTCTATATGTTTAAAAAAACAGAAAGGAAAAGAAACACTATTCATTTCCTGTTGAGCAATACTCTACAGTGGTGCCTCGCAAGACGAATGCCTCGCAAGACGAAAAACGTGCAAGACGAAAGAGTTTTCCGTTTTTTGAGTCGTTCCGCAAGACAAATTTCCCTATGGGCTTGCTTCGCAAGACGAAACGTCTTACGAGTTCTTGCAAGTTTGTTTCCTTTTTCTTAAGGCCGCTAAGCCGTTAACAGCCGCTAAGCCGCTAAGCCGTTAATAGCTGCTAAGCCGTTAATAGCCGCTAAGCCGCTAATAGCCGTGCTTCGCAAGACGAAAAAACCGCAAGACGAAGAGACTCGCGGAACGGATTAATTTCGTCTTGCGAGGCACCACTGTATCTAGAATGAGTATTTCCAAGTGGGGAGCAATGGTCTGCTGTCTTTGTTTACCTGACACTTTGTGGGGATAAGGAGATATACAGAACAATGAAGCAAAGGGGCTAAAATATTATTAGCTCTGATAAATGGTAATTGGAAAAGTCCAGGAACAATAAATACTCAGCACTGCCAAGATCATAGAATTACAAATAAAGGAGCTTCCTAGTGAAAACCTGTATCACAAAGAAGGACAATTCACTCAACCTAACACAGATCAATTCATGTGAGTCAGATGGCTCCCTCAGAGCTAGGATATTGTGGCACAATAATTGCTTCCGCTGCAACAACTGTTTACTTACAAAGACTAGCCCTACTGAATCTTTTCACTATCCTTGAAGTACTGAAGTTGTCAAGTACAGAAAACGACTGCAGTAAACAACATCCTTCATCTTCGAAAATGAATCATAGAACTGTAGAGTTGGAAGGGACCCTACCGAGGGTCCTCTAGTCCAACTACCTGCAGTGCAGGAATCTCAACCCGTGGTCCCCCATCCAATTTGAAACCATCCCGGAGCATCATGTCTATCTTTGTAACACTTTTAACTTTGCTCTAAGTCTCCCTCCCCTCAACAAGAATACCACCTTTCCCATCACTGAAGGTCTCCAAGTTAAGAGTTCCCAAAGCATCATGATGCCATTTACCTGGTGTGATCGGATGGGCACGCTGTTTACCAGACCCTCTGTGTCGGAGGGGGTCTTCCGTGGAGCCTGCTTAACTGGAGACACCAAGCTCTCAGAGGTACTGCAGCTGACGAGGTGGCAGAGCAGAGTTTGCAGGACAATGTTCAAGAGGCAAACAAAAACACAAAACAAAAACAAAGGCAAGTGATGGCAAGATGACGTGGCAACTTATGCCAAAGTAAAAGGTGAACTCGGTGAACAACACAACATACATCCTCTCCCTAGTGCTGGCTCAGTACCATCACTCCTAAACCTCCTCTTCTCTCTGATGTACATCCAACCCAGCCTTGGGATGGAAGAAAGCAACCCCAATAGAGGCCAGCAAGAACCAGTTTCTTGCTAACAGGGTCACACAGGCGACCCTGCCTCAGGATCCAGGGAAGTAGTTTCTTGTTGTCTCTGCCCGAGACATCAGAATTCACTTACACATAAGTGTACAGTTGAAGATGGATTCCTTTCTAACTAGGCGGAAAATTGTTGTTTTTCTAGTGACTGCACCCTATCTTGCAAGTGCCACAACAGAACAGGCGCTCAGCAATGACATGTCCTCAAATGGTTATGGCACTCTCTCCCCAAGGAGGCTTGCCTGGTGACCACTGTATTATATTTTAGCTGTCCAGTTAAGACATTTGCATTTTCTCAGGCATATTAACAATTTGTATTTTCAGTGTTGAAGGGATGCAGTATTTTAGGTCACTAGACCTGAAATTTTACACTGCTGTTTTAGATTTAAATTTCTCCTGTTTGTTTTGTTCTGTTTTACTGTATATTTTATTTCTGTTGGCTCTTTTAATGTGCATTACAAACCACTCTGGAATAAATATTATTAAGGGCAGTATATAAATGCCTTAAACAATGTCTTCACAGTAGCTGAAGTCAAGGAATAGATCTTGACCACAAAATTTTTCTGTCCAATCATTTTAGTAAATGGAATGCCTGCAGCAAAGAAAGCATCCATTGACTGGAACACTGTCTGTTAATATATTGATACTACTATGTACAAAGCTTTGGAAAGTCTATTTAGAAAGGGCTTGGGGTACTGATATGTCAGCTATGTCCTTGAACTGATGCGCTCTCACTTCTGCTTAAAAACAAACTAGGAATCATTTCAAAATCAATTAAACTGAACATTGACTAAGCATCTCAATAATTCCTAACATGCATGCTCACAGACACCTAAGGACCAAACAATACAGTTATGTATCTGTATGTAAGTTGGTACAAGGTCTATTCTAGATGAGTGGCTGATACCGAAGATGTGGGAGCACAACATGTGTTGTGTTCCACCAACAAGCAGGGAATAATTTGGAGAGGGAAGAAATCACTGGGCAGGAAATGAGTTAAGCTTTCTTCCTCATACCTCTAAGAATGGCTTGTCCTGTTTAAAAAGAAGCCATTGGGGCAATGTGTATAGGACCTAACTTGGCCTAGGAGGAATACTCACCACCCTTTCTCTCAATCATTTTGTTTTCTTTACACAACACACACACACACAGCATATACAGGCAGACATGGATCATGACAATGTGACAATGACATTAAGCAGAATGCAGTTCCCTGCAAACCATTATTTTCTCTTATCCAACAGGAATATTTAAACATTAAAAAAAGCAGACACGAGATATGCAGCAGTACATAGGGAAATATAGTACTGAGGGGGAAAAGGCATTTCAGTACCAGTAAATGGGCTTCCATTCTTGCTGGGATTGAATCACAGCATACAAAGTGGCCAAGGGACTAATAAAATGTCTGGAGTATATCCCAAGAATTCATGCAACCTGGATCTAAAAATAACACTGAATTAAAGGTCTTTGCATGGAAAATTCAGTTATTTACTGAATGATTTTCTCCTCTCACAGTGTACAGAGTCCAGATCCCCCACACTCATTCATGCACATGAGCTTGCTGGCAAGAGATGGAATACTGATTCTGAAGATAATGAGCATTGCCGTCACAATTGAGGAAATGAGACAACAAACTCAAGCAGTAGATGAGATGTGCTGCCCCTTCACCAACAGTCTACAAAACAGAATATCAGCACAAGTGATGGAGATATGTTAGCCGGGTAGTCAGCAAAGGAGGCAGAAATGTGTACACACACACACACGAAGTACCAAAGAGCAACCACCAATGTGATTAGTTACCATGGTATATAGTGGGACTGGAAGAGGAGACCCAGCCCTGTTACATTCCCAATCTTGCGTCTATATCAGGATCTCTGTAAGCAGAGGAAGGTAAGAGCAGGATCCGATCCCAGCACACCAAAGCAGGAAGGAAAAAACCAAAATGTCAGAATAAGAACAGAAGTTGTGACACTGCCATGCAAGGGTTTCCACCACCACCCAAATCAATCCATTATAATGCTGGTGTTAGTTTCATCTAGAAATTAGACCCCTGCAAAATTATGTGGCCCTGCTCAGCAATTACAGCACAAACACACCCTGCCACTTAGTAATCAGTAGGAACAAAGAGCTGGTGTAGTCAGTGAAAGCAACGTTATCCATTTCCTCATTGCTGGGGGTTGATTTTAGTTGTAGAAGACAATGCAAACATATTACTGTTCCAAATCCAGCACCTTTAAGTAGCTTTCAGCAATAACACACTGGACAGGGAGTTAAATACCCATACTGGGCTTTGGGATCCTTTAGTGCAGATCAGTGTAAGCTGCCTTTAAGTGGTTACTGAAAGAGCACATGCAGAAAGGAAACTGTGCTTTCCACACTGAACACATTTCACTGCACTTGCTCAATCTTACCACTGACTCCTACTGCAACCCCTCTCTAAAATCTCCAGCTGAAAATAAGGTATAGTGGGATCAGTTGCCAATTAAACACACCCATCAGAAACTAGACTTTTGAAGGCTTTGTTCATAGCATTCACTGGATCTACAAAAAGCAGGAAAGAGTTGGGCAGTGGAATGACAATCCCCACAGAACACGTGTGCTCAGGTTTTTGTGTACAAAGGCTGCATTTCTGTTGGAGTTAAGTGGTAAAGCAAACAAGATAAAAGTCCCACCACCACCACCTCAAAGGAACCCACCAACAAAACATTTCGTGGCATTCTAAAAGCTCTGGATTAAAGCTTTAGATTCTACCCTGAAAATACTTTCCAACAGAAGTTATTCAATGCAAATTAAAAAGGTACCTTAAGTGCAAAAAAAGGAAAAAGGGAAAAAAAGGAAGTCATGCAGATGGTGAAGCCAGTGAAGATAGTAGAGGAACTGTTTTCCCAAAGCTAGGTTTGGAAACCTCTGGCAAGCAGACTGTTGTAAAAGGAGCCACATTCCAAACTCAGAAATAGAGTTGTACAATCCAAGATGTAGAGAGTTGTCCAGCCTTTATCTTGCACTTCATCCTGAGCTGCAAGAGCCCCTTTATTTTTGGAAGACAAGAGTGTAGGGCTGCCTCTCTGGACAGCTTTATGATGCACGCTTCCCTTCCAACATGCATAAGGATATCTAGTAGGACTTATACACCCTGAAAGGTGTATGCACAATGAAGTCAACAATTAAGTTTGGGACTAGAGGAATGTGTCCCAGTGGCCACAGTCAATTTAGTACTATGAACAAAACATGTATGATTGATTCCTGTTGCAGGTTCAGCTACCCCGGCCTTAATAAAAAAAAACACCTAAATAAATGAACAAGGGGAGCATCTTACCCAGAGTAATGATTTTTAGAGTTCTTCTTTCTGCATGCGACACACACAACAAGAACGATGAGCAAAACTAAGCCCAGAACTCCACCAATGGATGCCCCTGCTACTAGAGTAATGGGAAACACAGGCAAGTTACCTGAGGAGAGAAGAAAAGTTTCAGTCCAGTCTGCTTAGCTTTTACATTTATCAATATATCATTGGCATTGGCTTTTATATGCATAAGTTAAGGGTGCATCTGTCTCAGTAATGGCATGTTCCTTGGTCTTTTTTAGATCCCAAACCTCAAGTAAAACTCATGAGCATGATCTGTGGTGTTAGGTTCATTAGATTTCAATAGCATTTTTACAGCATATCAAGTACAATTAATCTCTAATTTAGCCCATCAGTATCCTCATGGGAAAGATGAGGTTGAACAATAAGTGGACTTCCCCTGAAGGCCAATTTTCACTACAAAAATTTGTAGTCTGCTATGCATACCAGCATACAAAACACACAGACCTCCTGCTGAGTGTAAAAGGCATCTACATAAGAGCCAATGCTTTAAAATGCTCAGAAGAGTCAATCAGGAAATAATTGACCCCTGCTTCCAAGCATTTTCATGAAGAACTTGCCATGTTTTAGATGCACACCCATCACATTTGAGAAGCTGCCTCAACACCACAATCAAGAGTAAGTTCACACATTAATCACAATAATCATAAACTAGTAACTGTTGCCTCTTGGCAAGATTGCACTTGTATTGTATTGTAGCAAAGGGATACAACTATACTAAGACTCAGGATTCACAGAAGTACAAAAGCGAACTTGGCACATCTAAGAAACAAACATATATACTCATGCCTAACTATGGAAAAGAGCCACTGCTGAGAACACCTTATTCTCTAGCTGTGAATGCCATTTGTTTAAAAGAAGTTATTTTAGCAGTCTATTGAACTTTTTCATTCTGAAATCCACCCAGATCTAGTCTATTTCAAATCACTCTTTAGTTATATGCTTGGGCTACATTATCTCTTCTATCTCTATCTACAAACAACTTCAACCGTAAAATAAGCATACAGTAGCTGACTTAATCCTATCAACAGACTACAATATAAACAATTTTTTTCTTATAAATTTGTAGCACCTTCCAAACTGTTTACCAGACAGCTAAGGCTGGCTCTAAGAAGCAAATTAACACCATAATTCCAAAACCATACAGGATTTTTAGTTCTTTTAAAACAGTTCAATTTCTTCACAGAAGCACTCTGAATAAAATACAAGTTATGCAAGAACAGCCAAAATAATACTCCTGTAAGTGATGGGTTTTTGTAGAGTGATTTAATCAAATATTTCACAAAAGGATTCTATCAACCATCATTACTAGCACTCTTGTATCCAGAGATGGTGGTACCTTTTTCCACAACTCTGACTTTGATTTCACTAGGTGTGACAACTATATCTGGAGGGTTCTTGACATCGCAGATGAAAGTGCCATTGTCCCGGAATTGCATGTTGGATATACTGATAGATGCATCTTTCTTGTTAAGGTCACCCGCCCAGCTGCTTCTGTCCTTAAACTGTGTATCCTTCCCAGGATATGATTTGCCATGGGAATAATAGAAGAACTGTAATCGGGAACACAAAACAGGATACAGTGTTAAAATCCTAGTTTTCCCCACAAAGGGAGGTCTGGGAGTAGCTACAATTGCTCAGGGTGAGACCGTATTCTGACTCACTTGCCCCAATTCCCAGCTGCTGTTACAGGATCACTATTGGACCTATTATTGCCACCCCCTCATACACATTTAAACTTGACATATCCTGCTAACAAAACAGGAACCTATGGTGAAGTGTGGGTAATAAATCAACTCACTAAACAAAATCAGAATACATAGGTGGCTAACAAATGTGTCACTAGTTCAAAACAATCCCTCACCTTAATAATACTTTTGCCACGAAAGTATTGTGGAGCAAGCACAGAAGGACGACTATCCATGATACCAAACATAATAGGATCAACTGGCATTCCAAGGCGGCCTAAATATGTACTCTTACCAGCGATAAAAGTGAGCAGGAGCAGACAGGTATGAAATAGCATTGTCACAGGCTCTTGTTCAATTCTCATCTTACTTCAATCATCATCTCTTACCGACACAGTAGTAGTTGATCCCTCTGGTTGAAAGCTCCAGGTAACAGTAGCGGCACTGCTGATCACCTCTGAGGATGAAAAGCTGCATGGAAGCTTCGTTTCTGTCCCATTCTCCACAGAGAGTTCTGCTGGTGTGTATACTTCCACAGCTGAAACCTGGGCTGTCAAAAACACCACAAAAAATCAGGATGCAGGACCCATTGTAAACAATGCAGAATGAAATGACAGCATTACACAAGAGAGTTAGATGAAGAGCTACATTAGAAATCTTACAGCCCAGAATAAATGCCCCATCAAATATTCGTTGAGTCGCACTTAGTCCATTTGTTCTGGAAACATCCAGCGTTAATTCTGCTTTTGTGTAAGATTGGTCACCGTATAAACTTCATCCTGAATGCAATGCATACCCTATGAACTTGATCACTGAATATTTACCCAGTTGTTGAGTGTTGGACAAGGGCAACTAAAAACAGCTCATCTAAGTAACCATTCTAGTAAAAGACTGGTAAAAGTTAAAACGTCCTCCAATGACTGAAGAATGGGTAGAAAGTTCTTGTGTATTGTTCGCCTACCCATCCTGTAGGGATATCGCGGAGTGGACGGTGGGGTCCGGAGGGATAACACTCTCCACCAGCAGGCAGCCACAATCTGCCTGCACGCGTGACCTTGGGGTGCAGGGCAAACCCCTCCCCGACAAGCCACAGCTTTCTGTACATCGTTCCCTCTGTCTGACCTTTAGCGGTCTCAGTAGTCGGCGGTGTCCTGTCTGTAACCTTTGTCTCTGAGACCTTTTGTCTCCTTCGTCATACACTGTGCAAGGGGAAAATGACGCTGTGGAAACAGGTGCCAAAATAACTTTGTACCACTTTACACATCGGGACAGAAGATGTGTAAAGGTCACAGCCCAAAATGTATTTGCCTGGCTTGCATATTTGTCTCAATAAAAGGAGGCTCCACAGGCTAATGAGGCAGCTCGCTTCAGCCCACCTGTGCGCAGCTCACATGATGATCAACTCCTGTCTTGTGCCTTCACTTCACATCCTTTGGCAAAGGAGGAACTGTTATTTGAACTTGGGTAAGGTTTTGTACCTTTGTAAAGTCCTATTTTGCTCAATAAAATCCAGCCTTTCTCCACTAGTGCTCTGTCCTTGCTTCAAGGATCCTTTAAAAGGAAGCCTTTTGCCTTTGGCAAAACACCATCCAAGCCCTAAAGCCAGTTCACACAAACCTGGTCAACTCCATACCACCTCTACCGAAATCTTGGCAGGTTCACTACCAGAATACACATGATGCACCATGTAATTACAATAAGCAAACATGAACTAAACTCATATGCAAGCTGTAGACAGTCACAACAACGTTTTGTTCTCCAAAAGTAAGAAGTAGTCCTTGTGGCTAAGCTGTGACTCTCCAAAAGTTGCTAGACTATAGTTCCCACCCTACCTGACCACTGGTGATGCTGGCTGAGGCGGATGGAAACTGTAACCCAGACACATCTGGAAGGCCACAGTGCAGCCTGCCTGCCTGCCCCCGCTTTACATACCTGTCCTGAAGCATATATTTAATTTGCTGCCAACATTGTTCTCAAATGCTTTCTTTCTGCCTTCACTGAAAAGTCTAACATGTCCTTCAGAGTTTCTACAGCTCACAAAAGTGGTATGGTTTTGTATTAATCCTGGCAGGAGCACATTGACAGCAGCTGTTTCATGGCCAGAAACAAGGTTATTTCATATGCTGCATTATCAATGCTGTCCTTCATAGTCTGTGCTAAGGATTCCAGATTCCTGACAGTCCAATTCTGTTTTAACGCAAAAACACATAAAAAATTAAACAGGCAAATGTGTTTACTGAATGGACAGAAGAGAAAGGGAATCCTTGGGAAGGCTTCTGTGTGCTACACAGTTTGTCAGGGCTCCCTGTGAATTTAAAAAAAGTACCTCAAGACTTACAACTTGTGAAAAGCCATTCAGCTGTTTGTTAGGAACAAGAATGAAAATTGGGAGCTTTACCAAGCTCAACCCACACCAGGTGTAGCTAGCAAGCAAACAAACCAGCAGGGATTGATGGAACATAGCACTACCAAAACAGGAAATAGAACATTCTCGCAATGGGGAAATGCCTTGGCACTTCCACATTCACTGCATTGCCTTCACATCCAGCATGCGGTAGAATAGAGCAGAATACCACTTAGGCAAGACACTCACCATTACAGCATTGTGCAAGCAATGTCTCCCACCTCACTGCTGCTGTGCTAAGACACTCAGAGTTAAATGCTTAAATGTGCTTAAGAAAACCCACTCACGTTTCTATGATGCAATGATCTAGATTTATAGAAGCCTGCATTTATAGAAACCTGCCATGATATTATAAGCTTTCATCTAAAAGCCTTGTGTGGCTCAGGACTCCAATACCTTACGGACCACCTCTTCCCACACAAGCCAACCCACACCTCACATTCAACATCTGAAGCCTTTCTCTATTTCCCCCCACCCAAAGAAGATGTGGAGGGTGGCAACATGAGAACAAGCCTTCTCAGTGGTGGCTCCATTTCTGGAATGCTCTTCCTAGGAGTGCATTCCTAGCACCATCACTGTGTGTTTTAAGAGACCAGGCAAAAACATTATTTACCCTTGCTTTTTGCTCTTTATTTGATGGGTACCTGGGCATGTTTGTGCCCTTTTTTGGATATACTTGGACCTATAGACATCAAGGGAGTTATATGTGTGTTAAAGGAGCAAAATGAGATTGCATCTGTCTTCACTGCTGCAGTTTTTGAGCAGGCCCCTGTGTCTGAAAAAGCTCTCCTGGGATTGTGCCTGAAGTGCAGAGACAGAAGATGACAGACAATATTCAAAGCCTCAAAAACAACTCAAATGTGAAATTGCTGGCCTATAAAAATTATGTATGCTATTCCTAAGATCCATCTCCATACCTAAGGAATGGAAAGTAGCCAATTGAATGCCCCCCTTTTTTTTAATGGATGCAGAGGAGATCTGAGAAATTACAGGCAGTTACTGTACACTAAAGCTTGTTCCAATAAAATTGCTAGAAAGCATTATTAAATATAAAATTACAAAAAGTATATAAGAACGAGACTTCTTGAATAATAAGCATGGCTTCTGTAAGGGTGTTTTCTGTGTATTACATAGCTCTTGAGTGGTCCTCATATGGACCACTCAAGCATATGGCAGGCATATGGACAGGAGCGATGTAGTACATGTTGTGTCAGATTTTGAAGGACTCCTCAGTGAGTTTAGCAATCATAAGATAAACAGAAAAGTTCTCTTAGGGATCAGAAGGAGGTTAAAGAACAAGAATCAGAGAATCAGAATAAATGATCACAATTCAGGAATGAATAAAGTGGGATCTCTCCAAGGATCAGTATTGGGACAGCTGTTTTACACTTATTTGTGAATGACCTGAATTTTGGGGTAAGCAGTGAAGTGGCAAAAGTTACTAACGTTCAAAGTGGTCAAAACAAAAAGGGATTCTCAGGTCTAAAAGGCTCACTCAAAGCTTGGTGAATGGGCACTAAAATGCCAAATGTGATTCGCTGTAAGCAAATGTAAAGTGATGAACATAGGGGCAACTCATCCTCCCCCCCCCAAAAAAATGTCACATGTACACTAATGGGGTCTGAATTGGCTAGGAAGGACCTTAGGTTCATGGTGGATAGCTTGATGAAACCGTCAACCCATGTTAACAACCATTAAGAAATGGTCTAAAAATAAAATTGCCCAAATAACAATGCCATTTAGAAACCTATGGGGCGCCTGCACTTAAATCTTTCACTTACAGTTCTGCTCACCCCAACTCAAAAGAGTGCGGAAAGTTTTAGAAAAAAGCACCAAAACTGACCACGTGGCTGAAATAATTCCCCTACAAGGAAAGGTTAAAACATTTGGGGCTTTTAAGGTAGAAAAGAAACACTATGAAGGGACATGATAAGAGGTCACAAAGCAACATGTTTTAAAGAAGGATTCTGAGGGTATAGTACAGAGTCCCTGCACCCATGAATTAATGCAAAGACAGCTGCTGATGTCTTTCCACCCCTATAGGCCCAGAAGCATAACTTGGTGTTGGCAAAACCTATCAGGCATTGGAGTCCTTCCACAACACCTGGAGCACCAATCATGCACATGCATGGCTCAGCACTCCAGCACCTGCTTTGTCCACAAAAGGAATCCTCTGGTATCTTCAGCAGGAAAAGCCACTGCTGCTGTTGGAGGGGATGGAAAGCGGTCCTCAGAGCAGCTCCCAGGCAAAGAGCAGTGCAGGCACACTGCCTAGCCCTCCTGTCCAGACAAGTTCACCGGCTTCTTGGATTTTATTTCTCTGTGTGTGTGTGTGTGTGCGCGCGCGCATGTGCGCGCGTGCACACACACGCCAATATAGCTCCTTGCCAAGAGCACAAGGGACTCTAGGTATGCCTTTGAATAGGCCCTGGGAATCCAACAGTCTTTTTCTGTGCATATCCTTCTCACAATAGCCACAAGTAAGCTGAGAAACAGACTCATGCATCTACATGTCCCCACTGAGTTTACTGGTTGAGCACAACCAGTACTGCTTGTATTCTGCTACAGTGAAACCTCGGTTTTCCAGCATCTTGGATGCCGAACAATTCGGAACCTGAATGCCAAAAACCCGGAAGTAATTGCTTCCGTTTTCGAACGCGCCTCGGAAACCAAACAGCTTTTGAGGCGCGTTTCTCAATTTTTTCAATGGATTTTGCCAACCGCCCATTGATCCTAGATTTTCGAACATTTCGGGACTCGAACAGCCTTCTGGAACAGGTTACGTTTGAAAACTGAAGTTCCACTGTATCACATTTGTCCTTCTCCAAGTTTTGTTACCCAAGAATATTATACAAGGAGAATTCCTAACTGCTATTTAATTGCCAAGAGATCCAGACTAAAAGGCTATGGGTGAAAAGAGATACTGTACCATATTAGCCTACCCACATGGTTTGCCATCACAGCAGCTTTCTAAAACAGGACGCCTTGGGATTGTGGTCCACCAACTAGCACAAAGATGATGAAAATGCAGCTGTGCTTAATTTATCATCCATCACTACTATGCAGACTAGAGCTCTGCAGGCTCCGAGAAGTTGTAGGATCTCAGACTAAATTGCATTTGGAAATGCAATTTACTCTGAGTAGCTAAGGAACAAGTTAATCTGAAGAATTAAAAGGCTCTTTAAAAACATTCACTTAAAGAGAGCTGATTTGGCCACAAAGAATGAGCTGGAGGGATGCTCAAGACAATCTTCCAGAAGAGGCCTGTCCAAGTTGGACATCAGCCAAGGAAGATTGCAACACAAGACAGCTTCTCCAAAAGCACATATTTGCAAGCGGACAGCTCTCAGCAGTGTAAGCTCGTAAAGAAAATGCATCAAATCCTGAGACAGACTTAATACTGTGGTGATTACGAAAAGGTGACAACCAGTTGGCAACACAGCTCCCAACTGAATAATTGATATTTCATTATTACACATGCCAGTTATCCTCACCATAGCATACTAAAGTGGAAAGAAGTCAAACTAATGTCTTCTTTTCATAGCATTCTAGTTTCTTCATTAAAGACTTTAAAACCCTCCTTTCGTTCCTCATTTTGTCTAAAACAGAAACCGCTAAGCTGTCAGACTGCAGCCGACATTGTCAAGAAAAATAGTTGCAGGGTTTCCTTATGTGTTCCTGGAACTATCAAGAATTTGCAAAGTAAAGTGGCTTACAGTATGTTCTTCCATTGGTAAATTATGGGTGACAATCAGTCCTGTTAACCTGGTTTCTAAATGTGATTGTGACCATATTGAGAAGGTCTTAAGCCTGCTCCTAAATGAAGACAGAGGAAATATGTGTGTTTAATCCCTGTCCCTCAAAATAAGATAGTAGTTTGAAGTTTGTTTCTGTAGGAAAAAATCACAATATAAATTTTATTTTATTAGATTAACCTGCATCATTCTCCAAAGGAGCCAAGAAATGTTATAAATTCTGTGTAATGACTAGGAAAAGCAGTCCACATTGAAATGAATTATCTTATATAATTAGTTAATGGTTTCCAAATGAATAGACTTCCAGCATATGAACTTTTCTATCAGAGGTTTATGGATAGAAATGAGTCATGACCAGACTTCCTGAAAACATCTACAACTTTTTTAGTCAAAGAACAATTCTTCTGTATTCGATTACATGAAATTATTCTATATTTGATTACGTAACCCAGAATTTACTTCTACTTAAAGGGATGCTAATGAAGTCAAACAGGAGAAATCTTGTGGGCTTTCCATAGTTACATCTGATGCATAGTGCTGAGTCTCTCCATAGATTATCCAACATTTGGATTAAATAAGCATCCAGTTTTAATTTTTAATACTAGACTCTGGAAGCCATGGATATGGGGGATCAGGAGTTCAGGGCATAGCCCCCTTCTCACTATCACGCCAAAATTAATCCACAGAGTAGAAAATCCATTCTTGATTAGTAAATGGTGTGCAGAAAAACTGCTCCCCTAATTTCTCCGCTGATCCCACTCAGGTACCACCAGATGTTCTGCAAGACAGGAGGTATGCTAGACTGCAAAGGCTGGGAACAAGCCCGTTTGTATAGGCTCAGAGGTGTTTATAGTAACAGTTGTCCTTTTATGTAAAGAACAGATTCTGTCTAAAGTCCCTAGTGTAACATGGTCATGGTTTAATTTTTATCAAAAAAAATTCCTTGTTAAAACAGAGTACCCTGAAAGTTGTCTGCTTTAGAACAACTTGTGGTCAATCTTTTCGCTGCATCAAAAAGTGTTGTATCTATATGTAAAATGTTAACTGAGATGAAATTTGGCCACCTTATGGCTACAAAAATCCCATCCGAAGCAGATCTTTAAATAGAAATGCCTAATGAAAAATGGAACGAGCTTTGGGGGGCAGGGGAAACCTCTGAGACCAGTCTTAGCTCAATTGAGAGAAATATAATTGAAGCTCCTACCTAGGTGGTATCTTTCTCCTTTGCAAATATCCTATATGATACCAGGTGTACCACCTCCCTGTTGAAGGAGATATGGGGAGACTGGCTCCTTCATACATATGTGGTGGTTTTGCAAAGCTGTTTGATCCTTTGAGACCTCAATTTTTAAAGAACTCTGTTTAATAAATATAATCGAGTTACAATCTTCTCCTCAGCTTCCTTTGGTTGCAATAATGGATGTGTCTACTCCGCCAATTCCTCATAGAGTACTTTTAAAAATTTCTCCTTGCAGCGGCATGTATGGATATTGAGAAGAAGTATACTAGGCTGATGGAAGTCAAGTTTACAACACGTAAGACTTCATATATATTAAATGTGAACTTTTGGTAATACAATGCATACTTTCATACAAGACACCAAAAACTGTAATAAAATGATCATATGCACATAAGCTACTAGCATATCAATTTAAAAGTTGTTGTTTCTTTTTACTATGGGGACACTGAAGAAAATTATTTACTTTTTAGAATCTATGTTTAGAATTTCCATTAAGGCAGAACAGCAATTCAAATGATAATAACCGGACAAATTCTCTTTTTTTTTTTTTTTTTAAAGCAATTTATTGGATTTTACAATAGAAATAAATGTAGCAAACAATATAACATTTGTCTTAACATAATTTCACATTTTCTTTGGACTTCCTCACATCTCCCGCTCCCACCTTCATCATTATAACATTTTGTCAGCAATTTATCATCTTATTTAAATTCTTATGTCTCTTCGATATTTCATGATCTTATAGTTCTCATAAAGAGTTAAACTTTCACAATTTTTCTTATTTTCTTAAAAACTTCTAAGTTAAGTGGTGCTCAGTTATTTAGACAAGCATCTTATTCAGCATTCAATCAAATCACAATGTTTTTGCAGGTAGTTCTTAAATTTCTTCCAATCCTCCTCGATTCTCTCTTCTCCCAGGTCACGGATTCTGCCAGTCATTTCAGCCAGTTGCATATAGTCTATCAGTTGCATCTGCCATTCTTCCAGTGTGGGTAGATCTTGAGTTTTCCAATGTTTTGCGAGTAGTATCCTTGCTGCTGTTGTTGCATACATAAAAAATGTTTGGTCCTTCTTTGCCACCCCTTGGCTGACAATACCCAAAAGGAAAGCCTCTGGTTTCTTAGTGAAGGTATATTTAAATACCTTTTCAGTTCATTATAAATCATTTCCCAGAACGCCTTCACTTTAGGGCAGGTCCACCAGAGGTGAAAGAACGTTCCTTCACACTCTTTACATTTCCAACACTTGTTATCAGACAGGTGGTAAATTTTTGCAAGTTTGACTGGGGTCATATACCATCTATAAATCATTTTCATTACATTTTCTTTCAAAGCATTGCATGCAGTGAATTTCAGTCCGTTACTCCACAGCCTTTCCCAGTCCTCAAACATAATATTGTACCCAATATCCTGTGCCCACCTTATCATAGCCGATTTAACCATTTCATCTTGTGTATTCCATTCCAGCAGCAAGTTATACATCCTTGAAAGTATCTTAGTCTTTGGTTCTAACAATTCTGTTTCTAATTTCGATTTCTCCACCTGGAACCCTAGTTTCTTATCATTTTTAAAAACTTCCTTAATCTGAATAACCGGACAAATTCTCAAGTTGCTATTAAAATAATAAATTGCAGAAATAAATAAATAAATAAATAAATCTGTTTAGAAGAGCCAATGGCAGCTAGTGCCCACTTGGCCTGGTAGTGCTAAGAGGCCACAGGTCATGGCCAAGTTGTCCTAGTTTTCTCCCTATCCTACTCCCTTGCAAACATACTGTTGACACCTAAGCTTTGCTTTTTATTATTTATTTATTTAGTCCCAACTGGAAACTTCTCACTTTGGTACCAAAGGAATCTCTGCTGCCAGAGGAGGAGACTGATGGAATAAACGTTTGTGTGGCTTCCACCTGTCCTGGTTCTCTCCCTATCCTCCTCCTTTGCAAAGAAACAGTGGATACTTAAACACTGTAGTCTTATTAATACATAGCCCCTAAGTGTCTTACCTTGGTTCAGAAGGGGCCCTTGCTGTCACAATTTCTAGTGTGCATCCATGCCATGATTAGTGTACATAACATAGAAGTAATAAGAAGCGATAAGTATGTAAATGACAGCAGCCTGAATTTGTTAGTCTTAAAGGTGCCACACTGGACTCTTAAACATGAACCCCATATATTTCCAGGCCTTATGGAGAATTATTATTCCTCTGCCCCCTGCAGCTCAGAGATGAAACATTTCCAGACTTCTAAAAACTGAAGGTTTATCCAAACTGAAACAAACTTCTACTCTTCCACATCTCAGTTTATTTCTTCATTTGGTGTACAGTGGTATTTCGGTTGCCGAACATAATCCATTCCAGAAGACCTTTAAACTTCCGAAATGTTCGACAACTAAGGCGCAATGGGTGGTTGGCAAATTCCATTCAGAAAGTGGAGAAACATGCCTTGGAAGCCATTTCACTTCCGAGGCACGTTCGAAAGCGGAAGCATTCACTTCCGGGTTTTTGAAACATTTGGCTTCGGAAACGTTCGACAACTGAGGTACCACTGTATTTCCAAACAGAGACCAGGTCCCCCACCCCCCCGGGCACACACAAACATCCTACTTGAGATGAAAGTATCTGACATGGCTAAGAAGCAGTTGGTGTCAGAGGTTGTGCTGTGCAAAGGCCTTGACACAATCTTGCAGTAGTGTACGCTTGGCAGAATCCCAGATTGCATTCCGTGGCCAAACACCTGAATATGTTCTGTATGTTGCAACATTTAAAAGCACCTTTCCAACAGCAAGCAAGCCCTAAGCATACTGCTTGTTTTGTAATCCTGTCCAATGCAGAAGCTGTGCCTACATTTCCACCTTTGAATCTTGGATCCAACAGATTTGCAGCAGTGTGAATTGGAGGTAACAAAATTGCACTGCTCTGTACTTTCTCCCACTCCCAGTCCTTTGAGGACTGGTCAAGAGGTCAGAAACAGATCCACCAACCATGCCAACAAATTTACGGCCACAAGCAAAGAAGGCATTCAATCCTCCTTCCTTCTCTTGAGGCAACAGCAGTGCCCTCCAAGAGGCAGAAATGCATCTTGCTCTTTCACTTGAGTATTGTACTCTCAATGTACAACTCAGGACTTGCCTCCATATACAGGAATTGTAACGATCTGAAACTGTACCTAGTCTTGCATAAAAGTCTTTCTGCTATGCAGCTTCAGAAATTATTTTGGGGGATTAATTATATGAACAGCTTGTCTCAAACATTTGTTCATCATTCTAAAAGAAAGTGTTTTGTAAACAAACAAACAATACAATACAATACAATCTAACAGGGGGAAACAGGGAAAAAGCATTTCCCCCCCTAAATTTTCCAGTTCTTTTCTTTCTCGGCCTTCACATCTCTACCTCTGCTTTTTCATTTCTACATCTTTTTTCAAGAAAGTGGAATAAAATGCAGGGAAATTAAGTGGATTAGAGCCTAGGGGAACAGGGTTAAAAATCACCATTTAGCCGTGAAGCTCACCATGTGACCTTGGGCCAGTTACCATCTCTCAGCCTAACCTACCTCACATTGGGGACTTATGAACGCCACCTTGAACGTCTTGGAATACACATACCTATATCCAGCCTGCTGTCCCTGATTTTGAATGGGAGGAGGGGAAGATTTGAAATCATGAAAAAACCTAAACTAAAACAATAAAGAATCTGGGAAACAACCAGAATATTCAGACCTAAAAACTTTGGAGTTTATATGTAGTTCCTCAGCAAATCCAGCGTGGCTGCCTGCTAGAACAGGCTTGCCTGGGATGGAGTATGCAGGCAGGTTGTAACCCATGCTCCCATATTACACATAGGCTCTGCACACTGCATTCTCATCTGAACCATCCCCTGCAGCTTTCTGTAATAGCATTTTAAATTTGCCAAAGTGTTTTATATTCTTTTATCCTCACATCAACCCTGTAAAGTAGGTCACAGTACAATTTTAGCAGAACAGCAAACAAAACAGCACTGCCATCTTAAAGGCTAGAAATTGTATTATGGCAAAAGCTTTCGTGGGCTAGAGTCCACTTAATTGGATGCATCATTCTTTGTAATACATTAATTTAAGCAATAATCAAGGCTGGGTTAAAGTGGTTGTGAGCTTGATGCTCACAATTTCCAAAACAGGGGCCTCTTCTCCTAGAAAGGAACACCTGATATTACAAAATAAGACTCATGCTATCTTCTAACAAATTTATTTATGGCATACAGTTTTGTGAAATACAAAAAAATGCCCTGAGCATGTGAAGTATTACAACCCTCAGCAAAACGTAACAGAAACATTTTGTAAAACCCGATAAGCAGAAAGCAAAGATAGAGACCTATGACCACAACTTTCTGCCCGCAGTAGGCAAACAAACTTGCAGAAAGTATCTGGGTGGGACTGGAGGAGATGCACAGACCACAACCTCCTCCGAACTTTCCAAAGGCCTTTGTGAGCAAACAAGCTTGCAGAAGAGGGGGTTTTAACACTGCAATCCTAACCTTCTCTACTTACAACCAAGACCTATTGAATTCAGTGGGGCACTTCCATGTAAGTGGAGTTTGGATTGCACCTTTAAGAAGGCAGTGAAAGCTGAGCTGAACAAATGAGACGTCTCCTTCAAACTTTCTGACAGAAATCTCATGGGCTTATTAAATGGAAATGCAGATGGGACATTAAGCAAGAAGAAGAAGAAGAAGAAGAAGAAGAAGAAGAAGAAGAAGAAGAAGAAGAAGAAGAATTTATTATTTATACCCCGCCCATCTGGCTGGGCTTCCCCAGCCACTCTGGGCGGCTTCCAAAAAAAAAATTAAAATTAAAACACTGCAATACATCAAACATTAAAAGCTTCCCTAAACAGGGCTGCCTTCAGATGTCTTCTAAAAGTCTGGTAGTTGTTGTTCTCTTTGACATCTGGTGGGAGGGCATTCCACAGGGAGGGCGCCACTACCGAGAAGGCCCTCTGCCTGGTTCCCTGTAACTTGGCTTCTCGCAGTGAGGGAACCGCCAGAGGGCCCTCGGTGCTGGACCTCAGTGTCCGGGTAGAACGATTGGGGTGGAGACGCTCCTTCAGATATACTGGATATACTGAAGACATTTTCTTCATGCTACTAACCTTCCAAAAACCTTCAGGAGCAAATACACTTGCGGAACAGGAAAATAAGTATGGCATTGGACTGCAGCCACAATGGCCAAGCTGCAGGGAGGGCATGTGGGGGTATTGGGTATTAATTTTCCTTCACCAGCTACCCCACTCCCAACAGTCCATCAAGTGCAGGGATACAGACCACAGTTCAGCATTTATTCTGTTCTTCTCTCTCTGTATTAGCAAATAATTAAGTACACATCATGGAAGATCTCCCTGTCTTTATTTCGGCTTTGTTGATGTGTTGGTTAACTGTCATGCAGCAGGGTAGGAAAAGTCAAGATACTTACAACATTAGAACAATTTGTGATTAGTCTAAAGCTGCTTTAGATTTTGATCAAGAGATAATTGGCAAGCCACTCGGGTTGCAGATTAGAGATTCTCTTAAGAACATTCCCTTGTGAAATTATTTCTCATAACACAACCAAGAACTACAGATAATGGGTACAAAAGGGATATAGAATTACTGTTGCCACCACTTATTCAGGGACACCCAAGCCAATACTTTCTGTTACGAAACTGCTAAAAGGAGTAAACAACAATAAATTGCAATTCAATGTCTGTTTCAGAGTTCATATGGCTTCCAGAAAAAAGAAGCCCGTGCAAAGTCCATAAGCACCAATTATAGGGACACCGAGCTAGATAAACAAAGTACACATATAGACAGCAAGAGTCCACACTAAGATGTTTTCTCAATTACACAGCAAATACTGTGCATGTGTGTGTAAAAATATTAAAGAAAAAGTCTTACTTCAGCTGAACTAATATCTATAAGACTACTAGCTAGTTGTGCTATTTCAAGTACCAACAGAAGGCTCTCAATAAAAACTTATCTCATTGGTTTAGGCAACAAACCATGCCTTCTGAGTTGTATGGTTGCTAATATGAACCCAAAAGCACAACAGAGGCAGCAGTATACAAGGAACCCTGTATAGTAGGTCTCAAGATGTTGTTGGACTATAACTCACATCATTCCTGACCATTGGCTATGCTGACTGAAGCTGATGGGAGACCAACAACATCTGGAGGGTCACAAATTCCCCATTCCTGGCCTATTTCCTCCCAACAGTGTACTCAATAAGAAATGCACTAAAAAAAGCTATAAGATGGATGTCGGAAATGTGTCATCAGAGAGCTCTTTACACTACCTTTGCGAAACATTACTTATGGCTCTGTTGAGCTGGTATTGCAAAATTTTGGAAGATGTTTCAATACTGAAATAGCCCCGTCTTGCATGGAAAATTACAAAACACGACAAGAAGGTCATGGGGATTATTTTCAACAGCTCCACATAAGCAAAGATCACTGTAATTTGCAACAAGTATTTGCTGACTTCCACGCATGTAGGTAAAGAGTCACCAGTCAGTAGCAGTTTCCCCTAACAGTTAAGGTGGGGCAAGGAGGAAAGAATGTATACTTAAGTCCAGTTATAAAAACTGACTTGGTCTAGGGAAAGCTTCTAAGTTATTGCTGAGGAGAACAATATTACGAAGTTTCACAACAATGCTACAACCACAGCCACAAACTACAGTGGTACCTTGGGTTACATACGCTTCAGGTTACATACGCTTCAGGTTACAGACTCTGCTAATCCAGAAATAGTACCTCAGGTTCAGAACTTTGCTTCAGGATGAGAACAGAAATCTTGCTCTGGCGGCGCAGCAGCAGCAGGAGGCCCCATTAGCTAAAGTGGTGCTTCAGGTTAAGAACGGACCTCCGGAACGAATTAAGTACTTAACCCGAGGTACCACTGTATAACCATTAACAACTATCCAGTCAGAAATGAAACTATATTTTGTATCAATGAACTGAAATGTTAAGATTTGAAAATGAATCCACGCAAGACTAAAAAAAATATATATAATATTTTTCAGTGTGTAAGACTATGTTTTCCCCCAATTTTTTTAAGTTTAAAATTGGGGGTCGTCTTATACACAGAATGTTTAAAATATTTATTTCTTAATTTTGGGCTCAAAAAATAGGGGTCGTCTTATACATGGGGGCATCTTATAGACAGGAAAATACGGTAAGTTGCATCCCCAGTCCAGCTATATACTTACACTAGCAAAGATACATATACAGAACAAGCATGTAAGCACAAACACCTTAATTGTTGCTTTGTGAATAATTTTCCTTTCCTGTCTCAGCATGTGTTTGAGCTATCTCTATTGCTTATATTTCTGAGAAGTCAGAATGTTTAGCTGAAAAGTTTGACATGGTGCAAAAAACCCAAATACAGATTCAGGAACCCTGTCAGTTATCCTAGAATTTATTGAACAAAGAGTGAAAGTAGCAGTCTATAATATTGTTCCTTCGAACTGAAGTTAGGTTAGAAATAGGATTAGACTCTGAAATGGCCATTTATCTGACTGGAGCTCTGCAAGCATGCCATAATGGACTACTGTTGATAACAGTTGAGAGTCCTATTATTCTCACTCTGGTGTATCTTAAGGCACTCCATTTAATGAAAGAAAAGAAATACAAGTGCCTTTGTTTTGATTTGCTCAATAATTGTAAAGTGTGGGAAGGAAGTATATGACTAAATCTGAGGAAGGGAAAAACCTTCCATCCTGAAGCATACAAATAATGGCTTCTAAACTGTGGCCTGAAGGAGCACTTTTAGTTCATTTCTGCACACTGGTTAAGTCTAGGAGGCACGTAGTGGGTTCTCAGAATAAAGACTCCAGACTCCACAAGTTCCAAATTCGACATGCACAATTTACTTTAGTAATATCACTAATTTTCTGTGGTGCCATTTTCAATCCATGGCATCAGTGCAACACAAAAATAGAATTTTTTGAAGACTGCCAAGTAGAAAGGAAAAACAAAATCTGACCTATTTCTATTACTAAAGCTTGCTGATCCTGAAAGTGATCTCAATGGACTTTCTGGAAGAGGCAAGTCAAATATATTTGGGCACACAAAAAACTTGGGTTCAAAAAGGGAACAATTCACTATCCCCTTTAGGCATAATATTTCAGTAAACCACAACCAAAATTGTTTTCATTTTTTGCCACTTCCAATAATCCCATTAGTGCTACCACTGCCAGTTTTTTTCCTCCTATGAACCACTTGTGCAAAAAGTTTTAAATTCTAATCAAATAAATGCTACATCAAATTAAAAAGTCTTACAATACCTGTCTTGATTAGTAGGAACTATGAGGTTTGCAACAGGAAACAATATTTTGTTTCCATTTGAAGTAACTCTTTCATTATTATAAAACAGCACTACAGTGGTACCTCTGGATACGCACACCTCCAATTGCATATCCTTCAGGATGCGAATGTGGCAAACCCAGAAGTATTTTTCTGGGTTTTGTCAAGCGTGCATGTGCAGCAGCAATCTGCCGCGCTGTGCACATGTGCAGAAGCAGTCTACCGCCACGCGTGCATGCGCAGAAGCAGTCCCTCTGGTTGCGGAAACCTTGGAATCTGACCGGAGATCCAGAACGGATCCCATCCGCAACCGGAGGTACCACTATATTTTTGCTAGTACAGTGGTACCTTGGTTCTCAATGAGCTTGGCTCCCAAATAGGCTCCCGAACACTGCAAACCCAGAAGTAAGTATTCCAGTTTGCGAACGTTTTTTGGAAGCCGAATGTCTGACGCAGCTTCCACTTGACTGCAGGAAACTCCTGCAGCCAACTGGAAGTCGCGCCTTGGTTTTCGAACCATTTTGGGAGTCAAACGGACTCCCGGAACAGATTAAGTTTGAGAACCAAGGTACCACTGTACGGGCATATTCACAAGACCTGCTTGTGGGACTGTTCCCGTGACCGGCTGAATTAATATCCAATACACTTAAACCAGTGTTTGAAATTAGCCAAGCACATTTTGCACCTTGCTTTCAACCACTTGCAACCAAGTAAATATGCCTGGCTGCTAGGATGGCACTTGACACTTCTACCATCTGCAGGTGCATGCCTGGGGATCATTGGATCTGGACTGTTTTCACAAACTAATACCCAGTGGTATTTTTCTAGAAAAAGGGATGCTGGAACTCACCATGAATGCCTCTTTTTTTCTCTTATAATGGCAATGGTGCCCACCTAAGAGGTGCCGGAACAGAGTTCCACCAGTCTGACTGAAAAAAGGCCTTGCTAATACTCCAACCTGTAGAATTCTATCAGCTGTGTTTTATCAGCACAATCAGAATGAATTTCTGGAACCAAAATGCTTCTTCTGTGCAGTCTGAGCAGGGGCAATCACCACTGAGAGATTCAAAAAGACCAATATATGTGTGGACTGTCTCTGGATCAAATGACGTTTCTTTCTTGAGTTATCAAAGCTCAAGGTTGTTATCTGAACTAGCCAGATGCTTAACTGAGAATCACAAACAGTGCATCGTCTGATAAATAAGACTTCAGAGTTGTCTTGCCCCAAAATGGCAACTAAACATTCCATTTTGGTGACTAACTTTGGTTTAAGGAGCCATTTGGCACCTAGCTTATATATCAGAGTTCCTAACACTGATTTAAGCCAGGTTATTCATTACCTCATGTATTAAGCAGCACATGAAGAAGTGCTTATGTTGATTCTATTTAATATGTTACTTCTGGAAGCAACTGAAATGTCCAGAGAACAGCTACTTGGGGATTAAAACAAAAAACATCATTCTAACATAGCTCAGCAATAAGGAACAAAAGGGAGTTTCAAACAGATAATATTCCATAGGTCCAAACCACTATCCTTTCACAAAATAAAGCACTGCTAGTTCATAGGGGAAAAAACCCTGCCCAGCTTACAGATGGATTGATTTCATTGCTGCAGAATAACAGGACATTACTTAATATAGCTAGCCAGTAGCCATTTTGCATACTAGTACATTTTATATTCAAAGAGCGTAACAGAGAAATGGCCAAGGCAATATTGTACATTTGTGAGATGAGTCAATTTACCCAAGAAAAGGAAACGGAAGTATGGGAAACTGTGTTTTATAATTATGTTGGTGCCTCAGAAGGAATCTGTAAGCTGATCACCCTCAGGCAGATCTAAGTCAGTTTGACCAGGTTGTGGAAACCAATTTCCCTGAAAGGCACATGTAAAAACTGTGTGCAACAACTCCTAGGAAAGATTTTCATTACTGACTCTGTGTACTGACACATTTGACTTGAACTGACCCAGGCTAACTCTTGAGCATGTGCAGCGAAGCAGTATATCGCCATACCTGTTTGTGGGACTGTTCCCGTGACCAGACTACCTCATCGCATCCATCGCTTTACGACTAATAAGAACTGTACACTGCTTTAAGAAAGCAGCGCTACAAATGAAGGCAGGAAACTCAAAGCCAAACAATGGCAACACCAATCCTAGACATACGAGGTCTTGGGCGCTTTATCTGGTACCAGCAGAGAGGAAAGAGATTGATTCAAGGACGCAGCAATTTCCCCTCTTGCCTGGCTCAGCACTTACCCTTATTATTATCTGTGCAGAGCTCAACCTAAAGACCCAAAGGGCGGAGTAGCAGAGGGAGAGAGAGAGAGGTCACCTGCTCTTCCTTGGTCTCTGTTCCGCCCTGGGCTCTTCTGCAAAGCGATTCACACGTACACCCGCCACCATCATGACACGTACATTAGCTCACCCCCACCCATTCTTCCTTTTACCGGAGAGAGACCAGGGAGGGGCTGCGAGGGGGGCTCCGGGAGACCTGGAATCCCCCGCCAACACCCAACAGCACCGAGGAAACAGCGCTCCGCTCCGCCGCAGCGTCGCGTTCACACGCCCCAGACGACTCGCCTCCCGCGCGCGCTCCGCTTCCCCCGCCGCCCGAGTTCTGGCGGAGACGGCGGGGCTCCGCGAAGAGGAAAGGCTTTTCTCCCGCCCTGCTTTCTCCCTCCTTGGCTCCCCTCCTTCCCTTTCAGGCGCGCCGACCCCGACACGGGAAACCCACTCACACATGCCGAGAGCCGCCGCCAGCAGCAACGAGCTGAGCCAGGCGGCGAGCGGAGCAGCGCCTTGCCTCGGACTGCAGCCGCCGCCGCCGCCTCCTGGCGCCGTTAACGCCGCCACCGCCACGGTCGCCGCTGCCATTTTCCTGCCTCCACCTCCTTTTCCTCTCATTGTTCCACCCCCGCCCATGGTTGGAAGAGGGGTGGGAGAGCCGAAGGGAACCTCCACGCCGGTATTGAGCCGGAGCGCTGTCAATCACGCACACCTCCTGAATCCAGCGTCTTCCTTCTGGCCAGGCTCTGCCCTTCACTCCTCACGTCGCAGGGCGATTGGGAGTTCGGGATTTCACTCAGCCATGGGCGGGCCATTGAGAAGAGAAGCTGCCCGCCCACTTTGGGCGCCTGTCACGTGACTGGAAGCTACCTTGGGGCTTTATTGTGAGGGCTGGGCAATTGCAGAGCGGTCGCTTTGCCATGGCCTGTTTCCGACAGAAACGACGCGGTGACGCAGGCTCAGTAGTAGTAGCAAGGCGTTACCGTGGATCTTGTCCTTATGGCGGTTTTTAGGGACTTGCTCCACGCCACTCCACTCACATCTGTGCACATTTCCGTAGCCTGACATGCGGAAGCCCTCTTGGTTCTGTTCATGGCCCATATCGCTGCATTCATCGTTTAATACTAGTTGAAAAATTATCAGTTTCCCCCATTAAGTACTATGAAACTGCGAGCAGAGTTTAACAGGCTGCTTTCACTAAGTTTGGGGTCTGGCATCACGTACAGTCAACCAAATAATGTTGGGAGTATTTACCTATATAGAAAATATGGAAGTGTATATAAGTATGGGGAAAGTCAACATCGTGCTACAATTTACAGCTAGCAAATAGTATAATTTGGTAACTCGTATAGCCACCAATATTTAAAGTTCCTACACCAAAGCAGGACAGTTGCTGTCATAAAGAGGTTTCCTTTTAACATTCCATTTATGCCTTGGAGGGAGAGTTAGGGGTTCAAATACTCCACAATGCAACATTTTGTTGCAGGTCCCACTTTCCCCCCTCCTGATAAAGACACACAAACACCAAGTAAAAATATTATAAGCAAATGTGTCAGGGGCATTCTAGCAGTAAATCACATTATGCCAGTTAGAGTTATGTAATTCTTTATTAGCAAAAACATCTGCACAGACTAAACAGAGTGTCAGGCCTAGTGAGCATAGCAACTTGATCTCCAGTAGGTCCTGCCTCCATGAAGCAGTCAGTGAGGGGAGCTGTTACTGTCGAGTAGGCAGGCAGGAACTTCCAGTAGTAGTTTGCAAACTCCAAGAACCTCTGCAAATCCTTCTTAGTCTTTGGTGCCTGCCAAGACGCCACACTGCTGACCTAAGGAAGATCAATCTCCATCCCTTTGGGGGTCAAGCGAAATCCCAGGAAGTCCATCATCATGACACAATGCATACTCCTAACCCTGGAAGGAATTTTATGGCATATTTGACATACTCAGCGTCTCTGAAAAGAGGTAGTGTGAAGATAGACATTGGTAGCAGCTTGCTTCCTAGGGCTACTGTTACTCTTGGCACTGGCTGTGGAAGAGCCACACTTCCTTCACTCACTTTGTACAGGGCATCCACACAAAGTCTTGAACTAAACATCTTCTCTAATTTTACCCTTTCCTCTCGAGTCCAGTTTCTCTTCCATTTTTGTCAGAGCTGAGAAATCTGACCTTTTCTTCCTCTGCAACTCAATGGAATAGCTTCAGAGTTTCCCCAGATGTAGATGGTCTCTTCTGTTATTGTTCCAGACAAGTGAAGCTAGTCACTTTCTTTTCTTTTTTTTTAAGGAAATAAATTTTATTTAAGATTCGACAATAACAATAAATCAACAATAACTAATACAGTACATCAATTCATTGCAGTTGACCATCTTTAACAAGAGTTAACAAACTACAAAACATCACTTCTGGTTAGTCAACTTTTCATATTTAACTTTATCTTTTTCTTAGCTGATCAGAAAAAAGGAGACTAAAAGAAGAAAGTGAGAAGAGAGAAAAATGTAAAAGAGGAAGAAAGGAAGAAAAAGAAAAAGGGGGGAGCAAGTATAAAGAAATTAATAAAGAAAAAAATAAAAAGGAGAATAAATACATTTAACTTCCGATTAGACTCATTGTATTATTATTTCTATTGTTCTTTCACACACAGTTCCAAATTACTGTATTACTTTCTTTATTTTTATCGGATATCGAAAACATTATGTTTCTTATCTTACAAGGATCATTCTAGTTCTGCCAAGAGATGTTTATTATTACAATAGTTTTCCAGGTATTCTTTAAAGATTTTCCAGTTCCCTCTAAATCTTTCTCAATATTCCAAAACTCCTCTCTAGAAAAAAAACTCTATCACTTAAATACTTCCCTTTCATAAACAACCATTTGTTTTCTTTCTGCCCGCTAAGTTGCAGTGGAGGAGGCTTTGTGGACACCAGAAGTCCTCAAGGGAGCCACTGAGCCCAGGGACACTGCACCAGTGGCTTCAGTGCACTTCAGCTTGGGCAGTGAGCAGGCAGCATAGGCAAAAACTGCTGTATCCAGCAAAACTGTATAGAAATATATCAAGTACCGTAACTCCCACTTCCACAATGTCTGCATAAAAAGGGGAAAAAAGGTGCACACACCCTACAACACAGGTTTCTGATTATCATTTATAAAAACCATGTTACTAATGAAACATTCACATTTTATATATATATATATATATATATATATATATATATACTCCTTGAAATATGTGTGTGTGTGTGTGTATGTTTCAATAATCCCAGCTATAAGAATTAATATCAAGGACAGTAGCATCTCAGTGCCACTGCAGGATGAATGGTTAATTTATCCTGACAGACACTATCAGGATATGCATATCAAATTCTGATCTGGGCTTTGCCCTGGCCTCACTGGATATCACAGGCAAGCCAATATTTTTCACACACACCCTTCCTATCTGTAAAAAAACTTCCAAAGTTGTTGGAACCATTTAACTGATAAAATGTTTCTGAAGCAACTGAGCACTGCAAATGAAGTGTTATGTAATTACCAAGCATTCTCATATCAATTATTAATCAATTTAAAAAGCTCAAAAAGCTAGGACAATATTTTGTCTTATTATTAATAGATCTGGCAAACTATCTTAATATGATCTAGCAGTAAGCTATATTAATAGGAGTCTGCATTGTATAATACCGGAACATAAAGTTTGAAGTAAAGTAAACATGAAGTAAATGAAGTAAATGAATTAAATGAAGAAAAAGGGACAATGATGAGCGCAAGCTGTCAAGATCGATCACCAGTAACTAATTAAAACAATCATAATTTGTAAATCTAATATTCTGATTTAAAGAATGTACAGTGTTATAACAAGTTACTTAAATGTTTATTAACATAAAAAACATATTAATCAAAAGGAGTGCATACTTAATAGGAATAACTATTGAATACCTAGAAATATTTGTATAAGTCATTATTGACTATTGGTAGACACACAATTTAGTAAGATCTTTTGTTTGAAATATTTTTTCTTATGTCTCCATTGGTTGCTGAAATACTTTATACTGAACTATGGGTGTCTTGGTTTTTTCTGATTTCCTTAAGGAAAACATATGTTTAGCAAACTAATTATATTGTACCAAAGGAAATAAGGAAAAACTTTAATTATGCAGCCTATATCTTTATTTTGCAGTGTTACTGTTGTGCATCATTCATTCCAATTTTACAAGCTACTGGGAGGAGAAAACAATGTGTAGTTCAGTGCAGTCCTGTCCCTGACTACCTGGACAGCTTTTGAAATCTCAGGAGGCATTACCCACGTTTTCAAGCATATTATCTTCACAGTGTAAAGGCTAGAAACTTGATTGTGTGTCTGTATGTTTTAAGTGGAAGCTTAGATTATCAGGAAGCTGAGCTGACTAACCCTTTACCACATTCTGTGCTTATTCTGTGCTTCTGCAGAAGCATGCACACAATCCTGACACTGCATTTCCTGTCTTTTGCTGAGCACTGCAGAAAGGCAAATGACAGGTCCAAAACATTTTCTTTACAGCATCTTTTTGAACTATAGGTCTTCCTGCACACATTCCTGTTTCATTGACCCCATCCTTTTGTTCACAATTACGCTGTGACCCCCTTCATATTTCAGCAATATGGTAAAATTAAGACATATAATCTAGTTTATTTAATAGGATTTAGAATCTATTCTGATTCCCCTCTTGTTTTGCCCTTGATACCCATTAGGCAATAAGCAGGGACAGTCTGACTAACAAAAAGAGGAACCCAAAGACTATCAGATGACAGGCATTAAAAAGGGAAGCATCTAGTCCACTAAGGGAAATATTTGCTAGTTATTTTATCCGCACATCCCAGACAAACTGGAACCAAAATACACTGTATTCAGCAGATAATTATGATAAACTTTCACATCTCTACATTGAGATACAGCAGCAGGCAGTACATGCAACTTCCTGGGGAACAGATTGGAGACTTTGCATGCTAGGCAGATCCAGTGGGGAAGATTCTTATGGTTTCCCATATGTTACTGCTTGTGAGCATGTTTATTTCAATATGTACTCATTTACATGTAAGCTGCCTTGGTGTCCTGGAAGGTATAGCATAAATTACTGTAATAAATAAACAGGATTAAGGAATTATCAAGTATTGGTTAAGCATTTTGGTTTGTAGGAGTGTTCTTCCTGTGTTAGAATGTGACCTACCAATGGTTCTCTTTCCCACAATTCTAAGAAAACAATAAATATACTTGATTCAGTGAAGTTATTGTTGTTGAGTTGTGCAGAGTATTATAATGTCTGTCAGTGCACAACAGCTTAGTCCATATGGCAAAACACACTTCCAGAGGTATATTGCTGAAGAATGGAAGTTGGTCATGCCTAATCCTCATAACGATGGTTCAGAGGACCGGCCTACTGAAAATGCTCTAATGTTCCTCCAGCCTATAGGTCATCAGTGTTTACCTCAACCTACGAATTTCTATTTAGGTTTCTAATTCAAACACATGCAATGTGGGCTCAAGTTCCTGATTCATTTAATGCCTATTCATGAGCACCAAGTTACTATGGAAACCCCCACATTTTATTTTCAATACTGGAAGGAAACATAATTTCAGTGAAAGGCAACTCTTAGTGACTCCTGGAATACTTGGCATCCCCCACTCCTTTTGACACTGATAACTTGGTTCTCTCCTTCTCATATAAGTACTTACGGCATTTTGGGATATTGATAGTCCTAACAAGACCACAATGCAAAACAGTTTGAGGAAAAAAGAGAAAGACAGGGACACACAAAGCTGAGTTGGGGCTCTGTAAATCTATCTTAGAATGCTGGTTGCCTTTCTTCCTAGATATCTGATGTGGCAGGGTGATGAATGAATGAATGAATGAATTTATTAATACGGTCACAGACCAGCGCCAACACACACAACATCACAGATCATTAAAAAAATATATCAAAAATACAGCGGACAATATGAGTATAACAAGCATTTAAATATAAAAAATTAAAATTAATTATTAGCATGCCCCCTGCAATTAACATTTGGGGGTTTGGTCACCATGGGATACCACTTGCTTCCTGCGACTAATTGCAGCCGCACAGAATTTGGCTACATTTAATGTAGTTTTGGGATTCTTGTCCTCTAGCAGTGGTTCCAAACCATGGTGTTCCGACTCTTTCCTGGACTTCCGCAAAACAGGTGCAATAAAAGTCAAACGTATATCCTCATAAAGACGACAACGTAACAGTACATGTGAAGCAGTCTCAACCTCCAACGAGCCACAGGGGCAGACCCGCGCTGTGTATGGTTTACCCTCAAATCTGCCCTGAAGTAAGGCAGAAGGGAGAACGTTGAATCTGGCGAGGGTAAAAGACCGTCTGTATTTGGGTACCTGAAGACCTGACAGATAGTTAGCTGGAGAAAAACCTCTCCCATAGTCCCTTATTGCAGGATGTTTGATCATTTCACTCATGTGGCATTGTAATTCTACGTCCCAGATACGCTGGCGAATTGTAGTCCTAGCTTTCTCGAAGCCTGTCGCTATCAGGGTCTGCTGTGGGATCCCCAAGCCTTTAAGCTTTTCCAGCAGTGTAGCTTTCCATCTGGATTGGTAGGTATCCAATAAGGTCAAAGGTGCCAGCCCAACCGGGAAGAAAATAAGCTTTAGCCAGTAATGGATCTTTAATATCCATATCCGGGTACTGATAGGAATTTGCCCAACCTCCAAACGGACCGCTATGTTGGATACGCAAGAGGGGATCCCCAGCAGGCAGCGGAAAAACTTAGTTTGAAATGCCTCTAAGAGAGTAAGGTTTTTAAAACTGCAGATCTGGGATCCATATAACAATTGTGGTAGTATTTTGGCAGCAAAGACCTGGGAGGCTGCCGGTATGTACTGGCCTCCTTTCCCATAGAAGAATCTTATTAACGCTTTGGTAGATCTTTCTGCATTTGCAATAGTATTATTAATCTGAAAGCGCCAGGAGCCCCTTTCCTGGAAGGTTACACCCAGGTATTTAAAGGTTGCTACCTGTTCTATTAAGCGGTTGTCTATTCTCCATTTGTGCCTCCTCCTTTTTTTGGAGAACACAATAACTTTGGATTTGTTGTAGTTAATTGTTAATTGTTCGATGCTGCAGTATTTGGTGAAAGATCTCAAAAGTTTTCTTAATCCAACACAAGAAAAAGAAATTAAAACTGTGTCATCCGCATATAAAAGGACCGGGAGGGCGTACCAGCCAATTTGGGGGATGGGCATTTTCTTTCTCCATATTTCCTACTAGCGAGTTGAGATAGAAGTTAAATAAAGTAGGCGCAAGGACACACCCTTGCCTGACCCCTGATGGATTTGGATTTCCTTGGATAGGTGGCCCTGTCGGTCACACCTTACCCGGATCCGTGTATTTTCATATAGACTGTGGATGAGATACAGTAGGCGTTTGTTTATATTTGCGGCGCTTAGCTTTCCCCAAAGCCTGTCCCTCGGTATTAAATCAAAAGCAGATTTGAAATCTATAAAGGCCACGTATAGGGAACCTCCTTTT